CAAGAACGTGTCAAAACCTTCTGTTCGCAAGACTGGGATTCTATTGAGCAGGGCATTCAAAAGCACAAATGGGGCAAGAAGGTAGATCGAGAGAAGGCACACCAAGTTTGCTTCAAGGCGTCATGGATCATCAACATGCTTCATGACGGAATTGGCGTTCCCCGAGTTGGCCTAGAGGATACTTCAGGCTCTACACATAACGGTACCAAGGAGGTTCTCTCGCACGGCGAGCAGAAGGGTTACCTTGACGCCTTCCAGGCAGTCAATAAGATTGACTCGACAGAAGTGAGCTGGACCCTCGGCAAAATCGTCTTGTATGCCTCTTCCCAGGTGCCCACTATCGACGAGGCTGCATTGCCTGTCGGTTTTGGTAGCAACATCCCGGGCGTTCCCGAGGACTTCCAGTACCCCAGTGTGGTCCTACTTCCCGATTCGGACAGTTTCCACAGTGAACACTGGCATGATGCCCTCTTCGATGGAGACTCGCCTCGCCGGATCCCCGGCTTCCTATTGTTCCTGTTCATCATCGTACTTGCGAGCTTCTTCTTGTGCGGACGCAGCCGTCGTCTGCGCATATACCATCGCGTCAACAATGTGCTCCGTCGTGGTGGGCCCTCTCACCCTAATCACCCTAAGCGACGAAAGCCATTTGGTGGGATGTTACCTTTCCTCAATCGAAGCGCTCCATCTTACGAGCGTGTCCTAGAGGAAGGTGCCGAGGAGTTTGATCTGGGATCAGCAGACTCCGACGGTAGCGACGTGGATGGCGGTCGTCCCTCTGATGCAGGATCGGCCAATTTGCGGCCTCCCAAGCGTGCTTCCAGTTGGGGCAGCGGCAGCAACACTCCCAACTTGAAATATACTCTAGACAACAGTTCATCTGGAACGATCGGCTTGGGAATTAGTGGCGGCTCGGGTGTTGCTATAGATCGTGCGGGACTGGTGGTTAGGACCGAGAGCCGCGATCATCTGGCTCCTATTGCCCTGGGCCCAACCACCAATGGACGCCGGTCTCGAGCCGGCAGTCCCACGCGCTCTCACCATCAAAAATCACCCAGTATGACCCCTCTCGAGGATGAGTAACGTCTCCGATGCAACCCGACCCGATTTATGCTTTTTTGAAGTTTTACGTGCGCCCTTCCTTACTCTTGCATGGTATTTCCACTTGGCGTCTATTTTCCTTTTCGACAGGTGCCACTATTCATCCCCTGTCTACCTCACTCTTCTGTTCCAGGGCTCATCTCTTTGGAGCTGCTGCGTGGACAGCTGATACTTTCGATTCTTGGTACCATATTTGCCTCTGTGCTCCGGAGTATTTGTTTGTCTTCCGTGCTTTCGATCTGATCCGGGCGATTTTGATGTAATGGCGGTGTACCATTAACGTTCCGTTACAAGCTTAATGAATATAGACTAATACATTGCTAATCAAGCATTATCTTCGGCTGTTTTGAATTGTAGTCCGTATAGACTCTGTATAGAACCGCGAGGAGGGCACAGACTCGATCGGCCCACATAAGCATGTACGGAATTATTGACTTTTGGCATCCCCTCTCTTCTACGTAAGCCATAAGATCGTGCAGAGTATGTCAATTAATTTCAAAATTCGAGCTGTTCAAATTATGCGACATCTTGCCTTGCCTTGCTAGCCTCAGTGGTCAGGGTGATGTCACGTGCACCGGTATAGTGTTCACCGCCCGGCAGAAAGGGCTGCGGAACTCGTCGATATTGGAGAAACTGCGACAGCTTGCGCCGTTCATTGCAGCTCTCCTCCTTTGCGCCACCATTCCAAGACCCCCTCAAACCCCTCGACCTATGTTCGCCTAATCGACGCTCGAATCCCCGCCCTTCTCCCCAATTGAACCTCGCTCAGAGGCACCGCCGCCATGCGCTTGACTGTCGAGCTCATTCAGAACTCTCTCTCATACATTAATCCGCTCAAAGATCGCGAGCTGGATCTCCGAGGTGCGTTTGACCTTTACACACCTGCCTGAAAAGAACAGGTACTACACTTTTATAAAAGGAGCGGGATTAAACATCGCATTGCGAGACGTGTAGGTCACAAGATCCCCGTAATCGAGAACTTGGGTATCGCCAAAGTAAGTGCTTCATTTCTACGATCTGCAGAGCTTTGATTAGTGCCATATCCTGCCTTGAGTCATTTGTAGACTCCTACCTTTGAAGCGTGTCTGAAGCTAACAGTCTACCAGGACCAAGATACAATTGATCTCACCGATAACGACCTCTCTTCCCTTGGGAACTTCCCCTTCTTCCCTCGCCTCCACACCCTTCTACTCGCCCGCAACAGAATCAATCACATCCAGTCGACCGTCGGGCAGTCAATTCCAAGCCTGCAAACCCTTGTCTTAACAGCCAACAACGTCTCCGAGCTGGCAGATATCGACCCTCTAAAGAGTCTGACACGCCTGACACATTTGATTCTGTTGGAGAACCCCATCACGCGGAAGGAGGTATGTGGATTCTTCCCCGCAACGCTATTCGGCGTCAATTTATGACATCCATCTAACTTCAATTTCCGAATCAGCACTACCGGTATTGGGTCATCTGGCGAGTCCCCTCCGTACGGTTCCTGGACTACCAGAAAGTGAAGGATGTGGAGCGTGAAAAGGCAAAGGAACTATTCGGAACCACTGAGGAACCAACCCCCCTCGCTACAAAGATCATCGGCACCAAATCTCGAACCTTCGACACTTCTACCAGCACAGCCACAGGCCAGGCTTCGGGCGAAAAGGCCATCCGCGTCAAACTGACTGATGCAGAGAGGAAGCGCGTGGAGGACATGATCCGCAACGCAAAGAGCTTGCAAGAGATCACCCGTTTGGAGAAGGAATTGAACGAAGGACGGATACCCGGTGGAGCCCTCAGCGTAACGGACGCTGATGGCGATAAGGAGATGCAAATGTAATTGGCGTGAATTTGCATGCTCTGGACATATCCTTTTCATCCTGCTTTGTTCCGGACTTCAACTGGATTTTGCTACGTCTCTTTCCTTTCTCTGTCATGGTCGTCGGGCATTCTCATTATACTGTGCTTGGTTGATTGAATCTGGGTTTTATGTGGCATTTGGGAGATTCCTTTTCTTGTCACAGGTGCTTGTGTGGTCTTCTTTCCTCCTAAACTTCGAGTACTAGCATTACTAGGCTAGATTTTCATACCCTAAAAGCGTTGTGACACCTGTTATCCTCTCTTACCCTTGTCCACATAGACTCCACGCAAAACTCAGAAGAGTAAAATGGCCTGCTCGGGGCAAGCACTCAAACAATGGAATGGTACTCATGATTAGTTCGTCACTGTCTTCCCGAAGTCTTTAAACCTTTCAATATGGGAGGAATACTAGTCATTTACAATGTGTAATTGCCCATGTGTTACTGGATAGGCCTCATTAGAGGGACAACTGGTGTTTTTATTCTGTATTTTCTATCATTGGCGTCCAAATCGGGTGATCTTCTTACCCATAACAATTTTAAAGTAGGTTTCTATGCTTTTCGTACTAGCATAGCGCGTCTACTGTTAATGGTATTGTTGCCCAGGTGGTATTGTGCCTCGGTGCAGTAGACTTGGGGTTCGCTGGTCTTCTGACTAAGAGAAATCCCCGAGTTGGTCAGTATTTTAGTACTGGATCCACATCATCTCTAACGAGTGAATATAAATCAATCAGCAACTGTAGGGGCCAATGACCTCGATCTCGTAGATGGGACGACCTTTTCAACTATCGTCTTCCAAGGTTGAAAGTTTCTTTCTGCGAACCTTCTTCCGCTGCAAAACTGGTTCAACCATCCGAGTCGGTATATAACTGAGAACAATCTTCTGAGAGTTATTTCGCGCTCGCTCCCCTAACTTTTGCTTTCATCACTGCCCAGCAGATAGTGGGATCTAAGTTTAAAATGGAGCATCTCTCAAATAAATGAAGAGTCGTCCTGTACCTTGCAAATTGTGCGATGAATGGAAAACTTAATTGAGCTTTTCAGGATGCAGGAACTGTACTGGGTAACCTGATTTACCGGTTTGTTAGGGGAGTCAACAGAGAATTAGGAGAATAAATTATCATTTCCGAGGTGGTCGACTAGACAATAGATAATATGTCAATACTAGATCCAGAACAACAACAGAAAGAAGAATAGCACTGAAGATCAACCTTGGAACAAATAGAGCAGGCTTATACATCTGAGCCAGATCCATCTTTTCAACCGGCAAGAATCGCAGTTACGAATCGCGCTCATCAGACGGGTCCAAGAAATGAGAGGCTCAGAGTCAGGCAGACTCAGGTACCCCTCAGATACCTGTTTAGCCGCCATCGCCATGCCAAATGAGTCTTTACCACACTTATCAGTATCGATCGCTAGCCTGTTAACATGAACCTGTGACTGGAGGAAGATGATACAGGTTGGATCGAAAGCAGTTTCACCACTTGCACACACAGACTCTTTCTCGAACCCTCCTTGCAAACACGCTAATCTGTATGCCGCTTGGCCTTGTTTCAAGTACCGTGCGGGATTCAGCTTGATATATTACGTGAAACCCGCTTACACTTGATCCCCGCTACATCTTTGCCGCTTATGACCGGCACCCCACTCTTCTGTCAGCTGCAGGACTGATTGAAACATTCCAGATCCGCTCCAATAAGAGAGTTCACCAATCGGTGGCTGCAAATACGCATGTTCGTGCCGCAGATGGTTATTCAAAGCTCACTTTCATCGAATTGCTGGTAATACAGGTAATGCTCACACTTCGAGTAGAAGGCCTTCGCTTCTCCAGCGTAGCAAAGTGTCTGAGGCAGACGTAGTATGAGGATGATCAACACCTAGAATTTCCATACGAAGATCGACGCATCTCGTCATCAAATCGAGAGCATAAACATGTCGGCCTAGTCAGTTCCGAGTTACTGCCAGATTGTACATGCTGGTGAGTGTATCAGGATGCTTCTCTCCGAAATGTCTCTTGCAGATTTTAATCTCTTTCAGCTGGAGCACTTCGGCATCTTGCTAGCGGTCTTGTTTCTGATATGTTGATGCCAAGTTATTTATGCTGATCAGTGTATAAGGATGCTTTTCTCCTAATAATCTTTGGTTGGCCTCAAGCACTTGCAGCTCAAGCACCTCGGTGTGTTGTAATCGACCTTGTTTTCGGTACGTCGATGCTAGGTTACCTATGCTTATGAGCGTGTCAGGATGCTCCTTTCCTAGCAATTTCTTGCGTCTATGAACTGCTTGCATATCAAGTGCTTCAGCCTTTTGTAATAGGCCTTGGGTTCGGTATGTTGTTGCTAGATTGTTCATGCTGTTCAGTGTCTCAGGATGGTCCTCTCCGAGCACCCGCTTGCGAATCGTGAGCACTTCCACCTCCAAAGCTTCAGTATCCTGTAATCGACCCCGTTGCCAGCATGTCGATGCCAGGTTATTCATGCTACTAAGCGTATCAGCATGCCCTTCCCCGAGAGAGCTCTTACGAGTCTCGAGTAGTTGTGCGTTTAATACTTTGGCCTCCTGTAATTGACCTTCCAGTATATATGCTAATACTACCCGTGCGGTGCTGTTAAGAGTGTCTTCATTAGCTGAACCTAATATACTCTCTCTTTCCGCTTTTGATTTCAATGCTATAGCTTTTATATCTGCTGAATTCCCGCTTTTCTAAGCATACTATGTATACTGGTAAAGCAGCGTGGCCTATTTCAGTAGAGATTTCTGTGATTGTGGCCTCTGTAGCATCGCCTTTTTGACATGAGGGAAGAGTGTCCGGCATTTTCCCCAGTTCGCATACTCAGCGTTTGGAAAGTCGTAGCACAGGTTATTGATAAATCTCTCCTTCTATTACTCTATCCGGCTATAAGTCTTTAGCCATATATACGTAGTAAGTTGAACTAGCCGATTTATTGTGAAGTTTGAGCTGCTCTTGCAGATGGAAATAAGTAAATAACCTCTAAGTGTCGTGATATTATCTTCGAAAACGTGATCTATATCGGATTCAGAGGCCTTCCTATCCCAGCTAGAGAGGTCCAAGGACTTTGAACTTGATTTAGGGGTGATTTTGAGTCGAATCTGGAGGAGGCTCTCTGGAATCCCTTCCCGATCAAAAAAACTTATGAGAGAAAGCAAGTCCGCTGTGGACGAGTGTTTTTGCCGAATATGATCAAACGATATCTGCTAGGTGACCAGGATTGCGTTACGTGTCTCCCAGTCTCAGTAGACGTAACCTGCCTCATTCGCGAGAAGTCTTATAGCTTCGCGGTCACTCTTTTGAAAGTCTCATAGGTACTGTGTTACTGAATAGCGAGGAGCTCGAATTCTAATATAGCTTGCTGCCTGAATTATCGCGAGCGGTATATACTCGAGCTCTTCTACTAATTGTCGGTTCTCTTGGCTTTTCTCTGGAAGTTGAAGCTTTCTTTGGAGAAGCTCTAGTGCCTCGGATCTTTCTATCGGTTTAACTTGAACAAGGTCCTTATAGTCAACCATTTTCAACATAACCTCTTTAGTCCGAGTTATGATAATTATAAATCTATTTTGAATTCTAGGAACGTATTCCTATAATGGTTTTATCGAGGCATTCGTTAGGCCTTTCGTCGGATCTCCTTTACCTGCTACTGGAACGGAGCAAAGAAGCTGATAGTTATCAACGTTATCAAGGATATATACCTCTTTTTGTATTTTCTTATTCTGGAGCCAGTTTTCGACTAATTTTACAATGATACTTTTAGGATCTTGACGATCTGGGATTCTAGTATGGTCTGTAATATCCCGGAAACTGTCTTTGAACCGGGCTTTATTACTCGTATAGACCCAGAAAACCTATATCGTCGGAGATTCGGATCGAACCTGGTACGAGTATTCGATGGTAAGTTGCGATTTCCTTTGAGTTATAAGTAATAAGCCACGTACGGGTCGGGCTATACTCACCCGATACTACCAAGGCCGACTAATACTATCCGTAACCCTAGAACTAAGCTTTTCTCCTGAATCTGGTTGAGCAGGGTATAACAGCTGACAAAGTCTGAATCGTATGGGAATGGGACAGTCGATAGAGGACTAGGCGGGGTTTCCGGTCGCACAAGGAGGAGGAAAGCGGTTATTAGTAACTTAACCTTTTCGATGGTCTCCGGTTCCTGACTTACCCGGCAGGAGGTAGAATTCTGCGTTGATCGAGCTATGGTTGTCTCCGATTTGAAGGCTATGATTATTACTGTAGAAAGATATCGATACTATGGTTGAGTGAATTTGTGGCTTATGGAGTCTATTCGAAGTGCTGAAGGCTTTGCCTTAGCTCAAGAAGGGGTGTGTTGTGACCTCCTAGATCAGATGACCTTACGGCGCCAAGACAGGGGATTAAACTAAGATTGGTAGGTCCTACGGGGTGGGATCAGTACCTTTCTTGGAAGCGGATCGACCTGAGCCAGCAACCTAGATCAAGTATAACACGGATAGCCAGTAAGCTTCCTCTAGCTGAAAGCATGCGTTAAATTCAAATTTTGATACCTAGTGCTGTTAGCTATCAAACTTAAGTATTTGAACTTGCAGGTGAATCTTTATACTACGGTCGACCTATTATATGATGGTCCAGTCCTCGCTGCTATTTTTGGAGTCTGTAGCTTTAAGATGGCCTCTAAGCTCTCAGGAAGGGGGGGTCACTAAGTCACGTGCGTTTCCTAATTGATGGAATCCCCCAGACGTTTCGCCCGAAATTTATTCGTCTGCTCCCTGAGCAGAGGGGCAAGCATGGGTGAGCAAATAGTTCGATTTCCCTTTACATTCGGTGGTCGTCTGTCTATCTCTGCCGCCAAACCCCACCTCCCCCAACGTCCTGATCCTTGCGCCATCTTTGAACGGCATAGCGCCTAGACTCCTCCTCTTAAAGCTTGAGATGATTCGAGATACGATATTAGGCAAATCACTGACTACCTTACAAATGGCCAAAGCTGCTGAATGTACAATGGCGACCGTTATTGCCTTCCCTGCTTGGAAACAGAGAGATACTCTTCCCAACCCTAATCACAGGCGAACTAAACCCAATATAGATTAGTGTGAATTTCGAGTTTTGTACGTACTCGGTAATAATACCCAGTCCTATTAAATACGTACTGTGCATAGGTTAACGGTCAGAAATTTACGAAAGGAAAAGGGCCATTTTCTTTACCGAACTATAGTCTAGTTAGTAGGGCTGCCCCCGGGCTCCCTTGAATGGGCATACATACGTGCTGACATATTGAGTGAAGTATTTCAAGCCAAGTGGCATTTCCAAGGAAGGGTCTAATAATTTACATAAGGATATAGATGGCAAAAATATGGCTCAAGTCTGAAAGTACTATTCAAATAATTCTCGGAGGGTCGGAGGTTCCAGCTCATACCATCATTTCTTGAACTAAAGCCCAAGCCGCATCATCTGTAGAAAGATACTCCTGAATCTGTAACAATATTCTCCTGGAGAGGCCATGTATAAACCAAACCCCACAGCTTTCGGCTCGTTCAACCAGAATGGCGGCCCAGTAGGCTAGAACAACAAGCGCAGCTGAGTTTTGAAGCGATACCATACGGTTGAAATGATCCGGTGTCTTAATCAGCCATGCGGCCATACACTGCCACACTCCTAACAAATCATCGGATTCAAAACTGCTAATACAGCATTTGGACAAGGCTTCAATGGCGAGCAGAATGGCTGGGGCATCTTGGTCATGATCTGGTTTTCCGAAAATCTCTGCCATGCGGTACGGAAGCATATGAATATAGTTGAGTAGCATAGTCCGTGCATTGTCGTTTTCTAAGGAGCCATTCTTATCCAAGGCTCTCTGAGGGCCCTCATCCCTGCTTTGATCTTTGCATGAAGACGTCACCGATTCAGAAGAAACAGAACTTCGAATGCCTCGTAGTATGGACTCTAGCTGAGAAAAGGTTGCAGGACCTGGGGTAGTCTCTTGGCTCATAGTGAATTCATTTAAAGTCCATTGTGTGCAGTTCAGGATGCTTCTGATTTGTATTCCTGCCTTGTTTGCTTTCTGGAAAGCCTCGGTGGCCATTGTATTCGTATCATCGTTGGCTATCATGTTGAACCCGGCAAAGAATTCGGAATTGAACTTTGCCGCCCGCTCACGGTGAATTTTTCGTGCTGTTGTCTCATCCTCGAACGTGGCCGAATGGTACGCGGAAATGGCCAGTAATCCGCACATTAGCCACCGTCGTTGTAGAGCCAGTGGGATGATGTCTTTCTCCCAGTATTGTGACGCCGGTAGAGAGTCCTCGGCCCCAGGAAGTGACAGTTTCGTTGCAGTGATGAAATGATGAAAATATATCAATGTTTCTAAATCCACCGCAGGACAAGGCTCAGAATTTGGCGTAGACTGTGCTGGTGATGGCGCTGCGTTCAGCCTGGAGCCCTCTCTACCATATCCAATCTCATCATCGGAAAGCTGTGACTCGGCGTTGCTGCTTGTCGCCGAGACCTCGAAATACTTGAGTTTCGTACCGCGGAAGAATGTCTGAAGCTTTACTGAGCGTGCAAGAGAGGAAAAGTTATTTGATCCATTGACGCCATGGGCATCGCTCCAGTGGCGTCTCATGCGTTTAGAGCTGGCACAGAGATGTCCACATCCAGCCACAGTACAGCAATGCCCAGACACCACAGGTAGAGTATCAACCGGTAGTGTGTTTGCGTTGGGTAGGGGAAGATCATCCGGTTCAACGATGTCAAGGCCGTTAATGGTGGACAGTAAGCGTTGTCTTTCTTCACGGTAAATTTTGTGGCGGAGCAAGTGGCTTCCCAGCGCATTTTTCTGAATGGCGTAGTGGCAATCTCGGCAGATTAGCACTTTGTATATTGCATTGTACTCGAGCAGATCGTGTGGACCCAGTCGCATAGTAGCTGACAATCGTTTATCGCTCAAGTTGGAAGAAGGGCTAGACGTTGGGAAGATTGCGAACGATGACGTGATCACGTGTAGATAATGCGGGGACCTAAAGGCCATGTACTGTCGTTGCCAGGGTATTCTATCTTCGGCCTTCTCGTTTTGTGTCAACTAATTTGTTAACTACGGAGTAGTTAATAACTAGCGGGTGTGGGTGCGTCAAGCACCAACTTTACCGCCTTAGGTTTCAGGCAGTCATGAGCTAACCGGTTAACTAGTCACATGTAGTTGGATTGTCAGGGAGAGTTTGACTCTCACCTATGCGACTACGTTGCTCTGGATTTTCCCCTCTCCACGCACACGCCATACGTGTTAGTACAATTAATGGAAACATCTTGAAACCTTGATCTAGTTGGTTATTTAGTATGGAATTAACTCGGATTTAATCGTACAACGGCTTATGTGGTTCTAAATGGGAACGGCACATGCGGTTCTCAAAGCCTCTGGTCTCGGCCTAAGATAATCCCGACGTACCCTAACGTTTGCATGCGTCGTTGTGTAATAATTATTTACTACCGAGCTGCTTTGAAATAATGATGTCGATTTGAAATCAAATGCTTATTTTGACTGCTAATTACCATTCCTCCTTGGCTGTGATCGGATATGCGAAAGCACTTATAACTCGGCAGGTTCTGCTCAAAATGACATTTCTCCTTACTTAGCATCAACCAAAGGAATCAATTAACCGTCTTGGTCAGCATCGCATTCATTTTGTCACCTCCAGGTTCAGGCAAAGCTTTCTCCGCTTATTCTATCAGAATGCCAGTGCCTAAAAACGAAGCTGCATGGCTCGTCAAAGCCGGTTCTCCCCTGGAGTTGGGAGATGCCCCGTTCCCCACAGCTGGCCCGGGTGAACTAGTCATTAGAAATGCTGCCATCGCCATCAACCCTCTCGACTGCCATATGCAAGACTCCGGTGTCTTTGTTCAGCAATGGCCTGCTATTTTCGGCTGCGATATCGCCGGTGAAGTGTATGAAGTAGGAAAAAATGTGGAAAGATTCAAGGGAGGAGACCGTGTTATTGGGTATGTTGCTTAAGAATTGATCTCTCGAGATTAAATTATCCCAATCTAATATTACCTCTGTTCAACAGGCATGCCATCAATCTGACTAGTGGCCGCCCTCAGGATGGCGCATTCGCTCTGTATACGGTAATTCCTGCTGATAAAGCGGCCATACTCCCTGATGAGATCTCCTTCACGGATGGTGTCGTCGTGCCGTTCGCATTGGAGGCGGCTGTTTGCGCGCTTTCCCTCGAGGAGCCTGGCGTCGCCATGCCCGGTGTTGCTTCACCAGCCCTGGGCCTTCCGTACCCCTCGCTGCATGACGTGACATCCTCAGGCAAGACACTTGTCGTTTACGGTGGCTCATCTTCTGTCGGCTCGATGACGATCCAGATTGCCACGGCCGCCGGAATCCACGTTATCGCTATTTCCGGTGCGCACAATTTTGACTTCAGCAAGCGATGCGGAGCAGCTCGAGTCTTCGATCACAAGGATACTTCGCTTGCGGGGAAGGTTATCGAAGCAGTTCGAGAGAAAGGCAGCGAGTTCATTGGCATCTTCGATGCCATAGCTACCCCTGAGACTTACGCCAACGACATCACTATTCTTGAGCAGCTGGACGGAGGACACCTCGCTTGCGTGCATCCTCCTCCTCTCACTACTGATCTCCCTGCAAATGTCAACGCTGGTATGATCTTTGCTGTCAACGATGTTGTGACACCTGTCTGGAAAGATTATGTTACGCCTGCGTTGCAATCCGGGAAGCTCCAGTGCCTCCCACCCCCATTCATCGTCGGCAAAGGGCTGGAGCATATTCAATCTGCATTAGAAAAGTCCAAGGCGGGTATCAGTGCCACGAAGCTGGTTGTCGAACTGTAGATGTAATACGAAGATGGTGGCTTCGTATACATGTATGGGGGTTCTCTTCGGGATGCCAGCGGTATTGGAGACGGGGATGGATGCATCTCTGAAGAAATTGATTCCTGGGTTGCTTTGCATTGTTCAAACATGTCTTGAAGGTCGTTAGAAAGTTCAATGAATGAAAATATCACATGACTATGCTCTTTTAGACAGCAGACAGCTGTTAAGGAGAAGCCTCAGGCTGTCGGATAAGGTACCCATCTCAATACGTTTCGCCTTATTACCATTCAAACACGGAACAGATACTCAAATACGAAAGTAGCCGTATTAGGATTAGCGTGTCAGATGATTAGCGTTTAAAAGAGTATCTCTCTGTTTCCAAGCATGGAAGGCAATAACGGTCGCCACTGTAGCAAGCGTTCAGTCATTAACATCAGCAACAACCTTCGCTGAGTCGGAAATTTCAGAGCACCCCCAATTCCCGTCGGTCAACGACGAAGCATAAGTCCTCCGATGCTACAGCCTTTGTGTGATCACCACTGACAAAGCGGATTTCCCTTTTGTTTGCCTTGCTTGCAGGACCTACATTCTAGAAGCTCCCGAGACCATACAAGCTTATTACAGATGCTATTTTTACACTGTCATTCACAACTGTACTGTAATACCACCAAGAAAGGAGTTCGGGGGTAAGTTAACCGTAATAGGTATAGCGAAGTTTCAAGAGGGTTCGAGAAAGAATCTCTGTGTTTAGCTGGTGAATCTGATTTCGATCCATGCTGTAACAGCCTCGCCCTTAGTCAAAGTACTGCCCAGATTCTGGCGGCTCAAACTACCAGCAACATCTGTTATCCGCTCAATACCCTCGCCAAAGCAGGTAGGAATATGGCAACCGATAGCCCGGGCCTCCTCCTCACCAGCACTCTTCAATCGACCTAGTACCACTGGAAGACCGTTCAAAACTGTGCAACCTGCTGAGGTTTAGCGCGAACTTCCCGAAATTGACGTTCAATCTCGATAACTGGCTATACGTAGGAATAGATATGGTGTATGTATGGTGTATGATGTGGGTGTATGTGTGTGGTGTATGCGACGTCTATAACTACCTAGGCACTACTAGTAAGACGTACCTATGCGTGTTAGAGTGTGGTAGAGTGGTATAGTCGCCCTGAGAGAGTGTCAAGAGTGGAATGTCGCTGTAGAATGATCGAGTGTGAGTTGCTGGTTTTTGTTATCTCGGAAATACTGGCGTTTTTATAGACGGCTGCCAGAGGTATGTGGAATTGTAACTGTTCACTTAAACAAGGAAATAATTCTGCATATTTGTTCGAGTCTGAGTACAAAGACGATGGCCTCTGTTGAGACTCGGAGGTTCCAAGGTTCAAGTTGACTGGAGATATCGGACAATTGAATCATCACTTTGACTAGTTAGTAGCTCTTTCAAGCTAGGTATAGTGAAACTTTGTGGCGCATACTAATCATTGTCGCTTCCATCGCTTTGAACAAAACTTGATTGGTCATACATATAATCACTCGCTGATGCGCATGGTCCCATGTTTGAGCTAAGTTTATTGTTTCGTAGAGTTAAAGACTCGTATGAATTCATATAGACATATCACCGGCCTTGGAAAGCCGGCTTTCTCCGCCAGCAGACGCTTTGACCATGCTAGCGCGGCGGGTGGGCATTCTGAGTAGTACTAGGAGTCTAGTGCAAGCGCTGATCAAAACCAGATACGGCTTTAGGATAAGTATTTACGCCAAACTAGCCTCATATCGCCAGATCAATTTACGGTCTTCAGCCACGCTCGCCTAATAAATTGATCTAGGTTGCCAAGGAGAATGGATACAGTATACTAGGGAGGGCTTGCAGATTGACTAGGGCGCCTCATCTCTACCACACCAAAGCCCGAATATTGTATAGCGAGTCGGAATTCATCAGCTTCCCCCCGTTCCTTAAATTCTGATGTTCAAACCCAATTCCCCACAGGACGCACAGAACGCGTGCACAGAAACCGGTCTTGGTTTGTTCCGCGTACTCCGCTCATGCAGATACTCGAAACAAAGCAAAGCTCTGGTTCGTGGCGTGAAAATCATTGCTGGGTTTGGGTTGCAGATCGAGACATCCAGTGCATTAGCCGCCCCTGGAGATCCGCGGTAGGGGGTGCGATTTTCGGATTTTCAAACGCCCCTCAGTGCGATCGTAGGGCGGGCAGGTTGCTATACCGAATGCAGCATCTTCTCCGTTGCTCCCTTGTACTCGTAAGGTGTTCCTTAGTGAGGCAAGAAGTTCCCTTCTTGAAAACCCCAGACTCCATACTTTGGACCAAAATTGAGAAATTCCCTGATGTTACAGGACTATTGCGTTGTTCTCGCCGCGCGGAACGAGACTCCACTTCCCCGATAGACTAAAAGGGAAAATGGCAGAATTATGGTAGACCATACTCCGTACATGTAAGATCTGATCCCAAATGATCCATGGTGTTTAGTCCACGGACCTTTTACTGAACCGATTTATGGTGTTCCGTTCAACTGGGTCTTTGGTGGATCCGCTGTGGGTTTCTCCACGAGACAGTAGATACCACAGGGCGAAGTCCAAATTGTGTACTCCGTACGGTGTATGGAGTATGGAGCAATTACGAGTGTAGCTCGGCATATGCAAGGTTCAATGGTCAAACGCCAGTTTATAGGTAGGCTTCTTTGGTTCCAGAAAAACTTTCGCGGATGGCTTGACGTCTTGGGAACTGTGGATCGTCTTTCCTTCCTCCGCCATCACGTAATTGACAGCGGAATGTTACTTCCCCTTAGTTATATTTAATCCACGCCATTTTCCCTCCTCGCGTGGGTTACCTCAAAGCCCGTCTCAAATGTGGATGGTTTGTTCGGTCCGATGAGCCAGCAGTATGGCTGATGAGACGATCACGCCAGCCATGCCGCCGCCGGCTGGCCAGACTTCCAACTTTATCAACCCCGACTACACCGGAACGAAGTTCATTGCTGTGAACTCCGTTTTCCTTCCTTTGGCTGTGATTGCTCTCGCTGTTCGAACATGGACTCGACTCTTTGTGGTGCGCAGTTTTCGCTGGGATGATTGTGCGTATCTAACATTTTGACTGCGTGAGATTGGTCGCTAATTTTTCTGGTCAGACCTAATGCTTACGGCTCTTGTATGCAACTTTCATCATCTCGGTCGCCTATGAGGCAATCTGCCAATCCAAGCAAGGGTATTTACTGATGTTTTGTAGGTGCTGTCTTGTGCTCTTACTGGTGTGACATCAGATAGTAAGTTCTCCATCAAAGACATTGCTCATGAAGCACATCGCTGATTTGATATCAGTGCTGAATTGGGGCCTGGGAAAGCACATGTGGGATGTTTCCTCTAACTCATCTAACACCGCAATTTATGAAGGTTAGTTAAGCTCTCACCCATCGAGAAATCAGCCGATTGGGTGGATACTAAGCAAGTGCGATGAGAATAGCTCAATGTGATCGCCGCCATTTTATACTGCGCTGCTACAGGTTTCACCAAATGCTCGGTCCTCATATTTTATCTTCGCATCTTCCCTAGCCGCAACTTTCATATCGCTGTGTGGTCGATTGTTTTCATCGCGGCCGGATACAGCTTCGCCAGTATTCTCGCCAACATCCTTAGTTGCAGCCCTGTCGCCAAGGCCTGGGACCTATCCATAACGTCTGGACATTGCATGAACCGACCGGTCTTTTACTTCGCCAACGCGGGATTGGGTATATTCACTGATTTCGCAACTGTCATTGTCCCAATGTATGTGGTGTTGGATGATTCAATGAATCGGGGAGAATAATTGCTGACACATATTGTGTCTAGTCCATGGCTACGCCGATTACAGATGCCGAACCGGCAGAAGATTGCCGTTGGTGTCATCCTCGCTATGGGATGCTTGTGAGTGACATTATTCACATTTTACGTTCTGAATCACCCTGTTAACGGCCATACCATAGTGTCGGTATCGTCAGTTGCATCCGCCTCGTCACACTTTATAAACTGCTCGAAAGCCCAGATCTGACCTGTGAGATACATCTACGACTGTCGCTCTTCGTGAACCGTAACTGACTCTATGTGATCCTCCAGGGGTTACGACGGATGCGCTTATGTGGTGCACGATTGAACTAAATTTAGGAATCTTTGGTGGCTGTATCACAGCTATTCGGCCATTCATTCGACGATATTTTCCCCGGCTGCTGGGACTTTCCTCTGGCGGTGGATACGGCTCAACGCGATCTCGCAAGTATGGCCACCCTCTTGGCTCGATCCCTCGGAGCGACCATCCGGATTTTACGAATGGGGAGAATCAGTACTCAGCAACTCTTACCACCCACAGGGCTCACGGAAACGGGAGCGAGGAACACATTCTACCGACGCCGCGTTCTGCAGAGCATAACAAGGAGGTGGAGGCAGCAATCGGAATCGTGCGCACAGTCGAGTTTGACGTGGAAAATTCATCCACCTCTGCGCGATGAGCACAAAGAGCCCGAGGAAGTTCTGGATATCACAATCACCCTATTCTTTAAACAGATCCAGACGATGTATATTAGATGATTATATTGACGATCAACAAATAATACCCCTTATCACGACTCACTAGTAGCTCTCAATAAATGGACAATCCAAAAGAGTGGACCCCGTAGCTCAGCAGCTCGGAAAACCCCTCTCAAACATGATTCATGACTTCCGCTTGCCGAGGATAAACCGCCAGGAACCAGTTCAAGTAATTTGACTTTCTGCACTGCTAATTGTAGTATTGAGTTTTATGCACCAAATTCACGCGTCGGGTTGTGTTTATCGCAATTTCCGTGGCCTTGTTCCACCAGTCAATGCACTAAGTGGATTGTCCCCACAGACCTACTCACCCCATTCCAAATTACACCGGAGCTAAGCAAGATAATCGGAGCTAGGCAGCGTCGTGCTGTAGAGAACAGACGAAAGTCCCTATTCGAGAAAGGGTCGGACCTTGAGAGAGATGTTAGTAAGTTCCCCATGGCTACCGAACCGTTGTCTTTTTCCCCATGGCACTCATCCTGTTGTTCTCAACAATATCGTTTGTCTAACCCATCATGCGTTTAGGTTCTGTTGCTTTACCCCTAGCGGGTGGCCTTGCTACAGTCGCGGCCAACTCGGTCAGTGCCGGTTGCCGTGCACTGACGAAACCCCTTGGAGATGCGGTTTTCTCTCGTAACACCGAGGTCTACAAATACGAATCAAAGAACTTCTGGTCCAATACCGAGATCTTGTCTCCAGCATGCGTCTTCCGTCCGCAGTCTACCGAGCAACTCGCTGAAGGATTGGACGCGCTAGTTCACGCCAATGCAGACTTTGCTGTGCGTGGTGGCGGCCACATGGGTATCAAGGTTTGTCTCCACGCCCAAGAGATTTGGACTCTGTCAGCAACGAAGCGCGGTTGCTAACCGTTTGCAGGGTTCGAATAACATTGATGGTGGTGTTCTGGTGGTCATGTCCAATCTCACCACCCTGCAATTGAACGACGATCAATCCATCGTCTCGGTCGGCCCCGCATACAGGTAGGCGCTTCATATAGTTAGCTTCTCTCCAATGAAGCACGTAACTGATTTTGTGATAGATGGCAGGACGTTTATACTTTCCTCGCGAAACACGACCTGACAGCTGCAGGTGGTCGTCTCGGCCCTGTCGGTGTTCCTGGCTTGCTTCTCGCTGGAGGTGTCAACTTCTACGGCAACCAGGTGGGATTTGGATGTGACACTGTCGTGAACTACGAGGTCGTTCTGGCCGACGGCTCCGTCGTGCAAGCAAACAGGTCAAGCAACCCCGATCTCTTCTGGGCCTTGAAGGGTGGTAGCAGCAACTTCGGTCTGGTCACCCGCTTCGATATCGAGACGATCAAGTCGCGCAAGGTCTGGGCTGGTGCTCACACTGTTGCGGCTCAATATGTTGATCGCTTCCTGGCTGTAAGTTGCCCATTCACCTACCAATAGTTGCAGCTCTTTCTGACATACCAGGCCGCCGCGACGTATGCTTCCGACATCTCCGACCCAAAGACTCACATTGTCCCTGCTCTCGTGCCTGGTGACTCTACCCTGGCCTCGGTAATCCTCTTTTATGACAGTGAGACCGAAAGCTACCCCGAGATCTTCAAGCCCTTCACCGATATTCCTTCCGTGAGCAGCACGGTAGGGTTCAAGACTGTTGCTGAGTTTGCAGCCGAGACTGGAGAGATGGTCGTGGACGGTATCAAGTAAGACGAGTACACCTCCGTATTCCCGAGCAAAGAATTCTGCTAATTTTGTTCACTATAGTGATGTCTTTGTTGCTGGATCAGTCACGGGTGCCTCCTATGAGGAGCTTCACCAGGGCATCAGCATTATCAACACCACTTTCTTCAACGAGCTCCCTAAGCTGTACAAGCAAATTCCCACCGCAAATATCTCCACCATTCAGCTGGATTGGCAGCCAATTGGTGCTGACTGGCTGAAGGCATCCGAGGCTCGTGGTGGCAATACCCTCGGCCTGGATTCCTCAAAGACCTACCTCTGCTACGCTGAGGTTGTCGAGTGGATTGGATCGGCATATGACGATATCGTTGCTGAGTGGGTGGAGAAAACCACCTATGCGATCAACAATGCCACCCAGAAGGCTGGTCTCTATGACCCCTTCAACTATATGGGTGACTCTGCTGGATTCCAGTCGATCTTCCCTGGATATGGTGAGAAGAACCACCAGAAGCTGATCTCAATCGCGCAAAAGTACGATCCGCATGGTGTGTTCCAGACGTTGATGCCTGGAGGATTCAAGATTTATTGAGAGTCGCATTCAAAATGGACCCCACCCGCACAGCCACACACACAGCACAGCCAAGGCACACACACGTTTATATGGATGGTTACAATAGTAGTGTGGCTTGTAATATGCACTAAATAATAATAGAGATGTTTCCGATAATTCTAATTTAGCAGCAGCGGTATTCCTCAGCGCCACATTGACAGGCTAAGAAATTGTCGTATGTTAAAGAAAAAGAGCTGCGGAGGTTAGGGATTTCGACCCCAACCCGGGAAGGCGGATGGTCCCACACCCAAACGCAAATCAGTCAACGGCTATTTTTGGGAAAAACAATCGAAGACTTTGAGAACATCTTACCCATGCGAGATAGAAAACACTTGTAGAAAATGAAAATCGCTGGCTAATGGCGAGAGTGAGTATAGTTTTGTTCAAGAGACACCATCGAACGGTTGTTTCTGATCAAGTGGGTTATAAATGACGTCAGCAAGGAGTGTTCAAGACCTAGCCTGAAGAAATAGATTGAGGCTGTTGTTTGAAAGCTAGTACCAGGAAAGGATCTACAGGTACAGATATGCACATTACATGGGGCCATACGTGTACGTGATTGGGGCACCGGCTATGTCCGAGTTGCTGAGGAAGATATGTCGAATGGAATTACGAGTCGGTCAGACCTTTCTTCGCAACTACAACCTTCTTCGGTTCTTAGACACTGACCAAACTATGGTTCAATGTTCACACATAGCCTTGTCCATTTTCAGCCGAACCTAGTCTTCAACATGACTCTCCCCTCTAATCCATTGTGAACTATTCAGCTACGGCTATTTCTTCAATCCAGTAGATGGATGTGGAGACCTGACAGGGAATCATCAAATCTGCCCCGGGTCCAAATAAATCCAGCTGTCCCAGCATGATTTGGTATATATGTCTTCCTTTTGTGCTCTCACTTGAAGAAAGCCTGAACTTTTTCAGTCTTCCGATGGTAACTGTTCAGAATGTCTTCCCCAAGGGGCATCAGTCAGGCATGCGGAGAATGTCGAACACGCAAAATCAAGGTCCGCTCATCATTCTCTAAATTTATCGATAATTGGTTATTAACTTTCTGTTTTACGAGAAGTGTGATCTTCAGCAGCCTTCTTGTACTCGATGCATTAAATCAGGTCGCCAATGCCCTGGATATCGAGACCAGCTGGCCCTCCGCTTTCGAGATGAAAGTCAGATAGTCGCCCAGAGGGCGAAAGCCACAAATCACTCTTCGCCAACCGTCGGTCGCCGTACACAAAGATCACTCATAGAGGAATCATTTGAAAAAACTCTGGCGACAAACGAACTTGCGCAGAGAGGTGAATTATTCTTGTTACCCATCAACCTATTTATGGTGGATGTCCAAGACAGAGCAGCATGTTATTTCTTCGAGGTATTTGACTGGGTCGGTGCTTCAACACTGGTTGAAGGCTCATTTGATTATAAGGTAGATTCATTAAATGCACCTCTGGGTGAGCAAGCCTTGTTGGCCGGCATTACTGCAGTTGGAAAGGCCTCTCTTGCAAATCTTCATCAGTCAAATACCTTAAGAGAATCAGCGAGTGATGACTACGTTACAACACTCAGCCTCGTGAGCACGGCAATACGTGATACTCAACAAATAAAGGAAGACTCAACCTTGATTGCGATATTCTTGTTGTCTATTTTCGAGGTGAGCTAGGGTATTAGGCTGATAGTAAATGATGATGCTTTGCTAAAAATGGGGATACAGATGATTGTTGGCCAAGAAAGGAATTCTATCGATAACTGTTTAAACCATATTGTTGGTGCTGCAAATCTTTTAGTATCACGGGAGCGTGATAGTTTTCCAAAAACTTCCTCGCCTGAAATGTTCTACTGTCTGAGGAACGCAATTGTAATGGTCTCATTCAACCTTTACAAAATTATAAAAGAGCTAATTAAAGCCCCTAGGTCATTTGCTGCATTTGTCGCAAACTACCCGTACCTCCAGTAATACTCACAATTTCCAACCAGATAGCATCAACCACCCGTGACCCTCACAGTGCTGCCTCGCGTGACCTTACAGCAATCATGTCCAATTTGGCAAAGATTCGCCAAAAAATCGATATTGAGGAAATAAAAGATTCGCAATATATTTTGGGCAATCTAAATTCCATTGAATCTGAGCTCGAAGAGTGGGGAAATAACATTTCCCCAAGTTGCTACTACGACTCGGTTTCGACGCCAGCGCCATTTCAGATAACGCCCGACGACTCACTCCTCCCATATAGAAAATATTCCCACAAATATTCAAAATTCTGGGTGGCAAATATGTGGAACGAATATCGCACCACGAAGTTTCAAGTTTACGATATGATCTTGACACACTTGCGTCCTCTAGCTACGCTTACTGATGGTGCTCCGGATTGCGAGGGTGCTCGAGCACAATGCTCGAGAACCCGAAGCCAAATGGCACAGCTTTCTGAAGACATATGCTGCAGTGTTCCATATATTCTCGGCCTACTTACTCAAGAGCGTCGTGACTCTCCACAGCCGGCCGTAAGAAATTCATGTGGTGCTTTTGTCCTTCTTTGGCCTCTAACGGTCGCAGCTATTGCGCAACATTACCCATCACCCACCTCCAACTTTGTTTTCAATTGTTTTGATTTCATTTCACGTGGTATGGGTATTCAGCAAGCCACTGCCTTTCGTACTTGGGTAATCTCTTCATCTGCGCAATATACTTGGGCTGACAATATTTGACTGCCTGAGATACGAGTATTACTAGTAGTATTGATAGACAGCAATATGATAGTTATGATTTGGTAAAAGTCATCATGAATTTTTAGAAACAGTTATAGCTTCAAATGCCAAAGTTCCGCATCAATCCTGAGAGGTATTGAGCTTTACTAATAAACATAGATAAAGTCCTCATTCCGGAGATCTGTCATGTCTGAAAACCCATTGTCGGTCACACTCTGATCGCGGATCTCATTGACATCCTCTAGCTCAACGGCTTTGTTTGTCTCAATTTTATTTTTTGTCATCATTGACTCATCAATGACGACTGCCGACTTGCCGAGGGCTTCTCTTTGTCGGGAGTGTTTCTTATTGAGAAAGACTAGATATAGATCCATGAGACTATCACGGAAAGTTCACGAGGTTAGAATGACTCCATGGTTTTCATTCAATAGGCAATGCACTTACATCGCAAAAATTGCCACCACAACAAACATGATCAGGTTAGCAATCAAACCTGGTCGATACTCTGGAGCCTGCGAAGGAGAGTATAGTTGAGGACCAATAACCTAGGAAATCAATGGTCAGATATGGAAAAGGTAGGGCATATATATTGAGTGGTTACATTTCCGGTACACATTCCCACGAGGACAACCCCTGATGTACACTTCCTCTTAGTATCACCAGCCGTATTTTGTGCCTCCCATGTGTAAATTAGCGGCGTAATGGCAGCCATAGTGGATACCTATTTCATGGTTAAAACAATTATGCCCGGAGTCAATAAAGATAGTCACTAGTATAGGCTCACCAGGTAGTAGCCGAACAAAAGGACGCCCTTGTTGTCTCGTGGAGTGACAAGCATGATGATTGTACCAATTGCCGGAAGAATCGCGAAGAATACAATTACCAGCCCTTTTGTCTTGAAACGGGTTGCCACCCACCCGCCTCCAATGATCGCGACTATCTGGATGGCTCCGAATGGCAGATTGAACAGGATTGATTGAAAGCTGGTATAGCCAAATGATTTGACAATGAGGCTACCAAAGCTGCTAATACCGCCACTCGGGATTCTTTGATAATACTGTTAGATAAGGTATGTCATAGGGGGAATAAAAATAAACTTACGAGATGGCAATAATCAGAAAAAACCAGCTCCAAGTCTTCAGGTCGTAAAATGTTTCCCATACGTGATCCCAGCGCCATTGTCTCGACACAATTCCCATCTGATTAGCACGTAGACGTTGAACAGCAATAAACTTCTCTCGATCACTCAGGCATTTTGCCTCCATTGGAGAATCAGGCATCAATAACAAGACGAATGCGGAATATACTACTGTCAATAGACCGCAAAACATAAATATTATTTGATACGAATACAGAGTATCACTCTGTATATGGCCAAGGCCATATGTGAACAGGCTTCCAATCTGTGATAGGATGTTATTTATGGCAGAAGAAAAGCAAGTCGGGCGCAAGGCCTGTCAGGTCGACTTACGATGAATGTGAGACCATTCATACCGTTCCATAGAGCTGCACGTAGCGTTTGTTCGCTCCGCCGCCACCACATTTGTGTTACGGCGATACAAGAGGGTGCTGCATAATGATCATCAGCGTGTCTCCAAGTTAGGTAGCCGCCGTAAACCAAGGCAAAACTTGAAATTGAAGAGAGATATTAAAAACGTACCAATCATAGATTCAAAAGCCCCAAGAATAAAACGCATTGCAAGTAAGCTTTTGAACTCCGTACACGCAGCTGTTATCGTGAGAGCGCTTCCCCATAGAAAGACAGCTGTGCCAATGACCTTCCCGGTGGGTGCTTTTACGAGCAAAACCGCGGCCAAGGGCTGCATCGCAAGTTGGGCAAGGTATAGGATCGAACCCAGCCACGAATACTGCTGGCCAACAAGATGTGTGTCCTCGACTAGTCCAAATATCGATACGTAAGAGAGACACGATTTATCAAGCTGCTGAAAGAAGTAAGCGCCTAGTAATAGGGGCAAGACACGCAAGTCGATGCGTCGTAGAACCCGCTTTTCTTCTTCAAACGTGAAGTTGCGATTATCGTCGCCATTATTTACGCTGTCAAGGAAGTGAGCAACCTGTTTGCCAGCTGATGACTGAGGATTTGAAGATTCTTCAGCGACTGGCAATATGGTGTCAGGTGCCGTATTATTCGCCGTCATGGCTTTATTCATGTATCAGATGAGCTCGAAGAGAGAGTAATGCTGAGAACTGAAAGGTGAAAAATTCAAACTCGGACCAGCCCAGTGACTTAAGATAATTTTGGCTTTCTTTCACTTCTCACTTCACTCAAAAGTATAGGGCTATAGGTTCTTGAAGGATGAGGTCTGCCCCCACACTACGTGCTTTCCCCGCACCAAGACCCCCAGATTCCAAACCCAGACAATTAATTCCACCAATAAATGAAAGCCCGGATGAATGCGATAAGATCTTAAATTGTATTTCCTTCTTTAGTTTATAATATTCAGGCTGAACGAAGAAGAGTCTTGGCTGTGATAGTCCCTTACTCCTGAGCCTAACTCGTTGCCGAGGTTCTACCGGAACGGGGCATTACCTCAGGAGTTGAACAGCGCTGATACTGATATCTGGAGATATTTTCAGACCGTTATACGTGTTAACCTTGGAATATATTACAGGAAAATTCCTGGCTTCCTCAAGTAATTCTTATAGATTTTCCAGTGGCAACTCGATTATTTTGCGGGGGAGTTTAGTTGGCGCACAGAAGCTCTGCGAAGTAAGATGAGATCTTTGCAGACAGTCTGCAAGGAGATTAAATAAGCGGGAATTTGAATTCATGTTCCAAATCTATCATATATCATATCAGTGGTTTTCTCCATCCAGAACCCTCATTCAAGCATCATATGGCGTTTCTTTCCTCATTATATAAACCTCCCCAATCAAAACGGTACATCCAACCGCCATAGCGATCGCGATAATAGGAAGGTTGACGCGCGCAAACTCGATGCTACCCACACGAATGTATTTTCTTGCAAGTATATCGCGCCACAAAAGACCAGCTAGCGACGCACTGAAGGCCGTGCTGAACGCGCCATAGTTGACGCCAAGTGCCATGCTATACACCGTGGCCCAGAAGGTACGGTCACTGATAGGAACACCGCTGACATGATGAATTTCTTGCCAGGCTTGAACGACACGAGAAAGGAGAATTGTTGTACCAATATTTGTCCCGGCGAACTGGTTTTCAAAGATTCACTTGTTAGTAAATGGCTCGATAGAAGCTTCATGCCCCATTAAAGACTCACATTGCAAAGGATCGCAGACAAAAAGCCCATACCACCAACTGCGCCGACTGTTCCGGTCTTCTCAACCCAATGGTCCCATCCATACGCAAATACAGGAACCCATCCTTTGGTAACCAAAGCTTGCACAAGTACAAACATGGCCAAGGCAAACGGAACCAGTGGAAAGGGAAGGTGTGAAAGCACGACTGTGACAGTTGGAAATGTCTCTTGTAGCCAGACATAGGCAGTTTCACAGAGTGACACTAGGGTTGTTGGCTGATTCGACTCATCTTGTCCTCTACCGGCTCGCCTTTTCGGAGTCTATACCATTGGTAACATGTGACTGGGCCTTTTCTAGTTGAGTGGTGACATCCAGTTTTCCACTAGCCTTTGAGACTGAACTCGGAGACTGGACTTCAGGGAATGGGTTTTTCTCGCCTAAAATCGGTGCTGGAAGCGATGTCTCGTCGCAGTCACGCGAAGGTTTTGTGTCCATGGTAATCTTTATAGCATCGGGCTGACTGGTTATTTTCAAACTCTTCGAGAAGAAATCGGTTGTTATAGGCTGCCGTTCTTCGATGTTCTCCTGGGCGTTTTGTTCCGGGGAATTTCGGAGTGATTTCCGATGTTCACGTTCAGCTTTTACGGCCTCATGTTGTTGTCGGCCCACGGCAGCAATCCGGCGTGTCTCATGTCGATGAATCCAACCTGTCCCGAGATCCCAGCAGAGCATCACGAATGCGGCAGGTAATGTAACCCAGAAAACGGGACGGTCGTGGCCGGAATTGCTAGCGGCGTTGATAGCAAGGATGGTGATGAGGGTCGCAGCCATGATGACGGCGCCAAAAGCCGCACCTCCCTTGTCCAGGAAAGGGTTCATAATTTCTTCCAGCGAGAGAAGGGTTCCATTCTCTTCGTTTACCTCCTCCTCTTCTTCTTCAGCACCACCTCTAGCATGGGGTATATTCGGATTCACTGGGGGGTTTGCCCCTGGCTTCCTCTGGGAGCTCATGCATTTCAATCGTCACCGGAATCAAAGATTCATCGGCGAAAATGATATAAAGCAGGAATGGGAAAACCACTATAGCAGTCACCACTACCGGTACGATCATGTTCACTGTGTACACGAGGAATTTGATGTTGAAAGCGCCCGCCAGAACCAAATTTGTCGGGTTGGAGGACACCAGGATTGCGGATGCGATATTAGCGATGGCGAACTGGCTATGTATCCAAGCTCTTGGATGAACGATATTACTAGACACGCGTGTCATGTAAGCGAGGAAGGCCGTACCGGATAAAATGATGGGATCATTTCCGATAAAGCTTCCCAGCGCGAAGAAGAATGTGTAGAGGTAGAAGAAGAGTCGATGGCCCACCCCGTCACCTTTTTGGAGTACCTTGAAAGCCAAATATCGGATGAGGCCAGAAGCGTCGATCGAAATGGCGATATAAGCCAATGTGAGAAAAAATACCAAAATGTCGATTGGTGAAATTCCATCTGCGCCAACAGTCCCGTCATGAACTTCCTGTCGCCCGATAGCCAAAATTGCGAGTAGAAACAAGTCCGCTATCAACGGCGCTGTGACAAAGTTCAGAGGAAGGTTCAGCCTTACAAGCAAACTCGGCTTGCCGTTATTTTTGTGGGGGATTTCGCGACGACGTATTATTCGTAAAGCCGCTAATCCATCCAGGACTGCGTTGTGAAGCCATCGGGGGATGTAGAATGGGATATGGAAAGGAAACAGTACGACAATATCTATGGGAGTTAAAAAAAATCATGATTAGTGCCAGTCGAAGCCAATTTGCGACAGTTGCGCCAACTCACTAGTGAGAACAAAAATAATCAGAGTGATTATTGATCGCCAATCTTTGATTTGTTCGGTATCCAGATTTTCAGCCATGGCCAGATAGTTTCCCCTCACGCCCGTGGGCGGTAAATAAAACGAGAGGTTTGTCGCGTGAGGAAATCCGTTGGGAAATGAGACATGCGTGGCGGAAATGCCTGTCTATTGAGGAGCAGACGCCCCGTCAGTTTTGATCCGGTGTATGCGACAGAGCGGCATTTTTAAGAAAAACCTGGAATGTCAAGGATGGGAGAAACTCCTACGTTAGGAAATTTAAACTTCGTTTATTCCGTAGAGCGGATTCTGGATAGCGCCACACGGAGGGCTGCTCTGCTCTTAGCCGTGTCTCTTGAGGAATGAAGGGTCTAGGATTAGATTCCTCGCATGATCAAGTTGGCGGTGAGAATCTAGCAAGCAAGAAGTACTTCTCGTAGACCTGGAGGTTCTTTTAGGCTGATGATTCCTGTGTATTTATTTTCTTTTTTTCTCTTTCTTCCCTTCTAGAGCTGTGAAGGAGCTGAGCTTCTGAGTTGAGCTAGCAGCGGGTGGTGGGTTAGCAAAAAAAATCCAGTGTCTAAGCCTCAACGATTCAGCAATCAGGGAGAGCACAGATAGCACGGGTGAGTGAGAACAGTCTTGATTAGTCTAGTTTCCAGGGTCTAAGCCTCAGAGAGCAGGCATTAGACTAGTTACGTCTCGTAGTTACATGGAAGAACTGAAAGGGAAAGAAAGGCCAAGACTTTGGCTGCCCGACCCCGCGTGGATCATTCATCACACTTGAAGTTTCCGTCATCAGATCTAGAACCTCCTGAAATACCTTATTTATTCACTATGTCGACATGTCAACTTGCCGCTGCAGTGCTTGATTCAGCCCAGGTATCAGCTCCTCCTCCAGTCCTCGTAAATCACTTTTCATTTCTGTGGGATTACTGGTCACGCCAGAATACATGTAGCGAGATGCACGGTGCCCGATGGACCAACCAGTGCGCCCGCTAATTTGCCCGACTCGTATTCAGCGCCCCAGCTGCTGCGGACGCCCGGATTGCTATCACGAGGGCTCCTGCCCGGTTTGAGCGACAACACAGTGGGGCATGTTTTCCCTCGGCTGCCAATCGTCCCCGGACTGAAGCGATTGACTTGTGCAAATGAGGCTCCCGCTGACGAGAAGATATGCAGGGTGGTATGTGCTTAGTTCGCTTTTCTTGATAATCCTACACCCGGGCGGACGCGCCCTTTTCATCACGAACTTGTGGATTTCTCTCGCCCTTTGTCCATTCCGATCTTGATATCATGAACGAAGATGCCAACATGCAGCAGAAGAAGCTAGTGTCGACCAGGTCAACATATGCAACCATACTTTTATCATAAACCCAGTTGTCCAGGGTATGGAAGATTAGCAATGCCGGCCATTCCATTTCCTGCATACCTGCCGGAGAGCCAGCTCGTGCAACGCAGTACAAATATCCACAATGCCACTCATTCAGGTCTAGATGTTGTTTGCGCTTGGCCGGTCTCTGGGCAATATGGACCTGGAACCCGTGTTCTGTATGACCCTCAAGGAAACTGTACCAGCAAGATTTCGGAATCCTAACATCGGGTGCAGATACTACGTTTTGGTGGCGGCTTGTGTATTTGCTCGCAAAGCAGAATGGATTCGAAATGCGGGTCTTGCGGCTGTACTACTCTTCCCCGCTGTCGCTGCTCTCCACGGAATCGTCTTAGCGACCTTACATCGAGAAGGTGAGTTCATTCTTGCGAGAAGGGGGCTTCAGATCCTTCCCTTGATCAAGCCAGTGTCTAATGGAGATAGGGGCGGTTGATATGGATGTCTATGGAGCATTTCAGTTATGTTCAATTGGAATTTTAACCGCCCCGGCCACGGTCAAGCTCTCGAAAACATACTTCAATAACCCCGGTCGCAATATCATATTTCTCTGGACTGGGCTTATCCTCGCGGGCCTTCTTAGCTTGACGGTAGAATTCATTCGTATTGAATCTACAAGCTGTCCAATTGACGACCAAGCAACCATAGAATGGGCGGCCAAAAACCACACCTTTCCTTACAACATGTCTCCTTCCTGTGGCATGATTTGTGGAGAAGATGGACCTTTCTCCCCTTTACGACAAGGCGCGGCTGACAATATTTACGTGATACCTGTGCCTCATGCGTTAACTTTCAATACTGCTACTCTTATTTCTGCTGCTTGTTGTGTCCCTGCAATCCTATCTTTGGTGTCAACTTGGATTAAAATCCTTGAGTATAATTGGGAAACATTTTCCTCTCGTTATGTGAACTCGACCAATTCAACCGAGTCGACTGAAAAGTCCGATGAACGACCGATCAAAGGAACAAATGGAGCCACTCCAAAGCAGATGAATGGAATTGCTGCCAGAATCAGAGGCTGGCTGACGCTCATTGAGATTCCCGTCTTCGTTGCGGCGGTTCTGGCTATTTTAGTCAAGGGCGAGATGAACTTTTTCAGCGAACCAGTCAATTATCAGACTGAACCAATTACTAGCATCGGTGAGTCTTGAGGATACCCATACTGCCATCACGGCCATGCGAGCTTGAGTTTAAATTTACTAATTGATGTAACGTCTTATTATAGGTCAATGGGCCCCGATTGTTGGTACAGGACTTGCCGCAATCGGATCATTGTATGTTCTTTTTGCCGCGACTATGGACGCTGACGAGAGTGAGAATGATGATCAAGAAATTCGTTTGGATGCAGATGCCAATGCAGACGCCAGTGAGCACAACTCGAACTGTACAGAGTATACAAGCAGAGGCAATAGTCCAGAGTCATTGGACAGCATCAGTCCCCAGCGCAGCTCTCAAATGATTGATGGAAGTCCCTCTACAGAGATAGTGAGGACAAGCACGCAAGCTTCTATAAGCCCCAGACTCCCGCGCACAGCAACCAACCAAAGCGAAAGGTCTGTTCATTCGGGCGGAAGGCGGAAGGTGACTCAGTATCTTAATTTAGCAAGTATGAAACTTGCCGCCAAGGCACATGATCAATTCCAAGATTCAGGGTATCACGCCAAAGGACTTTCAAGCTTTCCGGAAGTCCCAGGCGAAATCTTTCGGAATGAAAATTTACCAGAGATTCAAAGAGCCTATTCTCCGATCCCTCGCTCCAGGGCTAGCAGCTTTATTGGGTCCGAGTCATCTCATGGAGAAGGCAGCTCACGAGTACCATTGGAAATTCCCCGACATCTTTCACTACCAGGGCCACCAACTCCGACACGCCCAATCACGAGACCCAGGCATGCTTATACGTTGCCATCAAGAGGTGGGTCATGTGCGGTTGGTGGAGGGCATCTTGGTGACACTCTTGATGAGGTTCCGTTTGCTCGAGACACGGGTATAGAAACTGCTGCAGAGACAAGTATTGCCCATGCAAGCCGACCGTCTGCGTTGGAAGTTAGTCCCACAACTCTCACACCTAACAGCCAAGAAGCGCCGAAAATTGTCGTTTCTTCCGATTAAGAAATAATTCCCGGCACCTTCGAGTAGGTGCTCGCGAGATACCGGCACTATAGAGGATCTTCCACTTAGAGAACTATTGTACATACTACTAGTAGCACATTTCGTTAATAATTATTAACTTAAGCAATGAATATCACAATAAATATGAGTTACTACTTCATGATGTCAAAATGGCATAGAATAATCAAAATTATCGATATTGATTGACAAGCTAAGAGTAGGATCGTGGTTGGTTATCAAGATATGAATAGAATATGTTGGAAAAGTCGCCGAGCTCTCAGATTTTGGCTTCATTCGGGGATTGTCTTATGTTTCCAGTAGAGCTTTCAAGCAAGGGTCTGGCTTTTCTTATCATGGCGTTCCCAAGCTGGCATCTAGCGTGGGTTTCCAGAAACACACAACACGGAGCTATCAGCTGGTAGGTTCATTTTCCAGAGAATAGGGGAATTCGACGGCGTACGGCCTTGATATTGCAATCATACCCCGATCAAGTTGCATTTCTATTGACCAAAGGCCTGACAATTGAAAACAAACACCTCGCCTTTTGTTGAACAATGCTTTAGTGACCACTTAGTTTGATCTTTCGCCTTCCCGGAGCTCCACCCCCGATGGGCGTTGGATCACTTCATTGGGCCAGAGACGCTCGTAAAGCTCTCTTCCATTGATCCATCCTTTCCAGAGTCTGTTAGAGCTATATCTATTCAGCACTCAATTCAGGTTATTCGCAAGTCGATACCCTCTCACCTCAAACTGAATACTTTTGGTGCCAGGTTGTAAGCACGAAGTAAGATGCAGGTGACCACGGCATCATAAGGCTTGCGACCCGTTTTGATGAAGTTAAATGACCCCTTTTCTCCTTTAATAACCAGTGGCTCCCCGCTGTTGCCTCGCACACCATTCAGGTAGATTCCGTGTTCGATATCCGCAAGTATCGGGGTGATGATTGCGTCGTCGTGGGATGGGCCCGTTATTTCGACGCGCGCAGCCTCGGCGATTTTGGGCACGTCTCGAATGAGCTGGGGCCAAGAAGTCTGCCATTTGGGAGCAATCAGATCCAGGATTTGGTAGTAGTGAGTGTACCTATTATCGGTCGGTGGGAAGTATTGGACTCTCTTTCTGATTCGGTGAATAGCCATACCCCATGATACTAGACTGTTTTGAGAGATGACAGTTACTCGTCCTGGGGAAGTCGATAGAATTTGCCGAGAGACAAGTAATCGATAAAGGATTCAAGTTTAAAGATTGAGATGGGAGATGGGAGATGAGTGATGAAGGAAAGAGATTCCTGTGTTGACTTAAGTTGGGTGTCCAGAGCCTTCAGTGGTTGGAAATGTAGAAGAAAGATACCTAGTAGGCTCCAGCCGGACGACCAAGCCCTCATCAAACGGGTACCTACTACACTACTTAGTACTTTAGTTGTTGTTTAGCTTGATTGTATAGTTACTGACGGGGCTTAAAAGTCTTTGTCTTTGTTTATCAAAGTGATTTAAATATTCAATTAATTCCAAGGCTGAGAACGCCGGGTGTTAACATGAAATCAGTAAACTCAGGATACCAAGTAGTACTAGTAATATTTGCAGGTGTAGGAGCCTTGGAACTTGAAGGTCAGGCATATATACGACTAGTACTAGTGTTCAATCCTTTCAAGTGTAACACTCATGCGACCGCACCAATTTGGCCAACCTTCGGTTGGAATAACAGCCTGGGAAATACCAAAAACTCCTGACTACTTGTTCAACTCAAGTAGTTCCATTGCATCTTCTTCTTTGAGCCAGGTCTCAAATGTTTGTGTTTCGATGCGGGTCTTGAGCTGAGCAGGTTCAATCACATTAGGGACTCCCGCGCAGTAGCTATACTCGCCCAAGTACGCAGCACCCATGAGAATTTCTAACGGCACCCCAGTTTTCTCGCTCATTGCTTCCATGGTCATCTGAATCAGCTTCACCTCATTGCCAAGAGTCTTAGTCCATATGGCCCCGACCTCTCCCACTGAGAGGTAATCATCATACGCGAGCAGTCTTGTGCGTGGCTCTTCATCTTCCACTAAGGCTCTCACAAATAGGCCGGTAGACCGAGGAACGTTGATGATGGGGAAGCGAGTCTCCTTGCCTGTAGGCAAAATAGACACCCAACTCTCACTTTCGGGGTCGAATTTGGGATAGAGGAACGCATTGGTGATGTAGGCTCCGATATAGACGTAGGAGGTCTTTCGGGCCAATTCCGGCTGCTGATCTTCAATATACTCGACAATTTTTGCTTTTGTCTCCCAGTGATAGGAATAAGGGTATTTCCCGTTTGATGCTTTGCTCATGGGACCCAGTGCCGAGTAGATGAATCGCTCCAGGGTTGGAATGGTTGCTGCTACTTTGGCCGCATTCTTCCCGTGCATCACTTCGATCTCGTAGGCTTCTTGGGAAGCAGTAAGCGGATATTGTCCCAAAGCAATTGCCTTGCGAAACGGAATCCAAAAGTCGGTATTCAGGAAAATAGCGTGGACGTTGTCAAACGCTCTTTGAAGAGAGGCTTCGTCTTCGAGGTCCCCTTTGACCAGTTCGGCACCTCGCTTCTCAAGGTCCATGGCCTTTTCTGAGTTTGGCTGGCGAGTTAAGCAGCGAACATGCCAGTTGGGGAGTTCCAAGAAGGTGCGAGCAACGGAAGCCCCTTGGGTGCCAGTTGCACCAACGATTGTTATTGTCTTCTTTGCGGACATGTTCGACGAGAGACTCGGATATGGTTGATAAAACTTGATAATTGAAGATGAAGTGGAAGTGACTTGGATTTCTTTTTCTTTTTTTCTTTTTCTTTTTCTTTTTCTTTTTCTTTTTCTTTTTCTTTTTCTTTTTCCTTTTCCTTTTCCTTTTCTGGCGTTAAATAAGCTCTTTTATAATGGAAGAAAGGTGTGAGGTGAGAACTCAGACAATTCTGGAAGATATAGTTCCTGCATGCTGATTGGCCGATCCGCGTAAGCCAGTCAGCCAGCGCGGGTTTCGGGGTTAAGCGTAGCCCCGGCTGAACTTGAACCCTTCCACCTTGCTCACACCATTTCCCTTCTGTGAATTGGACTTCCACAGGACGAATCGGAGTCATCGATTGCCAGTCTCTGAGGCCGAAAGAGCTGCCTGGGCACATGACATGGCCGCCTCAATCCATGAGAACACCCACAGTGCGGAGGGCTCATCGAAGTCGCCGAAGAAGCGGGTCATTACGCCTGCCCGCAAAGCACAGAACAGAGCCGCCCAGCAAGCCTATCGTACGTTACACTATGCCCATTGGAATTGATGTCTAAATACTAAAGTTTCATTTTTAAAGGGAAACGACAAAGTGAGCGCAAGGCTCAATCGATCTCGCAGCGAGGGGTTACCAAGAAATTGGCCCCCCGGCCGTCAGCAGCGTCCCAAGAGGAGAGCTCTCCTGTTTCTGAACCCGAGTCTGCAACGTTCCGGAGACCATCGCTAGAGATATCGGACCTGAGGATTTCTCAAAGGACGACTAGTATACCCCTCGCTGATCCGATGGCGAACACTCTGCGAACCACCCGGGATACTATTTGGGGGGCTGTTCTCAATAACGCCGTCTGTCTTGGATTCGATCTAACCCGACTCGCAGATTGTCGCCGACCTTACATATCCCCGTTCTTCAAATCGATTACATCACAGGATGAGCCACAGGCTGTTGTTGCGTCTACATTTGATGCCACAATACCGGTTCATCTGCAGCCGACGATGGCCCAGATCCTAGTTCCACACCACGCGAGTCTCGATCTGATACCATTGCCCCTTCTCCGCGATCGAGTGATCATGATGTCCTTTGCAATGCCGCAGATCTTTGACCTTTGGGACCTGAAGCTAGACATCTACGTACACCACGCGCTAGTTTATCGATCTGGTGGATCCCATCGTGAATACCAATCGTGGGACCAAAATAGCTGGAAAGCCACACCTTGGTTTTTGCGAAAGTGGTGTTTGGACTGGGTCAAGGAGCTGGCCGTAAGCGAAGACTCCTGAACGAGACGTCTGCTTGACTCAAGGGCACGGGCTAGATTCGGGAAAGTTTTCCCTGTTGTGTCCACAAAACGCGTTATTTTTCGACAAAAGCATGGACAGGCAGAGTTTTGCAAGGACGGCTATCTTCCCATGACATTACATGGCACTGCTATCTCACGTTTCGGAAGAGCTCCGCATCGAAATGCGGGGAAGATAGCGGATGCGAATTGCCGAGAGTTGGATATCTGTCCGGGACAGACTCCCGACTCTCTCGCCGGCTAGATGGCTTTCTTCTCTCCCCATACACCATCCGTGAAACTAATTGATAGTCTCGCATGAAAGCCAAAGTACCGCTCAGTTCAGATTTGGAATCCCGTGAAAATGGATCTGACTACTGCAGACAGGCGGAGAAGGCGTCGGCGCGTTGCAGATGTGGATCGAAAGAGGGCACCTCGAGCGTATGCAGCCAGCCATTCCATTAATGCCGGAGTGGAAACTGACGATTTAAACAGGTGTACACTGTGTAAGAGGAGAAAAAGCAAATGTATTCCAATAAGAGTTCGCCCACGGATAGATTCGCATGACAAATGCCAACGATGTTCAGTGGGAAACTTGATCTGCAAATACGAGAAGTACGACACCCAGAGCTGCCGATAGTTTCGATCTACTCACTTCCATCTTAGCGAGGAAAACCTGCCAGATACTGGACTGCGTACCGAGATTTCAAAGCAATTGCCTCCCCGAGCTCCAAATACCTCGCCAACTTTCTCGGATCGCGGAGTTGTCGAAAACGCTGAACTACCATCGCCAGCTTCTGTTCTATCGCATGGTCTATCAAAGCATGTCATTGTGGATCAATCAAAACGAGTATTATGGCCAAACATTCTATCCCGGCTTCGGGAAGCATTTTCCCTTGACCCCCAACATGCCCCGGAAGAACGGGAGATGGTTGCGATGCAAGCTGTATGTCTGTCCCACGATTCGAATAATGAGTAGTTCATATATCTAACCGCTTAAAGCGCATGATACGGCCCAAGGGACTGCATCCTTCTGAACTATCCAGATTGCACGCGGCGATCGATGCCTTTCCTCCTCGCCCAATTGCCAATTTCCTGGTTTTTATATTCATTAAGCACGCGACCGATGTTTTTTTCTACTTTGATCAAGCGCAGATGCTCTCCGACATTGATGAATTCTACACGGACTCCAGCTCATCGTTGAGGCTTGATCCAGCTTTTATCTGTCTCGCCATGGCGACATTCGCGCTTGGAAGCCAGTGGACACCCTTGGAGCGGCCTGAAGGATTCGAGTCTGGCCAACCAAAAGACGATGTAGATTTGGGACGTGAATTTTTCTTTTACGCGAAGTCCCTCGTACCTGATATTATCGAACGCTCATGCCTGAGATCCATTCAGGCCCCATTCGTCCTCGGTGTTTATCTCATGCCAGCAAGTGCAATTGGAGCATCCTATGTATTTTTAGGCCTGTCATTACGGAAGGCTTTAGCATCCGATCTGCATCTTAGTTCAGAAGATGCGTCCTTGAACGAGATAGAAAAGGAAGTGCGGTGCCGTCTCTGGTGGTCGATCTTTTCGCTCGAACGGTATGTGATTCGTAGCCCAAGACTGCCATTACTTGACCTCTTGCTTACTTTTTGAAGATGTACCACCGTGAAATTGAATCGACCTCGCTCCATTGATACCCAAATAATCACAGTGCCATATCCCTCTCAATGCATAGCCCTTGATCGAGTCCAGGAATTCGACAATCTTGATTGTCAGGTGGCATACGTTCGACTTATAAGAGTACTCGACGAGATCGCCGGTGTTGCGTATGTTATCCCCCCATCTTAGAAGAGTGGCGGTGCTGACAAGACAAAGAGGTGGATTGCCCGAAACACCAGGCCTATCGCAGTCAAAATGGGAGGATGATCTAAAGTTATGGAAGCAATCTCTTCCCCAGATTTAAAACTCGATCGAATGGGCCCAAGCGATTTGAAATACCGAGCCGTATCTCACCTTTATCTGAATTACTACTATGCATTGATTACCATGGGCAAGGTTGCACTGGTAACAGTCGCCAGGACTAAGCTAAGACGAGCTGACTGCGAGATGCCAGACGTGAGTGACCATGTCAAGGAACTGGCAATTTGCTGCTCAAAAGCCGCAATCAAGACGCTTCAGCTATTTGAGAGCTTGAATCGGAGTCGGAAGATTACAAGATTTTCATTTACCGATTTTCAAGGATGCAGCATCGCAACCATAGTCACTTTGGTGTCCGGGATCATAGAGCGAGATTCATCGTACGATATTCGAGTCAATTTTGGCTTGGATTGCCTGCGGAAAATGGCCACAGGAAATATGACTGCAAAATTGGGGGTCAGGTTTGTGGAAGCAGTTCAATCTATCACAAATGAAGCAGCGAGAAAGCGGCAACTTGAGGCTCCTCTATCCCAGGATACTTCGAATTCGATTCATTCTAGGTATTATCAGTGGATAGAATGGCTCACAGAGCAAGAGGACTCCCAAAGGCGGCCCGACTGCATGGTCCGTCCACACGAAGAATCCCCTTTAACCAGGGAGAATGCGGACCAGAACTCGGATCCATGGTTGGCAACACAATCCACGTTCAGAGATACATCTACTTGGAAAATACTGGTTGAACAAAACACGCCAGAGACATCATCAGTTCCTCGGAACTCTTTGACCGAATCGCCTGGGTCTTTGGAGCCGTTGGGATATGATTTTCTTTCTTCGCTACACAGCGATGAGCATTCATTCTTGATGGGATTGACGGGGCTGGATGCTTTAGATTTTTCTGGCCTGACCGTTCAACTAGAGGGATACTAGATAAAAGAAAACTCCTAATTATTGAATGGTGTCACTCAGAATGGGAAGAAATAGTAACTTCATTCATCTAAAATTCTCAACCTTTATTCTGGCCGGGGCTCTCGTCGCTCTCAAAACATAACAGCTCAACTCCTACCACTTCCGTTTGTTATTAGTTAATTATACTTGACGCGAACAGGAATTTCAGAGTCTTCTTTCAGTGTGGTCCAGCGACTCTTGCATACGCGGCCATCTTTCATAACACCAAGAACATGCTCCTCGGGTCGATCAAATACAGTCACATCGTCGAGAGGATTCTTGTTTAAAAAAACGACATCCGCTTGGAATCCATCCTTGATTTGACCAATGGATTCTTCCCAGCCCATCATCTTGGCCGGATTTATCGTTGCACTACGAAGAATCTCCAGTGCCGAGAGAACCTGTGAGCGCAGAGCGAATTCCTGTGTCTGTGCAGATCCCAATGGACCAAGTAAATCAGAGCCATAGCACATCTTGACGCCCGCTTCAGATGCAATTTTCAATGCATGAAGGCCTGACTGAAGAACTTGGGAGTTCTTTTCCTGCGACTCTGGTGGCAAGTAGCCCTTCCATTGATCTGATGCCATCTGAGCATACGCGATCAGCGTGGGAGTGAGATATACACCCTTTTCCGCCATCAAATTTGCAGTCGCGGGATCAACGAAGTTTCCATGCTCAATTCCTTTAACGCCATTGTCGATGCAGTGTCTAATTGCCTTCACGGTGTAGGCGTGCGCGGTAACAAAGGTTCCGGCATTATCGGCACATTCCACCATCGCCCGCAACTCGGCATCTGTGAATTGCAAATGCTCCAGCTTGTCCGTGGGTGATGCGACTCCGCCTGACCCCATGATCTTGATGAAGTCAGCACCACATCTGATTTCTTCTCGGACGGCTGCCATGCATTCAGGTACGCCGTTACAGAGCCGGCCCAGGTGATTATTGCTGTGAAGGCCGCCGCAGCATTCAGCTTGGTCATGCGGTCCTCGAAGATCTCCATGGCCTCCAAACTGCGACAAAGCATGTCCGGAGATGAACAAACGAGGGCCTGGGAATACATCATCGATTGCCTCTTTCAGAGGAAGTTGTGCGCCACCGCAATCGCGAACACTGGTGAAACCTCGATGAAGCATTTGGGCGGCCACAAATGGCTGCCTCAATAGTGATGAATGGTCTGAGTTTCCAAAAGCTTTCGAGAGATCTTTATAGCCAGGCACTGCACACAGGTGAACGTGTGCATCAAAGAGACCCGGGCATAAATAGCGACCTTCACAGTCGATCACGGTCAAATCGGGAGGCAAGGGTGACTCTGGTGAGGAAGATGAGACAGATTCAATTTTGCCATGGCGAGTGATGAGGCTAGCATTTTCCAGGATATTGCCTTCTTGTACGTCCACGATATTGGCATTCAGAAAGAGATATCCCCGCACTGCCGGTCGGGCCCAAGGTCTGATGTCAGAGCCTGGAACGGGTGGGTGATCAGGCATAGTGGGGAAGAACAGAATACTTGTAAACAAGGTGAAGTTGTCAACAATTCCGGCCACTTAGATGATTCCTCTGCGGGATAATCTGTTCAAATAAGAAAGGGGAAGTGACAATGATGACTGAAAAATGGTCGTGCTGCAGATCGACAACGTCGGGAAGCTGACCGTACAGATTACCGACGTGGCATCGGACCGACGACCTTCCCCGCTCGCATCACCCGCCCTGTTTATCAAAAGCGCCAGTTGATCACTTCTGGATTCGTCAAAGATAGGAGTCCTCAGCATGTCGGTAAATCTGGGGTCTGCAGCTAGCCATATATCACTCCAGGTTGATCCTCCCATGGATTCCGAGTCCTTCGGCAAACCACATGCAGAACGGGATTTCCATCTCCAATCAAACATATCTCTACTCCTTTTGCTTATTTATTCTGGACAGCTCAAGTTGCGTTCCCGGATCTCTTTGTGATGGATGACCCCGAGAAAAAAGACGATGCTCTCCGCAGGGATAGCGATATTGTCGCAGTCTCCGATGGCTATACCGTTGAAGAGGAAAAGGCAGTGTTGCGCAAAATCGATATGGTGATCCTACCTTTCGTGAGTTTTTATCTACCATCCCGCACATTTTGGGTAGCTACTCACTACCAACATTTCAGATGTGCTTCGTATTCTTCCTACAATATCTTGACAAGCAGAGCCTGAGCTATGCGGCGGTTTTTGGCCTTATTGATGATCTGAATTTAACCAATTCACAATATTCATGGTCTAGTTCAATCTTCTATGTGGGCCAGCTTGTCTCCGAATACCCCTTCATATATCTAATGAGCCGACTCCCACTTACCAAATTTGTTGGCGCAACCGTGTATGCTGTCTTTCCTGGGAAACTCGAAAGGACTTGACTAACAAACTTGTCTCGAAGCATTATATGGGGGGTCATCTGCATGTGCCTGGCTGCACCGAACAATTTCGCCGGTTTTGCCACAGTTCGTTTTCTTCTCGGATTCAGTGAGGGTGCCGTGTCCCCAGCTTTCGTTACGATCACCGGTATCTGGTACCGAAAGAAGGAGCACACAGTTCGAACTGCTCTTTGGATCACCATGAATGGACTGGCACAGGTCATCGGCTGCCTGCTTATGTACGGTATCGGAAAGAACAAGTCCTTGGCAATCGCACCTTGGCGAGTGCTCTTCCTCATTTGCGGCGCTCTTACAGTCGTCGCTGGTATCGGCTTTTTCTTGCTGATGCCGAGTGGGCCCAAGGATGCCTGGTTCCTCAATGCACGTGAAAAGAAAGTCCTGTCTCTCCGTATGGCTGAAGATCGCGAGGGTGGAGACAAAACCTCATTCTCGATCCCCCAGCTCAAAGAGGCGATACTGGACCCCAAGGCTTGGGTAGTCTTCTGGTTTGGCGTCCTGGTAACTATGCAATCACCTGTCTTGACATTTGCATCCCTCGTCATCCAATCTATTGGCTATACCCAGCTGGAAACTATGCTATACACTGCTCCTTCAGGGGCAGTACAAGTGTGCTTGCTTTGGATTGGAACTGCTTTAGTTTACTGGTTCCCACTCCAGCGAAACTTGATAGTTCTTCTTTTGATCATTCCACCGTTCATCGGAACAATATTTTTGATGAAACTTGAAGTGGCAGCTGGGTGGGGTCTCATCGTGGCTGCTTGGATGGTGAGTCTACTTGACATGAATATTTCTGCTTTCTAAAACTGACACCAATCATCCAGTCATCTTGTATAACTGCTTCCATGTCCATACTTCTATCTTTATCGGCCTCGAATGTCAAGGGGAATACAAAACGTGCAATCGTCAATACGATGTTCTTCATCGGATATTGTGCAGGCTGCATCGGTTCACCACAGTTATGGACTCAAAAGCCACGCTACACCGAGGGCGTTATCACTTCCATTGTGACATGGTGCCTTCTCTTCATGGCAGTCATTCTATATCGCTTCCTATGTGCATCCGATAATACAAAACGTGACTCGGACATGAGCTCGAATGCTGCTGCAGCTGGGCTTGAATTCCAACTCGATGGGAACGGGCTACCAAAGGATGATTTTACTGATAAGGAGGACAGGAATTTTCGTTATGCATTGTAGATTTGTTGCTACGTTTAGACGAGTTGCATTGTTATCTACGTTCCTCTTGGCAATCTGGCCCAGGGTGGTTTATCATCTTCCCATGTTAATTTGAAACCTCGCACGATGTTAAATTTACTCTTCTATCTGAAGTCTGTATACTTCGTGTATATGAGACTCAACTCATATATCTCAGGCTACACTCAGAGGGGAAATTCATAGATGGCATGTTTTTCCCTGTTTAGGTTTGAGCCATCCGCCATCAGGTTTGCCATCAACTACGACTTCGGATGCCCAGGTGCTGTCACTGCGGAGCTCTGATATTCGGCCCCCACGAAAATTTTACATATGGAACATCCGGTTTCTAGGGGTTTTTTGTAATCTAAGGCAAACTTCCAAGGACCTATAAATCATCCTGCTTTATGGCCCTGCTCTCGGAGGTGCATTTCATGGACGTAAATATGAGGCTCAAATAGTCTTCTTCAACTTCAGCAACTGCCGAGAACCGGGTCAGATTGGTATGAAGCACTCGGATAGGCTAATCCAATTTGGTCTAGCTCCTTCTATTCTCAGCAGGGGCTGTGCCCCTGCTTATCCTAAAGACAGAATCCTGCGGGAAAAACAACATTCACTTTCTGTCCTTGTGGAAACTCCGAGGGCGGGCAAGAGCACAGGTCAAAGATTCCACTTTTCAAAATGACCTCGACTAATCGCCGAGTTTCCAAGGGCAGGTCCCGCAATGGATGTGCAACTTGCAAGTGAGTACCCGCCAAAACTTGCCTGTCTGCCTAACGAAAGAGGACGAGTTTCCACCATTAACAAATACCGAAAACAGAATTCGCCGCGTAAAGTGTGATGAACAAAAGCCCGCTTGTTACAAATGTGTCTCTACTGGAAGGACATGCAGTGGTTATGTAGACCCCGGGGAGCATACCACTCAAGCCGCTGTTGATGCCCAAAATCGGTTCCGCATCGTGCAGTATATGCCCGAGATTTCACAACCAACTCGCATGTGGCAGGTTCCACAATCTACAGGTTTACTCTTGGAGTCTGAATATCGGTCTCTTGAGTTTTTCCAAATCAATACTACGCTCTGCTTTGGCTCTGGTATTGGCACATTTCTTCTCCAGGCCGTCCACCATGAACAGATCCTCAAATCGATTGCGATCGCACTCGGATCTTTACATCGGTCCTTCACTCATAAACAAAGTCTCACATCTGACAATCGTGAAGAAACTCGATTTACTCTCCTGCACTACAATAAAGCCATTCGAGACTTGGTTGCCATCAACCCGAAAGCCAGCTATAGAGGGAACGACACGTTTCTTATCGCATGCATACTCTTTTACTGCTTCGACTGTCTCCAGGGAAACTTCAAGTCTGCTTTCCAACATGCCATATCTGGACTCAAGATCATCAAGCATGAACAGCTAATAGCGAACGTCTCCGGAGTTGGAACGTACATGCCTGTTGAAAAAATTACCCTTCTTTTCTCAATATTGGAAAATCAAGTCTTAGAAATTGAGAATGAAGGAATTCTTACATCCGAGTTGCGACCAACAGCTTCTTCATTTTTGCATCCCGCCAAAAGTCCATCCACCTCGAACGATATTGAAACCTTGTTCATTTCCTTCCAATTTTTATATAATCGTTTCACGCGCTTTTTGGCCATCTGTGACTCGCTAGGGGAGTCACTAGGTGAAAAATCGCCCGAGTTCCTCGAAAGTATTCAGTCCATCACTGCTGAATATGCTCAGGTCCGGACGAATATAGAAACGTGGATATTTACCTTCGAAAATTGGCTTGAACAGCCTTCATCGCGCAGGAACGATAGTGATTCAGTTCAGATTCTCAAAGTCTGGAGATTGATAATTGGAATTTTTCTTCAACTACCCCTCCCGCCCTCGGAGCTTGATTGGGATCACTTTACCGATGACTTTTCTGCAGTCAATCGTCTCGTTGCAAATTTCCTTGACGCCCCTTCGAAAAGTACCTTGTCGCGTCATTCTTCACCAAATACCCCTACACCAACTACACCCCAGGTGGGTAGTATTCCAAGAGTAGCCTCGCTTCCTACTCTGCTTCCAAAACCCTCAAAATCAGAGACTTGCATGTTTTCATTGTCTCTTGGAGTTGTCACTCCTCTCTATCTCTGCGCCACACGCTGCCGAGAGTCCTCTGTTCGTCATCATTCTATTGGATTGATGTCATACTGTCAGCGTCGAGAAGGACTCTGGGATTCCGATTTAGCAGCACGTATTGCGAAGCGGATTGTGACAATTGAAGAGGAAGCAGCTCAAATTCTACCGGGGTCCGACTACACACCTGCTAATATTGGGCCATCCTGTCGAGTTGTATCCTTGTCTCCCGCCTTTGAACACTCAGGCCAGGTTAAGATAAGGTATAATAGAGAAGGACATCTCCCTGTTATGACAGAAGAGATATTCACATGGTAATCTGACTTGGTTTTTTTCTTTTTTTCAAAAAAAAAAGAAATATGATATTATTTTAAGATTTTATCAGTCAATCTCAAGAAGGTATCTCATCTTCGATTGTTCCTCGCATGTACTAAGATGCCGCGTAATTCAATTCTCAGCCTTGATAATATCCGCTGCACGCTCCGCAACAGCATAAATGGTACTCTGTAAGTGCCCGCAGACCTGGAAAGGCATAACGGACGCATCTACCACGCGAACGTTGGATACGCCGTATACTTTCAGGGATGTGTCAACGACTCCACCAACTTCCTTCGGCATCATGGCAGCAGTACTAATGGGGTGGAAGTTGGATCGATCTACTGATTATCAGTACGATGATCTCTCTTGCATCGATTCTCGTGAACAAAGGCTTACAGTTATTCTTAATGAACGAAGACCAGCCTTCGTCATCTGCGTCGGCGGCGACAGAAGACAGACCGGGGCTAGTCTCCGAGCCGGCCATGCTGGCAAATGGCTCGGTCTGGAATAATTCGCGAATAAAACGCGCGGCTTGGGTTTGAGCTTGAAGATCAAAATCCAGCATGAAATACTTGGGGTCGATAGACGCAGCGGCGGTCGGATCAGCGGACGAGATGTGCACGTTACCCCGTGCGAAAGGAACAGTCGCCCAGTACTCAGTGTCATAGGTGTATCCGGATGGCTCTAGCAGAATCTCTGCAACGGGAATGTGTGCTTTGAAGATGAGGTCCCATTGGATCTTGAAGAAGCGCTCAATATCCTTTGACTTGGTTACATTACCATTGGCAGAGGCAACTTGCGCAGCATATTTGGGGAGATTGGCGAGAAGCTGTTTACCGACAGCTGTGGCGTTGGAAAACACCTGACCAACAGATGGATAGGCGACATAGTCCGGCGCCTTGGTATATTTGGTCTTTGAATCGAACGCGAGTCCATTGTTCATCTGATCCTGAAGGTTCTCGCCAACGGTCGGCAGGTTGACTTTCGTTTCAATACCATACTTGGAAAGAACACTATTTATCTTAGTTCTGAAATTTGATCCTGGGTGAAGCAACTTACTCTGGGTTTCCAACACCAGACAGCTCAAGCAGGAGCGGTGACTTCAAAGATCCGGCTGCAAGAATAACCTCGCGAGAGGCTTTCACAGTAGAAGTGGTTCCATTTGCCAAAGTGACCTCCACGCCATCAGCAGTGACATCATCGCCACTCTTCCATGTGAGCTTGTTGACATTGGCGTTGAGCCAGACGTGAAGATTGTTTCGTGACTTGTAAGGGTAATAGTAGGCACGAGCCGCATCTTCCCGGATGTTCAATTTGGAATCGACCGTCTTGGGGTAAAGAGTATATCCAACCATCTGACCACCGTTGGCATCCTTGTTATAGGGAATGGGTGCATCCATGTTTTGATATGTCGTGTTCAACTTTTGGGCCAGCCCATCATTCAATTGATCCGAAGACCAGCCCACCTTGAGAGGTCCTTTGTAGCCATGATCGGCAGGCTCGTAGGCAACGCCAGAGCCTTCCAACCAGGAGTAATTACTAGGGACCTGGAAACCCTCTCCTTTCTTGTAGTAAGGGAAAAGAGTTTCCCAGTTCCAACCTTTGTTTCCAACGGTCTCCCAGGCATCTATCTGAGATTTCTGAGCGCGGGTATAAACCATGCCGTTAATGACGGATGTTCCTCCCAGCGCCTTGCCTGCTCGGAGTGTCTGAGGGGCTCCACCACCATATTCCTGGTCTTCCGTCTTGTATGCCCAATCGATGTCCGTGTCGAACGCATTTCCGTAGCCTCCGGTATTGGTCACGTTTACGTTGTCGTATACCGAGCCTCCTGCTTCGATGACGAGGACATTGATATTTTCGAGCTCAGAAAGGCGATTTGCGACAACCAGCCCACTGGTACCACCTCCGACTACGATGTAGTCATAGGTAGAGGCCGATGTACGAGGAGACTTCGGAATGGCAAGTGCCAAAAGGAGCAGCGCAAAGCCTGCAAGGCTGCGCATAATGAAAATGAAGTGATAAAATTGAAAAAGAAAATTGCGATGTCGTTCAAGAGTCATTCAGAGTCGGGCGCCACATATTTATATCTATCTCTTCCCGAAGTCTCAACCTTGGAGATTTTTGTTACAGAGGGAGGTATTGTGGAGAGCCTTGTACCGCAATTTACTCACAACTTGAATACATAGAACAACGTTTCATAGAATCTCACAAATCATTATCAATCAAGGCTCAGCATGAAAGCACTCATTTTAGAGGCTCGAGTTCAATTTCGGATCCACTTTCCAAAATCCACATCTTACATGACGGGATCGACAGGGACAATCTTCAAAGACGCTTGGATTCTGACAGACACGGTCGAGGTCGATAAAGCATCAGGCCAAACAACATACTCGTAGCATTTATTGGTAATGCGCTTTGGTCGTCTGGAATTTAAAATTCTACAACACACAACATCACAGAAGAGCAGCAAGCCACCAAGTAGACAGTCACTCGGAATTTGATGATTTTCCTAATGACTTCCAGACATGGTGACGTATAATTAAAGGGACCAACATTGGGGTACATTCAAACATAGAACTACAACTCCGAATTCTGCACGCAGATCTTGCAAAGCATTTGTCGGGTGACACGGCTATTTCGACAAACACGGCACAGGAATCTGGGCCGAGAAAAAGATCGGCACGGAGCACGGAGAATGGTCGGCGTGCGTTGGATTTGTCCGGTCGGCGTATCTACAGATGTGGAGAAACCGCTCAGTGCCATTCACCGATTTCTGGAAAGGGGACGATACCCTTGAAACATGGCATTTGTCAACTACTTACTCAACCTGAGACACCTGACATAAGTATCAGGTAATCAAGCAAGCGCGGTGTACGATGGAAAATCAATGGTTGGTAACAAATTGGGCATCAGTAATGAATCGAGCTAGACGTGGAAATAATGGGATACGATTGAGAATCTGATAAGATAATTTCCGCGGGACGCCTCGAAAAGGGCGGCAAATTAAGCTTTGGCCCAAGTCTTTTCCGAGTGGTCTTATGTGTTGGTGGAGAGGAAATAAATGTCCGTATTCCCTTCGCGGCTTGAGAGTGGGGACTAGCCTGATCATGACCTGGACTTACATCACAAAACTTGCCTCATAGAGAATCTGGTCTCTCCAAAGAGAGGTCGAGACGATGATCCCGGGGCTTTTGATGTTGATCATGCCACGAAAATGGTGGGCTCGGGATAAAACTTTCTAAGAACGTACGTCTTAGACCAAAATAATTATGCCGATTTAACGTAATAGCTGCTACTTTAATCAGGCCGGTGAAAGCTTGGCTGTTATTTAGATCCAAGAGGCTTCAAATTGAAGCCTAGAAGTCATGGATCTATTTCCATGGGTTTCGAATCTTATATCTGCGTATATGCTCATAAATCGTGATTTCCATATTTAAATCTCCAGATAACATTCTTAAACAATTGAAAAGGCGGCTTTCAACTTGATTGTTTTCTTCTAGTACTGTTGCGGATCCTATGTAAAGATAATATTAACCGGTATAATCCAGACCTGTTTGTTGAAGCGCACTCACTTTCATGTACTGGGCCTCCCAAATAGTTTATCGATACCCTGGTTATGCGAACGATGGGGCTGCACACTTCCCATTAAAGAGAGCTCAGGGATCTTGATCTGTGTATCTTTCAAATAATGAAATAGATCGGCGTTGAAGTAAGGGAGAGACATCATTTGAGAAGTTCGCGGAGGTGCGTTTGGGGATGAAGGCTAAATCCTATCAGCGATAAACTCATTGTTTAGTATCTAGACAGGCATTCAGCATACCGTTGACTCAGAAACAACTTCGGGGACTGGTCTACGGGCAATCAGAAACCCAATTTTCGTGTCAAACATTCTGTAGTGTATACTGGCGATAGGAATATGCTCTATGCAGCCCTCGGCGTGAATGCCACCTCGATGGTAGAATCGGGTTCCTTTATAGCTTCTTGTCGATCGTAGAACGTACGCTTTCGTGTACCCTCTCCTTTTTCACAATAATGAGAACGAGATAATTGCCCACCAACTTCTTTCACAGGCAATTTCTCGGCCATCAACTACATCATCGCGGAGACGCTACTGCACAAAACACGGGCTAACAGCTAAGCATTTCATGTAGATCTCGCGGGGATCATCGAAGAACTGCCGACCGTGGATATCGGATATTTTTCCAAAAAATTTGCCGATTGCTCTCCCGTCTTTACCCATACCATCTGATAAGATGGGCGATCAACACTCTGCCGCCGAAGAAACCCTGGTCGAGCATGTTCGACGATCCATACCTATTCGAGTATAATTGTACTATTCGTCGATTAAATCTTGATCGGTTTAGGCTTGTGTTTCAAAAATTGTCAGGGGTATGACAGGTTTCAAACCAAGCACTTTTTGTTTTGACTATAAAGGTAGTTCATTTAAACAATATTCATTGATTTGCGTGAGAATTATAAGTTTAAAAGCATTGCCACTTCGTACCAGCCAAGTTGATTCCCGCCTGCCTCCTATTGCCGTACTTTGTTTCACTTTCTGGCTCTCCCTTAACCTAAAGAAATTCGAAAAAAAGCACTTTGTTTGGAACTATGACCATCGTCAACTTAAGCAATGGCGATGGCAGCCAGAAGCCGCCGTCCGTCACAACTACAGATGTCCTCATTATCGGGACCGGGCCAGCCGGTGCTTCCTTAGCATGCTTTCTAGCATCATACGGTGAGTTTTATATTCTACGACCTAATGAAAAGTCCGAAATCAATTCCTTATCATTTTTTTTTAGGAATCCGAGGCATTATGGTGAGCTCTTGCCCAACGAACGCGGATACTCCGAGGGCACACATCACCAACATGGCTGCCATGGGTAAGCAGGCACCTCTCACTGGAAGGCCCACGAGCTAAAACTTCACTTTAGAGTGTCTTCGCGATATCGGCCTTGACGTTGAGTGCAACCGTCTTGCAACCAGTGGGAAGAATATGATGCACACACGGTGGGCGTACAGTATGGCAGGCGAGGAATTCGCACGCATTCACGCTTGGGGCCACGACCCGAAGCGCAAGGTACTACCAAATGAATCAGCCTAGAAAGACATTTGAAATACTGATACAAATCTATCGCAGGGCGACTACGAGACTGCTAGTCCTTGCGATCCCGTCGATCTCCCCCAAACACTCCTAGAGCCGATCCTCGTTCGATACGCCACTCTCAACGGCTTTAACTGCCGCTTTGACACCACCTTCGTCGATTTCACGCAAGATCAAGACGGCACGACATCAACACTACAGGACAATATTACCGGGGTGAAATACAAAATTCGGTCGAAGTATTTATTTGGCGCAGATGGGGCTAGGAGTGAAGTGTTTCGGCAGGCCGAGCTTCCTCTAGACGTCCGACCTGACCAGGGACTCGCTTTTAATGTTCATCTGAAGGCAGATCTCTCGAGTTATATGCAGTACCGCACTGGATGTCTGCACTGGCTTCTCCAGCCGGATAGAGAGCATCCGCTTTTTGGGTGGGCATGTATCGCGAGAATGGTCAAGCCATGGGATGAATGGTTGTTCATTGTTCTTCCAGAACGAGGAAAGGAGCTAGAGTGCAATCCTACTAATGAAGAGTGGCTCACTCGAATGAAAGAGTTCATCGGCGATGATTCGATTCATACGGAGATTCTCGGTGTCTCTAAATGGCGCATCAACGATGTTGTGGCTGAAAAATTCTCCAATGGCAGAGTGTATGTTTCATTCATTTCATTGCTCTGTCGGTCGCTAATATCTCTGCAGCTTTTGCCTCGGTGACGCGGTGCACAGACACCCACCTTCCAACGGGCTGGGCTCGAATACTTGCATTCAGGATGCATACAATCTTGCCTGGAAAGTCGCTTATGTTCTGAAAGGTTGGTTCACTCCTAATCCACTACTCTTCAAATAAAAAGATAATAAATTAACTCACGTGTTGCAGGCCAAGCATCTCCTTCCATTCTTGAAACTTACACCACAGAGCGCCAGCCTGTCGGTCGTGGAGTTGTCACCCGTGCGAACCAATCCTTCCGCCATCACGGCCCAGTGTGGGACGCACTTGGGGTCTCATTGCCTAACACCGACGACCGTAAACGCGCGCTCGATGAATTGACGCACGCAACACCTAATGGCCGCTCCCGTAGAGCTGCTCTACAATCTGCCATTGAGGAAACCGAGCACGAGTACCACGCGCTTGGAACGGAAATGGGACAGTTCTATAAAAGCTCCGCGGTGTATTCAGCAGACGAACAGACTTCTTTCTTTACCCCTGAAGTGGTCGCTCAGGATCCAGATCTTGTTTTGACTCGGAGCACCTATCCTGGATGCCGTGTGCCCCATGTCTGGCTCAACAATGCTACCCCAGTTCAGCGCATTTCCAGTATTGACCTGGCTGGTGGCGGTGCTTATACAATCTACACCGGAATCGGAGGTGAAGCTTGGAAATACGCGGCAACTCAAGTTGGTTCTGAACTGGGCATCAAAATCAACTGTTATTCAATTGGATTCCGCCAGGACTACGAAGACGTCTACTTTGATTGGGCTCGTGTGCGTGGTGTTGATGAAACCGGATGTGTCCTTGTTCGTCCGGATCGTTTTGTTTCCTGGCGGTGCAATGAAGTACTTGTCGATAAGGCCCAGTGTGTAGCACAGTTGCAGGAGGTCATGCTGAGCATTCTCGGCTACCAAGTTGAGACTCGATAGCCTTGGTCTCAATGCTCGGTGGAAAGTCGATAACCCTTGGAAGACATCTAGATAATTTCTGTCAAATTCCCGGCGTGTTACAATAATGAAATAAATTGAGATTTTAGCTACACTACATTGTCGTAGATTTTCTCTCAAGCTCTTGCCTGGACTAGAGGATCCCGGCTCCGAGCCGAGCCGAGTAACTGTCACCGAGCCCTTAAGTGGATCGGTTTCTTCAGTCAGACCCACATCTCTCTAAAAAGCCCTTCGAGACCAAGGTTTGGAACGGATAAATTTTTTTGACTAATGATTGATAATGGTTCCTGAGCCACACCATGTGGCAATTTTCAAATAACGGCTTCTATCTTCGGACCAATCTGCCGGGTTTGCTGGGGGTTACCCATGATGTAAATCTTTCGTAGACTTGAACCATCACTTGTTATCACCATTCTAAGGGAAAGAACGCCCAATCTCAGCCATGAGGGTCGAGGATCATGGTCTGAAGCCGGTGCAATCCACACGGTCGATCGCGGAGACATTTTCACCTCTCCGCGAGACACTGTTCGTCACGCTGGTGTGCATGGCACAGTTCATGACACAGACTAATGTCGGCGTTTGTCTTCCAAGTCTCGATATTCTGGGAGAAAGCTTCGGGATCAATGATCCTGGTATTTTAAGTTGGATCTTAGCAGGTTACTCGTTGACCGTCGGTACCTTCATCATCATTTTCGGACGATGTGGTGATCTCTTCGGATATCGCCGAATGTTCCTCATTGGATTCATTTGGCTAGCAGTCTGGTCGCTAGTCGCTGGAGTCAGTGTTTATTCAAATTATATCCTTTTCATCATCGCGCGTGTGCTGCAGGGTATCGGCAGTGCGATGCTATTGCCCAACGGCCTGGCTATTTTGGGGGCGACTTATCCACCCGGGAAGAAAAAGGCCATGATATTCGCCCTATTTGGCGCTGTTGCTCCTAACAGCGCTCTCCTTGGGGCCATTTTTGGAGCTATCTTCTCGCAGCTTGCCTGGTGGCCGTGGACATTCTGGACTCAGGCCATCGTGTCAATCGTTTGCGCTATTTTGGGATTTATTGTTGTGCCCTCAATTCATCACAATGATCAAGAGAAAATCAACTCTTTTGCTCATCTCCTCAAGGCACTTGACGCGACCGGGGCAGCTTGTGGAATCGGTGGCTTAGTTCTGGTAAATATTGCCTGGAATCAAGCACCCGTCGCCGGTTGGAGCACACCATACGTCTATGTGCTTTTAATCCTCGGAATCCTGTTACTTGTCGCATTTTTGTTATCGAATTCCGGTTTGCGGAGCACCCTCTTATTCCATTTCAGGCATTCAGCCGCGACGTTTCATTCGTTTTGGGCTGCGTCGCATGTGGCTGGGGCGCCTTCGGCACATGGATTTGGTATTTCTGGCGTTTCGAAATGGAGTTTCGAAAAACAAGCCCACTTCTAGCGTCTGCTCAGTTTATCCCAGTCTCTCCAATGGGCATCGCTGCTTGTTTCGTTACGGGTTTCTTAATAGCCCGATTGCGCCCAGGGTGGATTATGATCATGTCGATGACCGCATTCACGCTGGGAAATATCCTCACTGCAATCGCCCCTGTGAACCAGACTTACTGGGCTTTGACTTTTGTCTGCCTGCTAGTTATTCCCTGGGGCATGGATATGTCTTTCCCTGCGGCGACATTAATGCTGTCCAACTCTGTGGAAAGGAAACACCAGGGAATCGCTGCATCATTAGTAACAACCGTCGTCAACTACAGTATTTCATTGAGCCTTGGCTTTGCAGGCACTGTGGAAACACACGTCAACAATGGGGGGAAAGACACCTGAAGATGTCTTGAAGGGTTACCGTGGAGCACTGTACTTTTCAACCGGGCTCGGGGGGTTAGGCATTTTCCTCAGCGTGATCTTCACGATGAAGTGTTATTGGGAGGAGAGTCGGTCAAAGCAAGGCGGGAAGGCGGAGGATTCGGAAGGATCGCTCTCGTCTGGGCCGTAATCGGGGCTTCCAAGGGTCACGGTGGACTGCTCCAAGGCATCATCATCTTATGCATATGTATTATCAAAGTAGCTTCTTAGCCTATTATCCTGTCGGTTAGCGCACAGATCAAATGCAAATACCTACTAGAAAGGGAAATATGTCAAGTGCCATCAAACTGAGGGAAATTTCCTTCTAATCTGGTCGGATAAAACGGCCATGGGAAAATTGACAATGCGCCCACCTTCCACAAGCCACCAAGCCGTCTTTCATGTTTAGACTTTTACCAGGTATCCTTAGGTTCATTCGGCCACGGACTCGGGCCTCCTCAACCTTGGGAACCTCGCTCTTATCGATCAGATAATCAAACGAGGCCACTTTAATCTCGTTAAAACTTACCAGCTGCGACATTTCCCGACTCGGAATCCCCAAGTGCAGGGAGAAACCCGCGGATGGGACAAAAAAAGGCGCAGTATCGGAGGCATCTAGCCCAGCGCCATTCTCCACATCCTACCACAATCCACAGTGTGATTCAGAAGTACGGACTACATTTGACATCCTGAACGCACGTGCATATTGTGAGATTGGGCATTGGTGATATCCCATGGGACCGTCAACCGCGGCAGTTGCGGGGACTGCGAGAAACGAGAAATAAAAGATTTTCACTGGTCCCAGTCAGCATCCAATCCCTGCCTGCCGTCCCTATCTATTTGGTGCAGGGTATTTCGTAGCTCGTGATTTAAGAGAAGATCTTCTAACCCGTCACTCTTTACTTTTTTTCTTTTTTTCCCGTCCCATTCTCGCTGCCCTTCCCAGCAAAATGGGCGGTTCAAGTGGGATACTAAAGATAAATCAGCAGGGGCCAGCCTGTGGGTGGAAGATTAAGTTTTTTCTAGAGAAAAAAACACGAAGCGAGCAACTGCGATCGTCGGACTTTGATCAGATACCGGGTGGGCGGGGCCGCGCTAGTATTTTTCAGTTTGGGCAACCGCGGGAACTTTGGGAGCACGGGCCTTATCAATCAGTTACTTCTCTCTCGTATCTTCAACTACTTTTTTTTCTTCCACGTCTTCCTCGTTGTTTCAGTCAATATTCTTGAGAGGACAGCGGTACCCTAGCACCCAAAATGGCGGGTAACAATCCAGTCTTTGCTGTCACCGGTGAGTTCTATTCCAATGCTCTCCTAGACAGCATTTTGCGATCAAGGGATAATGTCTAACTTCAAGCGACCGCGCAGTCTTCTTCATTTGCTTCCGAGAATGTCTAGAGACAACCGTCGTTGTCTCGGTTTTACTCGCCTTTTTGAAGCAGACACTGGGAGGCGATGAGGATAAAACCACCTACAAAAGGCTTGTCAAACAAGTCTGGCTAGGATGCGGTATTGGTCTATTTATCTGTCTCGCTGTGGGCTGCGGTATGATTGGTGCCTTCTATGGCCTTGGAACCGATAGCTTTTCGCAGACGGAAGATATTTGGGAGGGTGTGCTCGGAATTCTTGCCTCCCTAATTATCACCATCATGGGCGCGGCGCTACTACGTGTTTCGAAGCTGCAAGACAAATGGCGCGTCAAGCTTGCGAAAGCCCTTGCACCTCAGAGCGAGGACCCCGATTTAACGCGCAAGGGCCGTTTTAAGCGCTGGTTAGAGAGGTATGCCATGTTCACGCTTCCTTTTATCACCGTCCTGCGCGAAGGTTTGGAAGCCGTTGTCTATGTTGGTGGTGTTGGCCTTGCGCTTCCAGCATCTTCTTTCCCACTGGCCGTGTTCTGTGGTCTGGCAGCCGGTATTTTTGTCGGTTATCTGATCTATAGGTAAGTCAAGAAGAAGCTCAAGTAACCCATTGGCAACACAAAACAAGTGCTAATCCTGTGTCAAGGGGTGGACGAGAGACATCCATGCAGATCTTCCTCATCATCTCAACCTGTTTCCTCTACCTCGTCGCCGGTGGTCTATTCTCACGCGGAATTTGGTACTTCCAAAATAATACATGGAACAAGCTGGTTGGCGGTGATACCTCCGAGACCGGTTCCGGCGCGGGATCCTACGACATCCGACAGAGTGTCTGGCATGTCAACTGCTGCAATCCCGAAATCGGCGGTGGTGGCGGATGGGGTATCTTCAATGCCCTGCTGGGGTGGACCAACTCAGCTACCCTTGGCTCGGTGATCGGATACAATCTATACTGGATTTGCGTGATGGTTGCCTACGCCTGCATGATGTATCGCGAGCGTCGGGGTCATCTGCCATACATTGACCCTGCCATGCAAAAGGTCTCAGTCGTCAAGGCTCGAGGCAGAGCATTCGTCCTCCGACGACCTTACGAGCCTTACGAGGCAGATGCTGGACCTGCCGTGGCCAGTGGAGCTGGTTCGAACAACGTGTTGAGTCAAGAGAAAAATGCTGGTGCAGAGGTTTCTACCACTGCAAAACAATCCGAGGCTTAAAAAGTCGCGAGATTCGATGTACATATTTGCATCTAGTGTAGTTATTATTGAGAGTGAAGATCAGATTTTACTAGTACATAATGCGCAATGATGTTGTGAAACAAAGCTATGTCCCAGCAGAGATTTTCCAGCACTAAAACTTCAAGACATGCTAGTACAAGCTTAAACGAAATGCAAAAACGAGTACTCGTAATTTATGCCCAGCACCGAACAGGCAGGTGGCTAGCGTGGGGAGGCTTAGCAATGCTTAGCGGGGGTTGGCCCCGTAGCGAAAGGCTTGAAATTTGAACCCTTCATTGGATCGCCCATCCACTTCCACTTCCACTTTCTCGTCCCGTGTTCTGTTGATCTCCATCATTGTGGCCTTGTACTCCGTACAGATACTAGGAAGGGAAATATGGCAAAACAAATTCCCTACCCGTCCACCGTCCACCTCGCCCTGCTCGGCATTTGTGGAATGTATGCTTATGCCTATTCCCGCTCCAGGGCAGCCCACACGGATCTGCGTCTCTCCGGGCCAACATGTATGAGTTATCCCGCGACAGCAGCAGAGGACCCACCTCGCAGCTTGGATCGGGTGGTCTGATTCCTTGGTTCCGCGTTTGTCCCTTGTAATTTGCAGTTTACACTGTATGCGTACCCCATCCCCTCAAAGGGTTAACCTCCACCTCCGTACCATACGACGCAGGGAAACGGTAAGATCGATAATCTTATCGCACGACCTTTCCAGTCAGATGGGAATGCTAGATCTTTTCTTTTTTTTGGGCGCGGCAGATTTGACTTGATTTGATCTTTTTTTTACCCCCAGTTCCTTGCGTGGTCCTGCCGGCTCTTCTTCTCTTACCTTTCCCCCCCCCTTCCCTCTTCCCATCTGCCAAACTAAGAGCCCTCTTTGGCAATGGCGTCTTCGGTGGTAGGCGCGCTTCTCCGCGTTGCGACGCTACTATGTCTGTTCCAGTGCATCCAGGCAAAAACAGTCACCTATGATTGGAATGTCACCTGGGTAACCGCCAACCCGGACGGTATGACGGATCGCAAAGTCATCGGCATCAACGGTCAATGGCCCTTGCCCGTGGTCGAGGTAGACAAGGGCGACCGCCTCGTGGTCAACATGTACAATGGCCTCGGCAACAAGGATACCTCAATTCATTGGCACGGCATGTTCCAAAATGGTACTAATGGGATGGATGGTGCGTCCATGGTGACTCAGTGTCCAGTCCCACCAGGCCAGTCCTTCACATACAACTTTACCATCAACCAAAATGGAACATACTGGTACCACTGCCATACCAACAACTGCTACCCTGATGGCTATCGGCAAGCCTTGATTGTGCATGACAAGGATGCATACTTCAACGATATGTACGACAAGGAGTACACCCTGACGATGAGTGACTGGTACCATGAACTCATTGAGGATATCAAATGGATCACTCTTACCAACCCTACTGGCGCAGAGCCTGTTCCCCAAGCGTTTCTCATAAACGATACAACATCTACGAGCCTACCAGTGAAACCGGGGGAGTCGTACCTCCTACGGTTAATCAACGTCGGTGCCTTTGTCGCTCAGTATTTCTACATTGAGGATCACACCTTTAAGATTGTCGAAATCGACGGTGTTTATACCGAACCTACTGAGGCCAGCACTCTGTATATTGCTGTTGCGCAGCGATACACCATTCTGGTAGAAGCCAAGAATTCCACAGAGAAAAACTATCCTATCGTCATGGTCGCCGACTCGCAGCTTCTCGATACAATCCCATCTGATCTTCAGCTCAACGTCACCAGTTGGCTGGAGTATAACAAGACTGCCGACCACCCTCAGGCAGTCATGAAAGTAGATCAGTCCTCTTCGCTAGTTCCTGTCGACGATATGAGCCTTGTGCCCTACGACCGCATGGAGCTGCTGCCTGAGCCCGACCTTACTATCGATGTGACAGTGATCATGCAAAACCTTGCCGACGGTGCTGGCTACGCGTTTTTGAATAACATCTCCTACACCAAGCCCAAAGTCCCGACACTTTATTCGGTGCTCTCGTCAGGAAACTACTCTGACAACGACGAAATATACGGTGAATTCACCCATCCAACTATCCTCGAAAAGAACCAAGTGGTCGAGATCATTCTCAACAACGGCGATACTGGCTCCCATCCGTTCCACTTGCATGGACATAACGTCCAGCTCATTGATCGTGCCCCTGCATATGGCGCACACTTTTATGACTATCTCAATGGAGACCCCGTGCCATACGACCCATCCACCAACGACTCCTTCCCTCAGTACCCTCCGCGTCGTGATACATTCATCCTTCCGCCCCAGGGCTATCTCGTACTCCGATTTGTGGCGGATAATCCCGGTATCTGGCTTTTCCATTGCCACATCGATTGGCACTTGTCCCAGGGTCTGGCCATGGTCCTTGTCGAGGCACCAGAACAACTCCAAGAACAAGAAAAAGTATCTTCGCAGGCTTATGATAATTGCCGAGTCGCTGGTGTACCCTATGAGGGTAATGCGGCCGCTAACACAGAAGATTGGCTGGATCTGTCTGGCCAGAATAGACAGGTGGACTGGCTCCCCGCCGGATTCACCACCAAGGGTATCGTGGCAATGGTCTTTTCATGCGTGTCTGCGTTCCTTGGTATGGCGTTTATCTCCTTCTATGGTGCCAGTGGTATTGAGGCCAAGAAGAAAGAGACTGCGATTGTTAATGAAGGATCTGCTTCTGCTTCAAGTTGATTGGCCCCCTTTCCTAGTCTAGTTTTTATGTACACATTTTGCCAATGTCAGGACATTGATGCATATTAATCCTATGTTTGATACCGCGGTGTCCATTTTGTCCATGATTCAACTCCACTCATTATATACTCCAGGCCCCTAATGTATTTGATCATCTCTGGTCGGAGGGGCGGGCTAGTCTGGCGTATTTCCTCCTCGGACCGTTTGAAGGCTAGCTCCAGCTCCCGGCAGTAAACAAGCATCATTCTCTTGCAAGCTGAGTATGATAAACCCGTCTCTTTTGCCAGTATGAAGATCGCAGAGAATGGATGTGCTCCGTCAGTCTTGTTCTCTTCGTAGGTCTTCCATTCTTTCTCCCAACTATAGATATCATTGAAAGCACCCATGAACCTAAAAGTGCAGCTTTCAAGAGCAGAAGCCTGTTTAATCTCGGCTGAGGTTAGATGTAAATTTGCACTGAATCTAATGAGAGTCGGATAAAAGCTTCATGTAGTCAGCACTTGCCTCTCTTGGGTATTCCACGTTTGAATTGACTTACGGTCTTCCAACGTCGACCTCTCTATATTCAAGATAGGGACCCAGATGCCTCACTGTCAGGCGATTCTCGGTTGTTTGGCCTTGTAGAAGGGTGCAAAACCCCTCAGTAACGTCGTTCGCCAGCACCTCATCAATGCTTCGCATAGAAGTTAGTGTATCATGTAGCATCCATTCCAGGCATGAATTTCTATTAGGAGATAATTCGCCGCGTGCTATTGCCATTACTCGCTCTCGGTACTGCAGCAGGCTTGACATCTCCATCTTATCAAGTTGGTCTGATCTACTGTTAGTAAGTCTCAAGCAATAGCAGACTTGGAGTACTCACCATCAACCAGTAGGGCCAGGTAATGCATTTTCCCCGTCAATTCAGCGCGATCATCTAGCATGAGCGGGAACATTTCATTGAGAGCACGAGAGAATCCCAAGGCAAGGAATCCTTTCTTCTCTCTTTCGCTTGCAAATTTCCAGTTCTGCGCAAAATATGGTTCGACTCTTTGCTGAAGGACCTCCCATCCAAGTGGATGCGATTTCAATTCCAGGCGGGTTGGAACGAAATCAACGGGCCATTGTTGTGAGCCATCTGGCACTGTCGAATACCGTCGGGGCAATATGGTGAACCTGCTGGTAATAATATTCGTTTTCGGGCCATAGAGATATTTTCGAGAGGCAGATGCAGGGGTCCCCCTGCTCAGAATGCCCTTAGCATATACCCTTTGGAGTTGCCACATGGCATTGGGGTTTCGGATATTCTCTGAGCTCAATACTCGCTTCCAGAAGAGGTCTCCTGGATGGAACTGTTCAATTAAGAGCAGTCCGGAGCTCATGTCAAGCGGGCGTTGTAGTTAAATCCCGTTCTGAACTGACAAGAGTTTCCACTGCGAGAAGGACGAGCACGGACCACCCGTCGGGTTGATGTCACCTCCAACACTTTCTTGCTTTGAACAACACCACCACCTCCTCCCGATCACCACCACGATATTCCTTTCTGGTGGGTGCCGGATTGAATTTTGTTATAGAGCGCCTGAAACCCGTTCGACTTCCTGCATCAAGAACGCATCATCGCCTGTCAGCGCATACGCCAAGATTAAATCTGTTGACTCATTTGAATGCCACCGAAACCTGCCTTTCCCAAGTCCTTGAACAGACTACACATTATCTCCGGGCAGCTCAGAACAACCAATCCATATTTATCACTTGGATCCCATACACAAGTCAGGTCGACACAACATATGTCGACTTCATTAACAATGGCCACAGCCGATAACGCGCCAGCTCCTTGGCGCGATCTGCTCAAGTCCCATATGGACCAAACCCCAGGCTACGAATTCACAATTGCCACTGTGGGATTTGACGAGAATCAGAGACCAATTCCCCGTGTCCGTACTTGTGGCTGTCGCGGCTTTTTTCCGGAAGTAAAGCTTCACCCGAAATCAAAAGAAGATATGGAGCAGCAGGTCAAAGATGGCGGTAACCCGGATACATATGAGAGTGACATGCTATGCTTTACTACTGATATTCGGATGGAGAAGCTAGACCAACTCGAAACTTCCGGCCATGCGGTTGAAGCTGTTTTCTGGTTGAAAGATGTGATGACCCAATGGCGGGTGAAGGGGAAGGCATTTGCGATTGGCGATCCGAGAGGAGAAGATTTGGAACGGGAAAAGGACGCCCGCAAGGAGCTCCACACTTTCTTGAGGGTCAAGAAGAACTGTGATGGTTCTATCAGTGATTGGACTTGGGATAGAGCGACTACGAAGTACTTTGCGAACCACTCGCCACTCGCAAGAGGTATGTCACTCTCGTTGCCCCTCTTTCCGCTTGAATTTCTCAATCGGTATGCCTTTAAGATCTCAAACTAACCTCTGTCAAAGGCTCATTTAAATTTCCATCTCCCGGGCTACCTCGATCCCAGGATCCTAAGGATCCAGCTTTGCAGATGGGACAGAGAGTGACAGATTTACACGACCCCGTGGCTCGGGGGAACTTTAGGGTCGTGGTTATTCAACCAGAGGAGGTCGAGCGACTGGATCTTTCAAACCAGGAAGACATGCGGAGATGGAAATGGACTCGAAGTAGCAGTAATGCCGAAAAAGGTCAGTCCGGTTGGATTGAGACAGAAGTATGGCCATGAAATCAAGTGGCTCCAAAAATATTGATTATGAACCTGAGTGAATTGTCAATAACATTAAGTCCCGAAATGTGACAAAGATTACTAGAAGAGATGTCAAGGTTAGATAATCGTGGTTCTTAGTAAACAGCACCAGTGAAATAAACTGAGGGTGTTCCTTTGAAGAGTGCACCCGTCGCCCCCCAAATCTGTAATCTCCATTTATTTTGTTCCCTCAGCACCCCAGCCCATCACCCATCTTCAACAATCTAATTCATCTTTGTGTGTCTATTTCCCATAATGGGCAACAAAACCAGAACTCAACCCGAACAAATCGGTCAAGAACCTTGCCAATCTCCCCAACGTGACGCTCAAGTGACCCTAACCCGATTTCCAAGCAGACAAAGCCCCCATCTCTAGCACATCCTACACCAAACACCGCAAAGTTCGTCGGAAGGGGGCAGCGTGTTCCTCCTGTCGCCATAGCAAGAAGAAATGCACGCATGTGATAGCCAATTCTATGCTTAGCAAAAGCGCAGAACAAGCCATGCCATCTCGAAAGCCTACCCCCAGAAAGACTCATTCTGAAATCAATGTGGAGGGTTCCAGCGGCATGAAGGTAAGTCAACCTACATCTCCAAAATCACACAATCAGCCTTATAACTCAGAGAAGTCGAGTGAGCAGTCGATCTGGGCTAACATTACCCTCCTCCTCCTGAAGAAGGACAAGCCTCTCGGTTCCACATCTGACACTATGCCTGTCGATACCAGTGCCAGCGACAACGACAGCGACAAAATCCATCTAGATCAATCCCGGGACGATGCTGATCAGGCTGTCGCTAGGGTTCAGGATATTTTGAGAACTCTCAGTACCTCTCATTCAACTCCCCTTCGGTCCTCTGCTCGCACCGCTGCTCGTCAACGTGATGTGTCTACGTCTACAGAGGATCCAACCAGCTCCAACACTCTCTCAGCCAACCTATTTCACCTAGGGGTTGAACCTGATTTATTCAAAAAGCCTATGAATCTGATCGAGGAGGGAATAGAGTTATTCAGGCGTCTTGACGACTCCTTCAGAAAGCTTGGCAAAAAGTGTCAGCAGTGGAAAGCAACCATGAAGCTTCGCGAGGAGAAAGAGAGAAAAGAAGTAGAAAAAAATTAAGCGGTATTAGTATTCTGTGAGCAGTGCGGAATGGAGAAAGATCTGTATCTTTCACTGCTTTGGGCTTCTGCATTTCTCTCTCACGCGGGAAATCCTTCTGCTTGATCCCAGATTTACGATCTTGGTCTGCAGCCAATGGATGCTCAGGGCATGCCTCGGCCCACAATAATGAATAGCTATTTTGATTCAATACATCCATTATGAGGATCATCATCAGGTTTCTTCTTAATATATATACGTCGTGAGATCACGATCGCATCGGGCCCTGCAATTATTTGTCAGTCTTGGTATTTTAACTCGGACTGGCCCAGCATGCTTTTCGCAATCATTCAAGGCTGGCTCGACCTCTTAAAAGAGGGGGCTCAAGCCATCGTATTCCAAGGTTTCTTCACAGGTAGTACATACACACGTGCTAGTTTTAAAAGGGGTTCATCGATTTAAAAATCCGCAGTGGCGTGCTTCATGTCCGAATCAAAGCTCGGGAATGTTCGATTCAGTCACGACTATCGACAGCCATCGAGTGGTTGCTGACGAAGCAGAAAAGTGGCTTGGCCTTGAATGGTTCGGCCAACCATGAATCATGTTTCCATCGATGTCTCTCAGGATAATAGTCGGTGGTGCTTTCCAGTTATAAATAAAGGCTCCTTTCCATGTATCTTTTACTTCTAAAGAGCTAAAAATACACAAAAATATTCAATGTATCTCAGATAAAGAAGAAACATACTCAAAAGATACACGGCAAGAGAACCTTCATTTAAAAGTGGAAAGCGGTACCGAATATTCCCCTGAAAGACATCAACGGAGACATAATACATGGTTGGGCGAACCATCCAACGCCAACTCATCTGCCAGGTGGGAAGTGAAATATTTTATTCCAGATTTTAAATAGACGCATAACAAGAGAAAATACCTTGTCCAGTAATGGGGGAAAAAAGGACATTCAGCTTATTTATATCCTAGTAGCAGTAGGCAATCATGTGACTCCTCCTCTGGTAGTAGCAAACACAACTTGAACTTGAAGTTTTACATATTCCAGGCTTGTTTTAGACAAACTGTAGCTTGATTTTTTCTCAACTACCAGTGATTAGGACAGTAGGTTAGTATCAGGTTGACTTTATTTTTCCGACATGTCAATATTAGCTTGTATATACTCTTTGTCAATTCGGCGGACAGCGAGATACCAGGAAGCTTGCAATCAATAATTTACCCCGGGTTGTGGACTATTAAACAAACTTGAACGCCTTATAATGCTATAAAGTCAATGAATATCCGTCTCATTGACTGAACTGGATAGGCTGGCATGCTTGTTCAACGCTTGCTGTTTAACAACTCCAAGGGAAAAGACTAAATTCTCGACAAAAACTAACAGTAATAAATGACACATGAGTTCAAGTTACAAATAGTAAATCAGTGTCAGTTTATCTCACGGGACATCAATCGAGAGTTCGCAGTTTTCAGCTGCCCCCTTTTCTGCGCATATTTGATTTGTCTGATACTCCGTACTAACAATGATGTCCTTGGGGAAGTGGCTTTGGAATGTAGGACAACGCCTTGACCGTACAGAATACGAGACGGGGGCGGTACGCACTTCCCGCAGAACGACGGGCACCGATGGCTAGCGATGGACCAATGAGGAGCGGCCATCGTAACGGCGGGGCCACCCGTCCAGCTCTCCACGGGCAGTCCCGGCCTTCCGCGCTCAACCTGACAGTGAGTATCAGTCACGGAGCAGTGTATCTAACTAGCATACTAGAGCATGACACAGTACAGAGTATGGAGTACTCGGTAACTCCATTCTTCTGTAATCAACACCCTTAGCCCCCAAATGAAAATCCAGAGCGACCGTTACGTGTCATGTCCCTCTTGGGAAAGGCGCCCGCCCCCTGCTCGTCTCGTCCCATCCTTGTCTCCGACGTGCATCCAATTCCGAGGCTCGGCTGCATATGGTCGACCTCGCTACGGCGTAGGATTGCCCACATTGCACACTGCCGAGCCTGTTCAAGCGAGGGCGAGGAATAGATGGGCTCGAGGGTAACCATATAGCATGGTTGAATATGTACGGAGGAGTACTCCGTACTACGTCAGGCGGTCCTCTCTCGCCCTCTTTTATTCTCCATGTTTAGAGAGAGACCACCCCGTCTCAAAAGCCTGAAAAGATGAGCGTCATACATTTCTCCTCCTTCAGAGTACGGAGTAGGAAGAGGGGGGGGCATGCATGACCCTCTTCACCGCTCCTTGTGGAGTCGATGGAGATGCACCCGTTGACCGTTGACAGTTGACAGCAACAGTGACAGTTTGCCCAAATCCAATCAGTCTGCTACAGTGGGACAAGTCGTACAATGCAGTTGGCCTCAATATTAAATTTACATTACTCCGTACTCCATACACTATCTTATTTTAATCACGACTGCCTTCTCCCGTCGACAGGGGATATGTATGTACTCGTAACCCGTTTCAGTATAAATACCCGTACCAATACCAGTATCGGGCAATATTACCATACATACACATACACATACACATACGCAGGGGTCGGGGTACACACTGTACTGGCTGGTGACTGTCGAGATGTACCTCTGATACTCTGATACTCTAATACCCTTCATGCGCTTGCGCTGCACTGCTTTGCTCTGTTCTGCGTTGCGCTCTTTTCTCCATCCTTCCCCGTCTTCCTTTTCGCAACCCCTCAACCCGATCTACAATCTACACCGTCTATTGCGCATCCGACTACCCATCCGTCGCCTTCGGTTACCATTAATATCCCTGCTGTCGCCGCAGGATCCCTTCCCACTCTCCCGAATTCCCCGTGTTTCTTCGACTCCGCCTTCGCCCTCCTAACGACGCAACGACGCCACGTAAAAAAAATATAAACCAACTTCTCGACAAACAGAAAGGACCATCCCCCCTAGACAATCACCCAGGGGATTATTCCGCCACTCCTTTTCCACCCTGAGAAGCCCATCGGATAATTCTTTGCGATCCGTTGGGCCTCTGTCGAACCTCCTGAACTGAGAGGAGTTTCCCCGTCCCGACATGTCCATGGCATCATCGATGGATGCGCTGGGTGCCTTCACCCACCTCGAAACAAATCTCCCAACTTGGATCACTCGGGTCTCACAGCTAGCCGACCACGCCGCTGCCAGACACGCAGAATACTCCGAGGCCTATCGCCGCCACGCATCCTACAAGTCGAAACCTCGCCGCCGAAAGAATAGCTCCGTTGTCTCCATCCACGCCGACGACTTCGTCCCGCTCGCCCAAAGAGATGACCCCAAAGTCGAGGAAGCTGTGGAGGAGACAGAGACGGCTGTAGAGACAAGTACAGAAACAGAAACAGGAACAGAGAAAAGACCTCAGACTCGAGACACACCCACCCGAACCAACAGGCCGGTCGCAAACGTGGCACCGACGAAGCCCCCTCCATCGACTCCGGAGACCGACACACCTTCGTCAGCACCCGCCATAACGTGATCATCGAATACGACGGCCACACCCAAAAAGCACTCGACGAGATCGTCAAGGACATCGGTATTGCTAGGAACAACATCCGACGCGGGAAGATGGGAACAATGTCGCGAGGGGGGCCTACGCGCGGGCCTCCTTAACCGCTCCGCAGCGCTCACGGGCAGTGCGGCCGGAGGTGAGCCATCGGCGCTGGCCTCGCTAGCCTGTGTCCGCAGCACCCGCACCGGCGCCGGCCTGGTCGGCGTGACTGGATCGACATCTGGAATCCGCAAAGAATCGCCATTCGACTATACCGACAAGCAACTGGAGGTAGCTCACGGACTCTGCGAAACAGCCGCGTACCAGGTCCTGCGATCAGGTGATTGCGGAACCGAACTCGACGGCGTCGAGGAGAAATTCAAAATGCTTTTGGAAATGGTTGCGAAAGAAGTTGAGCGGCTCAAGGAAGAGAAACAGAAACAGGAGGAAGAACAGGCCAAATCGCCACCTGTTGAATCAACTGAGGAAACCGACTCCAAACCACCCCCCAACCCGGCCGCCGCTCGTCTCGCTAGAATCGCTGCTATCACAGCCTCCGCGAAGAAGCCCACCTCAGAATCCCCCCGGTATGATCGAAGTCGACGATACGTCTTCCATATCGGCCGAGTCCATTGACCTGTCTGCATTCCGATCCTCGCGTATTCGAGTGTAGAAGGTGGATGGATGGGTCTGGAACGATGCCGCGGGGATTTCCATTTTCTGAGGCCGCTCTCGGTCACCTCTTAGCGATTTAGCGTGTGTGAAGCCATTTCCTGCAAAAAAAAAATGCATTACCGCAGGTTGATACCATGGTACTTTTCGACTTTTGATTTTCAACTTCTCTCAAGGACACGTCTTCTTCTTATCTTGGTCTTTTGCACTTTGATTTCAGACTTTACTTACGGCACTTGGGTGAATGCGCCCTATACTATACCAATCCGTCTCTCTTTGATTCTTGTTTCACTCCGACATTCACTTTTTTTATCTTGTTATGCTTTGGTCTTTTTACTCTTGTTCTTTTGGGAGGTATTTTCTTTACTTGATACCGGGCTTGATTTCTTTCCATCTCCTGTCTATCATTCTGCATTGGTTCATGAGTACCTCGTTTTGCCCGGACAAGCATGGCGTTGGCAACGGCAATGGCGTTTCAATCTTTAATTACGTTTATTTCAATGTCTTTATCTGGATATGCTCTTGTCGTATCTTGCACCTTGGACATTTCTCGACACGGGTCTGTTCACTAGTGCAACCCTGTCCAGTATCTATTCTGTCTGTCTTGGGGAAAATCGAGTTCTGTTCCAAAAGATTTCACTCTTTGGACTACGTCGAGTCCGTCTCTGTAGAGGCTCATGCGAGCCCCGCACACGAACAACGCAGACAGATAGTGCGACATCATTTCTGACAAGCGAGATCAAACCAGACTCGCCTCTTTTCTCTCGTCTTGTATGTACAATATACCATAGTTTACTTTTTTAACCACCATCATGGAAATGGAAGATGGAAGATTTTTTTTTTTTTTCATTGGCGCCTTTGACCCAGAGCTGCGGTACCAAGTTGGACTTGATTAATTCTCGCCTTCCCTGCGGACCGGGCCTGCGCTGCCTGCACAACCGTTGTCACTGTCTCCGTCTCAGTTTCCAGTACTAGTATGTCATGATTTGCCCGCTGGGCACGTAGTTGGAGAAACATGCAGTTCGCGAGTGGATTCAGTGTCCACGGTCAATGCAACGAGCGGACTGCGGGGGTAGCAAAGTGGTTGGGACCAGCTAACTAACGATCTACTAATCCAAGTATGCGCGCAGACAGCCCGAAGGACCAGGATCAGGATCGCTGTAAAGAGAATTCGAAGGGTAGCACTGCGTACTCCATACATACGTACTCACCCCATGTACGGAGTAGTAGTACGAAGTACGTACATACTACTCCGTACATAAAAGCTAACCTTGCAAATTCTTTCCAAACCCGGGCAATGGTACACCCTACCTAGGTAAGCCCCTCCCTCCCTCAATCGTATGAAATATCCTCAGGCTCTCAACATCATTGAAGATCTGAGCTTTGTTCCCTAAGTATCTGTCTTTACATGCATACTAGTATTCGTACCCTGAATAAACTCCGCTCCGCCGTTTGAGAGTTCTCGCCCAGGGGCTTGCTGTTACATCCGTTCTGCTCAACTACGACCCCCTACCGAAAGTGAAACTGTCCGGTCAATAACTAGATGAGGCCCTTGTACATGCGGCGTTCGCGTAGATAGACCTGTAACGCTTCCAAGACTGGAGCAGAAGCAAACATACCTAGAAAATGGTAGCGCGAAGCATGTATGAGTATGTACGTGTCTCTGCGCCCGCTGTGCATCGCGCGGGAGGGAGGTGGAGTCAAATGGGTCTCCGTATACTATGTAATGCTCCGTAGGTAGCGAGCGGGTCCAACGAGGCAAAGAAGAAAGAAGAAAGCAAGAAGGAAGCCCTGAAGGAAGAAATTCTAGTTGGGCTGCTGTGCCCGTACGGAGTACGGTGTGCCCAGGGGTCCGTTCAGTTTAGTTCAGTCCACTTTTGCTTGCACTTGTCAAATTTTCCCTGCAAGAAACGGTATATGGGGGCCTAGATTAGTGGGTACGGAGTACTAGTAAATATAGTGAAGTGGTTATAGTATACATACTTGATCAACCGGAGAGGTATTACTCTGTTCTAACACTTCGGACTCCGTATACTCCGTACTTGGCTCGCGGTTATGTATACATAGGGTTAGGGAGAAAGAAATTGATATGTTCCAGATTGTCCGTGCAAACCATAGTGTGGCGACTCCCACGAGGCAGCCAGCCTCAATAGGGCGTGGCGGATCTATGTATGTAGACACGGCTCGCATAACTGTCGATCTTATCAGAATGGCATAGGAAGACGTAGGTGCAGAAGCAGAAGCAGAAGCAGAGACAATGGCAAAGGCAAATGCAGGAGGCAGCTGATTTCTTGAATTGATTTCCGACTTGGCCTGTCAGGTTGGAGGGACAGGGTTATTGCTTGACGATTACCTGCATCAAACAGTTCCGGGGTCGAGTATCATACTGCATGGAGGAAGAAAGCGCGAAGGTCCTTGTTTCGAGTTTCTAGTAGCCGAGTCTACGAGTATGAATCGAGTGGATATGGATCCGCGGGCAACGGGTTCTCCTGTGGGTAAGAAGGTAGGTCTATCCTATCTTTGAATACTTCAGCACTTTTTCTCCACTAGTTAATATAACCGTTTCCAGGGTCGAGTTCTGCTTAACGAACGGAATTAGTAGGTACTTGGGTGACCAGCTCGGTCTGTGTACAGTAGTGTATGTATGTACGGTATGTATGTCAGTATCCAACATCCGTATATTAATACGTTCAATACTGTTATACTCCGTGCCCCACGGTCCAGCCAATCGCATTCACAGCACGTCCCCCATCCTGCCCCGCGCGCCACACCCCTGGGACCTTCTTCTCTACTATCACTCGTCGGTGATGGTGGAGTCGCCATATCCTTCCAATTTAGGCAGTCCTGGAAACTGATTCCAACCGCGTTGAACGAAGGGACAGAAGTACGATGCAGCAGGGAGAGAGGGGTTGTGGTGGGTGGGCTAAGGCAGTGGCATACACTAACTGCGGGATTCACATTGTGCGGGCTTGGGGGCTGGCAGCGGAAATTTAAGATCACTCCTTTCGCCCTTTTTTTTGAGAATGCCAGTGGTTGAAGGGGAGAGAGGTCATGGGATGAGTCGAGCTTTGTGTACGGAGGAAGTGGGACAAGGATACACACAGCTACAGTAGACTCGGGGGTACTAGTAGTAATTTCTCTATGTATGTACTTCTGGGCGGTATGTTCCAGGGAGAACCAGTGTAAGTTATAACTTTAGCAGTTGGATAGTCCATACATACACGCTGTATTGTCTGTACTCGTATCACCGCGCTCTGTTCATCACTGGTGTCAAGGGCAACCAAATCAGCCCGGTCAACTGGTTGACTTGACCAGTGCGCCGCAACAGGGGGAGCTCTCGGCGGATGATGGCAGTGGCTTCGGGCTCTCAAATAGCGCCGTCGTCCCATACTTGAGTCACGGGCAAGGCACCAACCTCCCCAAGGCTAGAGCGGGCTTTTTTCGATAACATCTTGGCTAGTGTTTGTTTGCCACTCACGGGATTCCGTGCAGGATTCGGGGGAAGGAGGGGCAAGGCGAGGGGAGAGGGAAATGGATCGCCATTTCCACTCTAAATAGCCTTGGAAATGGATGATGTGGATGGGGTTGATGGTTGTTGACGTGGCAGGAATTGGCGCCTCTGGTAACACTTGCATTCGGCACGGGATGCAGGTCAGTGCAGAATTACTAGTACCCGTACCTCATTGACGAGGTGAGGGTCCTGGCAAGTATTCATTGTTATGTATGCTGCGTATATACTTACACTTACAATACATGGATCGAAAAGGGGACCGATCAGTGACCTTTGAACGATCGGGGAGCAGAACCAAGTCGCGGCTGGCATCGAACGCGATCGCGCTGAGAGTTTCACAACAAAGGTACCACCGAGTAGCTCCGGGAGATCAGGCGATCAGAAGGTTTAAACGTGCCGAACAGACTTCCATCAGTCATCATCTGTGTTGTCTTGTAAATCGTCGGCTTTGATTGCTTGCTCGATACTTTTTGATGCTGGCTCTCGTTGCCTTCTACTTGAAGGTTCACCTGCTACCAACACACTGCAGGTTATCTTCAAAGCCAAGTCTGTTTCAGATGGAACCGCTACGATTACGACGAAGAATATGATAGGAAATATAGTACATTCAATGCCATAATAAACTCATCTTCATAAATTTACCTAGGGTAGATATCAATCGCAGTCTCATGGAGACCGTCTCAAACATTAAGTGACATGACGCGTATACATCAGCCGCAATTACGAATATGAAATAAGATGAATATAGGAAACAAGAGTCGACCCAAGTCCTCCCACCTGAAGAATAGTATACACCAGGCGGAGAAATTGGGGACTGGAAAAAAAACAATAACAAAGTCCCAATCGGGAGCCAACCAAGATCATCTCATCCATCAACCTACCAGATGTCCCAAAATTCAAGGGCCAAATTGGTGAATAGATCAGATCTGGTCGACCGGGTATCAAAGTAGGACCAAAAGTCAAGACCTAGACAGTAACTGCAATTTTACATAGAGATTATCCAGTAACAATAAATCGCGCGCGGCAAGACCGCGACACAATTAAATTGTTTACCAGGAAATCTTCTCCTCGTAGACGGGGGGCTGGCCCTTGTCCATGTCCCAAGTGATCTTGGCATTCTCGTCCACAAACGCATCCTCGTCCGTGATGGGGATGACGCGGGAAGAGTGAGCAACCTCCTGGCGACTGATGCCGAGAGGGTCACGGGGAATCCAGAGAAGAGGAGCCTGAGAGTTGATGGCAGGGTTGAAGTAGGCGTTGCGCTCGGCTTCCTCGGGGTAAGGAGCGACATCGAGCGGGCTGGGAACCAGACGGCGCAATGTGACGTAGTCAGCGTGGATATCCGGGCGCAGGAACTTGGTAAAGAAGTTCGCCTTCGGCTTCGCGTCCGAGACCTCGGTGTGGCCAAGACCCTTCTCCGCCTCGGCGGAGTCGACAGCCGCAACGCCGCTATCAACGTTGCTGACACCATTGTCTGTGACTGTGACACCGTTGTTCACACCGTTGGAGTGCGATTCGGTGCTGAGCTTGGTGCGCTCCTCGGACAGGAGAGACTCCTCCTCGTGCTCCATGTTCTTGGGCAGGTAGTTCAGAAGAGGCTCCATGGCGCTGTTCATCGAGAGGTGGTACAAGACGACAAAAATCAAAAGGATGATCATCAGGGCCAAAGGACCAACGGCAATCTGGTTAGATCCAGAGGCCATAGCGAACAGACCAATCAAACACACGATAAGCAGGTATACACCGACAGTCAGGTGCTGGAGGGCACGAGTGTAGGCGCGACCCTGAGTATCAATATCGGCGTTCGAGACGTACAGCAGGTTGTAGCGGTACGCAAAGTAGAACAGATACAGACCAATGGTGGCAAAGCCCATGACAAGAGGAGCAATGCAAGAGTAAATGATACCTGGATTACGAGTTAGCGACAATGGTAAGGTTGATGGGAATTTCAAGATAGGCATCACATACCGATAACAGTCAGCAGAGTGAAAATAGGGTAAACAGTGCCCCATCCGAGACCGGCCAGACTCGACCAGCGCTTGTACATCTTGCGGGGGGTGTTATCCAGGAACTTGCCCAGAAGCTTGCCAATAATCAGGCCCGCAATCTGGAGAAGGGCACCAGCACTGAAGGACAAGCCCTGCAAGATAATGTAGGAAATGTAAAAGTTGGAGGCCTTGGGAATGTTGTTGGCGAGCAGGCTGGCGGCGTCGCTAGGGTTCTTGATAATCTGGGTAACCACACTGGTGGCAGCAGATGCCAGAGTAACCACCAGGAAGACCTGAACAACCTGGAAAGCAAAGAAGAAGTTCTGGGTAGTGAGTTCAATGGAAGCCAGGCTGGGATCACCACCCCACTTGGCGCAGACTATGGTTTCAGTCAGTATGCTGTAAAATAAACAGGGTCGCAGAGATACGTACGTCGCATAATGATAGGCACCAGCGCCATTAGAACCGCCATCAAAATGGAAGGCAGCAGACCGGTAATAACACCAAGAATAACTGGAGGGCAGTTGAGAATGAACTTCAGGAAGGGAACCATATCAGTCAGACTGTTGATGTTGGAGATGGCACCAACAACCGCCGTCGGAATGGCCCAGAAGATGATAAGAGCGACGATGAAGGCAATAGTAACGGTGTGTCGGATTATGCGCTCCCACCACTTAATGCGGAGGTTGGCCCAAATAACCTGGGTCGGGTCCAGACCAATATAACGAGGAGCCATGTGCAGAGGCAGGTTGTGAGCAACAGACTGGAAGGCAGATTGAGCATCAGCCTGCTGGTAGAATTCAACGAAGACGGAGGAAACAAGCTTGGCGTCACCGGCACGGTGCTTCGCCTGGAGCTCTTCGATTTCGGGGCTCAGGCGCTCGATCTCGGAACGGGCCCAGTTAATGGTGTCGACCTTCTTGCCAATAAGCATCTTGAGACGGTGAGTTGGGCGGTCCTTGGCTTGCACCCAACGAGCAGCGACGGAGCCAGACTCGTCGTCAAACTGGCCGAGATCAGTATTCTCCTCGGAACCTTCTTCCGCGGAGCCGCTCTTCTTCAATGCCTTGTTGCGCGCCTTGTTAGCCATCATGATAAGCTTAGTCTCGGCGCCCTCAAGCTTCATAGCAGCCGCGTCGCGGTCCTTGACCATCTCTTCGAGCTCTTTAGTGTCGGTAGCAATCCAAACATTCTTGACCTTCTCAATACCAAACATAGCACGAATCTTGTCTGTGTTCAGATAGTTCTGGCTCACGGCGCTGAAGAGAACAGTGCGCGAAGAGATACGGTTGGCATAGGCGGGCGAGAAAGAGTATGCCTGGCGCAGGTTGATGTAGAAAATGTGCTCGCGAGTGATGAGGAAGAAAATGAAACCTAATTGCAAGTCAATGGTGAGTTCAATGGATCGCGGGAAGCTTACATACCAACGAAGATCCACGCAAGTAGGGCGTGGGCAAAGTAACGCCCATAAGAATTAGACGCGACGTTGGAGAAACTGAGGATATCCAACTGCTGCTTACCACCACCACCGGTAGCATTGACGGGGAACAGGATGGGCCAGGTGATACAGCAGCCGACGAACATGATGGTAGACGCCAGCTTGAGGAATCGCAGCAGGAGGTACGCATCCATAGAGTGATGTTGGAGAACGTAGGTATCAGGGAGCTGGTACATCGCACTGATCCAGCTAAACAGGCCAGTGGGGGATTCCGGGGTGCGCTGCCATGGCTTGAGGTAGCCAATGTAGGTTCGGGGCATGTACTGGCGACGCTGGCTCTTTCGCAGAATGATAAAGACGATGACCATCACGGCAAAGATGACGATGTTAACGACCAAGGTGGTCAAGAAACCCGACAGGGAATTCGAGGACTCGCTGGGGTCATCCTAGGGCAAATTAGCCAAAGTCATCGCGATTTGAAAGATGGCCAATACGTACGGCACGGCTGAACAGCCGGTGCATGGCGCCGACGTCTGCCATGGTGTAGGATAACCGAGTCGAAGTTCAAGATTGAAGTCGAACTCGGAAAGCCTCAGGTGTCTAGAGGTTGAAGAAGCTGCACGTGTGTGTCGTATGTCGAAGGGGCACGATGTTGGCCCAATGTTGCCCCGATGAGAATGAATGGGGAGGAAGAAGAAGGAGGAAAATTCCAGCGAGAAAAGAAAGGTAGGGCGGGTTTAAGCTTCACAAAGGGAGGGGCATCTGAAGTGATGCGATCTGCGATCTTGGGCTACGTAATAGGAGCATCTCTTTTTTTTTGGTATTTTTTTCTTTCTCTTTTCTTGCAGGGGTTGGGGGTCGCAGAGCTCTCCAAAGGTTACCAATGAGTAAATAGCGTCTCCTTTACCCCCTGTCGTGTATCCACTTGGGCGTGGCGAGTGAGCGGTCGATCCAGACTTACACCCGCACTGGGCTTCGTCTTATGATCGTCCGGTTCCCTGGATACCTCGGTGCCTTTGGGAATCGATGACTCTATGAGATTGGATGTCGTATCCCACTGATGTTGAAACTGCCAGTGCTACAATATGATAGATCGTTTCATGTATCGGATGTTTTTTTTTTTGGGCTGGCGGCAAGGGAGAGAATCAAGAAAAGATTCGGAGAAGACCGCGCCCAGCCACGTCAAGCCACAGACTGCGTCACAAACAAATTAAATCCCCAGCCGTACGAGCTCTGGGCAAGCCGGCCGAAACAGGTCTGGCTTGCCGATCTTCTCAAATAAAAAGCACTATAGCATGATCACCCTTTCGTTCAATTCGAAATCCTTTAGTCTGCTGTGAGAGTATGCGGGATAACGACATCAAGTCACACATTGAAACTGCGGGAATCCAGGGTTGTTTGTCCACCTTTCCCACATTTGCGAAATCAAGCTCAGACCCTAAAAGAGATTCGTGGGGAAGTTATTTGCCGAAGTGACTCGTAGGCCGTGGAGCTCTTAGCGGTGTGTTGATCTCGGGATTGGAGTGTGAGCGTGAGTGTGAGAGTTTCAATGATATGCGACAAGGAATATCACAAATAGTGTTGTACTCCGTACCCATCAGCCAGCCTGGAAACTGCTGAGCTGGATCCAATCGATCGGACCAGAGATGCAAAAGACGCTAGTGGTAGCTAGTGGGCTGCGCTATTGCCTAGCATTGAGCTACCCATGGGCCGCGCTTGGACTATCAAAATTTGCCATGTCCACTAACACACGCGATTAGGAGTTGTTTTTTTCACTGTTCGGAACTTGAAGTTTCTAATGTCTTATCGGGTTTTTCTTGACGCGCCCCAGATTGAATTGCATTTCGGGCTCGCTGTCACAGGGCCCCTTGGAATGTGGGCAACCACGGACCACTCGTAGGGATAATATGCTATCGTCATCGTTGATGAGACTGGTGCATAACGATCGACAGTCCATTTACTGAGATAGTCGCATGAATGCGATCTCGTTCCTGGGTATCTCCAGGTACCTTTCGCGGGAGTTTTGTGTGGGAAGTAACCTCGGAGAACCTTTTCTCGGGACTCCGCTCGATCCCCACCGCACACTGCATTCAGCGTGAACCACGATCGACGTGGACAGGTCATCCATTTGGTTCTGATATCAAATTCAACCGTGTTAGGGGGCCGAGGCTAAGGGGTGCCGGGCCCTGGTACCAGAGAGAGACCCCCACTGGGGCTCGCGGTGGATGACGCTTACACTTCCCATCCTGGTTGTCGGGTCCTGCCAAGCCCACCTTGCTCGTGCCTGTCCTGATGGCAACGCCGATTTCGTACATTTCAACCCTCAAATTGAGGGCTGCTAAATGGACCATATGCCCATCTGAATCCAGATTAGTATGTAATTTCTATACAAAGTTAGATATACTCAATCTATGTCTAGAGTAGCAATACAAAGGTTTCTAACTGTCTATTCCAAGGTTGTCTACCATTAACTACCTAGGTAGTTACTGTCTTCTAATACTAGACTAGTACCTACCCAGGATACAGTATATAGTAGCTACTCTATTCCATCTCAGGTAGGTACTAGTCTGCTATAATTAGGAGGGCGGAGACTAGAAAGGTCAACAAGGGCCTGGAAACTTTCATATCGCTCTAGAGGTAGATTAAGTGTATCCAAAGTTGTAAAGAGATTACATACTAACTAATCTGGACTCAGAAGGGCCCATGGTCCATCTAGCAGCCCTCCTTAAATTGCTGTTCATTTGGCACAAAAAGTCACACACATATGGCATTTTTAATGGAATCAAACTCCGAATATGCATATATATATATAGTATTCAAGATAATATCATCATTTCTTCATTGACTGGACCCTACTACCAGAGTCCGCCCTTGTTGAGTTCCTTCTCGAAGATGTCAATGCCACGGATGGGTGCCCGCAGAGTCAAAAAGCTCATCAAAATTTCGTTGAAGTGAAATTGTTGGTCCGGTCGCAGCTGCTTGTGTGTTAGAAGCAGCTCTCCTGTCGACCATGCTCGTTCGTGGGCCTGCAGGTCGGGATCGCAGCCTTGCTCAAGTAGTAGCCAAAGCAGCGTTTCGCAGGCGTGCTGTCGATCGAGCTGGTGATGCTCAACCGTCGTACATAAGTATTGTATGAAACGGCCGCATTTGCTGGCCGAATCCTTAAAGTCCCGAAGGGCGGTGGTGATGTAGATTAACGCTGCCGTCCGACTGATTTCTTGTGTTTGAGCATCACGGACCACGTACATCCGAGCAGCTTGCGGCACCTGGGATGGTCGTGGCCCACTAGACAAAAGGGAGAACAGCGGACTCTGCATTTCAAACGCATCGCGTCTTTGCGGCGTGTGGGCCAGGTAATCCGGGGAGCTGTGCCTTTGCATGAGGCTTTGTGCACCCCACAAAAATGATACTAGCCATTGAAGGTCTGCTGGGTCGATCTCGGTGTTTTGGGGTAGCATAATAAACCGAACATAGTGGAGAAAGACCTCCACGGATGGATTGAATCCAGGACGCGGTCGCATCAGGTGGAGGGCCTGCTCAAGACAACGTCGACCCTCTGATTTATCGCCGAAGCGTTCCTCTCCGAGTGCCATTCCAGATAGAGCCATAGCCAATTGATCGGGAGGGACTTGTGTAATACCTCTGGAGGCGTCGTCGATGTTCTTTCGCGACTGTCCAACATGCCGAATGACCTCTGGGCTGTCCGTAATTCCATATATTTGAGCTTTCCACCGAGCACAATAGGTAAGGATGACGGCTTGAAACGTGACGGGATGGTCCATGGCTGTTCGGAAGATCTGGTTCTTGACGTAAGGGTTCTGACCGGACCAATAAGTCAATTTTGTCGTCCAGTAGTCCACCAATTCAAGATTCTCGGGATCGTGGGCGATGGGTAGGCTAGAAAACGGATCTTTTCGGGATGCATCCAGCATTGTCCTGGGTGAGCCTAGTTGTAAGGACACGGCCGACTGGGGAGCCGGGTTTACATTTGAAAACCTGATTCGCAACTGTACATTGGGAATAATGTAAGCATATGTTTTGGCAGTATCATGCCTACCTGCCTGCTTGTGCAGAACAGGTCGACGAAATCGCATCGAGGTTGGTATCATACCGAAGAATTCGGATCGGGCGGAGGGCCCTGGGCACCAGACACTGCCGGTTCCATCTGAGGGTCCGTTTCATATTCCGGATCCTTCGTCGTCTGCCATGATAATGCATCCTGGATCTGTTCAGGCTGCAGGGATTCGTGGGATAATTTGCGCTGCTTTCTCTTTTCCTGGACATGGTGGCGCATAACATGAGCACGTTTCTCCTTCGATGATGAGGATGAGTCCACAAAGTAGAATTGGTTCTTTGGCTGAGGCCCCGAGTCAGCCGGACGCCGTCGTCGTCTCGGTTTGCCGGGCTGAGCCGTATCTCCGGGTTGTCCTACAGAAGGGGGGAATTCACATTAGCCATGCGGGATCATTGAAGGTACAGTCAAGAAGATCGACTTACTGGAAGGATCCAGGCCCGAAGGATCAGACGCAACAGGGGCTTTTAAAGCCGGTGTGGAATCTTCCAACCTTGAAGTTTTGCCAGACATCTCGCGATAGAGGACAGAAGTGGTTGTCGACGTCAAGAGTCAAGAAGCACCTGTTACAGCATGCCGAACCGACGATCGCCAATACCGAAATTCCTCCAGCTTGCTCGGGATTTGGTGGGAAGCATCGCAGGCTCCCTCGAGGGGCGACCAGGCGAAAAAAGGGCGGGGCGGGTTCAGCAAACGGTCGGAGCGTAGGAGAGCGAAACTAGAGCCGGATGTTGGTGGATAGTATACGTTATAGTCGGGATCGGTAATGCAAGGTGGGCGAGGGAGCTGATCACCACAAATAATAAGAAGATTAGGGGGGCGACGAGAGGGAGAAGGGGAGGGGGGGGTTCAGTTCTGGTAACACGAGGTCAACGAGCGACACGAACTGGGGCCTTAGAGAGTGGTGCACCTCCAATGACCGAGTTGGGTTAGAGGGGAGATTTGACTATTTCCTGATGTAGGCTTGTCGGCGGGGAGTGGAAGGAAGTGGGTCATGGAATATGTAACACCCTGCGTAAAAGGGGAGTGAGTGAAAATGAGGGAAAGTCATGATTGGTTGGAAGGCGGAGAGAAGCAAGTCAGAATGGGCAGTTTTGCCTTCTGATTGGTTGGCTTCTCTAAGAAGGCGGTGTTGACGAGTATTGACGGTCTTGAACCGGTCTTTCTTCGGGAAGGTGCCAAGGGGGCTGCATGGCTGCATGGCTACAGCTGCTGCAGCTGCAGAGAAGTCCCGGACGAGTGGATGGTGGACTCGGTGGATACGGAGGACGGGAGTACTGGCTTACTGGCTTACTGGGCTGATACAGCCAGTGGCCGGGTCTCCGCCTTCCTAAAGTGGAACTAGTAGATACCCGATATAGAATAGATTGGCTAATCCTTTCCATCCTCGAGGGCGGTAAATAATGGAGAGCAATATGCACCACTTTCTATCTATACAGATTGCTTAACATACATAGGATTCAAGTCAAAAAAGCGGTCATCATTCTATAAAATCCTTCAAATATGGTAGAATTAGGCTCGTCTCACATTTACCAATGTAGTTGAGGGGGTTACTCATTCTGTCCGCTCCTTCCAACTTGTATACCTTCGATCATGATCATGATCATGACTATTTCCCTCCTCCCTTTCTTGATCTTCTCCTGTTTATCCCAAAACGACCCAATTCCACAAAAAAAAAATTCAGAATTTTGATCATCTTCCGAAAGAAACATCGACCTTTTCTTGGACGTCAAGGTTACGGGTTTGTAGAATTCCATTTGGCTCGTTTTTCTTTGGGGATGCTGACATGGATAGGTCACAGAAACAATCCGAATCAGTCAGAATAGGGGGCATCAACTCTGCGCATCGACAACCACAGACGAGTTTCGCTCACTCTGTAACTATTTACAGAAGAGTTCATCAAAGATCGCAATTCATGGCACGGAGTGATCTCCGGATCCAGATTCGCCGTGCCTACAACGAGACTCAAGATGAACTGAAAATGTCTGTTCTTGAATGCGTGGTTACAGTACGCTGGTCAAAAGGGCACACGTGGGTTTTTATCATCTTCTTTCTTGTGCTGCGATGCTAACTTTCTTCTCTCTAGGGTAAGATCTAATGCCAACCCTATCTCACGTTTGTCCAAGGCATTCCCCGATACTGCCGATCCGTCAAGCTTCCGGACACTTCTCAAGCTCTTCCGGTCTTCTTATACCCGGTGGTTTGGATTCTGATTAATGCCATTCGAACTGCTACCTCGAATGTCCCCCACTGATATCCTGGGCCGAATACTCCGCGACGAAAGTCACCAGTTTTACTGGAATCACCCAAACTGTCCACTCGTGGCTGAAATAGTCCTAGGCAGAAAAGTCCGAATTTCGGCCAGACCCTTACTCAAGCAAAATACAATACGTACCTGGAGAAACTCAGGATCGGGATTTACGAATGCTTCCCTGAGAACATATTCCACTTGTTCCTCGGGAATTTATTCACGTCATGGCCAAATCCATGGATATTTTCAAATTTCATTCCAATGCGGTGCTACAGATCAATATGCTGGTGACTTGCTTTGTGACACATGTATAAAGTGTGTTAGAGCAAATCGACGTGACGCAAATAACCCACTGTTCAAGTCTGGCTCACCTATGCCAAATCCGAAGATCAGCAACGCAGATACTTTCGATACAAAGTCAAAACGGGCAAAGACAGCTCGGACCCCTTAACTCTTGGAACCGCAACCCTCCCATTCTGTGGATAATAGTCTCCCCGACAAATGAGCCGCTGAACAATGTCTTTTCAATCCCGAGAACTGTCCCGGGTCTATTTACGCCGGTACTTCAAGTGCCTAAGGATTCGGTCATAAGCCGTGAATCATTACAGCAATATTCCTCTAAGCTTTGGGCTCCAACCAGGTCACCCCGGCAACCTGTTTTTTACTCAATGCGACCTCATTGCCTCCTCAGCGACAGGCGGCATTATTATGACTACGTTGAACCGTACACTCATCGACAGCGGATCAACCGGAGTGATGATTGAACCCCGAGTTGCCCACGCCCTGGGAATTCAGCTGGTCCCAATACCTTCCCCAAATTATGCGCGACCGGACTCAGACTTTGCCTTTGAATCAATCAGTTTCCTGTGGGTGAAGTTGAGCTTCATATACTAGTCTATTCCGTGGCGATGCACTCTGCTATTATACTATATTCCTAGTGATCTGGATCTTCGATCCTGTTCTTCGCAGCGCTCTCCTACACCCCTCAAGCAAACCAGGTCTATATAAGTTTATTCAAATCCAATCATTACTGCTCTCCAAAGTCTCCTTCTTTAAGTTCTTGTAGGTGGACGGTGGACTCGGTGGATACTTGGTCACTGCTTCCCGATTAGGAAACCACTTAACGCGTCCGGGATAACTATCCTCCGACAACGCGTCCCAAGTCGCGTCTCGCGTCTCCAGGGGAACTTTAGTGCCTGTTAACGCTGAATGGGCTGAAAGGTCCCATCAAAAATTGTCGCATCACCGCTTCCCCTCCTCCTCCAATACCTCATCATCCTCCCCTCCACCCCCCCAATTCTCCCCCACTTCGGTGTCCGCGCAAGAGCATCAATTCATCACTGCTCTCTGCCATGTCTTCCCTTTTCGACGCCGTCCTCCAGTCCGAGCTGGGCTCGGGGTCAGGCGCCCGCGAGAATCTGCAGTCCGACCATCTACCTAGCTCACGACGCTCCGAGAGCAATGGCCCCATGAGTGATATGAACGCCTTCCCCGATGATCGTGTTGTTGGAACTAGCACTTCGGCCGTCAGTCGCTTACGAAACCCATACGCTTCGGCCCCTCCACCCGTCGTCGATGAGGCTGGTGAAAAAGTGCAACAGGCCTTCGAGGAATTGCTCGAGACATTCATGGAGGAGCCCTCTTCATCAGCCCCTCCATCGTCCGGAGAGATTCTCAGCGACAAATACTATATTGCTCAGATTCGTGGCATGAAGAAATTCGAGTTGTCAACCCTCTACGTGGACTTCACCCACCTGACCTCCCTGGAAAACCCCATTTTGGCCGATGCCATCGCCAGTCAATACTATCGATTCCTCCCCTTCCTCACCAAGGCCCTTCACAACCTCGTGGCCAAATACGAGGGTGATTACTTTGTGTCGCATCGCTTGGCTGCGAGCGCCAATTCGCAACGCAGCACCTCCATCGCCTCTGCTTACGCCAGCGTCTCCGATAACCCCGACTTGGAGCGCCAAATCCGCGAAAAAACTCGCCATCAACAGACCGATAAGCTTTTTGCTCTTGCCTTCTACAACCTGCCCCTGGTTTCACGACTCCGCCAACTTCGCACCTCGCAGATTGGCAAACTTCTCTCAATCTCCGGAACGGTCACACGGACGTCAGAAATTCGCCCTGAATTGTCGCTGGGATCATTTATTTGCGAGGGCTGTAAGTCAGTCGTAAGCAATGTGGAACAAACCTTCAAATACACCGAGCCCACCGAATGCCCGAACGAGACATGCGGTAACCGCAACGGCTGGCGCCTGGATATTGGCAAGAGTACTTTTGTTGATTGGCAAAAGGTTAAGCTTCAGGAGTCTTCACATGAGATCCCTACCGGTAGCATGCCGCGCACGATGGACGTCATCTTGCGAGGTGAGATGGTCGATCGTGCCAAGGCCGGTGAGCGCTGCATTTTCACTGGTACCTTGATCGTCGTCCCAGATGTGAGCCAGTTGGGTCTCCCCGGCGTGCGCCCCGAGGCAGTTCGTGATAACAACTCTTTCCGTGGAAGCGAGGTTGGCGGTGGCGGAGTGTCTGGGTTAAAGGCCCTGGGTGTTCGTGATTTGACCTACCGGCTCGCTTTCCTGGCCTGTATGGTGACCCCAGATACCACTACACCCGGTCAGAAGCCCGAGCAGCAGCTCAGTGGTCAATCAAACAACATTCTGGCCTCATTGAACCAGAATCAGGATCCTGATATGAATGATGACAAGGCTCAGGAAGCTTTCCTTCAGAGTCTGACTCCCACCGAAGTGCAGGATCTCAAGAGACTCGTGCACTCGGAGTACATCTATTCGCGCTTGGTTGACTCAATTGCCCCGATGATTTGGGGTCACCGTCAAATCAAGAAGGGTCTTCTCCTACAACTGATCGGCGGTGTTGGCAAGAGAACCCAGGCGGAGAGCTTGCAGCTGCGTGGTGATCTCAACATTTGCATTGTCGGCGACCCATCCACAAGTAAGAGTCAGTTCTTGAAGTGAGTAGATCCCTAGCATCCTATTTCTTGTTTCGTTTGCTGACATGGTCGCCCAGATACGTCTGCTCCTTGCACCCCCGTGCGGTTTACACCAGTGGTAAGGCCTCATCGGCCGCTGGTCTGACAGCATCCGTGGTGAAGGATGCCGAGACTGGAGAATTCACCATTGAGGCCGGTGCCCTGATGCTGGCTGTATGTTCTCACCTTACTCAAGAATCTCCCAAAATTCCCCCAACTAACTCTCTTCTTTTTAGAACGGCGGTGGTATTTGTGCGATTGACGAGTTCGACAAAATGGACATCGCGGACCAAGTCGCCATTCACGAAGCAATGGAACAGCAAACCATCTCCATCGCCAAGGCTGGTATCCATACCACACTCAACGCCCGGGCCTCGATTCTCGCTGCTGCCAACCCCATCGGCGGTCGCTATAACCAGAAGGTCACTCTTCGCCAGAACCTGAACTTCAGCGCACCCATCATGAGTCGTTTCGATGTGTTCTTCGTCATCCGCGACGAGCCCAAGGAGAGTGTTGATCGCAACTTGGCCGAGCACATTGTGAACGTGCACATGAACCGCGACGAGGCTGTCGAGCCCGAACTGAGCACTGAACAGCTGCAGCGCTACATCCAGTTTGCGCGTACCTTCCGCCCTGTCTTCACTGATGAGGCCAAGGCTCTCCTTGTCGAGAAATACAAGGAGCTGCGTGCCAACGATGCCCAGGGTGGTATAGGTCGCTCTTCTTACCGTATCACAGTTCGTCAACTTGAGTCCCTCATTCGTTTGTCCGAGGCTGTTGCCAAGGCCAACTGCGTCGAGGAGGTTGACCCCAAGTTCGTCATTGAGGCCTATGATCTTCTGCGCCAAAGTATCGTCACCGTCGAGAAGGATGATGTCGAAATAGACGATGATGCTCCCGCCCCGAATGCCGAGGACCAGGAAATGGGTGACGACCGTGACCGTGAGAATGACAGCCCAATGCGCAATGACGGCGAGCAAGCACAACAGCAGGAACGCAGCAAGACGAAGATCACATACGACAAGTTCTCCAAGATCTTGAATCTGATCGTCCGTCGTATCCGTGACGATGAGGTCAACGAGGGTGAGGGTGTCGAGCAGGAAGATTTGATCCTCTGGTATCTCGAGCAGATTGAGGGCGAGCTCAACTCCCACGAAGATGTTCACCGTGAGCGTGATCTCGTCAAGAAGGTCCTGAAGCGTATGGTAAAGGATCACGTCCTGCTACGCATCGCATCGGATCTCATGGAAGATGAAGGCAACACCGAACAGACTGCTGAAGATAAGGTCTTATACGTTATGCACCCTAACGTTGCGTATGAGGAGATGTAATGTCGCCATCGTGCATTTTCTGTCTGGGCTTGGGTTTGTCTGTTTCTGGGATAGGGTCGAGTGTTTAGCATTTTCGGGATGGAATAAATGGAGCATAGGGGTTACGAGTGATGATATCTGTTCCTGTTTAGTCGTTCTTGAGCACGAATTTATAATTCTTCTATATCTTCAAGTTCAACTTGTTCAATTACTTCAATTACTGCCAGTAGCTTGGTTTCTTGCATGGCTAGAATCAAGTAAATCCAGATACGACCAAAGCCGTTGATAATCCCTACACCATTGGTCGATTTTACGAGCTCAAAATAACCGCAAATATGCAACAGGTCAGCAGGCAAACCAGCCTGAGTCTGGGCTTGTCTAAGACAGAACTTAACTACTAGTATTGCTTGGAATGATGATCTACAAGATTTGGCTACGGTTCCTGACTACTCTGTATATAGACTGGTCGGAAGTCCAAAGTTGGTGGCCTTATGCACCCTGTGGCGTCGGCAGCCGCCGGTACAGAAATAGATCATTGGAGGAAGTTGATTATTATGCGGGGATATGCTTTCAACTAGGCTGTTGCTCTGTTCTAATAGGCTCTCTGGATATGTGGAGGCGCTGGCAAAGGCGTCCCAGTTTACTGCTGTACTCGGATCCTGCATCTTTGTATGCATGCTCAGCCCCGGGGTCCTCTCAACTGACTGGCTGCGGACTACAGAGGGCACGGCTTGACTGGCAGAGCCAATTGAAATGTCTCATTCAGACTAGAAATGGCTCTTGACACAGCAAGAATACAGAAAAGAAAGGCAAGATGGAAAAGGTTTATAAAGGGAACTGGGAGTCCACCAATTCTCTCTCGATCAGACACAACAGCATCTCAAGTAATTGAAATCACAAGCCTTCCATTTCTCAAATAACTATCATATTCCAAAACAAACATCTAATTGAATCCATTCAAAATGAAGTACACCATCGCCTCCGTTCTCCTAGCTGCCAGTTCAGCCTTCGCCGCTCCAGCCTCAACCAAGCGCGAAGCCACCTCTCTCCAAATCACCGATTTCAAGGCCAACGTCGGGTTCGACGCAACCATGCACTTTGTCTTGACCGATTCCAACTACCCGGATGACACTCCCACCGACTGCAACCTAATCTGGTAAGTCTGACACGGTGCAGATGGCAAACAGGTAGAATTATATTCTGTAGACATTATGGCTGATAGTTGAATCAACAGGACGTATGGACATAAACCCGACGAGCGCGCTCGCTGCAATAATGGAAAATACCACATTGAATTTCCAGGCGGCGCACCGGATTTGCACCAGTTCACTCTCGGCCTCAAACGCCTTGAGTCCGACCCCATTCAAGAGCAGGGTCAGGTCCTGGTGGACTCGAGTGTGGAGGGCAGCAACTGGGTTTGTGTGGATAACCCTAGCGATGGCATTAAGCTTCACTGTGATTATAATGGTACCCTTGAAATGCCGATCACTCTGGGTTAAGTGGGGAGAGGTCGATGTTCATGTTGGAAGCGTATTCTTGTCTAATCTAGTTGGTTGGGAGGTTGGGAAGGAGGTAGATGTAATTAAGGATTCAAATAGAACGAGCATGTGACCCGAGGGCACCCCCTTTGATCCAAGATTAATTTTCAATCTATTCAGCTCATCTCTAATAATTATAATAATTATAATTATAGAATAGAATATCCACATGGCTGATATTCTAGAGTATAGTAGTGATATAGTGTCCCGATCATACATCTGAAGTGTCTATATCGCCAGAAAATGGTCGAAGCCACCGGAATGTGAGTGAAGGTGAGCGCTGACGTGACCCGATCGCTGCCTGCCTTGGGCTGTGCATATCAACTCGCCTCGGCCCCATCAAGTCACCTACTTCCATAACACACATACATCATTCTCCAATGGACGTCGAGCTGTATGTTTATGACCTCTCCCAGGTAAGTTGCTCTAAATTATCAATATTCTTCTCCAAAACTGACTCACCTCACAGGGTCTTGCGCGTATGGTATGTACCAACAAAGCATCAACAAAGATGGCACAGCAAGAGCTTTACCTAACCGGTCAAATCAGTACTCGCAACCCTTGACGGGAACCCAGATAGATGCAATCTATCACACAGCACTTGTGCTCAATGGCGTGGAGTACTTTTTTGGTCAAGGCATCCAGACCGCCAATCCCGGCACCACTCACCATGGCCAGCCCATGGAAAAGGTGCACATGGGACAAACAGAGCTTCCAAATGAAGTGATTGAGGAATACCTCGGATCGTTAGCCACGATCTATACACCCGAGGTGCGTCAAGCAGCAATTCGTTCATGGTCCCGGCTTTCTTAACACTCTGGCAGTCCTATGATCTCTTTCTTCATAATTGCAACAACTTCACCCAGGATTTTGCCATGTTCCTAGTTGGAAAAAGCATTCCGGAGCACATCCGCAACCTGCCGCGGACATTTTTAGATACCCCGTTCGGGCAGATGATGAAGCCACAGATTGAGAACGCCCTGCGGGGGTCCACACAGGGAACTGGTCCTGGCACCGTTCCTGGGCCCAGCTTTCAGCCACAGGCTGCACAGCAACCAAGGGCCGCACAACATCCAGCGCCCGCCTCGGTCCGCAATGTCAGCAGTCTATCTCAGCTAGAGAGTGAATTAGCCGCGGCATCAAACACGTGCGCCGTCATATTCTTTACCTCATCAACATGCCCGCCATGCAAGGTCGTCTATCCGACCTATGATCAGCTGGCGGAAGAGGCGGGCGATCGAGCTAGACTCATCAAAGTCGATATTGGCTCAGCCTACGATGTCAGCATGAAGTACGGCGTGCGCGCCACACCGACCTTCATGACATTTTTGAAAGGCCAGAAACTGGATCAATGGAGCGGCGCCAACCCAGGCCAGCTCTCAGGGAATGTCCGCATGCTCTTGGAGATGGCAAATCCAACCCATCCTCATCGCCAACTACGATTGCCCAGCTTACAGCGGCCTATCTCCAACTTTGTTACCTATAAGAAGGTTCCACCGCTGGATAAGCTTGTGCAAAAGCTTCCTGCATCATTCCGAGAGACACCGGATGTCGCCTCAATCATAGACTTTGTTAAACAGCGCCAGTCTGCTAGTACTGGCAATACCCCAATTGCAGATATCAGAGTTCCAGACCTTCATACTTTCGCGACGTCATTGCAATCAACCTACACCACACTCCCCAGTGACTCCCTCTTCGCAGTCGTCGACCTGGTCCGCCTACTCTTCCTCGACCCCCGCGTCAGCGGTTACTTCGCCGAGGAAGCCCAGCACAAGACTCTCCTCACACTTCTCTCCCCTCTTTCCGCCGACGATCTCTCCAATTGCCCTTACAACCTACGCATTGTTGCCCTCCAGCTATCCTGCAACCTCTTCAGCACACCATTATACCCCGACCAACTAACCTCACCGACCTCTCTCCTACGCGAAACCACTCTACGCCTGGCAATCAACTCTCTTCTAGACTCACACTCCAACCTCCGCGTCGTGGCAGCATCCTTCGCCTATAACCTCGCTGCCTATAACCATAACGCCCGCTTCGATGGGAAGCCCGATCCCCTCACAGAGGAAGATCAGGTCGAGATCGCGGCATCATTGCTCGAGGCCATCTCTCGCGAGGACCAGAGCATCGAGGCTCTACACGGCCTTCTATTCGCACTCGGTCTATTTGTCTACGAAGCCCCGCTTGACGGGGCCCTAGTTGATCTTTGTCGAGCAATGGGTGTCGCTGAGACCGTGCGGGCCAAGTCCCAGATCTCGGCTGTGCAGAAGGAACCGCTTCTCAAAGAGATTGGGAGTGAATTGCTTAGCAAAGGGCTATGATATCATTTATTTCATGTGATATTTGTAAACCTCTCGGCCCTTTGTTTCTTCGCCGTGTCGTCCGACCAAATCTCTCGGTATCTCGCCTTTGACTCAAGCTAGGATTAGTGTATTTCGACAAGGTTTCAACTTGGTTCGCAGTGGTGTTAGTGTTCATAATTAGAAATGTTTTTTTTCTCATAATAGACATACAGTCTTTGTCTCTCCTTTCTACTTTTTCCTTCAAGGCTTTCTGCCTATCGCAACGTAGTCGACGGTGCCAGCGCATATGCAGAGATGTTGTCTTTGTCTTTGTTTTTTCTCCTTTTTTGAAAGGAAAAATTATAATTCCTATTGCCATCTTCATTTTTACGGCCACCAAGTATCATGTATAGGCAAGAAAATAGAAAATTGGAAAGGCAAGAATTGTACATTTTCGGGTTAACTCCATTTAATTTCCAAATGTGTCGAATGTGAACATTTTTGTCAAAAATACTGTTTAATTCAAAATTTGCTTTCTCTTTTACCAAAGTAACGGCTTCGCATGGTTTAGTAGTACTACTAAACGAGGCTCCGCGAAGGCAAGACACGCCCTGTCCTGCTACTACTAGTACGTCCTCAAGGCCGACTCGGGATTGATATACTCGACAATCTTTATTAAATTCGCAAATATCACTCACTCTGCACTCGATATTACCTCTATAGCTAATAAGAATGACATTCATGAATTTCAAACTCAAGCCCGCTGATGAACACGTCTCCTCCGAGTCCGTCTACTACTCCAGGGCTAGTAGTATCTCTTCACCGCACCATCAGACGAAACTCAGGGATATTTCGGCTTGGAGACAGACCAGGGTCAGGGATCTTCGATATCGTATAATTCTGACTCACAGTGACAACCTCAAAAAATATGATTTGAAATCACCGACCGCCTCCGAACGGTACTCAAGGTATCTAGTATCTTGTACCTGGTACCTCGTCCATCCCAGATCAAATACATGCATGTCAAAGATAGTAGTATAGTAGCATCTCTATTAACAAGGCCACCCTCACACACCCGGGGCCAAGGCCATTCATTCATGTCCAGGTAAGTCAGACAAGATTAGAAATCAACTTGGAACATACCAACGAACTACTCCTTCCCAAAAAAGTAAGTGATTGATATTCCTCACAGGCATCCCATCCCACCTCATCCTCCCCCGCAAATCCACCCACCTACTCCGAGCACGTTATGGACCCAACCAACCCCAAACAAGAAACTGTTGACAAAAGACAAACCCCGTATCTTGAACCGTGTCGCGTTCAAGTTTCCCGCCTTCCACTCCCCTCCCTCCCTCCTCACTCGCACAACCCAAAGCCCAATCTCACCGTTGCATGTCCTCTGCAGGGCCGGCCGTCCGCCATCCGCCGTCCGCCGCAAGTCACAGCCCCCGCGGCCTGAAGAAGGTCCGAACCACTGATATTGACACGGGGAGGCCGAGCCAGAGCACGACAGGACGGACACGAGGCGAGGCGAGCAGGGCTGAACGGAGCCGCTGGCCTTAGACGCGACCGAGTCACGGTGACGGTGACGAGAAGTCCAGGTCCAGGTCCATTTTTAGACTTGTGTTGCGGTGCGACGGTGTGCTACGCTGGCATCGCGTCGCATGGCATCGTGGTGTCTACTTGTAATAGCGCTGGCACTGGCATCTACGTAGGTGGTTGAAACCGTGACTACAAAGTACATACATACAGACTCGTGTACCAAGGTACTAGTTAGTATACATGTATAGATTTAAATATAATAAAACTTGAATACTAGGAAATAATGCAGAGATAGTGTGGAAGATCAGGCAGATTATCATTTCTTCTAAACTAAAGTACCGATTGCGTGCCCGACCTGTTCGCGCCAACTCACACCGACACTCACGAAGAGGACAATGTGGCTTTGGTGGCGTGGCGCTCAGGCGTCAAGGCGAGATAGCGCGGAGCGCGGAATCGGGTAAAATGGGTGGACAGCGCGGACCCTTGAAGAAAAGCGGGCGGGAATGGGTGATCAAATGACGGAAGAAATAATATCCCAACGGGGAAATGGAAAAGGTTTAAAGGATAGAAATAGAATTGGTATTGGTATTGAAAATAGAATTGGAAGTGTGCGGCGGATATCGGGACGAAAATGAATAGGAAAAGGAAAAGGATACAAGATGGGGTATTCGGATCGTGGGTATCTGGGGCGGAAAATCAAGCGCTAGAACGGGTAGAAGGAAAATGGAAAATAGAAAAACACCGGGTCCGCTTCGGAAATGCAATCAGAAGACCGTGAAGAATCATTGGAAATAGAAGTGGGGAATAAATGGAGGGGTAAGAAAAGAAGAAAGAAGAAAAAGATAAAACAGGAAAGTCGGAAGCGCTGCAGATGCGACAACGGAGGAAAATGCAAAGTATGAGTCAAAGATGAAGCGGCGGTGTGGTGTGGGGGTACATTGAAGATACTCCGGGTGGGAGGGAGGAGGAGGAGGAGGGGAGGAGATCGGAGCCACCGGGGAGATATGGAGATGGCAGATGGAGGTGCGCAGATTGGAGGGCACATAATTCTGGAAGCCGCCGACAGCGATAAATTAGGTAAGCGCGGGGCTGTTTTGGAGATAATCAACAACAGTGCCATAGTGCATAGTGCATAGGAGCTGTCGCAATCTTTCCTGCTGCTGCCACTGCTGCTGCCACTGCTGTTGGCTGCCCTTTGCTGGCGTCATCGGCGCGCCGTGTGAAAAAGAAAAAAAGAAATGTGTACCCGCCGGTGCGCCTTGGTGTGATCGGCACTGCTGACGGCGATCTCGCAGCTGCCTGAGCTTTATCATCTGATTCGCTTGGGGCGTGCGGGTATCACGGGTGATTGAGAAACATTAGGAGCTCCAACCAAATGCATGGAAGGGCTGGTCGTTGTAGATATGGAAAAGTATTGGTGGGTAGAAGACATGAGAAAGAATAGAAGTGTCGTCGTCGTAAATGGTATCTCGTCGAGTGTTGTTGTGTTGAAGCGCCCGCGCTACAACCGACAGTGGTGTGGATGTAGCGTAGGTTCTTAGTTGCTGGTCATGACCTTGGCCGATGACGAGTGGGCGCGACGCTTGGGGGGTCAGGACGGGACGACGTTTCTTGCTGCTGCGCTTCGTGGTGGTAATAGTGGTGGAGCTAGTGTTGGACTCAGACTCGCAGACTCGAGCCAACTGGGCTTGTCGCACGACTTGAGTAGCTCGGGCATGGGCCTCGACCTTGGCCATGAAGCGGGCGCGGTCTTCTTCCTCGGCCGCAGCGCGGACCAGCTTGAGCTGTTGCTCCATGGTCATGGAGGAGAAGATCTGGGGCTGTTGCTGTTTGGTGGCAGTCTCTTCGCAGCATTCGGCGATACCCGCGTTCTCGGGCATCCAGAGTAGATCCTCGTCCGTCAGGTACGCGTTGTTGACGAAGGAGTCGCTGGAGTCGCCGCTGTACAGCTCAGGGCGATTTGGCCAGGATGGGAAGGCACAGGCGGCGCCCATCCCATACTCACTGGAGAAGGATGACTTGCGAGGGTGAATATCGGTCAAAGAGTCGGTGGGAGTTGGTGGAGGAGCAGACGGGTTGGAGAGAGGCGAGCATTCAAAGGAGCTACCGCTGTAGCTGAAGCCGAACTCAGCAGAGTCGTTACTAGCAACAGGTGCCAGGATCGCCGATTTAGTCGGCGACAGGCCGCGAAGACGCGACTGGATTGGAATCACCATTTTGGTGATATGTGTTGATGTGGTGGAAGTATGGAGATAGCGTGTAGTAGGTGAGATGGTGGTGAGAGGTGAGAGTAGTGGAGAGTCGAGAGTCGAGAGTCGAGAGTGTGGAGGTATGAATGAGAAGAAAGGTAGGAGAGGAGCGGAGTGATAGGAAGATAATGTAGTGAAAGGGAAGAGAGTGGAGTGGAGTGAATGGAGTGTTTATCAAGAAGACGGTGTGTGTGTGCCAGGCGGATGTCTAAAATCAAAGCCGGGGAAGGCTTCTAGACTTGCCGCGACACCCTTGCAGCCCCGAGACAAATCCAATTAATTTCGATTTTTGCGCCCAAAATGGGGGCCCTGGGCTTTTGTTTTTTTCTTTTTTTTGATTTTTCGGTTTTTGATTTTTCCCTTTTTTGATTCCCGTCCACTTTTGCGCCCACTTTTCCTGAGGCGGATTGCACTTCCGGTGGGCGATCAATCAGCGTCTGCAGTTGCAGATCTGCTCGATCGGGCGGAATTTCGATTTTTGTTATTTCTTTTTTTCTGGTGTATCCCTTTTTGCCCGATGTATCACTTCCGGGGAAGATCGGATTGGATCCGTCTGACACAGAGTACTCACTACTTGAGAGTAGAGAGTAGAGAAGGTATGAGTACTTTGGAGAGTCAACTCTGAAGTCTGGGATAATATTGTGTTGTGTTGAGTGTCGAGTGTCTTGCGGTGTATACACATTCACACACACACACACACACGGAGTAGCCTCCTGCGGGATTCCGGATTCCGGATAGCAAAGAGAGATTCGTGCCTAGGGTACTCCGTACGTATCGTACTTTTCGATGTTTGTTGGTTTGGCGGTCAACGGTCGAGAGCACACGTCAACACCGTTTCTTTGTTCGGTCGATAGTTGATAGTAATATGACAGTTGATCGTCGGGTCCTCGGTCGATATCCTGGTGCTCCGTACTCGTAAATCGATAGTTGATACTATACTCCGTACTGTGTGGACGAGGGTTGCGTAGGATCTACGCGAAATACTGTGGCCAAGGGGGATCCGGTGATTATCAAGGGCGGTTCTCCTTTCACGCGAAGAGTTCTTCCGCACTCTCCACCGGTCCTCCGCCTCGGGACGAGTCTAAGGGTGGTTTGTTCGAAGCTAGAAGCCCTCGAAGGAGCCCGTGGAGAAGTTCGCCCTCGCATGTGGACAGAAGGAGCCGGGGCTGGGCCCGACGGGCGGGTCCGGGGCCAATTCCTGCCTAAAGGGGCAGTCTTAGTCTTTGACTGTTCGGGCTTGTGGTTAACGGTTCCCTCGGTCCACTGGCTCAACGCTCAGCCGAGGTGTTGGAGTACCCTAGGCCTAGGGTATAGGTATGGGTATGGGTATGGGTATGGGTATGGGTACTACCACACCATGATTCTTTTTACTATGGAGGACTTCGTATAATTTTATTAAATTATTTATTCTACTACTCTACTATCCTATTAATCTATTCATTCTTTTATTCTATACTCTACCCTATTCTACCATCTAACCCTCGGTACAAAGTCAACCAGCGACCCCAATTTTCCGCGAATCAGCGTTTCCCCATTTATCCGTCTCCAACTCGCACTCCTCCACTCCTCCCCTCGTCCCTCTTTGTCCCGAGTCCAGACCAAACATCGGCCATCCACTTATCACACTAACACTGTCACTCAAAGAATCAAGGAAATGAACTAAATGAACTCCCATTTTTGATCCAACCTATGATCGACCGCGCATTCGAGATCATCCAGTACTCGTACTCTTGTCTTTCATACACACCAACAAACCCCTCCCCCCTCCCTTTCCCGGAGTATGTATCCGTAAGTATAATCAATCCGAACAGATCGCGGAACCCAGCAATCCTCCCCCCCGATGCACCCAAGTGGATCAATCCACCTCCCCGGTACCCCTTCTTCAACATGATCGTCGACAGGTCAATAAATCACCACCCTCGCGCAGGACGACCCGGCCACCAGGAACCTCCATCTCCAGATTCCGTGCTCCGTCCTCGTACTTCCGCGCTGGCCCCCGGGGAAATATAGAAATAAAAGGGGGGCCGCCGGCCCGTCGACTTGACATCAGATACATCATCTCGCTGCCAACCTCCTCTCCACCACGGAGGTCATTGGAATTTGACAGGTTCACGCGTACCTTTGTCTTAGAGAGACGATCACTCGAGCTGTTCCACAGGCTTGGAGACTCTGCCTTTGACTCTAGCCCCGTGTCTTGCCAGAGTCTGGTTCTTGGGTCGGGCCGCGGCCCTTAATTATCATCCATACTGTAATGTTGATCGATGAGCATCAGCATCGTGGCCCTTTGCCCCTTTCCCAGGCCCTCGGTGTTTCATCCGCCTTCCGTCCGTTCCTGCTACCAATTCCTCGGGTAGACCCTATGTTTCTCCTCCTCTCCCAATGTGAATATTGCGACCTCACTGTGGACACGAATGGGGCCGCGGCGGCGGTTTCTCCTTAACGAAACCCTCGAAGAGGCAGGTCAATCAAATTCCGTAGCCATCGAGTACGTATGTGTCCGTTCCCGATGGATTCAAGCCCGCCTCCTCCGCCTCCTCCGCCTCCTCCCTCCCCTAATGACGAGTAACTCCTAGCCTCTCGTTGCCAGGCGTGTACAAAAGTCCCATGTTCAAAGAAAGAGCAAAAGCGACCAGTAGACAGGTCCACTCGCAGCGCAGCGCAGCGACGGCTATTTCTTTGTTTGTCAATGGTACGAAGGACTAGCCCGCCGGGCTGCGGTCGCGCGCTTTCCGGCCACTATTGGTTGCCATAAGCTCCTAGCAAGCCTAATCGACTGGCAAATCGGATTCCAGGACTCGATCACATTTTTGAGCTCCGCTCTCCTGTCAATGATTCCCAGCCGGCGTGTCAATTGGTCCTACTCGTACATACATCTCGCACATTACCCACCTCCACCGATTCCGGTCTTCCCTGCAGATGCTGCAATAGCTGCAGCGCATATGCAAGATCTCTAAACCAAATCGTGAAAGTAAGGTGGCGCTTGGATCCTTTCTTTGTGCTTAATGGCTGAAAGCCCGTCGATTCGATTCCAAATATGAATCGATAGATGGTGGGAGAAAGAGAGGTTGGAGTTCGAAATCCAACAGGTCGAAACTCCTTAGGTACTTGGTAAAATTGATCTTGACAGTGCAGGGAGGCGGTTTAGAATCAGGAGCAATGTGAGAGCGTCGGAGGCCACCGCCACCTGATAATTGTAGCCACCGCCGTAGCCACCTGCGAGTATCCCGATCCAGGGCGCCTCTGGAGTTTGGAGTCCCGATTCGTGAACTGACAAACATTCCAGGCAAGCACGAAGTACGGAGGCCGTGTACAATGACGACTTTGGACTTCTCCATACTCTGTACTCCATACTCCATACTTGACGGGAGGCGGGACGGGCACAAACCCCCCGAACCATGGAACCAAAAACCAAAACCCCATGGGGCCGGGTAGATTGGATTGGCTTGATTTGATCTAGAGATCTGACCTCATCTGCGAGGGATGAACATTCCAGCTGGACAAGGAGCTGGCGGTACTCCGTGCTCAGTACTTCTGCAGACGCTCTGTCCTTTGATCTTTGCAGTGTGAGTAACCCAATCCCCCGGAAGCGCGTCCGCTGCACGGTCGGGGCTTGCAGCGATCGTCTTGCGGTGATGGGCGAGACTCTTCACCGCGAATCCGAGACGTGTCGCGGGGCAGCTCAGTTCGGTGCCACCGAATAACTGGGGTCTGTTGCGGAAAGTGAGAAAAAAAAGCCCCTGACTCATAGCTGTCAGTTGCGATGCGATGTGTACGAGTAGAGGCCGTGATGTGATGCGATGGCACTGTTGCAGTTCTGATCTGACCTCAGATAAAACACAACACGACTGACTGACTTGACTCGGCTCACGACTCGATATGATTTGATTTGATTTGATCTATCTGCTCGTGACAGCCATCAAAGTATGAAACCTGGGGGCGGAGCCGCTTTCTTTGATTCGATTCGGTTTGATTTGACTTGCTTTGATTTCCCCCAGTCTCACTCAACCGGATAATATTCTTTCGCCACTAGACGTCTCCCCGAAACAAAGAGCAGTCCGACCGGGCCAGACTCATCTAGCCTCGCCTCACCTCGTCTAGGGTCACGACGGAGTTCGTAATCTCCCCGAAATAGAATGTTTCCCTCCCTCCTGACTATTATTACTCCCGCCCTCCGGAACTCCGTAATATCCTACGTATCCTGCGACGGACATCTCCCGCGCCCGTTCGAGAAGGCTTCTACCAGACGCACTCGGCATCTTCCCGACTGTGACAAGCCGGGGCCTGAACCTGAAGTTCGAAATTTGCACTGTGGCCGACGGTGCGTCTTCGCGGCCGCTTCTTCGCTTTTCCGCCTGGGTGCCATCCACCTCGCTCTCTTCCTTTGATTGGCGCTGAAAGGCTAAAAACGGCCTGAGTGCACTGCACGGTGCTGCGCTGCTGCGTACTGCGAGTTTGCAGATAGGTTGCGGATTGTACTTTCGTATCGGGCAGATACTTCTTGCGTCCGTCTGGTAGATACTAGTATCCGGCGGGTAGAGCACAGCGGGTGTCTACAGATTTCATGTATAGAATGTTTGAAAATTGCAGTTAGGACTGCTTGGACTAAATTCTCTGATGGTGAGGGGCTGCCCTGCCCTGCCCCTCCCTCCAACGCCTCTCTCTTTCTCTGCCTCAGTCGGAGGCGTCAGGCACTCGGCGGTACAGGTTCAATATGTACTTTATTCCGACCATGCATGAAATTAAGGGTCCTGGAGGGTGGATGGTACAGGAACTTGACATGGGTTTGGAGGCAGCTCAACTGGCGGTGAATCTTCTCTTTTGGGAGGCGTTCTTCCAGGGTTCGTGGCAAGATGCTTTGTGCAAACATTTTAGAAGTGTCAGGTGTTGTGCACTAGGGTGTGTTGCGCTGTCCTGGGGTTTGCCCTACTTGATACCGAAGATGAACAAACTGGTCGTGCAAGGCGAATCGCCCAATGCGTTATCTGGCTAGCCCCTTCATTCTGGATTGTACTGTAGGATTCAAATTTGATTGTAACAGCCTTATCTTTCCATCTCGCTAGTATCTCTAGTGCAGTCTAGTGTTCCATGTTTGTAGAGTACCTCCGTGCGCTCAATCAGAGTGCGCTGATAAGGAAATATATCCATTGCCCAGGTGTCTAGCAGTTGCAAGACTGAAGATTTGCACCCCCTTCCAAGGTTCCATCCAGGGCTTCACTTGAGTCTCACAACTAAGCCTTGGAATACACTCCCACATGATCTTTACTATGAACGTGCCCAACTAGCCTGACAATGCTACACTCGCTGATAGGACGATGGCGCGGGGTTCAACCTGCCATCTCGAGCTAAGCTCTCGTTAGCGGCCAACAACTCCACTTTCCAAGCATCGCAACTGCCTACAAGCCTTATCTCGATACTTCCCCGCGTTCTCATGATTGCACTAGTCTCTAACAGAGTCCAACTTTGTGCCATGGCGAAAGACGGGATAAAACTGGACGGCACACGCCGGTGCAATTGCGCGGCCATTTGACCCAACGCATTCCTCGCAGACACTGGCATCTTGCGCATGCTCTCCTCAATCTTTCCACTGCACCATGGCCGATACTATGGATTCCAAAGAGCTCGAAGTTGAAAAGGTCACCCCTACCGTGAAAATGGAAGAGGAAGGGGGAGAGGAGACTTCTGACTTAAAAGAGCCAGAGGAGATTATTGAGAATGTCGAGTACAGCTACGAATCGCATCGGTCTCCGTTTCCAGAGGGTGAGTGCTCATTCACTGCCCTGTGAATGTCAAGTTTGAATACTCACAGTTCCAATAGTCAGATCTGTTGTTCCCGAAACAGACGATCCCAGCATGCCCGTCAATACCGTGCGCATGTGGGTTCTGGGAGTGATGTTCACGGTTCTTGGCTCCGGCATCAACCAGTTCTTTTCACTCCGATATCCATCGGTGCATATTGTTGCCCTAGTCGCAGAGCTACTTGCTTACCCGATGGGTGTCTTCTTGGCAAAAACACTTCCCTGGCTACCATTTCGTTTGGGCCCCTTGGCACATTCACGCTCAACCCAGACCGGAAATTCAATATCAAGGAACATGCACTGATTGTTATTATGAGCAATGTTTCCTTTGGGTATGCAACTGCTGACTCGACAAACATTATCCAAGCCGCCAGCGCAAACTTCTACAATTTTAAGCTGAAGACAGGCTTCTACGTCTTGATAGTCCTATGCGCACAGCTCCTCGGCTTCGGAGTCGCTGGGCTCGCGGCTCCGTGGCTGGTTGAGCCAGCTCGTATCATTTGGCCCGGCGTACTGTCCAATTGCGCTATGCTGGAAACTCTGCATTCGCGCAGCAACACAGTGGCAAATGGATGGCGCGTCTCTCGTCTGCGCTTCTTCCTCTTTGTCACAGGGGGTGGGTTCCTCTGGTACTTCTTCCCAGGTCTGATATTCACAGCATTGTCCTATTTTACATGGGTCTGCTGGATCGCCCCCAAGAACGTCGTTGTGAATCATCTATTTGGCATGCAAACTGGATTAGGACTTAGCCCGATCACATTCGACTGGAGCCAAATCGCGTACAACACCAACCCTCTCCTATCTCCGTCATGGGCTGCAATCAACGTATTTGCTGGATTTGCCTTCTTCTTCTGGATCATCGTTCCTATCCTATACTACACCAATGTTTGGTTCACAGCATACCTGCCCCTCATGACCAGCGACGTCTATGATCGCACCGGCGCCTTGTATGATACTGCCCGAGTCATCGCCGCAGACCATCAGTCTCGACGAAACCGCGTACCGCAACTACTCGCCGCCCTACCTCGGCGCAACATTCGCCTTTGTGTATGGCCCTTCATTTGCCGCCATCACATCTGTTCTCTCTCATATTGGTCTCTGGCATGCTCGCGACGTCTGGGCAGCCTTCAAAGGCCGCAACAAGCTAGACATTCACGCTAGGCTTATTCGCGCATCCTACAAACAAACTCCATGGTACTGGTATGGCGGAATTATCCTTGTCATCACAGGCATGTCAATTGCCATGGTCGTAGTTTACGACACTAGACTCCCTGTCTACGGCATCTTCCTGGGTTTGATAATTCCCGCTTTGTACATGATCCCGTGTGGAATCGTTCAGGGTATTACGAACGTCGACGCAAACCAACTCAATGTGCTATCTGAGTTTATTGGTGGATATCTATTCGAAGGGCGTCCACTCGCAAACATGATTTTCAAGATCCTTTCCACAGATGTCGTGGGACAGGGGGTCTATTTCGCCATGGACATGAAGTTGGCACATTACCTCAAGGTTCCGCCTCGTACGACATTCGTGGCACAGGGCGTCGCGACGATTCTTGGCGCCCTTACCCAGGCCGGTGTCACGCTTTGGATGCTGGGTCATATTGATGGGATCTGCGAATCCGATCAGTCAGATAATTTTACCTGTCCCAATGGGCGGACGGTGTATTCCTCCTCGGTGATCTGGGGCCTTGTAGGTCCGCGTCGGCTCTACTCTGCCGGCAAGATTTACTCGGGACTTCTTCATTTCTTCTGGATCGGTGCTCTTGCTCCTGTCATTACATGGCTCATGTACCGCTATACTAAACAGCGGTTTTGGAAAATGATTAATTGGCCTCTGATCTTCGTAGGAACTTACAATGTTCCACCTGGTATGTACTTACCCGACAGTCTGCATTTCTCCGTGCCAATACCTTTCATAATCACTAACCTTTCTGATCTGTTAGCTACTGGAATCAACTACTCCAGCTGGGCCCTTGTCAATTTCCTCTTCAACCATTTCCTGCGTCGCAAGTTCTTTGCTTGGTGGACGAAGTATAACTATATTTTGGCCGCCGCTTTAGACACCGGTCTCGCTCTTAGTGGTATAGTCATATTTTTCTGTATTTCCTATCCTGGCGCGGTGTTCCCGGATTGGTGGGGAATACGGTCTACTTAAATACTGCGGATGGACAAGGTGTGCCGTACAAGGCTATGCCAGATGTCGGGTATTTCGGGCCTGCTAATGGGACATGGGCTTGATTGAGGCCTCGAGTCACGGTTTGTTTGTTACCCCCTGGGCTTGAAGGGATTATTTATCTTTCATGTTCAAGTTGCCCAGGTGCATACCCGGCTTTCAAGTTAGCATTATATGAACGCGTACTACTTCTTGAAGGAATATTGCAAATTCAAAATTCAAAATGTAAAAGCTACCCCCCCAGGGCTGGTACTAGTTCATGCTCGGCTTTATATACTCTCGCCCGGGGTCTCTTTTCTTACAAGATGACTGTCAGAAATGACGTGATTTTTTTTTTTTTTGAAAGAGTCCAACCCAAAAAGCTTTTGATGCGACAAAAAACAAATTAATAAATACCTAGTACTTGGGTAGATCTTGTTGAAAGAGCCCAACATGGGTTCCATGCCTCGGGGTGGGTGGTTGTTCATGCCTCAGGCACCCCAACCTCCGAAATGCCCCAAAAGAAAGACATCCCGCTTTTGCCGGGAATTGAACGGAGGCATAAAAACTTCAATCGTGCACCCTACCTCAACGAAGCATCTGTAAGGAAAAAAAAAACTGGTAGCTTCTCTTTGATTGAGCGTGTCATCCTTAGTGCAGGGGCCATGCTAATCTTCTCTGTATATTTTCATTTGACCAAATGTCCCGAAGGACATGAGGTTGTCCTGATAAGTGTCATATATACCCGCAAAATCACGTGATATAACCTCCACTATTGGTTCCCGCCGGCATCGTCATCGCAATCACCTCTCGATTTCTAGATCTTACCTTCTTGACCGCCGGGAACCGCTACGAGATTCTCACAGCCAGAGAAATGGTATGCCCTGCTCCAACGAATGACTCATTATCTCGCTCTGCACATTCTAACCTTGGTCCTTTTCAAATAGCCTCCCAAGAGGCGCGGAGCTCCCGCCAGCTCCTCCGCAGCAGCTCCCAAGCGCGCGCGCCAATCCAAACTAGCCAAGGAGAACAACATCTCCGCCGAAGAGGAGAACGAAATCAAAGAGGTCTTCCAGCTCTTCGCAGATAAACACGAAGATTTCCCGAAAGAGAAAGAAGGCGTCATTCCCCGCGAAGATGTGCGCAAGGCATTAGTGTACGTCCAGTCCAGTCCAGACCATCCCCTCCGACCATTATTCCACTTGCTTCTGCGCCAACAACACCGCAAACTCACCCAGACTACACATTACCAATTCACTTCACTTCGAGATAACACTAACATCCCCACTTCTCGCAGAGCCCTCGGCCTCCCCCCATCAGACTCAACCGAACTGTCCGACATCCTCTCCGCCCTCGACCCAACCTCAATCGGCTACGTCCCCTACAACCCATTCGTCTCCGTCGCAGCAGCGAAATTACGCTCCCGCGACGACGACGCCCTGGTCGCCGAGGTAGACGATGCATACCAGCTCTTCACGCGCGGGTCAACGGGGCCGATTTCGCTGGGCCATTTGCGTCGCATTGCGCGCGAGTTGAAAGAGGACTCTGTCGATGATGAGTTGCTTAAGGATATGATTCTTGAAGCGAATGGTGGGGCTGGTCTTAGTGCTGGTGTTACTTTGGAACAGTTTCATGATGTTATGACTCGTGCTGGGGTCTTTTAGGATTGTGCTCGGGGATCTGATCCTGGCTTTTGATGGTTATGGTTCTGCGTTATGTCGCGCTTTTGTACAGTTTCTTTCTTTTTATGTGGTTGATTTTCAGGATGGATATATGGGTGTGGGTGGCTTGGTGTTGGGGTGGTGTTTGGGATTTGGCGTTTCTATTGCATAGCGTTGAAGATACTTTCTTTGAAGTTTGGACTTTTTCATGCTCAATCCAGACGATGAGTATTGTCTGTCCTGTGTTTATTCATCAACCAAGACTATGGATCAATCCACGATGATAATAATACGTGAAATTGGTTCGTTCATCATCCATTGATGACAGTGTTATTGTAGATACATTCCATCCTCCAACCGCAATAGCAATTTAAAAGAAATTAAGTCCGATACCGAAAAGAAAGAAGAAGCCTGGAAGAACACACCCATGAAGAAGCAAAGAAAAAAGAGGAGAGCAGAAGACATGACCCGCGCATCAACTATCAAATTCCTCCGAGATAAGCCAAGCACGGCTCATCCCCCCATCCACGTGCATCAGGTAAGAACAAGAGCAAGCGCAGACGACTGTGAAGTAGGCGCTATTTAGGAGATCTCAGCCATGCCAAGGTCCTCGCCAACGTTGGCCTGGGGAGCAGCGTTGACAGGAGCAGCGCCCTGGGCAGGGACATTCTCGCCGCCGGCGAAGTAGTCGACCATCTCGGCGTCAAGCTCCTCAACGGACTTGGGCTTACCACGGCCAGGGTTACGGCCCTTGCGACCCTTGGCGCCACGAGCTTGACCCTTTGCTCCTTCGTTGGCGTTGGCATTGGCGTTGGCGTTGTTCTTCTTGTTAGCTCCGCGGCCAGCCTTGGCAGCGGTGGCAGGCTTGGGCTGGGACTTCTGATGACTATCAGAGAGTTAGCAAGGGGCCGGATTATCGAGAGAATGTCGAAACTTACGCGATGCGCTCGGTGAGCGGCTTGGGGGCGGGAACAGTCGGGGCGTGGGAGGCATCGTAGACAACCTCAATCTATAGAATCGTCAATAATCTCTTCCATAATAGTAGAACACAATGCTTCTGACCTTCATGGGACGGCCATCGACATGGAGACCATTAAGCTCCTTGGCGGCCTTGGCGGCAGTGTCGGCGCGGCCGAAGATGATGGAGGCGATGCCACGGCTGCTTCCGTTTTGGTTGTAGGTGAGCATCACCTTTTTGACGGGGCCTGCAGACTTGGTGAAATATTCCTATAGCGCAGACGATCAGTATGCTGCGTCTGATAGTTTCAGTTGAATCAACGGCAGTCGAATCTCGAATGAAAAACGACAGCGACAGCGCAAACGAAAAGAACTGCAAGTCCGACGAATGAAAGAGCATCAGCGAGCACATAGCGGCGATCGGTCGAATGTTGTGTTCCTAGAACCGCCGACCCACTCTCCGCCTTCGCGGAGACAAAATCCTCTACATTCCAGTTGCACAGACACGATATCAATCCCCCACCGAAATCAAATGGCGCCCCATCCCTCATAGTTTGAACAATCAAGCGCGATAAGTCTTCGAACGACACATGGTGGCCTCACAGTGCTACCAAGAATGCACGCCTTTGTTGCTGCAATTGATAACAGAGTGTTCCACCCTGCGTTCTCATGATCGCCCTCGGTTGATAAACACAATCGCATGATGAAATGCTGTACAAGCTATCCCTCAAGATTCACGCCAATGGGATTCACCCCACCGAGTAGTGCAACTGGAAGGGAAGCCGAAAAAAAGATCCCGCGATTGAGGGCGCCCGAATTTGTTCACAAAGAGATGCCCGCTGTGTCACTGATGCGCTCGCTGATGCCCTCTCCAAAGCTCAAAAGACGAGATAGGAATAGTATGAGCGGGATTTCGAAAACAAAGTGTAGGATGAAGATGGTCATCTTCAATCCTCGGCACAGTACTCGGATGATAATCAAGCGGTGGATCACCTCTGGGTAGGGATCGACACGAGCAGAATACATCTGGTCACTGAAGTGACAACGCTTCCACTTCCTGTATCGCAATATGCCAACCAGGAAAGAGAGAAAATGTTTGCAGATACATGTGGAAGGAGCGTCTGTCTGTGCCGGGAGCGCGCTGGGCACTGCCAACAGGCGGGGAGGGTACAGAGGAACAGAACAAGTCGGACATGCGAGTTGAAGTCGTTTGCACCTCGAAGAGTTCGAAAGCAAGATGGCGATCAAAGCCAAGGCGAAGGCCTCTAGATCAACATACCTTGATATTGGCCTCAGACACATCGGACGGCTTCAAGAAGTTAGCAAATGCTGAATCATGAACTGGAGAGGGGTGAATGGATGCTTACCAGTCCGCTCACGATGATCTTGCTGGATGCAGCTGGAACCGGGGTAGGGTGAACCGCCTTCGCAGGGGCCTTGGGGCCTCTGGAGGACTTCTTGACGCCTCCGACCGTGGGGGGCCTTGGCAGTAGCGCGACGGTTTCCACCGCGACGGCGAGCATTCTGGCGACGGTTGCCGACGAGATCGTCGAGCGACTTGTCCAGGTTGGCAGACATCTTGTGGGAGAGAGAGATGGAAAGGTGGTGATTTGGAAGAGGAGAAGTCGCGATCGGAACGCGTTGTCAAGATCGGATGCGCCGCTTGAAAAAACAGTACTTGGAGAGAGTAAGAGAGTTGGTGCGAAGTAAAAATTGTACTTGGTTGGGAGCTTTTCCTTTGGATGGTCAAGGAAAAGTTAGGAGATAAGAGTGAGAGGGAGAGGGAGAGTCAGAGGTCAGAGAGAGGTGAAATGGAACAGGAGGGAAAGGGAGCGAGACCTGGCAGGGCGCCCACAGCCACAGCCACTGGGGGCGATGGACCACTGGACGGGCTAATCCTCTTTGGGCGTTGGGCACCGGAGGGTGTTTGTTCCGTTTGCATCGAGGCTGAGTTGACACTGACACTCCCTTTCATTAAGAGCTGCAGGTTGTTTGTTTGAGAATAATTGCACTTACAGATGCTGGTTTTATGGAATGGGGAATTTCATATATGTTCACTATCTCATTGAGATTGTCTACTACTGGTTCTAATTGGTATGCCCACCAAGATTATGATGACATCCATACTACACTTATACAATGCAGTCAAGGCTGGTTGAATCATATATTTGGCCCCAGTGTGATTAAAAACATACTACAAGTATTACTAGCAGACTAGTAGTACTAGTAATAGATTACAGAGCTGCCAAGACAAATACTGGCTACTGGGTGGATGTAGAATTACTTTGTTTCATTCTATATGAGGTCCAGCTCGCGAAGAAATCAATAAAGAACTCCCGCCAAACGCCTGCCAATGGGGAAACGCAGAAATAAAACAAAGGTTCTGGAAACAGGATAGTGGATGGTGCGGCGTATCCAATGCCTCAATCACTGTAGAGGGGGTGGGGGGTATATCAGCTCTTGAGAGCCTCCAGGCGGCCTCGCATCTCGTCGAGAGTCTTCTCTTGATCTTCGAATTCGGGCTCCTCGGCGACTGGGGCCTCTTCTGCGATTGGCTCGGTGGGCTTGGCGGGTGCTTGGGAGAGTTTGCCCTGCAAAACCTCTTGCAAGATCTTGTCCACCTCTTCTTCTGCCTCCTCATACTCATCTTCAAATAGCTCATTGTTGGGGATTGCGTCATCAATGACTTCCTCAATAATACCGGCTCGGACTAGCTCGGTCGATAGTTGGTGCATCGTGGATGACAGCTCCGGTAAGCGCACTAGCGTGTTCACATCTTTCATGATTCCCGTAGACTTCTGGAGGCTGCCCTGGATCTTGCGCACAGAAAAGGCCTCGTTCACCTGCATCCCGACACTCTGTAACTGGGCCCGGCTTGTATTCAAACGGGTGGTTTGTTTCCGAATCCTCATAAGCTCCCGCGCAAAGGTCTTGGTTTCGCTGGTTGCCTGTTTAGCCTGTGACGGGTTTCGTTGCGCTCGTTTGGATGAACTGATGATGTGTTGACGGGTTTTGGTATCGAGACTTTTGAGATGGGCAAGATCACGGTCGAGTTGTCTGGTATTTGCGCGAATGAGGGTATTGCATTTTCTCATCTGGCCGGGCGAGTCGTCGTCAGCAGCTTTCTCTTGAAGCAAGTTCGCCACAGATTAGAGAGACGTACCTGGACCGCAGGGTCGGGCCCGAAGAAAACAGCCTTCAAGGACTCCATGGTCGTAGAGCTTGCAGTTTGAGGATCTGCGAAAAATGACAATGGCTAATCGGCTTCTCCAAAAGGCTGATCGATAGCGAATGATTTGCGAGCACTGGGTTCGTGGTATTCGTGGGGTGTGAAGAGAGATGCGCCCGAGTGTATTATCCTCCCACGGAGACGTGTGAGAGCGACGACAGAGTCACAGATACTGTTAGCTACAAGCAAAGCCAGGCGGACCACCAGACTGCTCGACCCTTCTCTGTTGCGGTCTTATCAGTTCGGCGATCCCAGGATGCCTGCGGCGGAGGAGGGGCGTGGGGAGCCATCACTGCTGAGTCAGAATTATTTATGCCTCAGGCTCTCAAGATGAACCAGGCAAACAAGGCAAACAGGCGTGTCAGTGTTCCAGTACCTTCTAGCAGTGTGAATGCGGGCGCCAATGCGTCTTTGAAGTGAGCTGCTTCCCTTCCCCCAACCACACACCTCCATCTCTTCTCCCAGTTCTTTCTTCATCTTCATCTCTATACTTCTCTAATCTATCCCTTTTCTCACTTCTCACCCCTCACCAAAATGTCCGGAACTGTCCACCCCGAAGGTACGTTTTGTGATAGCTTCGACTTCCCCGCTCTGAACAACTTGACCCTGCACATTTTGCGCGATCAGTCCGTGACGACGTTATCTGATTGCACGGGCCATGTTGAAACATGGAGCATGGGATAGTCTCCAATGCTGTATCCCATGAATTGGAAGTTGAAAGACCTGAGAAAAGCTAACTGGATCACCGGGTAGTTACCTGGGCCCAGCGCTCCTCCGACTCGGATCCCGAGCGCAACTACCTCTACGTGAACCTGAAGACTGCCGATGTCCCCAAGGCCGATGCTAAGCTGAGCATCACCGCCAACAATGTCTCCTTCACCGGTCCCTCCCGCAAGGGTGTCACCTACTCTGTCTCTCTGGACCTGTTCGGCGAAATCGACCCTGAGAACAGCAAGTCCAACCACACCGACCGTGAGGTCGAGCTCGTTCTGCGCAAGAAGGAGCTGAAGCTGGAGTACTGGCCCCGTCTGCTCAAGGAGAACAAGAAGGTTCACTTCCTGAAGACCGATTTCGACAAGGTATGACCTGCATCATGGGAAGCGGGGTAATTTTTGCTGATTGACGATTGGCTAACGAAATTCTCAGTGGGTTGATGAGGACGAGCAGGATGAGGCTACTGAGGATGACTATGCCAACAACTTCGGCGGCATGGGTGGTGGCGGCGAGGAGGGTGGCCTGAGCAACATCGACTTCTCCAAGCTCGGTGGCATGGGTGGTGCCGGTGGCATGCCCGACCTGAGCGCTCTGGCCGGTGGCATGCCCGGTGGCATGGGCGGAGCTGGAGATGACGAGGGCGAGGATGACGATGTAAGTGATTCAAATTCTATTCCGCAGTTCTCCTATATTTGCATTGTGGTACGGACGGATTGCTAACGGTATGAACAGGAGGACCTCCCCGAGCTGGAGGAGGCCGACCAAAAGTCGTCCAAGATCCAGGAGGTTTCTTAAATATCCTAACATGTAACCCCTCCTCTCTCTCTCTCTCTCTCTTTCTCTCTCTACAGAAGCTATGACGACCAGAAATGAAAAATACCGGTGCTTTTGAGGCGCCAGTGGGAAGGTGTGCCGGAGATTTTGGTTTTGCTTTAAATTTCCTCGATTGTTTGTAGAGCACAGCGACCAGGCTCAAGTTTGCTACTACTAGTACTGGCAAGTACTTGGCCTTATACATGGGTAGATCACGATTGTGAGGAACCTTCCTGATGAATGAATGCGGTGCCTATTTTTCAATTTTTCAATTTTCTTTCTCATTTCAAATCTTCTCTGTGGCCTTCCACCTGGGCACAAAGGATCAACTTATAAACTTGTAAAGACAGTACTTCTACGAATTACTGCCACCAAAGAATCACCTAATAGGTACTCGTAGTGTAAGTAGGATGTATGTTACCCAAGTCCCAACTCGAGCAGTTAGGGTTCTGCTCGAGTTCGTCCTCCTCCACTGCGCACTGTGCGCCCATTTTGACTGGGGCGATGACGCAAAGGGTCGACCAGCCGAGAGCGTCAAGTCACCACGAGGGAGATATTCAATTAGTATGAACCCTAAGTAGATACAGAATATTGAAAGTATCATTCATTTTCATTTTCATTATTACTCTTTAAATTGCATAAGGTGCTCAGAGGAAGCAACACGCGACAAACCAAATCTCTGAAAGATTGTTATACTCGGAGGGCATCGTCATTGGTCAGTGCCCAACTGTTTCCCGCCACACTCACACCCCTCGGACTCGGATTTGTGGAGGCTCCTTCAATCTCAGGGCTTTTCAACCTACTCAACCTCTCATACCTCTCACTCTTACGCGCCTAGGCCTTCCTGTGTCTTTCTTTTGGCATATCAGCGTTTTGTTTCTACGACCAAGCGACTCGTCCAACCCGCGCATCTCATCTCACATTTTTATCCCACTTTCAAACCACAAAGCCTAACCAGGCAAACTCGTCACCATGCCTCCCAAGAAGGCCGACCAGCCTAAGAAGAAGAAGACCACCGTCGATGATAAGGTGAGTCTCCTCAAACTATCCACACAATGTTGCCTTCGTACAAGAAATCTTTTGCTAACCTTAATTTCCTCCATCATTAGACGTTTGGCATGAAAAACGTACGTCAAAAATTCCGATCCGCCTCACCCCTCCCCCTCCCCGCGCAACGATAAAACCCTCCCCCGCTCCAATGACGCCCAATAAAACTAACCTTCCCAACAGAAAAAAGGTGGTGCCGCCAAGAAACAGATCCAACAGCTTCAAGCGCAATCGGCCTCCAACAAGACTCCCGATGACAAGCGAAAAGCCGCTGAGAAACTTCAACTCGCAGCCGAGAAAAAGGCCGCCGAGGATGCCAAGAGGGAGGCAGCAGAGCTATTCAAGCCCGTTCAGGCCCAAAAAGTGCCCTTCGGTGTCGACCCGAAGACTGTGCTGTGTCTCTTCCACAAGAAGGGTGGTTGTGAGAAGGGCCGCAAGTGCAAGTTCAGTCACGATCTGAACATCGAGCGCAAGGCTGCCAAGAAGGATCTGTACACCGATTCGCGTGATGACGAGGGCGAAGGAGAAGAAGAGGGAGGCAAGAAGGCCGACAAGATGGAGGATTGGGACGAGGAGAAGTTGCGCAGTGTTGTGCTCAGCAAGCACGGAAATCCCCGTACGACCACCGACAAGGTCTGCAAATACTTTATCGAGGCTGTCGAGAACCAGAAGTATGGTTGGTTCTGGACTTGTCCGAATGGAGGTGATAAGTGCATGTATAAGCACAGCTTGCCGCCAGGGTACGTGAAGAAGAGACCCAATACTATACTCACTTTCATATTGCTAGACACTGACATTCGCAAACAGATTCGTTCTGAAGACTAAGGAGCAGAAGGCGGCTGAGAAGGCATTGATGGACAAGTCGCCACTTGCTACTCTCACCCTGGAGGACTGGCTCGAGTCTGAGCGCCATAGGTTGACCGGTACCCTCACACCTGTCACCCCAGAGACATTCGCCAAATGGAAGAAGGAACGTATCGACAAGAAAACAGCCGAGTCAGACGCCCAGAAGGCCAAGGAAGCCACTGGTCGTGCCATGTTCGAGGATGGCGCCTGGAAGGAGGAGGAGGAGAGCAGCGACGAGGAGGATGAGTTTGCTGATCTGGTGGAGCAGATGAAGCAAACCCAGCTAGAAAAGGAGAGGCGAGATGCGGAGGAGTTCCTCGAGAGAACTGGCCAGGAGCTTCCCCCGGTGATGGATGGAGATGCCCTCGCACAGAGGGCCGAGGCCGAGGCTGCGGCCGCGGACTGATCTACTTTCGTCTTCTCACGAGACTACTATCATGGGTCTCTTGGCTCTCTTCCCGGCTGGATCTCGGAAAATTCGACTTTTGTCAGTCCGGTCCGTTCCTCACGGGCTCCGATCTGGGTGGCAAGTTGATCGCGAATTCGCAATCGCCTGTCTGACCTGATGCATAGATCATTGGCGTTTTCATGGGCTTTGTCATGTCTCTAGATACCCGGTTCATCACTTGTTGTTCATTAAGCCTTGGGAACCAGGATGTCTTTCCGCATCCTAGGGATTGAGAGTGGATGAGGGTTATGGCAACAGGGAGGGACAGGATTTAGATCTTCTGTTATTTGTGACGGAAGAATCAACGAACTGAAATATTGTTATGGAGTCTTGCTTTGGCTAGCAAAAAGTCCGTTTATTTCCAGTGTTTGCATGAGTTAATTCGATGATTCCCATTGTTTTTTTGCAAAATTTAAAGCGATCGGAGACGTTCCATGTCTTCTTCCTCTGCTTTTTCCATTGGCCGATCAGGCGATACCTAGTGGAAACAAATAAGTGTGTAGCATCATGATAATTTCATTGTGTTCCATGAAACATTGGAGGTTATGAACATTCAATGCTTCTAATTTTGGGAACCGAGCTCACGATGCATTGCGACTATCTTTATCGTTCTCACCCATATTTTTATATGAAAGACTTTTTGCTCGGCATACCTCGGTAAACCCTTGAATAGGAACTTTGCGTCTTCAAGAATATCAGTAGCTTTATGCATGTTCTATTTGGTTGTGTATTTACAAGGTTACCTCCAAGAGTATCTCTACAATACTGCTCTAGCCTGGAGCAGTCCATTCTCCAGCATCATCCCTGCTGTGTCCTCCGCAACACCCCAAGAGATCTCAAATCCCCGCCCGCCAGCCCCGTAGGCATGGACTATGTTCTTGCCATCGGCCAACTTTTCCACCTCCATTCGCATCCCGCCTTGACGAGCAGGTCGGCGTCCCACGATGTCACGAATCACATCGAACTGACCTCCGCTTTCCGGGGCAAAAGGGAACCATTTACTAGCGTTGGCAAGAAGTCGAGTCCTGATATCAAGGGAAGGATTGGGGTCCCACTCATGGGATTGTTTGGTACCTCCAATGATGGTTCCTCCATCTAGCGGGCGAGGGATACAGAAGGACCAGGAACCGTCTGTGTTCTGGCGAGTAATTGTTGCAGAGACGGGGTTGCGTACTAGACATGTTTGGCCTGTCCAGTGTCAGTCGTTATTTCAGTACTAGAGGGTCTAATTATATGACTTGTAGCACATACCTCTTATGATGAAAGATTCAGGGTCTTCAAAGCCCATCCCGGAGCAATTGACCACCGTTCTTACATTTTGCGCGAGGGAAAAGGCTTCCTTCATGTTGGCGAGTGTATACTTTTTCGTCTGACCACCCCTGACAATAAATTTGCGCAGCATATGCGCGCAGTAGACTGGGGAGTTAATCACCCATGTCCCGTATTCGGTACCCCATTTCACACCCACGGGCAGCTCGTCCCTTGCCAAGAGCCGAAAACCATCCACACTGGCGTAAACGTTGCGCAAACTCTGGGGGTCGGAGTATTCTGCAGGCGGTGCTTCGAGGTACTCGACGCCTTTCACGAACTTGATCCCGGCGGCCGGCTCATCGGCCGCCACTCGTTTGAGGTACTGATATGTTCGCTCTGCTTGGTTTGCTTCTCTAAGGACCTGTGGAGACGAGCCTGGCACGGGTCGATAATGTGCGCCAGCCCAGGGTGATGCGTAGTTGATCGATTCATCGGAGGGGAATTCTCTGGCCACGAGAAGCACAGACTGCGATGGAGAAAGCCGTTGTTGGATGCAGCTGGCGGTTGATAGTCCGATGACACCTGCACTGGAAAGTTCTCATATTAGCTAGAGGGCATATTATAGGGTAGTTGCAGACAGAAATTGATATGGACCTACCCTATCACGACGATAGTCTCTGGGTTAGCCATGGCAGATCATATGATTTTAGCGGGACCCAAAAATAGACTTGTAGCAGGGTATCGGCCGCGTGGGAAAGGTTGAAGCCGGAGGACCCTCAGCAAAGGAATTCTCGTGAGTCATGGGATGGAATCCGGGGAAGATAAGAGCCCCGCCATCCCACGTCAGATGATACGCTGCCAATGCGACATGTGGTGGGCCTGCAGTTCATCCAGTATGATGGGTTGGGAGAATGATTGTACGTACTCGTACTTTGGAGAATTCAAGCATAAAAAAAGAGGTTGTTTATCAGTTTACAGCTCTGTTACCTCTGTTTACGGAGTGCTTAGAAGTTCGAATGTAGTCAATAATAATGTGTTGGCGGCTTCTCCTCTCCGCCTCTTTCCTCCAATTTCCAACACAACGTCTTAAATGGCGGTGATCACACGTCGCGCAGACTCTGCGTCTCAACTTACCTTACCAGGCTCAATTGTGAACTTCTTGTGCTTGATACTCGTACTGCTATCACAAAGGGCCCAAGCTCCTACAGCAACACAGCAAAATGTGCCTGATGTGCATGAGGAACCCGGCGGGTTCCTCCAGGCACATAATCACATCACACAGTGGGGGCGAGCACTCTGAACTCCTGAACTCCTGAACGGTTCCCAAGCAACCCTCGAGGTGAAATTAAGGGCTCAAGAAACATGCCTCCGGGGCTGGTGGGTGAACTATGTTTTATGCCTTTGTGACAATCGGCACGACATCACCGTATGAAACACCCGAGACGGAACGGCCAGAATTCTCCGCAGCAACGATGGACTCCACCAATACCCACCAGCAGTTGCTCAATGGTTTCCAGGGCTTGACACTTGGCACGCCTGTTCTCTCCCATTTTCACTGAAAAGGTGAAGCGGCGCTCGCGATTGGCTGCCCGGTGTGATATAGGCGCCGAGGGATCAGCAGTGATGGGATGTGATTGGATGAGCGAGGTGATGAAGGTGCAGCTTGTCAACCACTGCACGGATCCTCGTCACATCAAGTGTCTCAGAACATTCACGGTTTCTTGCATTCGTTTGGTCTCTCGAGTGCGTGATTCTCGAGCCTTGAGGGAAGAGGGTATCAATGAGGGAAACAGACAGAAACCCCCCATGGAATCGAAACATCCTCCTTCAGGAGTTATCAAGGCTGGTCCTCTGCGTGCAACAACAGAGTCCGGGATCGCCTCTCCAGATGTGCAGACATTGCAGACTCGTGCTAGACCCACTCGCCAGATGATGAGGGTTCCCGTCTGTGATTCGGGAGCCTCCTGCATTGATCTAAACCTATAACTTTTTTTGCGACCACCCGTTCCGCTCTCTCGTTGGTGCACACTCACAGCATCAGAGCCACGCTGCCCCAGCCACCCAAGGCTCGATCTCACCGTCTCCGCTAATGATGTGATGCTGCAGTCTCCGATCCTGGACACGGGGGTTAGAGTGGATGCTCGGAGTGCTCGGTCGCTTCCCAACCCGCGCACTGTATGGTCGGTCGTGAAATGAAGCGCCTTGCCCTTCGCACCGGGCGCCAACCCCGATTGCTCGATGGCTAGAGATATGGATCGTCTGTTTGGAAAAAAAAGGAGAACTTTGCTTCTGTCCTACCAGCTGTTAGAATTTAACCCCCTGTTCATATCCTGGCTCCACGCGCAGGGAGTGGCGCCAGCTTTTTTATATCGCCTGCCGATATACCAGCGCATATACTTAGGGCGAAGGGTCCCCCGGTCACCAACTCTTCACCCCGCGTCCTGTGTCCTGTCACAACCTTACGCCCCTCAACGCTAATCATTTTGGAATGTGATAAACGTGGTGCGCAACGAAAAAGAAAAAGAAAAGAAATTTAATCCTGGTTCCTTCTTCTATCACTTCCCAACATTCACACACACCCCGGTCTGTTCGCTGTCCGTTCTACCCCATTCTTGCCTGGTCGCATATTCCCTCGCAGCTAGCTTTTGCCTTAATAGGGCCCAGATCATCGCTACAGCTTGCCCGCTCGATTCTCCTGCAGGCACTAAATCGCGAGGCGTTTCTCATCCCAAATGCCTGGTGCTACCCTAGCCATCTTTTTCTCTTTGCCTTGAGCGGTGCCAACAGGGTCGTGACCGATTAGTAACCTGCCCCTCTGGAGCTGGTCAGGTTCGTGATATTTCTTTCTTCTTCCTATCTTTTTTGTCTCTTTGCACTTTTGAATCCACTGGCCTTGGAGCTGCCAAAGTCGGGCAGCTAGCGCTTGCCGAGAAAGCTCGCCCTGCTAGACTCCAATTCCTCTCCGCATGCCCAGCATTTCCCCATATTTCAACAAGGCAAAATGGTTGAATTAACATGGAATAGAAGCTTGCAGCCAGCCTCGCGACCCTCGAGAACCGTAAAAGCAATGGCGCCGCCGCCAGCCCCCGAGTCTCGTTTCGAGGCCTGCGCTTCGACAGCGTCGTTATTCCTGTATGCCCAAGGTTCGACAATATTATGTCTCCATCATGATACATTAGCGGTGGAGCGGCGCTTTACAAGTCACCAGGAAAAGATCGATTTTATCTCGGTAGACAACGTGAGCGAACGTGGCGCAGGGAGATTGGTTGTGAGCTACGATGTCGGCCAAACGGCGATTGTATGGGATATTTTTACCGGGACCGAAATTGCGCGATTTGCTTCTTTTGAACAGCTGCGAGTTGCGTCATGGATGCGGAATGGGAATGTCGCATTTGGTATGGGCTTTCTGCGCTGATTAGAACTTGGATCTTTTGCTGATGGCAGTGGAATGCAGGTAATGGGAAAGGCGAGGTCATTCTCTTTGAGCCTCCTACCTCGGAACATATATCCGCGCGCACCATCTTCGATCCTATCACATCTCTTGCCCCGGCCACAGATTGTCGTACTTATGCGATCGGGTACGTTTCAATCGCCAGTCGACCTCATGCCATTACTACAGCACTAACGAAATTTAATTAGCTATCAAAATGGATCAATCTTGATTGCCAATCTTCTCCCCCAATTTACTATACTCCACACACTGACTACTTCACGTGGGCCATCCCCAATCATTTCAATTGCCTGGCATGCCTCTTCATCGAAACAGAAATCAGACATGTTGGCAACGCAGGCGTCAAATGGCGATTTGAGGGTTTGGAGTGTGGCAAAGCCCCCCGGAAAAGAGTCGCCCAGGGTAATTCGAGTCTTGAAACGGTCCGACTCAACCTCCGAGGATCCTAAATGGATGTCATGGTCTAAAAATGGTCGAATTGTGCAATATCTCGAGGGGTGAGTATTATCTTTGTTTTACATTGCAACTCTTTGGTGATATTTGAGTATGCTGACTCAAGTCTTTCTCTACTTAGTGAAACATGGTCTTGGGACGTTCGAACCAAGCATGTCACTTATGAGCCAATTCCCACAGTAGAGGGAGTACGGGGTCTTGCAAGCTATGGTCCTACAGCCACACTCTTTACTCTTGGTCCCCAAGACACTGTACAGCAGTATGACTTGGATAATCCGGCAATGGTTGCAAATGTACAGCATCTCCGATTGAATTCTCGGTCAGGAACATCAGAAGGAAGTCGGTCACGGACAATGTCTCCCGGGCGCTTGCAAGACGCCCCGGAGATTCGGGAACGTGGATCCGGAAGACGAACGCCATATGATACAAATGGAATCGACAGCGCGAAGCAGCAAAGATCGGACCTTGTCAGTCCTGCTTCATCAAGGAGCCGAACGGAATCTGTTAGCTCTAAAGCCTCATCTGGGAGGTACAAGGTCGAGCGACCTTTTTCACCACCTAGCCGATCTGCTCAGAGTGGTACTTCCTTTTCGATGACATCCATTGGTCGCGATACACCGCAACCATCCGCCACCTATCCATATGCTTCATCCGTGTCAATGTCATCGGTGAAGAGTTCTCGTGTTGGATCTCGATTAAGAAACGAAGTCCAGAGGAGCCCCGCGGAGAAGAATGTTGTCGACTTGTTTCCCTTCATCCGAGCACGACTAAATGATGTTCCTTATAAATCACACCCGCCTATCGATGAGAACCATCTGACACCCGAAGATTTACGACAGCAAATGTTGAATGTTGTTTTTGGGTGGGAAGGAGATACCCAAGACCTTATTAGAGATGAGTGTATGTCTCCGTACCATATCATGGACCCCGGCCTACCTACTAACAAAGCTTTTAGTGGCTCGACACGCACCGGAGAGCCAAAGTGCCGTTCTTTTGGCACAATGGCTTGGTGAGACCGATACGGATCAAATGGCTAGCATGATCAAGCCAGGGCAAGTGACTGGGTTTGACTGGATGGTTCTGGCTCTGAGCCAAATGAGTCGACAAGCGCAAGCGAACAAGGTTGGACAGGCATTCGTGCAAAAGCTGCTAGAAATGGGAGACATTCACACGGCAGCCTCTATCCTATTAGGTCTCGGTGATATCAACGATGCTATTGAGGTCTATGTCTCTCAAAATCATTTCATGGAAGCAATTTTAATGACCTGCCTTTTCTTACCATCGGACTGGCAACGTCAGTCATACCTTGTTCGTCGATGGGGAGAGTATGTTGTTTCGCATTCCCAACAACAACTCGCAATCAGGTGTTTCATGTGCACTGGTGCTGAGCCTACTGAGCCTTGGACCTCTCCTGCTGCTCAACAGGCTGCCTCATTTGCAGAGGTGATTAGAGGAAAGTCACCACTTGCCTCCCCTGACCTCAACCAACCTCATAGCGCAGGCCTACTCGTGCCACCTCCACCTCGCCCAAGATCAGCTTCCAACCAACAACGTCAAGCTGGAAAAGGACCTGCTCTCAAGTTAATCACATCATTCGACCCGCAGCCGCACAACCGCTTCAAATTCCCAGGGTTGAAATCTGATGATCGAACTCCAACAAATGCACCTGGCGTCACCCCAATCGCGGAATCAGCCGTGGCTGACTCGGCTCTGTCTCCTGGAGGGCTTTGGGTCCTATAAGCTCAATAATATCCAGAGTTTGAGCCAAGCCATGACTTCACGAACAAATACACCTTCCTTTAATCGCCGGCGCCTACCTTCAATTGGAGAGACTCCAGTGGATGTCCACCCCCGACATTTTCTCGATCAGGCTCTTACAACAACGCTAGCGGTTATGGCTCAACATCGGAGAATGAAGATACAAGCGGCCACGAACAGAGTCGAGATGAACAAAGTGATAGTGGCTTGTTGACACTTTCCGCAACCGTATACAACCCTGGGCAGGACTCGTTGAAGCCAAGTCCTCAGACTGCTGTACAGGCTATGGACAAATTTGCGTCCATCAAGGGACTTCCATCTCCCGCACCCGGTGTTTTTGAAGCCCTGAAAGATCATTCTGACCTCCGCAATGGCTCGCGTGATCGCAAGCCAAATGGCCTCCAGATTGACCTGGTAGATGCAGAAGAATGTCAGCCAGATCAACATGATCAGTCAGGCCTACTCCACAGTGCCAAGAGTGCCCATAGCTATGCTTCAACAACCAAGAGCCCGAGTGTTCGAAGCATTGATCAATATATCAGCAGTCTGGACGAGGCAAGCTACCGCGTCCATGCAAAGAAAAGTCATAGTCATCGTTCAAACGGCCGCGGGAGAAGAAACACAGATGAAACTGCCAGCCAAGGCTCACGCCCTCATCACTCTCGGGAAGCTTCCCAGGAAGTCCGTGGCCGGAATGAGCGTAGATATATACAACCAGCCAAGCGATCACCTTCCTCGCCAGTGCCCATGTCACCTGAAGAATTGGCGCAGTATGAAACCGCAGGCCCTGAAAAAGTCGATGAATCCGGAAAGAAGTCACGCTCTCGCGCTAGGAGTTCAAGCAAGATGAGAAATCCAGGATCACGCAGTCGCCAACGCTCTTCTAGCAAACGCGCGGTAAATCGCGCTGGGAAAGAGGCATCATCCCGTGGCCGTAGTGTTGATCGTCAAGGATCTACTATGAGATCACCATCTTCGCCGCTTCCCATGTCGCTGCCTATGACACTTCCCAACCACGAGCCTGCCAAATCGAATGAGACAGATGATCCACTTCGAATTGTTGCCGGGAATCGGGAGCGGCTTCGTTCACAGCACAGAAGTGCCAGTCGTCGCCGTGCAGAGAGAGGAACTAGTTCTAGAAGAGAAGGGTCAACAGAGTCCAGACATCGACCTTCCTACAGCCAACCGGAGATTCGACACATTCCGGAGCCAGAATTACCCGCCCAACCCGCGGGGCTTGAATTGCTGAGCAGCAAGACCTTTGGTCAGGAAGACACCTTCGTCCCTGTGAACAGCCAGGACGTATACGATGCCGACGCCGCTGCTGCCGCGGAGGAGGCCCAAGATATAGTGTCTCCCATTGTATCCCCAACTACCCCGTTTGTTAGCCTGGCCGAGAGAAAGAGGAGAGAGTTGGCAGCTGCAGAACTAGAAGCACGCCGACTCTCACTTGCCCGCAACCCTTCTGCTCCCAACATCCCCTTCCCGGGTGATCTGCAGTCCGCTAGAAGCCCAGTCTCTGTTCGAAGTCCTGTGGAAAGCCCTCCTCCATTTTCGGGCAACTCCTACTTCCCTCGAGTTCCATCTCGAAACAACATCCCCCCGAGCAAGAACTCGCCAGAATACCAAAGCGGATCCGACTCCAGCTCTGGTCGCTCTGGTCCTCCTCTTGGACTTCCAGCAACACCACGAGCAATGCGACACCCCAAATACGGTGGTAATGGCATCGAGCAAGAGCGTCCTCCTTCTGTACCTGCACTTCCCACGGATAGCTATGGCGCAATTCTCCTCTCTGATGCACGATATCAAGGCGAAGCAGAAAGAATTGGTCGGTCAATGTCAGTCCCCATGCCAGAAGGCCAATTCAAGAATTCTGCACCGGTGCCAACGGACATCCCAATGCACCCACGCTTCAACCCCAATCTCCCTCGAAGCCGTTCAAACAGCCGTAGCCGCAACATGAGTCATCGACGCACGAGCTCCGGTGGTTATATCTCTAGTACATCGCCGAGCGTCACGGTGAGCATCGAGGAGACAATCGAGGCTGCAATGCACAGGAGACCATCCGCACATTATGTCGAGACCATCCCACCTCCACCTCCACCTCCGATCCTCCCAGAGCTCCAACATCTCAACACACCCCCTCCCCCACCTCCGATACCCGGATCCAATGACCCCGTCTCGCCTCGTGATTCCTCTGCTACCATCGACGTTGCTATTGACAGTGTCGATATGGGCCGCTTACTCCCCCGTGCCATGACCGCCGCTCCAACATTGAATGCAAGTGAGGCCCGTCAGAGTATCGGCCGGCGCATGTCGTTCGATCACCGGCGCAATCGCAGCTCCAATGAGAGTTTCACCAACAAGCTGCGCAGTCTAACCCGCATGCGCAGTAACAGCCGAAGCGTGGAGCCTTGGACAACACACCAATACGAGAACGAAATGCCGTACGAAAGTGTGCAATCACATACTCTGGCACCCGGGCAGAGTTACGGCATCTGATCGAATGACCCCAACTGAACTACCTCTGATGACCTTGCATGATCTTTTACACCTACTACCCAACCACATTTGTTTTCAGTTTTGCTCCTTCTTCCTCTTTCTTGGGCTTCGATAGCGTTATAACGTCATATCCTCTCATCTCTTTCTCCCCTTGGTCATTTATACCCGCCCTCGCTATCTAGTTATTTTGTGTTATTTATTTTCCTTCGTCGAGTTCTCATTAAGCAAATTGTTTTCCCGGTATTTGGATCACGCCATGGTAGACCCTTAAGAGGTCTTATTACTTTTCTCGAAATTTTCATATCGCCACTGCTTCCCAGACTCGACAGCCAGTCTTCTGGTTAGGGGAAACTCGTGTCAATAAGAACCGAGTATATATGAAGCCCGCCGCACGACATGGATGCAACCTGCAAACAGCAGAAATTGAGATCCATCAGTCACCATTGATTAAACAATCAAGGCGATCATTAATTCACTTGCTAATCGGACCAAGAGACAATACGACAGAATCAACAGCAAATGTTCAAATAGAGGAACAACGCAAGTTTTGGGTGATGAAGCTGTTATATGAGCTGAAGTTGAGTTGAGTTGAGTTGAGCTGAGTTGAGTTTTGGAGGCTAAGGGTATTACGTTGGGTGTTGTCTAAGGGCCCAGAGACCATCTATCTAGAGTGGGCAATAAAAGTAGTTAGGACCAACAATTGTATTTTCATTCCGTCCTCCTATATGACAATTTTGTCTTCCGTAAATTCTGTAAGGGTCATCTAGATATTTTGGGGGCTGGTGAAACCGTTTAAACAACAGTCTCCTTGCAGGCAATGCCGTATTTCTCCTAAACATGACCGATTAGCATACTGAGCTTCATACAAAATGATTTTGTTTCTTGCAAAGAAGTAGAAAAAGATGTCTAGCTTACCTTAAGCTCCTTGATGAGAGGGTTGTTGATCTTGCCGTTCATGGGGGCGAGAACTCCCTTCTCAGAGAGGGTGCCGTTCAGGACCTGCTTGACAGCGACCGCGCAGGGAACACCGACTGTATATCATTAGTAAACGTCCAAGGGCACATATTTATCGCGAGCACTTACCAAGCTTGGCCATGGCGGAGTAGCCGTTGGGGTCCAGGCTGCCGTACTCAACGAGAGTGGACAGGCGGGTCTCCTTGGAGCCGTCCTTGTTCTCAACCTCGAACTTGTGTTGCAGGCTTTGGATAGAGTTAGCGTTGTTTGTTTTTCTGGGTCTCGACTTTCTGAACTTACATGACGATATCACGCTCGCCCTCACCGTACTGCATCTTCTTCTCGAGGGTGGCGCAGATGGTGTCCAGAGGGTTACCACGGGGGATGGTCTGATGAGGTAGTGTTAGCGAATTACTCAAGTGGTCTCGCCATGGGAAATAATTACCTTCTCATCCGAGAAGGTTCCGAGCCAGCGCAGACCACCGATGATGTGCTGCTTCTGGGTCTCGTCCTTGAAGTTGGTCTTGGCAGAGATAGCCTTGACCAGGGTCTCCTCGTCAGAGGCGGAAGCGCCAAGCTGCTTCTGCAGGACGTCCTTCCAGGCACCGGCCTGCTTGAAGGTATCCTGCTCAGCATCGTCGAGGAAGCCAATGTCGACAAGAACCTTGACGAACTCGGGGAAACCGGCGTAACGGAGAGTACCACTAAATGAAAGTTAGGACATAGGCCAGAAAGCAGATGGATATATACTATGTACCGGACGATAGTCTGAGCCTCGGGGATGTTGTAGCGCTCCTTGTAGGGGGTGGAATCTCTGTTGGGGTACGCGACAGTGGCGAAACCGGGGTAGATGTGGTAGGGCTTGGCGGTAGCCATCAGATCTATAACAAGCATTAGTGTATAGATTCCTCAAAATTAGACCATGGGTGGATCGTACCGGGGCCAGCAACATCGACAATCTTGCCATCCTGGTAGAAGCGAGCAGCGTTGCGCAGGGCAAGCAGGACACCACGAGGAGACCTTAATCCATATCTTATTAGCCTCGTATTTCAATGCTGAATTCTCGCGGCTTTCTTACCAGGAGAACTTGTATCCGAGAGGGTTTCCAGAGCTCTCGGGGGCGGGGAGACCACCACAGTATGACAGGAAAGAAATGATCTTTCCACCCTCCTGGTGAACCTCCTCAATGGTCTTGACGGCGTCTGGATAGCATTAGTATTTTATAGAGTGGGGTTATTCCAACGCTCAATACTTACACAGGTGGTCGACACCGGGGTCAACACCAATCTCGTTCATGACGGTGATACCGGCCTTCTTGCACTCCTCATCAAGCTCCAGCATGGCAGGGCTGACATAGCTAGTGGTGACGACGTGCTTCTTGGTGCGGATAGCGGCCTTGATAACCACAGCGTGGAAAGCTGGGTATGTTGTTAGCTCGGCATGGGGAATATTGTTGTAGATTCGGTTCTTAAGGACGCACTGTAGGGAATCAAGGAAATGACAAGGTCGTGCTTGGCGAGCTCAGCATCGAGGGCCTTCTCGTCACTGACGTCGAGGGAGATGGGGGTAGCACCCTTAACACCGGCGGAGAGAGCCTTGGCGGACTCGAGGGTTCTGCAGGCTAGTATATTGTCAGCGCATTGATCCAGTATGTATATAAACCGAAATCCATGATCGATTGCATACCAACAGTCACGGCAATGCCGGACTCAGTGAGAATGTCGAGGGTGGGCCGGGTGACGAACCCCGCGCCAAGCATCAATACCCTATATCATGCTATTAGTAGAGTTCATTAAAGCGTCAAATAGGGCTAGAATGGGTCGAACATACTTCTGGGCAGCCATTGTGAGGATATGGGATCAATTGAAAGAAATTGACTTGAAATCCGGGATCGGAGGGGAATGTTGAAGCAAAAGAACCGCCTCCGAGTCATCGACCCCACCACTGGCAATATATGCTGGGCCTCTCCGAGCTCGCTTCAAGTTTCTCGATTACTCATTCTGCCCCGCGGGTGCGGGGTCCATTAGGGGCAGGCGGTGGGGAACACCGGGGAACAACCGGCCCGGGGTAACTATTCAGTATAGGTACGCATGCTATTGGGGTATGGATATACTAGTAGTACTAGTGGAATGCGCTTAATTGCCATATGAAAATATAGGTAGATCAATGTTATAATACACGCCTATGCAGGAAGAAATTCCAAATATGAGATCACCAGTTACGACCGCGGGACGGTCCCTCACTCGACGCGTTTCGCTCCGCATCCATCATCTTGTCAAATTCGGCCTGGGCTTGGTCTTTTTCACGTCTTCGATCATAGTCATACCGATCCTGATCAATAGGAAGGGAATCGTTTGTCGACCCGGTATCGCTCTGTGCTTGTGCTTGGCCCCATTGACGAGGTGCTGCTGGTCGGGAGCCCTGTGCTGAATTCTGTCGTCGGATACGATCCCAGGCACTACCCGTGGACGTTCCAGTCATGCTGGTATTCCGGTATTCCGGTGCAGTAGGGCTTGCATCATCCTCGTCGTTAGAGCCGAAAAAGTCCAACTTGGAGTCTGATTGAGAAGACCCATTGCCCGAGTTCTGCGCGGAGCCATACGAAGACTGAGGGACAGAGGCATCCTGGCCATTTGGATTCGTACCGTATGCCGTTTCATCCTCGAATGAAACCGTCGCTGATGAGGCACTATCATCCCTAGACTGACCCTTCTCTCCTTGGCCAGTGATACCATAGCGAGTATAGCCCAGGTCCTCTAAAATTCGACCGGCAAAACCATAATCGAGAGTTTTCATACGTCTGTGGCGATCATTCGAAAGTGCGCGCTTTCTCGTTTGTATATCTTCCGGTGTCGAATTCTCCATAGCTGAGTTATATCCGCTCAAACGCGGGTCTTGCAAATCTTGAGCATATCTAAACGCCGCAGCAAATCGCGTGGTGAGACTGCTTGTAGTGAGGATGAAAAGCATCATAAAGCATTTTTGACCGAGCATTGTCCTGAAACCTGCCGGGTCGTTGAGACGAAACCCATTCAGCCCAGTGAAAAAGTTGGCAAGCGTGGGTTTCTTGGGATAATAGGGCGATTTGCGTGCTCCCAAAAATAGATATGACGAGCCGAGAAAATAAGTCATTGGGAACGCCAAGTCTTTGGTGTAAATCGCTCGAGATCCTGCTGCGGTAAAGACATCGAATTCGTCTTGCGTTGGGATGCGACCCGATGCGACCCAAAATCTCTCAACATCATGAGCCAACTCCCCTGCGAGACTTAATTTCCAAATCGTGGTACCCCAGAAGCCGAGATACAATGTGATAGGGTCGGGCCTCACAAGAAGCTCTGGCCGCACGCGCACCGGATTGCTATGTATGAGAGCGGGGTTCTCGCTGAGTTGAGGATTGGCGGTTGAGGTAATACCCCTGGGATTCCCACTTTCCTCACGGAAAGTATCGTCGAGAACCATGACGTTTTGTGCGGGAGGTGATTGATGGGAGCTTTAGCGGAGATGGAAACTTGGGAGGTCTAAAGCTCTCAGAAGTGACGTTATGAGATTAGTCATCTATGTATTAGTCAGGATTTCATTGGATCGGCAGTCAAAAGGACTTGTACAAAAGGAAAGAGCTAACGTGTCTTGCGCCAAGTCAAAAAGAACTCAGAATGTCAGAGATACTAGTAGGAAAAGTCCATCTATATCATATATGGATATACGATCTATATCCATACTTGGATAGTGGAAACAAAGTAGGAGCTCCGACTTGATGAAGTGATGTATACGTTATCAGCATCGAACCCACGAGTAGCTACTGGGATATTGAATACAGCATGAAGAAAAGTCAAACAATAGATTAAAACAGTAGCTCAATCATAATAAGTTTACCACTTCTCAATATATGGCCGCAGATCCAGCTCGAATGCAAAGGTTGTACGCGGCTGAGTATGCAAATGCCAATACGAATCCGCAATCTAGTAGATATGGTCAACTCCCAATGTTTCGAGCAGGGGGAACGTCAATTTTCTCAATTCAGACTTACAGCATCAGGACTCAACTTAGCATCTTCATGCTCGAACACCCAGGCCTTGGTGCGTGGGATATCAATCACACCGTCAATGATGGCATGCGACACATGGATCCCCTGTGGTCCGAACTCCCGGGCAAGTGATTGCGCCAATGCTCGAAGGGCAAATTTGCCAGTGGCAAAGGCAGCAAAATTAGCTGATCCCTTCACGCTGGCTGTGGCGCCGGTGAAAATTAAAGTTGGTGGGTGAGTTAGCTTTTCTTTCGCTTCAAGGAATAGAGGCAGGGCACGCTGTGCGATGTAGAATGCGCCCTTTCTGTTAAGGCAAAGCAGTTAGTAAAGTATTATTGCCATTCTATGTTGAATTGCTTTGATAGATCGACACAGGGGACAACACTCACGCCTGTGCCTCAAATCCCAGAGAGAACTCCTTCTCTGTCAGTTCCAAGAATGGCTTTCTGGCGAAACCACCACCGGAATTAAAGATCGTAGCAGCGAGAGGGGAGTCTGGGAACTTCTTCGCAATCTCATCAAATGCCGAATTAACGCTCTTTGCGTCTGCGACGTCGGTGCTAATGCCGATAGCTTGGCCGCCGCTACTGTTGATCTCTTGCACAACTGGATCGAAGTTTTCGGGGTTCCGAGACAGAACAACTACTGAATATTCTTTGGCGAAGCGTCGGGCAATGGATGCACCCTGTTCTTTCTGCATTAGATGGTAGACTGGAAGAGATCAGACGTCTTGGAAGCATACGGTGCCTGGGCCAACGCCAGCAATAACTGCAAGAGCCTTTGGTGCCATGGTGAAGACTATTCCTTTCAAAAATTTATTTCTAAAACTTATGTTTTCACGGAGCGGGGGGGATGAAATAGGATTAAATAGGATGATGCGTTCGGGGTGTCATCCCCGACGCTTAGAAATGCAGCGGGGGATTGATCATCACTTCGGTAAATGATACCATCCGTGGGGAATGGGACTGACATCACGCTATAACCTCGGGATATTGATGATAATATCAAAATTCAGCCGAATATTTCCCATGACACCATGATTCTGCAATATCTCATGCTTGCCTACTACTACTATCTTTAACTCTAACTACTAAGTGTAGATGTAAAGTGGATCCTAGTGGTGCCTGAGGCGGCTATCGCGCGATAAGCTCCGGATTTTTCCAGCTTCATCGCATCTCATCGCATCTCATTGCATTGCATTACAACAAAACTTACACTTGAACTCTCCATACAGCATACAATAATGGACCCTCCAGACCCTCTCCTCACTGAGCTCTGCTCAATATGGTACTTCCCACCCCTCCTACTTCCCATAACACCAACCCAACGATATCCCATTCTAACAACCACCCGAAACAGCCACATCAATCCCCCCAAATACCGCTGTCCACGCTGCTCAACCCGAACCTGCTCCCTACCCTGCACAAGACGCCACAAACTCTGGTCCCAATGCTCCGGCGTCCGTGATCCAGCTGCCTACCTCAAACGCAGCGAACTAGCCACCCCGTCCGCCTTCGACCGGGACTTTAATTTCATTTCTGGCATTGAGCGCTCGCTCGAGCGTGCCGAGCGCGATGCCGAGAATCGCGGTATCGATCTCGCGCAGACGGCTGCTGAGTCTGCCGATACCGCCGGCGGTGGTGAACAGGCGCAGAATACTGGCGCTGTCGCTGGACAGAAGAGAAAGCACCCTGGTGGAGGTTTGGTCAAGGGTGAGGCGGGTTTCTTGCGTGGCGCGGAGGCTGGTGGTGTGAGGGTTGTTAGGGCGCCTAGGGGAATGTCGAGGAATAAAGCTAATGGGTCGAGGTGGCATCCCAAGTAAGTTGTGTTATGCTCTTTTAATCTCCTGCAGAACTTCTGGGGACTAATCGGTGTGCTGTGGTACTAGGCATAAATGTTTGAGTTGGTCTGTCGAGTGGATCTCTGCGTCTGGCGAGAAGGTTGTGAGGAATTGTCTTGAGACGGGCATTCTCTCTGAGGCTTATAACCGTGCTTTTGCCCTACCGAAGGAGGATAGGCCTGGGAAAGAGGAAAAGGGAGAGCAAAAAGAAGGCGCTTCTGTGAGTCTGGATCAGTCGAATCCACCTTCGACTTCTGAGGCTCCTCCAACCACGGATGCCTCAAATGAACAACAACAACAACAACCTGCGCCGTCGTCAACCTCGGGTCCGGTCGAAAAATCTACAGAGACAACAGAAACAAACCCACCAAAGCTACCGATCGGCCCACATCGTGATGTTTACTTCTACATCCACCGTCCACAAACGAAGACAAAGAAGCCGGTTCTGGCCCCTTTGCCCCCATCAGCAACACTAGGGTCCGTACTACGTGATCGTACGGTTCTAGAATTCCCGACTATCTACGCGCTGCCTGAGTCGGTGGAGAAACTCGGCGCTGAAAATGAAGACGGGCGGTTCATTCTGGAAGAGGAGTATCTACAGACCGCAGATCCCGAAGAGATTAGCGGCACGTCTGGGGATCTGGAGCTTCCGGATACGGGCGCTGAGCAAGATGCGGAATCAGAGCTACAAGATCTGGATGAGAAGAAGGTGATGGAGGTCTTGACGCAGGATCTCTTTGAGCCGATTCCTGAACAGGGGACATCATGATTACAAATGATTTGGACTTGTCGCGCCCAGCTACAAATAGGCGATTGACACAATATCAGAGAAGGGACATTCAATGTACAGTGTACTATATTCATCATCGATTTGGTCAGTCATACACATAGACGGTCAAAAATAATAACTATGGGTGATCTTATCTATATCCAAGTCATTGGATAGTTCGGTCGTTTGCGTCTGCAACTTTGCTATTCAAGCTTACAGCGTCCGGACTCTCGACTAGGACAGCAGGCTTCGACAGGACGTCGACTCTTTCGTAGGGATTATAGGGTACGAAGAGGCAGGCATCTCGAAATCTTTTCGGTAGCCAGCGGCTAGTCGATTAAAGCGAGACGGAGCGCGGCCCCGTGGGCATACAGTGCGAACGAATGTTAGACGGTTTCAAGTTCACTCGGACGAGGTACAGCCTGTACCATCGAGGAGTTAATCAGATTGATCAGGATGATCGAAATAAACAAAAACACCCAAACACCAGCACCCAGAAGGGAAAGGATGCCCAGGGGTATTTAACTAATTCACAAAAATTCACAAAAAACATGAAATGCCAAATATAACACCAAAGGGGATGTAAATGCCGCTATGCAATAAAAAAATAAAACAATCAAATCAAAATGATAACACCAAGGCATATGCAATGATCAAATGCAAACTGATACTCAGCAAGGTATGCGTTGAGGACAACGCAAGCCTTAAATGAACAATCGCTCATGCGAATGCTATAGATATCCTGTGCCAAACCACAGGATATTCAAGAGCCCTATGGGGGCTGCGTTTGTCTGTTAAAGACAACCAAGACATCTTTACTTCCTCTAAATGACCAACTTTGACCAAAGTTCTGATTCCAAGAGGTTGCTGCCAACACTTTCAGAACAGCCCGAGGGTCTCACAGAGTCATTCAATCGGTAGTTATGACAGAAATGGACCTGCAGGTATGTATCCTTGGAAACAAAGCCTGCGGGTATGAGCAATCACCTCACGCGACTGCATGATATTCCGTGGAATGGTACACGGAATTGAATTGCCCCGGAGGGCTGGCTTTTCGCAAGACGAAAGAACCGGGTATCTTCCAACCCTGGCGGAACAAGTGTCCGCGCTGGACGCCAGTATAGCAGAGCAGAAGGAGCACACTCCATTCAGTTGCAGAAGACAATTCCAGAGGTTGAGAGAGGTTTCAAAATCCTGTAGTAGGATGGGGTATATCTAGAACCAATCTAGGAGCAATCATTCCGAAGAGGCAGTGCTCGAGGTGTCGGCCACAGAGCCACCCTCCGGGTATTCTTGCTCAGGTGCCTTGGCGGCGACCGAAGCCTTCATTGAGACCCTCATGGCCTCAGATGAGGATATCGGCTGAGTGGGCACAGTGTTCGGGATGGTAGGAACGTCCAGAGGCGTTGGCTCAGGGACACTAGTCTTACCAACCCGATAACTGGTCTTTGAATCGGTAGGCGACATGCCTGCCTTCTCAGATCCGCTAGGCTTCATCTTCAACCGGCCTTGTTCAAGGGCGCGGAGGACGTTGCCGATATCTTGCGGATCGATGGATCGGAGTTTGCTCATAGCATCGTCCGAAACATCAGAGAACGGGTTCCATCCTAGCTTGTCCATCTCTTCCCCGGAGGTTGAAGACTTCGAGGCTATAGATGGACCGGTAATCAGTCGGTGGAGGAAGGTGTCCGACACGCTGGGACGGCGTGGGATCTTCACCGGCTTAGACTTGGAGCTCGTGCTTGTCGAGGTGACTTCGTCTTGTTGACGCTTCAAAGGACGAGCAATGGGGACGTGACCCGTGGGGCCATCGCCCACTTCATTTCGAATTTTATAGTATATTAAACCAAGAGTGGCAGCTAGGGCCTGGTGAGCAGCTTCGGGGAAGTGGCGAACAGCTTCCTCGCGGGTCATGTGGTTTGACCCGTCACTTGAACTGCTGGAGTCACTGTCATCGGCAAAAAGGTCGGTGGCATTCATCCGACACCAGTCCTGGTAACCACCCAGCTGGTAGAACTCAGCCAGTTCAACCAATCGATGAACTATACAGATCATGGTTAGAATGGAGAAGGGGACATATCTATACTTTTTAAACGCTTACCTCGACTGCGTTTCTTCAGGCACCAAAACCTCCACACGGTACGCGGGAAGTACTTGGGCCATTCGAGGGGAACCATCATCAAGGATGACGGGGACAGGGTTGATGGGAGCATGAATAGTGTGTGCCAGCGAGTTGAAACGAACCCGTTCGGAATGTCGCATTCGAGATTCCATCGAGTCCATACGCATGTGGAGACTCGTTTCCATCGCGTGCATTTGGCGGGTAAGTTTATGTTCGAGAGTGAGAAGATCCGTACGAAGCTGGTTGGCAGTAGACTGGAGCTTGCTGATATCAATTCGGGAAGCACAAACATCCGATTTCATCTGCTCAGCATCGATCTGAAGCTGCTCCACGCTCTTCTGCAACCGATCAACATCTCCACGCAGGAACACGGTCTCGGTACCGGACTGGCCGATACTAGACTTGAGTTGGAAGATGCTTGTCTTGATCTGGTCAACATCTGAGCGAAGAGCCACCACATTCAGATCGATACGATGAGAGATGATGCGGTGGTTCTCAAATTCACGGCGAATGTGCTCATCCTCGCGGTTGCGGCGGTCGACGTAACCATCCTTGGTTAGGACGTTGGAGCGCAGCTCGAGCACACGCGAGTCCAGTTGATTCATGCGGTCATGGAGGTGGGTGAGAGATAGTTCGTTTCGAGGCGGTGTGGTTTCGCGTCGAACAGATAGGCGAGGACTTGACATGGAGAGAGAGGTGCTGGAGGTACAGGAGAGACTCCTTTCCAGAGTGGTCATGGAGGACATTTCGAAAAATTCGGCAGAATGCGGCGGTCTATATGAACATGGTAAATGATGGTGATGATGCTGGTGGTGATGGTGTTCGCGAGAGCGATTCTCTAGATAGTGCAATCGTCCATTGTGCCGGATGTGTGGTGGGTGGATGATTCTGGGGGGGGGCGAGCAGTAGAAAAGGGCGGACGACAAAGAGAAGGGGGGTCGCACACAGCCTTTTGGGACCGTCAGCCGGTCGGGTCGGATTGCCTGCCACGCATCATTACTCACCCACCATCGCCCCCCAACTTCTGATTTAAAAGAATTTGATTTGTTCATCGACTTGACTCATAATATCTACCCTTTATTTTCAATTTTTCTCATTATTTTCAAGCAAGTCAAAGGTAGAAAACCACAATGAGGATAAAATACAGATTGTGACCAACACCATACAGCAGCCCTGCGCATGGCTTGGCGTGCAGTAGTGCGACGCATAGCCCGTAAAAGGCATTTCTGGTGGGGCGCCTCACCATTTGATTGGTGATCATCGGCCGTCCAGTGGTCGCCACCGCCGGCCGATTGGTGCACTACGACCATCTTAGCGCAGCGGCTTGCAGGACACGATGCGAGGGCCGGGCGCATCCGGCACAATGATGACACCACCGTATCCGTATTACCTTCAACCATACCCCGAGGAACCATAGCCCATCAATGATAAAAATAGACAGCATAATCAATAGTTTTCAAGTATGAGTATTGGTTCTAGGATAAGATGAAATTTTAAATTGAAACCAAAAATATACTCCATTAATGAATCAACCCAAAGTCTACCATGATCAATACTTAGGCGCTGTTAGTCACATTGAGTCACGGGGTCTTGATTGCATCGCAGCCTGACCCAATCCGGAAATCATGATGCCCTAACTCGACGGACTACTGAATAGTCATCCGATCTCACAACGTGGACACTGTCTGTTTGATGGAGATAACTCATTGTATTTTGGATACAAGATAGCGTACTCCCCTCACATCTCGATTATATTTTACAATATTCACACAGGGTTATGCTTCTAGATATACAAGCAGCTTTGAACTCACCTCGATCCTACCTAGGATGCTACTAGTATCAGATAGAGTAGCTACTGGATAAATGCACTACCCATAGATCTTGAACTGAGAGCGAAGAAGCCCGGTAATGTCTAATGCACCCTAGAGGGTAGTCCGCCTTGGCTGGCACTTCGAGATCGCAACTTCCTCGCCATCAATCGCCAGCGTAACTGCCCCAACTCAAGCAAAAAATGAACGTGAAGTGACTTGAAGTGATGGGAAAGCTTCAAAGATGCTCCACCCCCACCCTTGTCAATCTTTCACTTTCCATTGTGTTCATGCCCAACTGATTCACCATGAAGTCAGGCAGTCTTTCATCAGGCATACTGCCGCTTGCCTCACTCACACTCCTCTTGTACAGCACACTCGTCTTGTCCAACCCAGACCCTCTCATAAACACCACATCAACCCATCGTTCTAACAAGGTACTTCATGATTGCGATTGCTTCACCGTCTCTGGTCCAGATCCGGGCTACTATCAGCACTACAAAGTCTGGGACTTCCGCGAGGTCTCGTTCGATAGACGCATCGATCCCATACCACCACCTGATGTCGATGATGAAGATGACGAAGAGTTCACAGACGATGATACTGAGTCTTTTCCCCACGAGGGAGGTAATCAGTCTATGTGGTTCTTCGAAACGGGCTTCGACAAGGATTGGATGAGCCAGCAATGGGACCGCCCAGGCAACTCTAAAGCCCCAGTGGACATGATCAACTCCAAGCGAAACGTCTTCTTCACCAGAAACTACGAGCTGGAGGATCCTCACGCAACATATCTCGTTCTCCGTACCACCCGCCACGAGCACTTTACTTCCACCGCAGAAATCGAGACCCGAGTTCGCAACATCTACCGCTGCTCCCTCCGCGTAAGACTTCGCATCTTGCCAGCATGTATCTCGGTGGCATCGCCATCCAATATATCAAACGACAGCTCCTGGCAACCTTCCATTCCAGTCCTGAACAATATATCGGGGACGGTTGCCAACAGCACCACCGCGCTCTCAGGGGATAGACCTCATCCCGGAGCCTGCGTCGGCATCTTCACATACCATGCACAGAATTGTGAGTCGGATATTGAAATCTTAACCAGCGATCCCTCCTACCGCGTCCGGTACGCAAACCAACCCGACTACGACCCTGTCACCGACGAAATGATCCCCGGCGCAAGCACAGTCGCAGACCTACCAGTCCCCTGGACCCGGTGGTCTACTCATCGGCTCGATTGGCTCTCGAGTGCCTCACGCTGGTGGGTCGACGACAACATCCAAGACTCCAAAACATACCGTGTCCCAAATCTTCAAAGCAGGCTGGTCATCAACCTCTGGAGTGACGGCGGCGTCTGGACCGGCGACATGGCGCTGGGTGACAGCATTTTCCTCGGAATCGAATATATCGAACTAGCATATAACCGGTCCTCGGATGGGTCGAGGGGAATCGATATCCCGCCCTCGCAGCGACATGGTGGACATCAGAAGTCGAATGATAAAGTATCTATCTCGGATATCGAGGAACTCGAAGAAGAATCGTGGGAGCCGGATACGGATTTGGTCACTGGGAGTGCGAAGAAGAAGAAAAAGAAGAAGTGCAAGAAGGGTCGCAAGGGGGATAAGTGTAGGAAGAAGCTCCCTAGGCCCAGGCCCAGGCCCAAGAACCCGTCACATCATGGTCCAATGGAGCCGCCTTGTCGACGCGCTTGTTATATCGATGGCGATAACTTCAGACACGATGTTTTCGGTTAAGGTGCTTATCTTTACCTATCTTCAAGTTCTGTCTCTTTTCCAATGAGAGATGCCCTAGTGCGTTGGAAATTGTATTCTTATAGACCAGTTGAACCCTTGAAATACCGAATTCGGGTCTTTAGTTCGTTAAAAAAAAGGTGCTTTGTATTTCTCTTTTCTTGGAGTCCTATGTGACCAGTCGGTAGTGTTTGTGCCGCGAGCGTAGAAAGGATCTAGATAGAAAAACGAAGCGGAATGACTTAAGAATAGAGTGAAGGGGAACCAGGCAGTGGCTTGCAGGATTGTGGGGGGAAATATGAAAAAAAAGGCCAATGAAGGCGCCGTTTGCACCTCTTGGACCGTCAACAACATGGGGTATCATTTAAATTCATTCAAAGCATCAAAAGTCAATGAAAAGGAGTAAAGGGAAGAAACAGCCGAACCAAACCCATGACCGTCCGATCCTGTCTTTTCTAATTCGCCATGCGCGCCGAAGTATGTTTTAAGTGGAAGCCATAAACGCCAGACACAAGGTCTTGATGAAGGGTTAAAAGGGAGCTAGCTGCCTTTGGTCGAAGGCAGTCCCCTTTTATGAGTATTTTGGGATGGGGAATGATTGGGGTTGAGGTGATCTGGCAGACTGTTCAAAGTAGAGTGTTCCCCATCTTATCGACGGGACAGAAGTCCCCATGCAGACCACCGTTCATGAGTTCCGCGACAATCTTCTGCCGCAGATTTTTAGTGTCGTTAGGCCCAAAGGCGGTTGGTTCGATTTCAAGCGCAATGGCCTTTGCGTTTGTGAGGAGGAATACACCGCAATCACTACCATTATCTTGCTGGGAAGATTTGGATGGGATAACGTTCCACTCATCGTCGTCATATTTGGCGCCGAGTTCTCCACGGAGCCATTCCTTGATGTTTTTGACTTGTCTCGCGCCTTGGCGACCCATCCGATCGAGTGAGTCGAAATATTCGATCGCACGGTCTGCTGGTCGCACAACTAGGAGAGTCCAATGTGATGACTCATGGACCGGAATGAACACTGTCTGTACATCCAAAAGACCTTCGCCGCCGATTTTGGCACGGTTCGCCCAGCGCCGGACGCCTTGGTACCCTTTATCTCGCAGCGTAGTATAGAAGAATGTGTTAAACGCGTGGAAGCGCGGCCGTTCGTTTCCGGTATTACCGGTTGATTGGCGAAGGTATTGAACGAGAACTGTTAAGTAGGAGTTTATGATCTCGTCATTGAGCCATGATAATGTCTTGAGACAGGTTGCAATATCCCTGGGGTATAGTTCGTCTCCAGATGGAATTCTTGCAACTGCACAACCTGATGAGCTTCTCATGGCGTCGGAGACTCGATTTAACCACTCAAAGGAAAGTTGGCGCACTGCTGGTCCTTGTGGTATGATTCGGTGGGGTCGGAGTTGATCTCGCTCTAATGCTCTCCGTTCCTTTTCGTGCGCTTCCCATTGCGATGAGTAGATTGACGCGATACGATTTGGTGGTAATGGTTTCCTCTCTCGGGCGAATAATTGAACCGCTGAGACTGGCCTTCCGAATGGCAGCCTTTCATATGCCATCGACCGCCGCATCCAGGGGTCATCAATATCCACGTCATCTTGGAGAGATGGCCTGGGAATCGCTTTTGCGGGGGCAGAGGTTGGCGGTTCGACACGTTTCGGTGGTGGCGTAAAGCTTGGTCGCGCTGGATGTAAATGAGACCCCAGTGGTGTGTGTAGGGCTGGGAGGTTTCTGGGAGTTTCTAATCCCAGCCGTTCCAGTCGTTCCGTTGGAATATCATCGTCGGATGGAGTACTCAGCCGTTGCGGTTGTGGCAGATGCCCCGAGGGTAATACTGACGGCGATGAAGGGAATGCCCCTGGCATCCATGAACTGGCATCTTCGACATTGCGCGTATCTGATGCGGCGGCAGTTAGTATTCGCGATGCGAGCAGTTCTTCCAGTGTTCTTGTCGATACCTCTTAAATCTTGGGCTAGCTGTTGTGAGCTAGTCCCTTCGCTAGTATCATCGGTTGCTGTTGGGGAGCCAGCATCGAAGACTGGATTCGATTTATCTCGCCATGGGAGGAACTTTTTGAGCGTTGTGGAGAGCCACATATTGCGTGTTCTGTAAACTGGGGTAGGTGAACTGGATGACGAGGTTCACTAGGTGAGGCGCGCGGGTGGGTGGGTGGAAACAGGGGTGGTTAAGATGAATGAATCGGATAGTTGAGAGAATCGAGATATGAGATTGGAAGACAAGAACAAGCAGCAGCGCCCATCATTGAGAGGGACAGCTCAGCGAGTTGGTCCTTGTCGCGGAAGTTGAAGAACGACGGAGCGCGACCTCCATTCCCCATAATGCAGCATTATGTCAGCAACTTTTTGGCGATCATGGGTCCTGCAGCCACGCGTGATGAAATACCTTTAGTGCCCTTACTACCACGAAAAAAAAAAAAGTTTGGTATGCTATTTTTGTATTTTATTTTATTTTACAAGGTTCTCTCATTCCAATTCGTCGATTGATTTTAATACAGCTATGAAGGCATAAGGAGACAAGATCGCGGTCACATATGTACATGCGTCAGTCCGAACTACATCTGTCTCCGAAGGGCGCGCTCCCAGCACAGCCCGCTGAACTGGAACGGACCCAGCAAGCTCAAGTACTCGCGAGGAAAAATAGTGATTCATGCCATGAAATTAATTCGGGACGCCGAGCCCACACAACTCGAATACGGGGGGCGCGGTATTGATCACGACCCAGGGGATTCCTATATTACACGATTAGAGCGAGAAATTGAACAATGATAGTCAGCTGCACATACCTGCATATACAACCAGCTTGGTCACAACCTCCACATCATATCGCACACGAGGCTTTTTAATCTGGGAGAAGACCTCCTTCTCATCCGTTCGGGACGTATTGAACTCGGGGGTGGGAGTGGCGACGATCGGGGAATATTGGCATCCTCCTCCACAGCGGCCGAACCGGGGCTACCCCTGCCCATCATTCCCTCGTACTGATCCAGCTTGGAAGTCTTCCTAGCTAGAAGATGAGTTCCATTGGGTTTAACATCCGAATCCGCAGGAGATTCACGGCTGCCGGATAAGCTTTCACGTCGGCGCTTCTCCCGATATGCCAAAGTCTCATATGCATCGGCTTCGGACTGTGGACCGATAGAGATGGCGCGACGTCGAGGGTGTCGAATTGTGGTGATGATGGACGGGATATCGGAGAAGTTGGGAAGGACATCGTTGTCTTTCAGATTGGATGGAACCGTTGTATAGCGGCTACGCATTAGGGTTAGAATCTGCGTATATGGATGGATATCATAATACTGAGTACTCACGAGGCAGTGGTGAAAAATCGCCGAGGTAGGAGGAGACCGAGTTTCTCCAAGCTGCGAAAGATAGGCGGAAGAATGCGAAGCAAGGTGGGCTTTGTGATCTCTCTCCAAGCAAAAACACACAAAACTCCAACAACCAGGCGAAGCGCTGTCTTGGCGATTCCAATAGTCTCGAAGTCGTAAGGAATAGTACCAGGTAGGGGTTCATCCCAGGCAAGGCTAGACCCAGTGAAATACCAGGATCCCACGTCCACGCCAAGCGTAACGCCGGCAAAAGCGACGCTGTCATCATAACAAGGACAATCATCCACCGGCTCCGGGTGAATGCGAACAAGAACCAGAATTACTATCGGGATGACGAGAATCTCCTTCAGGTTTGCCGAGAGGAGATAGTCATCGAATGCGGGGCCCAGGCTAAACTGCGCCAGGCCAATCAATACGCCCAAAATGCAGCCCACGACAACGTCCAACATCCCATGCATACCACAATATAATCGGCCCAGAACGATCGATGTGAGGTACAGATATGTAACAATCTGAAGGATCAAGCTCGTTTGTGGGTTCACAGTCGACTCGGGGGAGTTAAGAAGTAAGACGGCGTAAACTGCCACCGAGACAGCATTGGTTGAATGTGTCGAAGGGAATCCGTATTCGAGAGCAGCAGATCCAGAATGAGTGATGCGCTGGAGGGGTGGCGAGAGTGGCCGGGGAAGACATAGCAAGTCTTTGATGAAGCCGCTGAAGAAAACACCGGCGGCCAGGATGTGTACAAGTCTGCGCGGAAGTATATCAGTAAACCATGATTGACCTTCCAAATATGCTCAATGACCCCCAGCGACAACCTACCCACGACCCAAGCTAGTATGGCCACACCAGAAGAGGAAGGGCAAGAAGACCATGAAAAACGTGTGGGTACCGAGGTTCGCGGTAAACGCAAAGTACGAGTCTAGTGTCGGCGTGCGAACTTTCTCCTGCGCCCAAGCCAGATAAGGAGTCTCATATCGAATTAATGGTAGTAGCTTCTGTCGAGGCCAGTAGCGCCAGAGGGGTAGTCGGCTTGAATCTATCGCGAGTCGCAAGCAGAGCTTAGATTAGCGAAGATCGTAGCGGGGTGGGGGTTGAAGACCAGGAGCTAGTATGGGGAATTCGCGTAAGGCCGCTGGAAGAACTAACAGTGGTTAAGACTCTTGAGCCCAGCATCGGGCTGGTCCTTTATGGGGTTGCCCATCGTGTGCTATCGATCCGGGGTGCGATTGGAGGGTCCTCCATATATGGACAGGCCGGTGCCTGCCGCTCGATTCGGAAAGTTGAAACTCAGCAGGAGAACATAAGGAGCGGTTGAAAGTTGGATTGTGAGATGAATATAGGATGGGCTTAGGATGTGATCGAGGGTCGAGGGTCGAGAGTCGAGGACTCGGAAAGATAAATCGAAGATCGGGGAATCCCAGCTGGAGACTCGCGGCCGCGGCTCTTGGCCCCTGACGTGCCATGTGTGTGTGTGCTTAGTCATGCCCGTTGAGGCGATGGTAATGAACCATGGGGGAATGTGGATGTATGCTTAATTATGACTATTTGGACAGAATGGGATTTAAGAAATAGATTGGTTCAAGTTTTGATTGACTATTTTATGATGGTAAGTTCAAGTTCAATTGCGTGGTTGAGACTCAACCTGAATTGGTGGTGAAGATGTCTAGGATATAGATACATGTCTGTACCGGGTAGACAATGTAGATTTTCAAGTTGGTACAGGCACCTGGGCAGTAGTATTAGAGTACTAGGACTGGTTATGTAGTGAGCACCACTGCTTGTAATACTCTATAATCGATCACAAAACGCCTTCCAAGGTTCAAGTTGAAAGAAAAATATAGTAATGCCATCCATGTGGTGGTACCTTACACGCATTTGCTTAAACGGTAGCACCTCAACATCCCAACCACCGGGAAACAATACTCTCCGCTTCCAAGGCACCATCTAGTACTTTCCAATACCCCTCACTACTAGTACTATATCGCTTAGAATCACTCATCATCAGCCCCACCAATCTTGGTGAAGTATATCATATCACATGACACGGCCGCCCCGAGGCAAAGAGAGCGATCCGGTTTCCTGGAGAGCTGAACGGTGGGGATGTTGGGGAGGGGCATTATGTGGACATTTAGTGGAGGCCAGACGAAAAAAGAAACCTGATCGGAGGCAGAGATCGAATCAAATTGAAACTGACAGGCATAAGACTGGCAAATCGAAGGCCGCTCCGCCCTGGCGTCATCGAGGGACGGCCGTTGCTATGGCAGCCGACGACTTCCAACAGGTAAACACGGGTCTCGCCCGGACGATTTGACCCTCCCAGCTTGGACGTCGATCAAGATCTAAAATCGATACACCACCCTGCTCTTCTTTCTTTTTCATCTCCCAATCTCATTCTCCCCAAAGACACCTCACATCCATCCAACCCCCACCACCAACGAACTTCAGCCGGTTGCCGTCATACTCGACCACGACCCGCAACCCGCATTACTACGACAAGAACAAGAACAAGGGGGTTCCATTCCAACCTGCCATCCACATCATGAGCTCCATGTATGACGACCAGTACCATGCGGCTTCGCGACGCCGCTCGATTGCAACTCCTCCTCCATTATCCATGTCCCCTCATCACAGCCGTACCCGCAGCCACAGCGTGCGAGTGAGCAACGGCACCGCCAGCACCCACACGAGCTTCTCCAGTGCTCAAATGTCCGAAGCCACAAATATCACCCAGCCACCATCCTACTCAAAAAAGTTTGTCGTCGTCGGCGATGGCGGCTGCGGCAAGACTTGCCTATTGATCAGTTACTCGCAAGGCTACTTCCCAGAGGTAAGTTCCCTATACTTTTCTTATACTTCCCATCCATGGTTGAGGCGCGGGGCGATGTACTAAGACTAGTGCAGAAATATGTCCCCACTGTGTTCGAAAATTATATCACCCAGACCACCCATCGACAGTCAGGGAAGACTGTCGAGTTAGCATTGTGGGATACGGCCGGCCAGGAGGAGTATGACCGTCTTCGTCCACTGTCCTATCCCGAAACCGATCTTCTATTTGTGTGCTTTGCCGTCGACTGCCCTGCGTCGCTGGAAAATGTTGTAGACAAGGTGAGCCATCAACAATTTTCTTCTATCTCGTGCGTGATTTCAATTCTCTAATAATACGACCAGTGGTACCCCGAGGTTTTGCATTTCTGCCCGACAACCCCTATTATTTTGGTAGGCCTCAAGTCAGATCTCCGTGGCAAGCGAACCTGCATTGAACTCCTCAAAACGCAAGGCCTGACTCCCATCACACCGGAGCAGGGCCGTGGCGTAGCTCAGCGCATGGGCGCGACCTATGTGGAGTGCAGTAGTAAGGAGATGCGCGGCGTGGACGAAGTCTTTGCCAAGGCAGTAGACACCGTTATCAACATCGAGGAGCAAGGCTACACAGCTCAAAAATCGTCGCATAGCCGCACAAATAGCAAGCCTTCCACCGGCGGGGGTCGACCGGGAAAAAGGATCAAGAAGCGAAGCTGCAAGATCTTGTAAAATAATGCCATCCCATCTCGCCTTTTCCTCCATTCATGACCGACCCTTTCTTCATTCCCTTCTCTCACACCCCCCTCGTCCGATATGATAAAGCCTGGTTGCTTCATCGGCCGTGCTTGTTTCCTGCTTAGTGGATGTGCCGGGTCACCGCGCCACAAGCTGGATAAAGCTGGACATGAACTGCAAAAAATTTCCTTCCCTTGGTGTCGGGGGACGCTGCGCGCTCTCGACCGATCTGTTTCTCTAACGGCGGCTTCCTGAACTTTCTCCATCCTTGCTTTGTTGATCGATGACTTGTTTGCCTTTTCTTTTCCCTTTCTCCCATTCTGTGTATTTTCATCTCATGACCCTTGTTTCTTTTCTCCTGTTGGCTCTCATGACCTGGGTCTTTGCCCTTTGTTGGCATGCATGGGACTGGTGTTCTCGCTTATGTTACTTGATACGAATTTAGCAATACAGCCTTTGCATTTCATACTGAGTTACTTCTCGTAGGCACGCGTGTATGTTCGTAGAATATCCGTAGATTTACTCTTCTTAACTGATATATTGCTATGTGAAATGGTATCTTAAGTAAAACGTAATCAACACCAACGCCAAAAGACGATCAAATCCAGTCAACTTTTACCAAAGCTCTCACTGATTGACCATCGACTCTCCTTCATCTTCTTCATGCTTAGGTTGTCCGCCGGAGTTACCGTGTCCGGCGCTCTCTCCGCTAACCTTTCGTTTCCCTTGGCCGGCTTCCTCAAGCTCCTCCTCCTGCCGGCCCATAAAGTTCTCGAATTGCGACCAGAGGGCTTCCACAGAGCCAAACTCATTACCGACCTGAAGGAGTTAGCGATTGAATTTAATGCGACCTTCCATAGTGAAGATGAGGCGCGAGACATACTGTGATGATGCTCTCGAGATTTCGGTTCAACCGATTCATGTTCTGGAGGACCTGCTCCATACCCTAGCCCCAGAATTAGAATTCAACTCAAGCAGCGAAGAGAATTGACAGCTTCGGCGGAAGACCTGCACTCACCACCGCAATTTCCCGAACCAATTCCTCGCGTTGTTGCTCAAAGACCGTTGGGGACGTGCTGCGTCTGCCGCCGGGGGTTTCAGAGATCCAGGCCATGGTGTAGCTCTAAAACAAAAAAAGATTTCAATGAATTGTACGACGCAGGCGAGTTCTTAACCGGCAGTGAAGGTCACGGTAGATTGTTCAACAGGAGAATGGTGATGCAAGGTAGGCTGTGTGAGGGGCCGGGTTGCGTGGCGGACGTCGGGCAACGGGGGATGAGGTCTCTTCAATAAGACTGAGCTGGAAATGCGGACCGAAAATGAGCTGTGTAGTGTCGGTTCACGTTGGCGCTCGCTCTGCAGCTGCTGTGTCCTGCTTGAGGTTTGTCTTTGCTGGAATGTTTTGGGAGAAGTTGTGGTGGGGCATTGGGTATCTGATAAGAGACCCGATTGGTGACGTGTTTGGGTGCCGCGGGTTTGCGGCGTGGGGAGAGCATCCTTTTCTTCAGCCAAAGCAAACAAACACCTAATTTCTGCGAGCTTTTGCTAGCATAATGACTCGATCTCAGCCCCGAGGACTATAAAGCGGTCCTTCCAAGGTTCCAATGAGGCTGGGCTTTTTTCCGTCCTCAACTCACATCTGAACCACCGCAACATCCTAAGTCGACCCATCATGTCGCTACTTCGAAAGCCGATGAAGCAATACCCTTGGCTTCCATGGTCCATTCGTAACATCTATGACTGGCTCCATTACTCTGAGCCCACCTGGGGCTACACAATCTACCGGACGACCTACACTCCCCAATCCAATGCCGCTTTCCCGCGTATGGTCGACCTCACCACGAAGTACATGAAGAACGGATTCTACGGGGAACACGAATCTTCCCTTCGCGAAAGATCCAATGCAAATGAGTTCAAGATCACTCCCTGGGATGAAATGTGGCCCAATTACCAGCCACGGGTCATTGAAGATGCTTCCCAGTTCGACGGAGCATCGATCGACCAGCTCCGCGAGCATTTCAGGGCTGACGCAATTGAGCGTGGTGTGCTCGATGTATTTCCTGGGTATCGTATGTTCATTGTCATTGACGAAGAAAGTTTTCAAACGTTACAAAACGCTCCCCTTCCAGAGAACTCGAAATACGAAGAGAAGAGACGTCATTATGTGAAACTCATCGAGGCGTTGGAGGTAGATCCATATGAGGATTTTCCAGGGTGGATGAAGTGTTCCCTGTCCTCGTTGTTCGAGGTGTGGTCGGATATGCAGGACACGGCTTATATGAAGGACAGTTATTCGATGAGACCCGACGGTACTGATGTTTTGTGAATTTTTCATGTCATGTGGGACTTGAATACTGCACTACTTCCATGATACCATGGATGACGCCTATATCTCTCTCTAGCACCGGTTGTGGCTCTAGGTGGTGAGCCGGGCAATATCGAACTTCCACAACCTGTTCACCACTGCAGTCGAGGGATCTGGCTCTGGGGGTATAGTTGCCGTTCGTATTCCCCTATTTTAGATGCTTATCTTTTCAATTTTCCAATACCCCTGTATGCTGTGCCATGTTCAAAGCTACTAGAGAGAAACCTCATAATGTTACTTTTGAAGTCTTATTCTGCATATTCGATCGCTGCACCACTTAGAGCAGGGATTTACTACAGTTTGAATCCTTGATAATTGAGTCCTAGGAAAAAAGATATCTCAATTGAACCAGCAAGAGTATCGCCTAGCTGTTGTGCCTCGGCCCGGGACGCTCAGTAATCTACGTTCACTAATCTACGTTCAGTCATCTAAATTATTGGTCTTGGCAATCCCATACCGAAACTTGAACCTGTTAACTTTTGACTGTATATATGTACAAACTGTACCTAAATGAGGGGAAATTCACATTCAAGTTTTTCCGAGGCCCGGGGTAGATTGTTTGATTCGGTTAAAAAGTCAGTTATATCTTTAAATATCAATTTTCCGCAAACTCATATTTCATATTCTTCTGCAAGCTTCAACATCCTTTTAAGTGATTGGGAAGAATCAATCCATACCCGCAAGATGGTTGGCGGTACTCGAACTGTCGCTCTTCCTGCTACCTACGTCAACGCACCTGATAGCCCTATTCGCATTTCTAATTCCCCGGAATCGGCATGTGGAGTGACACCTATCCAGGTCGTAACCTTAAATAGACCCGACAAACTAAATGCAATTACAAGGGGCATGATCGATGCTCTTATTACGTTCTTTTCGACCGTCGATGTTGATGATCGGGTCAAAGTCGTCATCCTAACAGGCGCAGGCAGAGTATTTAGCGCCGGAATTGACCTAAATGGGGACTTCAGCCAGGCGAAAAACAAATTGCGACCTAGTGAGATGCGTGATCCAGGAGGCACACTGGCGCTTTCCATGTTCAATTGTACCAAGCCCGTTATAGTGGCGTACAATGGCCTCTCCGTCGGCATCGGAATGACGTCCACTCTAGCGGCGGCGATTCGGTAAAGGCCTATCATCATCCTCATCACTTTCTCCTTATAATTTCAAAAAAAAACTAACTCAGATCCAGTATTGCACCACGTAATGCAGAATTTGGGTTCCCCCTTTTTCAAGAATTGGCCTTACAATGGAGTCGTCCAGTTCCTTTTTCCTCCCGCGTATGGTTGGATATAGCAATGCCACATACTTACTAGCGACTGGACAACGATATCCCGCACACTCGCATGTCCTCCACGGCATTTTCGCGGAGCTTCTTCCGGAGCCTAAGGATGTTTTCCCCGTGCACTTGAACTTGCCCAAGACATTCTGTCTAACGTTAGCACCGTGGCAGTTCATGTAAATCGGCAGCTCATTTGGCGGAACCCTGGTTCTGCGGAGGGCGCACATCTGGTGGACAGCCCTCTCCTTTATGACATGTTTGGTGGAAGGTAAAATTCCCTCGCAATATAGTATATGGTCCTCATGATCATGACCTTTACTGACTTACTCAGGGACCATCTTGAATTCAAAAAGTCTTTCTTTGAGAAACGTCAGCCAGAATTTACAGATGAATTATCAAAGGATGCGCCTCGAACATACCCTTGGTGGAGCGAGCTGTCGGTGGAGACTAGATCAACGGCTCACAGGCCCCCCTAGCAGTAAGATCTGAGTAGCTAACCTCGGAATGCTCAACGGCAAATATCACAATTGAATAATCAAGGTTGCAGCTTATCTCTAAGTATCATACATAGGTTTCTAGATGTCTAGACCCCAAACTGAAATATAATTTGAGACCTGGCATTTTATACAATTCATCAGACCCCTTCTTGCCATTCATTTAGCAGCCCCAAAGCTTTCTTTGTTTGACCATGATCCGGGCCAAATGCTTGTAAGGCAGTCTTCCAGCATTCCTCTATGACTTCGCGAGCTTCATCGAGCCTCCCATTTGATTTCATAACCAAAGCCAGCTTTTCCTTGTAAAGAAATGTGTCCGAATGAGTTGGCCCCAATTCTGCGTTCATACCGACTGTGACCTCTCGTAGAAGAAACTCGGAGGCTTCTGTTTGTCTCTTCTTTTCGTATATTCTCGCAAGCTGGCTCTTCACAAAAAAGTGAAGTGCTGATTTCTGCCTTCTTTTCTATCCAGGCGATCCAGAATGTCCCTCACCATCATCTCAGCCTTGTCAAGCTGTCCCTGTCTTTGGTATAAGTTGGCGAGGCCACCTTTGCAACGCAATTCAAGCTCATCGTTTCCACTGTGGTGCATTGTATCCAGAATCTGAGTGAACACCGTCTCGGCCTTTTCTAGGTTCCCCCAGGAACTGTAAATTACCCCAAGATCATGTTTGACGGATAGAGTTTCTGGGTCGTCAGCACCATGAGATTTGGATCTGAGATTCAAAACTTCTTCTGCAATCGTTTCGGCTTCTTCATACCGACCCATTTCCAGGTACAATATGGCCAGATTGATCTTCGTTTTCACGGTCTGAGAATGCTCAGAGCCTACCCCGGCCTCTAAAACCTTCAGTACTGATGCATACACGAGCTCGGCTTCTTCATTTCTGCCCTTCAGGCGATGCGCAAGGGCCAATGAATATCAAAGATATACTCATCAAGCGCTAGCTCATGAAGGTTCTCTTGACGGATCTGGTCCCAGAATCCATCTGAATCCGAGTCTGAATCTGTTCCTGTGTCATCTTGATCCTCCCTTTGCTCTAATCTATCAATTTTCGAGTTGGAAAAAGCTAGGCTTCATTAGAAAAAAAAGGATAGAACAGGACCATATAGAACCTACCGCTCTGTATCGAGCCAGAGAGATCATTCAGGTGTGATGTAACCTCCTGATGCATTTCCGGCGCTTCTCTCAGACGATGATCCAGGGAGAGCCTATCCGTTTGCTTTCGATGGGCGCCGTAATTACCAGCCCAGATCCTGAACCGACCGAGATCCTCTTGAACTTTATGTTGTACACTTGGAGTGTCTCCATCCTCTGGTAACACGTCTATCAAGAGACAGAAATCACGAAAACAGCGAGCAACGAGCGACGATACGGATGGGACCCGCCCATCTGCTTAGGTTAAAGTCGCAGATAATTCTGGTTGAGATGCCATCCAGATGTCTGTTGTGAGCTTGTCGCTTTCTTGAAGAAATAGACTTATATTGGCAGTCAATCCCATAAAAAAGCTTTCTGGGAAATCTTTACTCACACTGAGATGCCTAGAAGTAGGGCTCACCCAGGAGGCTCATGGACGACACTAGTACCAGACCCAGAGGCAATATATCACCGGTATTGTAATACTCTGGATCAGGCCTACTTCCCTTTTGGGCCTAGTGCGATCCTCGCAGCCTAGCTGCGAGGCCTTACCTACTGTTTTTATCTCTTCTCCACACTTAGTATCGCGTATTCAATGTACTTGTTTCTCGCAATAGGCCTCTATTACATGATACTAAGTGTTATTTCATCATTTTAAACCCTCTTTTATCCTGACTGGGCTATTTTAACGCGTTCCGACGTATCGTAACCAATAGCAGGACTTATCTCTTACCTTTCGTCTGAGTAAGTATATCTTTCTAAAAGCACTACTGACAGCAAGAGTACTCTGAACCTCAAACTAACTAAACTGTCTAAACTAACGAGATGTCTTAAGCTAGAGAAGAACCTAGTATTAATTATACTAATTAAAAGTTAGATTTAAATACTAAGATATAATCTAGATTACTAGTAAGTCCTGTTATATCAGATTCTAGCTTTAGTTGCTTGACTAAATCCTATAAAGAAGCTAATATAATTAACTTTAAAATAAACAGCAGATATTCTAGATTATCTAGCCTAGATTTACCAGAGTAAACTACTATAGATAGTTATATACCAGAGTATCTTATAGAGAAGGAGAAGCTGCTGCTAGCTCCTACTATAATAAAGATTACTAGAAAGATGAAAAAGGGAAAAAAAAGCCCGAGCCTCTATCAAGCCTGCTGATAATACTTCCGTTGAATAATAAGAGTAGTTCAGTCGTATTCTTGTTTTACACCAAAATAGCTTTTCTGTTCTTTTATCTTTAAAATCTTATTATTAAGTAGGATTAGCGTTAATATAATTCATACTACGGTTATTAGCTTCGCTTATTTTCTATTTATTACTATATCTTTTTATTATCTTATTAGGAGATTCATACTATCACCTGTATAGTCTATTATGCTAGCTTCAACCTACACAGAAGCACCCTTCTACCTAACTCTTAGAATAGGATATAATTACAGGTAATAGACTCAGATTTGTCTTTGCTTCTAAGAGATTCTCTTGGTTATCGCAACTAGTATATATTGGTATAGTCGATATTCTAACACTGGTTTTCGTGGCCGAGAACTGAATGACAATCAAGCCTAAGTATGACCAGCGCTCTTAGTCAGCCTCCTAGCCAGATTATGTCGACCGCCGCAAGGACCCGGCTGTATCTGGTATTCTATCATTTCTGCCCCGACGGCTGCGGAGACCATTGACCCGCTTCTGAATTGCCTTCTCCCTTTGCCCGATATCGTTGCATTGTATTCTGGGCTCTGTGAGTATCTGGACATCACATGAATTCTTCAAATAGAGGGTGTCACCGAACTTACCCTCCTTCAAAAGGGAAGCCATATTCTCACGCTCTATCCTGGTTGTCTGCTCAAAATCGGACAGCCTTATGGGCTCGGGACAGGAATGTGGGTGGAGGTGAGCGGAGATGATTATTTGGCTCTCTGTGTCGTTAGTAGTGCTCTGAGGATCCATCGTTCCCTCGCCACTAGACTTCAATCTAGTTCGAGCGGACTAGGACAGAGTTTGCGGGTAGAAGAAGGGGTTCCTTCGGTACCAAGCAGTCGGAGACGGGACTTGGGTTTCCTCGGCGTATCAATCTGAGCTTTTGCTTGGCGAAGCTCCACTTTGGACCCTTAACTTACTCGTAGCAGACATATGCCCGGCAGATACCACGTGGAATCCACGTGTAGAATAAGCACTAGACTTGACACGGCCCGCTATTGAGACCTGGTAGTATCACAATGATTATGCACTGTTGCCGTATTAGATGCCCACGGAAGGATAGATTCTTCCGATGTTTGGCGTGTTTAGCCGTGCGGCACTGTCTCAAGTTTAGTAGTTGTGGGCTGTCCGTGCCCAAAATGTGCTTTTTACCATGATATGACAAGAAAATGAGGAGAGGAAAAACGACGTCTTTTTTTTGAAACGAAACGCTGAATTGTAGGAGACAAGTGCCGTTTACATTGCAACTCGGCATCAGGTTCGTATTGGAGTGGGTCCCTTGTCATATATTGCTACCTTGTAGTGATTGTTGCATCAATGTACCGGGATATCTGCTCACAAAATAATAAGAAAATTTGAGAATCTGATTGAGGATAGTCGTCACTATTTTCTCGCGATTTCTCGGCATTTACTCTCGATCGACATGAAGATCATCAAGCAGTTCTATGGAAGGCAAATAATGAATCCACCCAGTTCAAACTCCCCAGTGGATAAATTTTACACGTCAAGTTAGCACACTTCTGTGGAGCTTTGGTGAACGCTTGCAGGACCAGGAGGTTGGACCTTCCGCTACTAAGGCCGCCCCCACTTACCCATCCATCAGCTAGTTATCGGTTCTCCAGGTGGATCTCCTACCTTGGAGTCTTCCAGACCCTTGCCACTTTGTCATCCTACCAGCAGTTCACTTAGCAGAATGAAAAATTGATGTACTCCTACTTATTGCTAGCACCGCTACCAAAGAAATCCGAAACCCTGTTATTCTATGTCAATCATGCCCGAGTCAGTTAATGCAGTATCCCTACGTAAGACTGATCTTTCAATATGTGATAGCACTAAGAGGGCAGCTGCCCGTAAATCTTGTACTAACTACAAAGGCTTTTAGGTTGATATAACGAGGGGATCCAAATTTGAAGAGAACTGGATGTGCGTCTTCTGATACACCTCCATGCATTGCTACTAGTACAGCACTACTATACATATAGAACAGAAGTGGCAGGATAAGGGCTGCTTTCCCGTCGTTCCCGCCCATCCATAAGAAGAATTTGAAAAAGAGGAACATCAAGAAAATTAGCGAAATCAATTGGGTCTCAACTCTCGAGCCCTATGCAATATCGAATCTGGTCGCAAGCAAATCCCTGGAGCATAACATAGACGGAATAACTCATCGGCATATGTCAGCGGGAGTTTCGTGGCATTCATAGATTCCGCAATCGTTTCCTGGGTGGCGCTGGCGTTATTCACCTCATTGTTCAAGTCATTGAGCTGAATAACATCAACATGAACTTCATTTTCGATCGTGATATCGCCGAGGCCCAGAGTAGCTGATGGTTGACAAAGTGACTCCTGCGAGTAGCTAGTCATCTTACTAATAGAAGCTGTATTCTTGTGCCATGGCCACAGACGCAGTGGCTCGGATTTGGTATTTGGCATGGAGTCGGATTCTGCGCCGGCAGACCCAGATTGCATTCGCGTGGAGAAGGACTCCCGCCTAAGCTCACGACTGAAATTATCGCGGTCCGCCACATTATCATTGACCTGTTGCTGGAGACGGAATAGTCGGAATGGAGTGAAGAGCAATTTGATGCTTGGAACTTGTGTTCCCAGAGTTCCCATCACGTAGAAGTTGAGCAGAGTACATCCTGGGCGAGCTTGTATATTTCGAGGAGGACAAGACTGATCATGGCATGGTGCCATAATTGGACGTGATGAAAAGTGTGCTCTTTTGCGTATTTCCCCTGGGAAAGTCCTGAATAGAGATGTGATACTGTATTCCAGATTCTTACAGAAATCATCCAGATGCTTGTTCTTTTCTATTACAGTAGTCGACTGCAGATATTCGAGGCAGTTGGTCATGGTCCATCCTTCCATGTGCGAGAGGAGCTCTAGATGTTGAACCTGTAGCTTCTTGATTTGTAGTGTAGTGGATGGCAAGGGACTTCCAATACCATTCGTAGTAAGAATTTCGAAATCACCACGGACCGAGGGCCGCATGACCAATAGATTCAGATGAACACCTTCGCCATACCCTGTTTTCGATATAGAATAGTCACGCATATCACGTAAATACTCCGTGAAAGTAATCTCCGGAACGTGAAGGCGTTGAGATAAAGCTGAGGCGACGTGTACAATTGTGGTAAATCGAAACCCAAGTGATCTCAAACGACTTGCTTCGTAGTTTTGGAGCTGCCGAACACAGAACAATATCTGACCCTTGCCTTTGCAAAGCGGAAGACCTGTTAAGCGGGATAGTCGTGAAGTAGAAACATTGGTGGCGAGAATATTGTGATATAGAACTCCCAAGTCATTGAGGGGTTGCTTTAGTTCCTCAGACAGCTCTTGAGCTGCCATACAGAATAATTGCTTAAATAAAGAATCAAAATTGACCTTTGCTTCAGCGTCATGATCTATAAAGACCCCACGAGTGTTCAAATATCTCTGGACGGCCTTTTCTTCGAATTTGAGATATCTGCGTATCGAAGGAATATACTGTTGTATAGCAGTCCAGTTCCGACTGGCCCGAAATGCCCACAAGAATGTTGAGTGTGTATGGGTGAGATCGTCTTCTTCAAAAGTCTAAAGGAAAACATATCTTAGTCTTATGCAGCCATTAACCTAAGCCAAAATGCTATACCGTCCAATGGAGGGCAACTAACACGTCCAATATAGTGGCTCACAACTTTTCGTGTCGGTATATGTGCATGTGGAGTAACCATGATGTTACCCTCTGGGTCGAAATATGCGCAAGAAAGAACAAGCTGCTGTGCATGAGATGTTGATTTTCTGCGATGGAGATTTGCTATAATTGTCAGGGCAAGGAGAACTAAACAAGAAAAGCTGGCCTTCACCATAATCAGTCCAAATTTTTCAATGCATTATCGTAACTTGAGACATACCAAGACAGTGCAAATGATGGTGACCTGGCCTCGGGAACGCTGTGTCTTAGGCCCGACAAATTCTTTATACTCTCGGTATCTTGTACCTACGGTAGCTGTCCAGTGCATACCTGAAATTGCTGCGGCAAGTAAACAAGCACAAGCACCGCGCCTCAACCAATTATCTGTCCAGGTGGCTCTCCATCGGAAGAATATTCCCAGTGCTATTGTGCAGGAGAATACTGCAATAATAGCGGATCCAACAATGTTCCCCACACTGTAGGAGCATATGTAGTTTTTGATTCCCAACTGGCCCACGTAATGCATCCCACATACAGAACTCCCTGTTAAAGCTCCGCCTGTTAGGATGCGAAAATATCCCGGCTTTTCTTCAAATCCGGCGGAATAGAAAGCAGCAAACAAGATGCTGACGGGAAGCAAAAACGAAATCCCGGTAAAACCGCCGTCGTAAAGGATTTGTACATCTGTACCCCCGTCCTCAATGACGATGGCACGATTTCCAATGTAATGCATACACCATATGCCAATGCCACCCATGGTGATTGAAGACACAAGCAGTAGAAACCTTTCCAAATGAAAATATCAGCACCTTAGTTTCCAAAGCCCTTTCTTCCTGACATCAGGCACCCACCAATTATAAAATCCGGACTGTGAGGTTCTCCGACGAAGCATCTCTAACGCAGTCGCACATCCCATCAAGCTGATCAAGTATGAGGCAAAGATGTACTCGGCAAGGTACGAGATGTGAGCCTGCGGCATGTGACCACGAGGAAAGTATCTTGTATATTCATCCTTCTCACTTGCCATTTTGTTGCCTCAAATTGCGAAAGGTTATGTGCACGAGCTTTGCGAGGAGCACGCGGCCTTGCATATAAAGTGCAAAACTAAGAAGATTAAAGTTCTAGCTTGATCGAATTCGGAAACTCCAGACCAAAGTAGAATCGGATTAAACAGCCGCCAATAAATTGCTAGGAAAAATTGAATAATGGCGAAACAATAATTCCATTGATGGCCAGGAAGTCACTTTGGCCCAACCTAGATGGGGAATTAACCGGTATCAAGGCCAGACCAGCATTTCGATGCTTGCCTTCGCAAACTCTTCCTAAGGGAGTATAGTATGTTTCAACCGCCATTCAAGTCGGACGATATTCATGCCGGAGCAAGATAAGCAACATTTATACCCGATCTGGAAAGGTTTGTATGGAGTTGCCACGCGCAGCTTGATTGATCCACATATCGTGCTCGTAAGGCAGAATCTGGCGTGGGGGTAGACGCGAAAAATGCCAAGCTAGTAAATCCCCGACAGAAGAAAACAACTCCTGGACAATGATTCAGGAAGGAAGAGAGTCAAAGTGGGTCTCGAGGTTGCGAACTTTGTATTATGGAGCTCGGTACCGAGAACCTTCGGCTTGCGAGAAAGCTACAGTAACTAAACGGCTGCAGTCATCTAGTTTCATGATCTCTAGCCAAACTTATTCTCAACTTCTCCACAAGTTTGTTGAGCACGCATCACAATTCTGTTTAGGATATATGGCCTTGACCCACGACGCACCATCATGCGGGCTATTGGTGCAGTTTCATCGAAGTACCAAGTATCTTATGATATTTTCCAGACTTTCAATACAGTATCAGCTTTTTATCCTAGCATTGATAAATTTTCACTGCTGCTGCGCAAGGAACCTATGTCATCTCCTCCCATACGAACGCGAGGACCGGGTCAAAACTAAATCCCGGGATCGGTAACCGTAATTCAGAACTCCACTGATTCGTACGAATTGCCGTATCTTCTAGCATGTTTTAAAAATCGTAAATTTAGTTTTCTCTTGGAGACCATGATGCGTACCGAACTTGCCATAAAATCGCCTCTATGGAAGAAGCTATACAGAGAGACACGCAATTGAATCCTTGGATATCCTCAGTTAAAATAGCGAGGCTGAGAACATGATCAGTTCGTGAGCCGAAGGAGAAGCAAGCAATAGATAACTGTAGCATCAATGAGATGACCTGAAACATAGGGGTTCGTGAACATGTCTAGACGAATGTTCATTTCCTTTACCGGCCTAATAAAATGTGAATGAATAAACCTACAATTGATTTCATGACTTTAATGAATAAGCCGACTGGTAGCTCGTATGACCAGAATAAAAGATATTACAGAAGAGCCTACTTTATGAACACCCATGTGCGAGTAGCACTATTTGTAGAAGCCTGAATTGATAAAACTGCGTACCTAGTGACCTGATAACTTCACCAAGAAATCCCCATTGGGTCTGGTGTCAAATGGCTATTGGAAACATGGACATCTTGCTGGGTGAAAGGCATTATTGTGTAGCCCTGTTGACTGGCGCAGTAATTCTCCTCGACTATTCCATTATGCTGGTAGGTGTGGCTTGATGATGAAGTATGTGGGCTGCTTTCCAGATCCAAGTTGAAAGGATAAGGAGGTTGAGTCGGTTCGTTCCAAAATTCCATTCTGGGAGGTACTGTTGTATTCACGGGCCAAGTAACCAGGGAGAAAGGACCGCCATGAGACGGTCTATCCTTTTCCTGGTGAGAAGAAAGAATCTTACTCTTCCGGAATCGTTTTTCTGACATTCGCTCCGGCAAATAGTTATGCGAGAAGGGAAAATAGAGACCAGGGAATTTCATAGCAGTAGTTGCTGGCTCTTGGCCATTTTGCTCGCGCTGGAGATCCCGTTCTATTGCCCGCAAGAGCAATTTATCGTGGGGCACACTGTGCCAAAAGAAAACCTTCTGTTTTTTTTGTGTGCGAATGCAATTGCTTTTGTGCAAAAAATCCAAAAACGCACTGTTTGATTCCTCGAGGCTTGAATCAATTCCAGACTTAAGGTTTCTCAAGTCGGAGAAGACACCTTCCTCGAATTTCTTCGAGTTCCTCACTAGACGACCAAAGGCTTGTAGTCGAAAATGCAAACATCTGATAATGTCTGTTCCTGAGATGAAGAAGAGCTTGTTCCTACAAATACCGTTTAATGGGTCAGCCTGATATAACTAGTAATTGATACTCGTACTAGTAGCACGTAGCGACTCGGACTGATACGAACCAAAAAACACAAGAAATATGTTCACCCGTTGGAAGTAAACAACGCCGAATGAGATCTGTTGGCTGCCATTTCACCGGTGTCCAAAGAATGAAATTTCTCACTATGGTGTGTTAGAATAACCTTCGAGCTTTTCGGGAAGCTTCATTACATAGTATATAGTCATCAATGTGCTTAGTGTGATGTGAAGTTTCTACACTGGCAGGCAAGTAGACTTCAACTTCATCAAGGATTGAACCTACACCTTCAGCCGTGGCACCACAAAGGCTGGGCTCAAAGCGCATAGTGACGGTAGACTGGAGAGACTATCAGTACGTCTATAGGTATAAATGCGCAGTTACTTACATGAAATGATGGTGAGTTTTGTGACTGGCCGCAATATGATGACTCGATACAACAGTTATTTCCAAGCAACGCCGGGAATTGATGAGATTGATTTCTGAGCAAGTAACTAGTTACTGAAATCCTCTTGATAACACAGGAAGCTACGACCTACAAATAGGACACGGTGGGACTTATTAGCGTGTTTCCAAAGTGAATGAATCCCGCGACTGGAAACACGAACAATATGTACTTTTGGGGACTGAGACAATGTTCTAGCCTCCGAGTTGTGTCGGCTAACAGATTTATAATTCGAAAATATAATAGTATTACTTTCATAGATACGGACGCTTCCAATTCCATCCCTCAGCACCGTAATACTAGGGTTAGGCTGAACTCGGTAAGTGAAGGCCGCTTGTCGGGGACCCGGGGATCAAGATTTATTAGGTAAACGAGAGATCTGGTGAACCCATCTGAAACTGGGCGATCCAGGTTCGCCCCCCCTAGTGGGTCGCTGGAAAGGGGAAGTATGCGGCAACTTCAAAGGGGGAATTGCATTCGACGTCTTCTGTACAGTATCTGTATCCGGATGCATTTTTGCTTGCGTATTACTGTAACAGATACTAGATGAAATATATTTACCAGTCAAAAAGAGACCTCCAGTTGCTGTCTCTTGATAATAAAGAGTTTATTGGTCTACCTCGCGTCGATTCTCCCAAATTCCTAACAATTGCACCCCACTCGGCATTCAGACCCCCACAGGACATAAGCGTAAACTTATTTGCTAGCGCTCAATGTATCTGTTACGACTTGCTTGATCGTACTTTGACATTTGCTTTTGCCTCGAAAGGAATTAGTATTGTTGAATGACACGTAGAGCTCTTAAGAGGGGCTATCTCGTCAAAGATTTTCCTTTGATTTTTCAACCATCGTGCCTCTGGTATTCCAGGGGTGGTATCAAATGAACTTATTTTTTGTCTTTTGTGAGTATAAATTGTCCTTGAGCACCCATCCATTCAATATAGCCGACGACCTCTTAGTCCTAGCTCCATATAAAAGTAACACGTACTTCACCGAGCTTCTCAAATCAGAGGATTTAACCTTTCTGACCTCACCTAGTGATCTTTGACACTTGGATCTCATCACTGAGCTCGATGATGCAAGATTCCATGCACAAAGCCGATACGCTTTTCTCCATCTGCCAGAATACGACAATTCATCATGCTGTGACGTCTGAGCGAAACCTGAGAAGTCGATATTCGACGGGCGAAAATGGGTTAATCAGCAGTGAGAGTGATAGGCACGATGCTGTAGTCTCGCATTTGCAACCGAATCAAGCTGAAAAATTGGAATGCAACATCGGCGCTGACAATATTCAATCCCCTATCTGTGAGAAGCAAGATCCTTTGCCGTCTTCGATGTCATGCTCAACAATTATGCAACCGCCATTGATGTCGATGAAAAGTTCCACGTACGACAAAGAATCTATGTGCAGCAAAGGTGTCAACAACTTTGATTTGAAAAGGGAACTTCATTGCAAGACCACAACTGGCGATAAACGTCCGTATATCTCATTGACGGGCTATCGCTGCGTTCCATCCCCTTCATCCTCTTCATCCATTCTTACCCCTCCTCCTTCTCCAGCCACACTCTGTTCTTTCGACCTGGCGGAGCGAATTGAGATTGGGACGGCAAAAGCAGTTGCTTTCAGACGGCCAGAAGCTTCTCCAAAAGTCATCTTTGTAACCACTGAGAACCAAATGCCGATTAACTTTGAATTTTGCTTCGATTTCTTGGTCAGAAAAGATGAATATCAGACAGCCCCCATCCCGCATGTTATATAAAAGACTGGCAATCGAGAGAAGCTATTTAGTTGTGCTACTGAAATCACTGGTTTTCTAATATATAAGGAATTTGTCGTGACAGCTTTCTTTGAATGGCCCTGTATATTTTGGCAACCGAGCGGCTTGTTCATGCCTTCAGAATTCTGCGAACCGGGAATCAGAAAACCAGGATTGTGGCTGGCCTGAATCCGTCCGCCGACTCGACCCACTGCTTCGAGGTGAGTTTGCTCTCGGGCCCGGCCCCACCGTTATGGCCCCACGTCGGTTCAATCTAGGTCAAGCATCGTTGGATACTACATGAGGGAGAGCCACGTGGAAAATTTGTCTCAAAATAGGGGCTCCACATGGCAGGTGGTAAAGCATTCATGTAGCGTAATCACCTATCAAGCATGCCGTGCTGTTCCAGTTATATTAGTCAAATTCAACTGAAACATGACAGATTATTTATCTTGTAGAGCGATTAGGCATGCTCGAAGTAAGGCTCTCTACTATATTTAGCCCTAAAAACAAGGCCTGATATAGCCTTTCCTGTTTCATATTGTGCTAGGTTTATGTCAAATCCTAGTAAAGAACATTTTAAGGCTATATACTATATATGGTGCTATATACTAAATAATAATAATAAAGGTCTAATATATAATTGTTCAGGTAATAACCTATATATTAAAGGTTATTGTGACAGTGACTGGGCAAATGATATTAATAATAGAAGATCTACTACTGGCTATATATTTAGCCTAGGTAATGATTTAGGCCTAACTAATCCTATATCCTGGAATAGTCAGCTTCAAAAAACAGTAGCTTTATCAAGCTGTGAAGCTGAATATATGGCATTAAAAGAAGCTACAAAAGAAGCAATATATCTAAATAATATGCTTATATATATAAATAATTATATAATGGTTACTAAGTTGTCAGGCTAGAGACCTATGACTAGGCAAGGATATCGGATAGTAGAGATCAGATTGGACAGTTGATACACAGACTGATTCTTGAAGAGATCAAGAATCCTGAATACTTGTGGGATCTTAAATACATTAGGGTTCGGGTGGGCCTCAATATGCAGGTGACTCGAAGGGGATTCGGCTTCGGATCGGCGTCGAGTGTCTGAGGTATTGTATACTCAGAATCCCGTGAGAATTAGATCAAACGATCCAAACTCAATGGCGTCACCTCAGTCAAAGGCTCCCAGACTTATCCCGATTCGGGTACGTTTGTACGTAGATACAAACAAAGCAACACACTCTCTTTGTTGCCTCTATAATAAAAGCTTCCTTCTGCAGCTCTCTCAATCCTCACTTTTCCCTCATCTTCGTTTTCTGTAATCTGTTCCTTCTTATCCTCGATTCGTTATCTTTTCGCTATATCGGCTACTGCTGCTGCCGCTGGCACTGCGGGTGCTCCGATCACGGTTGCAGGTCCTTCTGGAGGCACTAGGGGTGCTGCTCTTCGAGGTAGAGGTCGTGCGAAAGGTAAGGGTCGTGCTGCTCCTGCTCCTGCTGGAGGTGATGGAGGTGATGGGGGCAATAGAGGTGACGGAGGTGATGGAGGCGATGGTGATGGTGGGCCGCCAGGAGATGATGGGCCCGGTGATAACTCTCGTCCTCTTCGTGCTCTCTTCGCACGTCCTTTCTTTGCTGCTTGCGTAAATTATGTAGCGGAGGCAGCCCTTCGTCCTCCTAAGGATGAGGTTCCTGAAATTCAGTGCAACTGGGATTGTACTAATTCTGTTTCCTGTGCTCTGTGCAAGGATGACGGCAAGTCTTGCTTTCAGGTATGGTACCCCTTCTGATTCGATTCGAGTCCGACTTGATACTTATTACTATTGACTGGTTAAGTACTAGATGTACCATCCCTAACTAAGATACTTAGTAAGTTAGAGAAGGATGTAGACGAGATACTAGACTTACAACTGTACTATCGAAAGCTTTAATATTACACAAGGTAGACTAGGAGTAATGACAACAACTGGTATACAGCGACGTTATTTAAGAACGTACCCCTGAAGCTTATAGACTATTACGCATAGTATCCCGATAAACTAGGACCTTTAATTTGACTACCAGACTGGGTGGTAGCTGCTGCGAATGACGTCTATCTGGAGGACTACGTTGACGACAATAAACTGATTCAACGAGGCTGAATTGTGTTTTGCGAGGGGGGTAATATAATACTCTGGATCAGGCCTATTGGGCCTAGTGCAATCCTTGCAGCCTATCTGCGAGGCCTTACCTACTGTTTTTATCTCTTCTCCACACTTAGTATCGCGTATTCAATGCACTTGTTTCTCGCAATAGGCCTCTATTACAGGTATTTAGAGGGACCGCGGGCAAAAGGTTCGCTTGACCATCAAAAATATCGCAAGAATAGGCGGATTACTCAGAATTAATAAAATTTATTCCAAAATCTTTCTCTGACTTTTAGCGCCCTGCACTGAACGTGCGCGGTCGCTGCATAATCACACCTTTCAGCCCCATTTTCGTTACCGAATCTCCTCAACCACCTCTCCTATTATCCCTGAACACTGACCAGATATTTCATGATTTCTTCTCGGTTATTCTGGTAAAATGAGTGGGATAGAGGTTGCGGGGCTTGTTCTGGGTATCTTCCCACTCATTACTGGGGGATTGAAGCTCTACATAAACGAGAAGAACACAGCAAGTGATCTGTTCAAATATCAAAGACTAGTGGTTCGCATGAGTCGGGATCTTTCCCGTAACCAGACCATATTCCGCAACTCTTGCAGGCGTTTTATGGAAGATATCGCTATTCAATGCGGGGTGGACGAAAATGAAGTTGTATGATGGAGAACCCCCGAGATCCACGCTGGAAAGAGGGGAAATTAGTCCAAGCCGACATTTTCGACCAAAATAATGTTCGAGAGTATCTGGATGCGGTCGAAGATATGAACGAGGAGCTGATATAGATCAAAAGATACTTGGCATTAATGGGGACGACAGCCAAGTAAGCTTAACCCGGATTGAGTTTTCCAAATAGCAACTGACGCGGATTTTGGATCCAGCCCGATATTCTAGACCATCGCACCCATCGACGCCAGTGGAAAAAGCTTATTCTCGTGCTTAAAAAAGAATCGATAGAGGGACACCTGCAACGAACAGAAAAATTGAACACCTTCCTTGGGATTCTCACCAAGCAAAATCAACCAACTGCCACGACACGTCGAGCTCCCCGTCGAAACACGCGACACTACAAAAGAATACGCTCACATGCGATCGACCTTTACAACATACTCGAGGCCCGATTTCCTTCATCTCCAACTTGCAAATGTGCACTGGAACCACACCATATGAGCATCAAGCTGGGGTTTCGAAGTGCACAGCTCACCGAGAAGGCAGTGTACTTTCATGCCATTTTCACATCTGAGACGAGTACCTTCAACACTTCTTCAAACTGGCGAGAGATTGAAACAGAGCCCTGGAAGAAAATACAAGAGGACGTGCTCTGCCAAGATACCGACCATGTCAAAGTGCGATTCTCGGTCGAGCCTCTTCCCCTCGGGAGACCTCTCCGCCAGACGGGACTGAAATCATAGACCTGTGCGCAGCTATAACAGGACCTGCATCGAAAGGATGGCTCGGACACATTTCCAACCGGCAGGGACAACAACACCGTATCCGGATATTAGATGCTCGGCAAAGATTACCCGCGTCTGACAAGATTCAAACCGTGTCCCTGGCCGAAGTGCTCAGCGATCCGCAGTTTTATGAAGAACAACGGCTGCGCCTTGCATTGAAATTAGCATCATCGGTGATGCAGCTTCATACGACAGAATGGCTGACTGATTTCTGGAGTAAATCCGATGTGTCATTCATGCGGTCTAAGCATGGAGTGATTGATTTCGACAATCCTTTGATTGGACGGACTTTTGGAGCGCGTGGGTACGACTTGAACTGTGTATCTGAAACACTACCACGACCTACTCTACATGCATCGATTCCTTGTCTCTTTTCCTTGGGAATTGTACTGCTTGAATTAAAATATCGGCGGTTATTTGAAGATCTGAAAAGCGAAGTAGAGAGAAGTATGGTACGTGCAATATTTGCCCCTTCCCCTCTCCGTGGAACCATGAATGTCCTACTTTCGTTTTCCTAGGTTGTTTACTGACAAATGGGCTGTACGGAGTATAGCCGCCGGAATTTTCAGATTCCATGGCTGCACGACGACTCACGGACGAAATGATCGGCAGTACCAATTATCAAGATGCCGTGGTGCGGTGTATCCTGGGTCTAGACGCAGCTTATAGATCGCTAGCCGAAGAAAGATTCCAGAAGGAGGTAGAGGAAAAGATCATTAGCCTAATAGCCGAGGATCTCAAGATCTATTGTGCTAAGACATCTGTTGAGGCGTGCTTAGAAATGGGAAAAGGGGGAATGGGGGCAATGGGAGGCGTGGTAGCACGGGCGTAATTGGTAATTGGGAAGGGGATGGGGAATCTTTTGAGATGAACCCCTCACCCCATCTAAAACCCGTCAAATAAGAATAGAATAAGAGTGACGGTTTGACGCAGCCACCAGAACGCCTTAATTTCAGTCTCAGGGACAATTCCCACCAGATCCGAGCCGGCCGGCCTGGCCAGTCCCCGTCGAAATAGCGTCGCTAGTGTCTCCATCCAACCCCAAGACCAGTTCGCGACGGTCGCACCCTGTGCCACGACTGGGCCGAGGGCCACGCCAGGGTCCACCGCGTACCTGAAGAGCCATGGACCAGCAAATTCGACATCCAACGCTTTCCAAGGGCCCAGCCCAGGGCCTGGTTTCAGATCCACCAGGTACGGAAATGCTCGAGAGACACAAACAACCCCCTCCGTCGAAAAGTGCAGATTACCTCGTTTCTGTGTGGCCGAATAAATTTCGGTCGCGTAACGGCTTCGGACAGCTTGGAATTTGCCCGGCGAGATGCTACCTCGGGGCGACGAAGTGGAGATTGAATCGTGTCCCTATCCAGCAGGGCTTGTGTTCAACATGTGAACGAAATCTGAATCAAACACCGTGTCCGGTCTGGTCTAGTCTGGTCCATTGAATGCAATTTTGGGAGGTAGAGTCATAGTAAATAATATGATCCAGTAGTCACGATGCTAGTTGTAGGTAATAATAATACTCGTAAGAATCATACTCATAATCATCATCACGATCATCATCATCATCATCTTCTTCTTCACCATCAATTGAGATATGGATTTCTATCCACTCCAGTAAACCAGTATGCCCATGAAGAAAAGAGAGAATAGAAGCAATAATTGGAAAAAAAGTCTCATCACATCGTAATTCCAAGCCAGGCAGGGAAGGCAAGCCAATCTCCTGCTTCCGGCGCGTTCATGTCCTTGCCAACACGACTAGCATCATCAAACCGGTCGAGGGTGCAACCAGCTCTTGCAACCGATTACATCGGGGCTTTTCCACCCGAGTCTAATCGTGGGAAATGAGGACCCGTTTCCTTTTCCATGTGCACTGCATGCGCATGGGTCCGTTACTCCGTTTTACTTCTGTATTCTTTCGTGGAAGAAAAAGGATAAAATACCCCACGATCATGGATATTCGTTATCGTGTCATTCGTATATGTTCCAGCGTGGCGGGGCGAAGAGGAGGGGAGAGTAGGGTAATGGGGTTGGACTGGGTGTTGAGGGCGAGAGCAGAGTAGAGTGTTTAGGTGTATAGTCTCGGTGGTGCGACGTGGAGGGTTAAGAGTTTCGTCGAGGCTGTGCGAGAATGTTGCTGAATCTCTTCCAACGCTGCGTCGGCGAGGTAGAGTTGACGCGTCCCAGTTGTGCTTTATCCATGGGCTTAGAGGAGGAAGTGGTTGAGGAGCGTGGGCGGCTGATGGTCGCCTCGTGATCGGCGAGGACATCCTCAAGGCGGACATCTGAATCGGACATGCGGGGGTGCGAGTCCTTGGGATCAAGGATCTCGATGAACTTGGAAGGAGTATCACGCATCTTGAACGAGTGTAGATGTATTTGTTTTGGTAATGGTGGTAGAGTATGCAGATAGTATGTGTTTATACTCGATGGATGAGACAACGAATGTCGCAGGTAAGCCCGGAGCTGTACAGCACGTTTCACTCTGAAGAGAGGGGCAAGCGAGAGGATTGGTTGAGTTCAAGAAAGAGGAGGGGAGAGGAGATCTAAAATAAATAGAACAAACAGAAAAGTTCTAGGAGATTACTAGTCCCGAGTTTGGGGAAATGCGGGTAGTCCACGGTTTTCGTTTCCATGAGGAAGTGGAGACTGCAGATCAGGGGACAATTGGATGAAGAGGGTCTCTTTTTTTGCCTCTTTATTTGTTGTACTCCGTCATTTATTGGCATTTTGATTTTTTATTTTTTTTGTTTTTTAAATTTCTTAGCGAGTCTTCACTCTTCAATGGATATGTACACCGTAGTACACCGTAGTCCTCCGCACTGCTACAGGCTCATCCTCGCCCAGGCGGACGCCTAAAGATCTATTATTTCTCTCTCGTGCAACATCTTCATATCAATGGAGTACATACCAGTACTACTACTACTTAATACGGGGTACTTCTAACCCATGGTAGTTGCCTTCCCCCGATAGCTCAGACTGATGTATCATGCACCTGCACACCAAGGATGAACAACCCCACAAGCACCACCCACCACAGGCGCACGCAGGGTTTCCTCATTTGGCACATGTCGACCTGCTGATGAACGCGGTGGTGGGTGGGTGGCCCAGCGCAAAGGGGCCAGGATCAGCGTTGACCCTCCACTCGAGCGGTGCCGTGGCGTCTGAGTTCTGGCCACTGACCGTTAGGGATGCAGAACCCGCGGGCAGTCATGGTTCGTCCGATCAGCGTGGATCCTGAGTGGAGGGGCACTTGCGCGGCCCTGGTCAACTGAGCATGCGGAGAGTTTCGCCTGTTGGGTTTTCTGTGTGCCCTGAACACCGCAACTTCTGCACGGAGGGGGACCGGCGAAAGTGATGAGAAATCGAAATCCCTCCCCCTCCCCGTGACAATGCACTAAATAAATTCGCCAGGTCTCGGTCGAACTTTTCCTTGGCTGGTGTTCGACTAGTGTTTGGCCTAGCGCGCGATGACCTCGCAGGAATCATTCATGGAGGGTACGAGTAGGTAATGGCCCCCCTTTCCAAACGCTTGTTCCACTTTTGCAGGTCGGCACAGTAGGGTTTTCGCCCATGACGTCGGGGGGCTCCCGATCTTATCAACCCATAGGGCATTGGATGTCGATGTCGGTACTTTTGTGTTTGCCTCGCTATAAAAAGAAATGCAATGGAGAAGGAAAAATGCCGACCTCTTCGCCATTCAAATTGCGTGCCCTTCCCCAGGTGGATTCCACCCCCTCCATCGTGGAGAATCATTCCATCGCTTCGCAGCGATAGACACGAACCCCCCCTCCCCGTCAGCCTACGTAGTCAGATTTGCCTCCGGATCGCACCGCCACTCTGAGCTGACTGCCCGAAGGAGAGTTGATGACAGTGGATGTGAGATGTGAGATTGCCAGATTATAGGCAGCAATTCTCCTTAAACAATATGGTGGCCGATATATCCGAAACCGAGGCATGGAGAGACGAATTGATAAGGCTCAGCAATTGACAAGGCATAATGGCACAGTCGGGGTTTGCAACCCTGTATCGGCGATTACCGCCAGGGCTTGAATGACCCGAGGCTGATGCTCGACCAATTTCAAGTTGTATAATTGGTGCAAATCAATTGCTGATGAGCTTTGCCCAGCATATGGAGCATCTTGTACTTCCAATGTACCCTGGCCGAGGCTGCTGCTCACATCAGATTTCCACGATCCTGATTTGATCCATTTGGACCAATAATAAACAATATGGAAATAATAAGCACTCAAGGGATGCAGAATGGCCGAATAGCGAACTGCTATGTACAGTCCATGGCCATCTCAGTTAAACGCAGTGCCTGATTGACGGGCGCAGATACCACACAATGTGTAGTAGGCTATCTACAGCACTCAACTCGAAACATGCCATCTTCCAAGATTGCCTCCTAGATCAGAAGGCGAAAACATCTCCGTACCCGCCACAACGAGCGACAGCCACGCTAACTAACTAACTTTCACTTCAACTACTTCTATCTATATCTTCAGCCACGTAATCTGGGCGCGTGGAATCCCGCATATGAGAGATACGATGCACCAACTCGAACTTGCAAGAGCACAGCACTATTCAACACATAATTTGTACTCAAAAATCTGCTACGCCCTCACTTCATTGGGTATGAATGTAAATCTCCGATAGTCACTCACCAGATACCTAGGTACTACCCATCCGGATATCGGTGAGAGGCCATACCGTAGATAGAAACCCCCGCCTGGAGCTTGGAGCCCCGTCCCCCACTCAGCCTGGGGCCATGACGTTTTGGCCCTTGAACGTAAAAGGTCAGTTTGTTGGTCATTTGAAGCTTCATGTCGATCCATCTCCCACTTCTCCTCCACACAGCTATAAAAAGAAAACGAGCTCTGCGGATACTGTACAATCTTCAAAGATACCCACACAATCACATTAGATTGAATTATATTGAGCAGAGCTGCGGGGTTAGGTACGCATGGACGTAGGCCTTCACTGGCACCTCGTAAATACGTACATACAAACTCACTCCTTCGCCCTGTGGAGCTAGTACTCGCCTCTCAACATGGATCTGTCGCACGGCCTTCCACCACATTAATTCCGGCGGGACGATCAGATGATCGACAATATCGGATTCCCGCTACAAGCATTTCCGAGAAGAAAGGTGTTGGTTCGTGCGGTGGGATTGGCTTGGAGTGACTGTCCCTCCCAATTGGTGCATGCCTTACAGATGACCCCTAAAGGGACGGGTCTTCCCTTTCCTCTTCAGTTTACTGTTGCCACAAATCTGCTATGTGTTGCGTGTTCGATTATTCGTCACTGGGATATCGCAGGATGGCATGAGTACAGTATGAGCAGTCGCAGGATTCACTCGCCACAAAGACATACGTACTCTGGGATGCGTAGAGAGCCAGACAGTGTACATCTCCGTGGAGAACCTACCATACGGACACCTGATAGGCATCAATTGATGAATTTAATGACGCGGCGTCTACGCTGAACTTAAACAAGGGAATCGGTGTCGAAATAGTGTAGTGTATTGATTTTGGCCAGTACCACAAGGCAGCCATGCAATAATATCGCACTGGAAGAACCATCAAAACGCCTCGTGAATCAAAAATAAACCAGCAAACACATGGACAAGAATCTGCCCGAAGGACCAGTGAGTGGTCCTAATGGCCCCGGTAGTCCACATCCTTATTTCCCCGTGTCTCGCAGCGGGCATCAATCAACTCGGCCATTCCCCGACGCAGTGAAGTCAGGTTTTGGATATTGACGAGAGGAAGGTCCAGGTCCTTCAGGACCAGACCACTCCCACAAGCGCGGGACCTAGCCCGCGGAGTACTGTGCATCGGTCGGTACTCTCACTTCGATGACTTTCAATTATTTTAATCCGAGGTCCGTCATTTCGACGTCTGACGCCGAGCCCATCCAGAGGATGTTGTTACACCTGTAAATCATTGTTAGCACTTTTCCCCCTAACGCGAAACCCCGAAGACTGAGTAGCCATTACGGTAGGGTGAGCGCGTACCGAATAAGAACCAAGCCCAAAGATCCAGTGTGCTTTCCATCAATGTGTTCCTCCGTATCCCGCAGCAGAACGTTCATGTAGGAATCGATGCTCTCCAGGGTACCCTTGTACTCAGTTTGGCCCCACTTAAGACGGATGAGGACCTCAGTGCCGACTCTGCAATGAGGATAGAAGGTTAGCAATTTAACGAGTTAGGGTAGGGAACGGAGGGCTAGATAGTGGCGTGAATTTGTGCTGGGTTGCTCAATGGGGGAGGGGGGTTGGTTGCTAAGTAGGGTCGGGTGGGGAGTCGCGTACCTAGCCTGGAGGAACGGCCGAGGGTTGACGGGTTGCAACTGTAACGAAAATGTCAGCGGTAGGTCTTTTCAATGTCGTAGATGAAGATCTTGATCGCTTTGAACGAGCGCATCGCGGAGCTTGATGCGGCGTGGCTTGGGAAACGTACGCTCATTGTGATGGGTGTGTGGGTGGTCTTGCGCTGAGAGCACAGACAATGGATGAAAGGGGTTTGGTGTGAGGTGAGGAGCTTAGCGATGAAGCTTCTTTCCTTTGGGACTGGTCGTTGGCGCGCGAGAACTGGAGGTTGGCGGAGTCGACAGCACCGCGAAAATGTGAGCTGGTCGGGATATCGGGTAGGCCAATGATATTGGAGTATTCCTCACCGCCTCTGGTGTGAGTTAGCGACGAGGTAGTTACTATTGGGGATACTACTTGATAAGAACAATTGCTCCTGTCTAGTCTTTTATTTCGAATAGCAGAAAGAGAACAGTCGATGTTGGTGATTGTCTTTTTTCCGTTGTGTAATTTGGCTTACTATGGCTTCGTAATCATCATATCGCTTAACTCTCCACACCAACTCCTCTCCACACCACACGCCAGGCTCATCAGCCTCCTGGTAATAATACAACGAAAAGACCATAAGACCGAAAGTAATGGAATGATATCTTGAGAAATAGGCCATAAAATCCCATTTCTTTGCACCCAAATTCCTTTCCACCCAAGCTCGTCAGCGCTGGCTAGTCACCGAAACAGCAGGATGCCTCCATACTCATTTATGCCCGACCAACCGACCAGGTGATATCCTTGATGCTGACTTCCTCGCTGGTCTTCTCATCGTAGTCGTACCATTCGCCTTCATCGAGCTCAATGTCAGAGAATTTGGTGGGGGACTCAACACCCTTGGCTTCCCATTTTCCCTAGATAAAAGTAAGAATTTTGAACCAGTTTCGATAGTAAGGCTCACTTACCTCTGCGGGCTTAAACTCGATAAACTCCAGACCACGGCAGTCCATCTCGATAATCTTCTGACCGGTCTTCTTCTCTTGGAGCTCGTAGGCATTGGGACCGGAGATGATGGAAGCAGAATGGGTTTTCTGCAGATTGTAATGTTATTTCTTTGCTCGCCGTCTCATCATAGAGCAAAATAGTAGAAACAAGAGACAGAGAACAGATAAATTTGGTCTGAACGGTATCAAATTTCTTGACGGGTGGAATCACATACGGTGCAGAGACGGCATTTCCAGACAAAGTTTGCCTCGCCCCGGCTGCCGGGGATCTCGTGTTGCTCCTGCATAGGAAATATTAGCATTATCCACGAGCATGGACTTCTTCTCTAGGGTCACGTACGAAGCGGTTGAAGCCCACCCAGTTGGCATGAACCTCATGGCAAGATGTGCACTTCACCCGGAATGTGTAGTAGTAGGGGTCCTCCTCGGTGTCAATTGGCCGAAGAGAAGTGACACTACCAGAAAGAGTCAGTTGGGGTGCCGCATCAACGATCCTTAGGTCAAGGAGTGAATTTAATGCTTCTGCGCGGCCTGCATCAAAAATTGTTGCACGATGCGGGGAGCTTTGCGAGGGATTTCAAAATGGGTGTGGACGCGCTTAGCGGACTTACCCTTCCAGCTCGGCTGTGAGCACAAGAGATAGCATCTTGGATAATTTGGTTTGACGTGATCGGAGTTGGAGGGGTTGTAGAGGTTTCTCGAAGATGAAATGGAAGGGCGCCGTAATGCGGATGCGGATGCGATGTGATGCGGGGTGGAGACAGAAAATAGATCAGGTCTTGGCATGTGACCACAAAGCTGGCAGTATCGCCTATATTACACTGAATGACTGTAAATTGCTAGTAATATAGAACAAAACTTTAGAAGAGAGTAATAATGAAGTGATGAAATTCTATTCGTAATCATATTGAATAAATCGAAACGCCAATTATGCTCAAGCACTCGCTCTGAAAGAACGATATAGACAAGCTATTTACAACCAAGAAATAAGATCATACAAAGGACATCACCTGAAGTTACAGACGGCTCTGTTGGGAGTCCTGTCCCAAAGCCTTCGTAGCGAAGGAGCCGAAGTACTCATTCAGGGCGTCAGCGGTGCCACTGCCCTCAACCAGCTGAATGGTGCAAGCGACGTGGCTGTCGGGGCGGGTAACGATGACACCACCCTTCTCAGCGTCGAGACCAAGCTTCTCGTGAGCCGCGAACTTGGCATCGGGGACACGAACATCGGGGATGTCATCGGAGTATAGGTGGTGGTGGTAGTCACGCAGAACCTGGGGGATGGAGTCCACGTCGACCTCGTTCTTGGCAGCGGCATAGATGAGAGAGAGGGTGAAGAGCCTGGAGTGGGGGTTGTGACGCTCGAAGAAAGAGACATTGGAAATGTCAGGGCGACGGTAGACAGAGAGGAAAGAGCGCTCCTTCTCCAAATTAGCGGCGAGATCGGCAATGGCCTTTTGCGTCTTGTTCTGGTTACCACCGAAGATGAAGATGCGGAAGGAGCCGTTGGTGGGGACCTCCTGCTCAAGCTCAACGAAGTTGGCATCAGCAAGACGAGTGACCATGGTAGGGGTGAAAGCGCGGCCAGGAGTCAAGCGGACGTTGGGGATGTTGAACAGGGCCGACTTGGCAGGGTGGCTGGCGTCCCAGTTGAAGACGTTGGGCTTGTAGGCAACTCCGTATCCACTAGTGAACTCGCAAGAAGACTTGAAGGTCTTGACAAACTCATCCTCCTCGACATCGCTCTTGGAGACAGCCTTGCTAGCAGACACCTCGCCGGCGGTGGGACGGCGTTTGGAGAACAGAGCGGCATACTTGGCGTCGAAGTCCAGCAGAGTCTCGGCAATATCCTTGCGTTCACTCTCGTAAGTGCTCAGAATAGAGCGATTAGCGAAACCGGTCTCAACGGCGTGGATCTTCCAGGCCATGTTGAGAGCATCGTGGAAGGCAGTGTTCATACCCTGACCGGCCTTAGGGCTGTGGGTGTGGCAGGCGTCCCCACCCATGAATACACGCTCATCCAAGGTGTACTTCTCGGCGATACCCTGTCCAATGGGGTAAACGGAATACCACTCAACACGGTCCCACTCAACCCAATAGGGCTTCAAGATGTTCTTTGCGGTCTGTTGAACCTCCTCGGCGGTAGCGGTCTTGCGAGGGTTCCAGTCGGCATCTGTTGACGAGGCGATCTGGACGTACAAGCGGACCATGTTGTCCTCGCGGGGAATAACCATGATCGAGCCAGCATCGGAGTGAATAGTGCATTTTGTCTGACGAAAAGTTAGTTCTATGTCCAGTCACGTAACCTCTCTGGCTCTTTGCTCACCTCAATATCGGGGAAGTTGGTGCGGACAACTCCATCCATGACACCCCAAACGTAGGCGATGGGGTCCTTGTGGCGGATCTTGATATCGAGCTGTTCACGAACGAAGCTGCGAGCACCCTCGCCACTGAACAGGTACTTGGAGCGAACAGTCTCAATAACGTTGGTATCAATGCTCTTCAGCTGCACCTCAACGGGGTAATCGGCATTGGCGCCATCATTCTTGAACCCGTGAATGGTCCAGGGACGCTCGACCTTGGTACCGGCCTTCTCAATCTCATCAATGAAGACACGCTCGATCTTACCCTGGTGGACAAGGGTGGTGAAAGGATAGCGGGTGTCGATGAAACGAGGGCAGCTGGGCCAACTTCCAGTGCGGCCGATGCCAGAGCCATCAGCCTTGGGATCCCAGAAAGCAACATCGTACACCTTGGCGGGCTCGTAGGCCATGATGGCGCGCTTCAGGCCCAGGTTGCGCAGAATCTCGGTGGAACGCGGCTGAATTCCGTCGGCGCGGCCAGTGGCGGTCGGGACAGGACGATTATCGATGTGCTTGACCTTGTAGCCCCAGCGGGACATACAGAGGGACAGAAGCAGGCCCACAGGACCGGCACCGACGATGACGATGTCATACGTCTCTTGCGCCATCTTTGCTGGTAGGAAATGAGGTCGGGAGGTGGGAGGGTAGGGTAGGAGGTAGAATATACGGAAAGCGGCGGGGTCGAAGTCAGGTTTTGTGCAAAGAAGTATATACTCTGTATGATTTAGTATTCACGATCCAAGAGAAGATTCGACGGAGGGCCATGGCGGGCTCATAAATAGTTTCCAGCAGGCCGGGGTAAGCGGGCCGACTTGGGCAAAATTGAGATGACGGAGAACAGCCACGGCATTGGAGATCGGTTGTATCGTGGGGAGCTGCTGGGAGCGAGCTGGGGTGGACCAATCAGAGGCTCTGGAGAGTGGTTTATACATGCACAAGCGTGTGGGGACGCCCTGCATCCAGCGCAATGACTGAGTTGCCGTCGTTGATCCCGGATGAACTGGCGAGGACGGCGAGTGGTGGAGGTGGAGGAGAGTGGAGTCACTTGATTCCCCACCGCTGCCCGGCTGCGCGAGTCGGCAAGTGGAACTCGGTTGCTGCCCCGGTACATGCAGTCACTCTACACTGCACATATGTGCGATATCCTGCGAGCAAGTACTATTGCTTAATTCTCCTTGGTTGATATTTTGAAAATGGTGCCTGTCTATCACAAGGACTACGACTATTCTGCCGCCCTGCCCACCCTGCCCACCGGCTCCCCCACTTGACCGTGGCAGTTTGACTGGCAGTTTGACTGGCAGTTTGTTGAAGGGAAACCCGGTGCATAGTGCCAGGCTCATTTGGAGATTCTGGCAATTCGTCTTTAATTGGCCTGATTATTCTACACTATTCTACCGAGCACCATGTCGGGTTACCTGGCAAATTAGCTCGGTGGTTGTTGCTCTATTATCCCGCCACCACCGTACTCGTATATCAGATTCATGATAGTGGTGTTACAGTAGCAACTTGCGATCCACTTACATTGTGGGTGGACTTCATCATAGCCCATGCCCAGGTGGCTTCCATTTTGATTCAACTTGAAGCTCACAGCCAGAAACTACATCCTATGTAAGTGCAGGATCTCCGATGATCTCACCGATGATTTCATCCCGAGAAACTAGCCGCAGGGGGGATTTCCACCGGCTACTGGTGTCTATGTAATAAGGTTAAAAGGTCTTTCTGATAACCTCGGGCCTAGTTCTATCTTGCCTCTTTGTAACCAAACCGGGAGCCAAGCTGGCACTGGCACTGGCACTGGCACTGGCAATTATAACGGCCAGCCTCGTCAGGGCCGGACTTCCGATGAACCTTGGAAGATCGGCAAGAATGCCGGCTGCCGCTAAACCCCGGACACCTCAGCTTATCTCCGGCTAGTAGTACTACTACTACTACTAGTAGGGTATTGACCTATTCAGATTATTTCCAGCAATGCTCAGTTACAGGTTTAGCGTTGGCAAGAACGAATATTACGTAGGTAATCTCCAGAATATATATATCAAATTTAGAACATAATGTCCCTGCTAGTAATAGGGTTTCCAGCTGTTTAATTACGGCCTCAGGCTGAAGCCATGCCTTGTTGATGCCTGGGGCAACAAGTATCTTATCCAACGCAAAACAAGAAAATTCTACAGGTTTTTCAATGTTCTATAGCCTTTTTTGCTCAATTGACGACTGAAATTCTACTCAGACCGCGGGATGATTAGTTCGGCTCTTTCAACTTGAAGCTGTCAATAATGCGACACCGAACTATAGAACAGCCACCCCAAAATTCTAGGCAATGCACCATGGAAGTAAGACAATCGAATTATATTGTAGCCTGATTCTCTGACCTCATTCACTTTGAATATCTCCATTGATGGGACTAATTTGGTACTGTGGCACTTATGTTGCATGGGATTGACGCATGGCAACGAGTCGCAACCACTTTTTGTTGATGTTTTGCTTCCCTTCAATCCTAGGACGCACAACTCCTTCCAACATTCAGGCTTATGAATATGGACGACGGCACCCTTGAGACACTTCTCGCTAAGGCTTACATCCCGCCCGATTATTCTAAACGAAGTGGGGGGGGGGGGGGGGGAAATCAGCTTATTGTTGTTTCTGGGTATGTGAATGGAACTCCCAAGGCCCCAAACCCGCAATGTTATTGAGCGCTCCACGCCAGTGAATTATTTTACATTCTGAACGTCGGACTCTGCTAACGAATTTTAAATCATGGACGGGATTTCACAGCCCAGAATCGCTTTTTCACGATTCACAACCTGTTACCACCCTCGATCAATTCCATGCCACAGCTTCGTCTGAAGAGCAGAACTACACCGACAACACACCAGAGAAAGGATCTCAGCAAGACAGCTCAGAATTTCAGGACTCGATGACTTCAAATTCGGAGGAAAAGCCCTTGGAGATGCAATATTCGATCCATCATGTTCCGCTCATGCTGCATGGATCGGCTTCTCTTGCTCAATTGGGGCCAGTCTCTCCTACCGATGTTTACAGCGAAACTGCGAGGTAAGATCCATCATTTGGAAACGAATTCGAATTCGACTGGCTCATAATCGAAGAAGGGAGTACTGGAGTGTCGCCAACAGCAACCCTTACATCGACTCTATGGATCTCGATGAGCTAATCGCTATCCCATGCAGCGAGCCATCGCCATACCTCACAGAAAAGGGCCAGCAGTCGGATCTGGCAAATTCCCCGCAGATACGGAATATGATCCGATCTATCAGTCCCGATTCAATGGAAGCATCTTTTCCTCCCCACGATGAGACCCTCCAGGCCTTGGTCCCAGAGGGCCTGACCCTGTCCTTCAAAACTGGACATAAATTTCGACCACATCTGACCATCCCGGAGAATTTGATACTACCATTGAGCCGCACCGCTTCTTTGTATGAAGTAAAGTCTCCCTTTTCCATCACCGCCAGAGTGGTCAAATCACCCGATCAATCTCCATTGCAATCCCCGAACCAGTCCCCTCAGAGGTCTCCGACTCGGTCTCCATCGCGTTCACTAACTACCATCGAGGAAGATAGCGGTACAGACATCGGTTCGGGTCTAAAAAGAAAGTTTGCAGCCCACGGCGGGCGTGTTCACAAGAAGCTTTTCGGGGACAACGGTTGGCTCGATGATCACAAGCCAGCGTCGACCCTCCGGCGAAGGCCAAGTGTGATGCGAGAGCTTGGAAGAAAGCTCAAGGGGCTGGTAAGTGATCTCTCTCTTTCCTTTGCAACTACTTTATCGGAATCTCACATCGACCCTGTATAGAAAGGAGATTTCCCCAAGAGCTCCAGCCCAACAAGCGGTCCCGGTTCGCCAGTGGGCTCACCCAGCCCCCTTACACCAGTCTCTCTGACCTCCTCGCAGCAGTCAAAGCTGTACGCCGAATTAGAAGTCATGATATGTACCACAGCGAACGATTTCATCTCGAATCAATATTACGACGGTCGAGTTTCTCGACAGTCAATCTCGAAGGTCCACGACTTCTGGAGCTCGAAAAACCGGCCACGGGTAACCGGGTTCCGTTTCGACCAAGCGACTCAGCGAGACCTCATTATGGCAAACCGCCGAAGTCTTAGATTTGCAGGCGAAAGCTCCACGAATCCGATCATGCTCGAGTCCAATCTCTCCAACTGGAAAAAAATCGCGCAAGAGATGAATGTTCGCACTTTCTGTTTGCCCGATAGCGCGATTCGCAAGCATCTTCATGACACGCGCAACCTCTTGGACATGCTTGATGCTTCACTCGATACACTCCAGCAATTCCGCGATGTGAGCCTTCAGGCTCAGGATGAAATGATGGACGAATACATCAAGCGCCGTCCGCGGACTACCAGTGGCTACAGTGCTCTGCCAATGGGATAGTCAAGGAAGGATATCAAATTCATCGGGCCGACATACTTAAGAATTGATTTGATTTCAGAAGGTAGGAAATTATGATTTACTCCGGGCATTCTTTGCGAGAATCTAAGAGTGGGGAATGGGTGCGAGGCATAGGATGTATGGCGGATGATAGTCCATTTCTTAATTCGCCAATCATTCAGTTGACAATACACAAAACATGGGGTCATTTCCCAGTTGAGTTTTACGCGGTAGAAATAAAGATAAATAAATACCCTAGGCCAGGATGTTCCAGAGATGCTTGTCCTTGTCCTTGTCCTTGTTCTTGCTTGCAAACCACACGGCGGCACGTGCAGCGACGTCATCTTTCATAGGGGCGCGCCAGGCAGCTCTCGCAGCTTTTGACACACGTGGACAAAGAGTCATTTTCATTCTTCATTCTTCATTGCTTGCACGCCCTTATGCAACCATCTAACTCCCATCAGATCGGTTGTTTCCGATCGGCCTAGGGTGAGCAGCCGGCAGCCACCTTGGCAATGACCATCTGGCGATCGGTGTTTTGATCTCGTCGCAGATTGCTGGACCCTTGGAAAAGTGGAACCTCGTCCTTCGCCATGACCGGCCCTTTTCATACTTACGGCTCGACCTGCCTGCTGGCCGACGAAGAATCGGACCTGTCGAGCTGGTATTCTCACGATACCCCGCCCGACATTCGCTCTCAATTCTTCTACATCTCATCCGTGCCAATTGACGACCCCTTGGCCCCTCTGCCCCCGGCGAGTGGGCAGGGGTCGGAAAATGAAAGAGCTCCACCGAAGCCGTTTACCGCAATAGACAACCTCGCGCTGGAAACTTCGTGGCAGAAACTAGGCAAGGCTCGCCAGGCAACGGGTGCGAGTGAATCTGAAGCTCGAGCAGATCCGTCAACGTCGCACCTCGGCATTGCTGTCCCCGGCCGAGCATCTGAGTTGGGCATCGGACACAACCGCAAGACAGCAAGTAGAAGAGATGGGGAAGGTCTGATCAGCAGTCGAAGCACTCTCAGCAACTCGCCATCATTTCCTGATGAGACTCCTGGACGGCATCTCAAAAGCCGATCGGGCTTACCCATCGGCTCTGAACCCCGGATCGGGAGTTCCACACGAAGGCGTGTGACTCCATTCACGAGTGATGATCTTGCCGAATACCCCCATAGGAGTGATTTAAATGATCGAAGGAAGCGAGAACGCTCTTCTTCGTTGAAAGAAGTGCAATCGAGCAAGAGAAGAAGTGACTCGACTCTAGGAGACAATGACGGGGCGGAAGATGGCCAAGATGAGACTGGGAGTCTCCGTGCCAATCGATCCCGTGATGTGAGTATCAGTGGGTCGCCCTTCATCAGAGCGCCGATTTCCCAATCCCACAGTCAATTTGGGAGTTCGGTCGAATCTTTGCCATCGAAGGACGGACCCCAAGAATGGCAGAGCGAGGTTCGAAGCAGCGCGCCAAACCATGGGGCTCCTAAGCCTTCGGGCCTTAGAGCCACCGTCAGCCTAGACGAGATGACCCAAGACACTTCCGAGGAGAATCGAGATAGAAGAAATTCAAAGAAGCAGGAGAGCGATGTCAAAGCAAAGATTCCCGTCGGAGCCTCACGGCTTCACCTCGTCGAGCTTCCAAATTTGAAAGTACGTGCATCATTTCTTGCCTGTTATTCCTAAGCTAATTCTGGTCGACAGATGAAACCCATATACTGGAGCCCGCTTCATGATGTATCAGCTGTCGTCCGAGCGACATGGTTCTACAAAAATTCGATGTACCCTGTGGAAACTGCATTGGCGAACAAACTGGAGGAGGGTTACACCTACCTGAAACCATGGACCGAGACATGGCAGGATGAGTTGAATAGCTGCGTGGAAAATGGAGCCGATGCAGAGCTCAAGATCGTGCACCGCCTCTGGACGAAGGAAGAAACAGGATCAGCCAACCCGCCCGGGACAGCTCAAGAGCAAGGAATGGACACCACCGACTCGACAGAAGATGATGCGCCAAATGGACCTTCGCCTGATCTCAACAAGGCCGCTGGTGGGAACACAGCCTTCCCCGAAACGATCAAACCCTATCTCTCTTCGAGTGCTCTCTATGTGGATGCCAGAAATGCTCAAATTCTCCGACCAAGCTTGTTACCATCGGCCTCCCGTGGCAGACGACCACTTGGTCCGATTCGCAAGGGACGACAGATTGGCATACCTGTGGTGCGCGGCTTTAGTCGAAGACTATGGGACAAGTTAAACCCTGCCAAGGCCAATGCCGTTGATGTACGACAATACATCCGAAGAAATCAAGCTCAAGAGCCAGCTCCAGCTCCAGGCGAGCAAGTTTGCTATGCTTGCAAAATGGAGGGACTGCGGCCAAACCCTACAGACCTGGTACTTGTTATCCATGGTATCGGGCAAAAGTTATCTGAGCGGATGGAGAGCTTCCACTTTACCCACGCCATGAATGCTTTCCGTCGCCAAGTAAATATGGAATTAAATAACGAGCCTGTCTGGCCTCATGTGGACCAAGACAATGGCGGCATTATGGTTCTTCCTGTGAACTGGCGAACAACTTTGTCTTTGGAAGATCCGACTCTAGAATCAACGGACACCGACGATCCCACTGCCAACAACTTTTCGCTTGACGACATAACGCCTCAGACTCTCCCTGCTGTGCGTTCTTTGATCAGTGATGTAATGCTCGACATTCCGTATTACCTGTCTCATCACAAGCCGAAAATGATCAGGGCTGTTGTCAGAGAAGCCAACCGTATCTACCGACTCTGGTGCAAAAACAACCCTGGCTTTCAAGAAAACGGCCGAGTACATCTCCTCGCTCACTCCCTCGGAAGCGTCATGGCGCTTGATATTCTAAGCCATCAGCCGACACATGTCCCTCACTTTGACTTTCACAGCACACCCTTGCATAGCGATATTTTCGAGTTTGATACACGGATTCTGTTTTTGTGTGGGAGTCCCGCGGGTTTCTTTCTTCTCTTGAATAAAGGTATGACCTGAGCGCACAACTTTTGGCGTGGTATAGCTGCTAATATCACCGTAGCGAGTCTACTTCCACGAAAGGGTAGAAATAAACCAGGCAGCGAGGGCGAAGATCTAGTACGAGGTGTAGCCGGGGAAACTGGCAGCTACGGCTGTCTTGCTGTCGACAACCTCTACAACATAATGCATACTACCGATCGTGAGTGTCTCCCATTGACTAAATTTTGTCTCAAGTTGCTAAAATAATCAGCAATCACATACCGCGTCAACGCTGCAGTCGATTCCGAGCTTTCCAATTCACTCAAAACGGCCTCAATCCCCAGCGCTACATCTTCATTCTGGACGTCATTTGGCAGCGTCTTCAAATGGGGCTCGACACCTGGCTTCATGCTTTCTACAGCCCCAGTTCGCCCCGCGGCAGTCACAAAGCTACCCTCAAACGTCGAAATGGAGACCCACGACTTTACGCGCGAGGAAATTGCCGAAAAGCGCATGCTTCTGCTGAACGATAATGGCCAGATCGACTATTATCTTTCTGGTGGAGGTGGCCCGTTGAATATCCAGTACCTCAATATGCTCAGTGCACATAGTAGCTATTGGACATTGACTGATTTCGTGAGATTCTTCGTTGTGGAGATTGCCCGCAAGCAAGGGAGGGATGGGACATTGCATGTTTTGAGGGCTGAGAAGAAAAAGGGTTGGAAGTATCCCCGGAGTTGATCTCATGGGCCTTGGAAGACGTTCCATGACTGCCACTCGCCTGGTAGTTATTAGAAAGACTGTAGTTTTCGGTTGCTTACATTCATGGATCTTACTAGTAACTTGAACTAGTAGCATATTGCATATCGGGTTAATAGAGAAGATTGATTGGTTGATTGTATCGTGTTCTCATTCCATTGATTGAAATATGTAGTGGCCAGTCTAGCTAACCAAGAGAGGAGAAAAAGACCCAAAAAGGGTATATAAAAAAAGACACATGAAGAAAGATAATGGAGAGAGGAAGGAATGAAAAAAAGAGCAAAGCAGAATCAGAATCAGAGAGATCTAGGAGTTCCAGCCCCCAAAATGTATCGTTCTAGTCGTGACTTTCTTTAGCAAATGAGTCGAGTATCCGAACCGTAAACACTGCCCATCATCAACGCTTCCACAATCTCGCCTTTGATACCGACTCCACGGCCGGGACGCAGTACAACCAGTGCATTTGCGCTGGCGAGACTACCGACGCGCGAACTTCGTTGTCCCACGCCCTCGACGCCGGTACTGGTAGCATATAGTCGGCCATCCGAGCGTGATCCGGTTACGACAGCACGGTGGTACTCCGTGCGCTTGGGATCGAGTGGGAAGTGGTGTGTCAGAACCACGGCTACGCGGGGCAGGCCGAGTTGTGGTGCCAGCCAGGGCTTTGTGCTGAGTGCTCGCGAGCTCTCGCCCAGACCGCAGAGCTTGTGCAGCGATGGCAGGACGAATAGATTGAGAGTTACCAGGGCTGACGCCGGGTTGCCGGGGAGGGAGAAGATGAGTTTTGATTTGCGTTCTTGCTGTGTGTTGCCGTCGCCTGCTTCTTTAAATGGGATTGTTGCGAAAGTGGTCGGCTTGCCGGGTTTCATGGAGACGCGGCCGAAGTGTATTGTGCCGCCGAGAGTGCGTTCGATGGTTGGTTTGAGAAGGTCCAGCTCGCCCATTGAGACGCCGCCAGTAGTCACTATCACGTCCACGCTGGATGAGGCACGGCCTACGCCGCGAAGGGAGTCTCGTAGGGCATGCTCGAGCTCGCTGGCTGGTGTATCGCGCGCGATTCCCAGGTCCACGGTTGGGAAACCCCAGGAGGATAGACAGGAGAGAAGTGAGGGTCGGTTGGAGTCGCGGATCTGGCCGCCAGTGAGTGTGCATGGGTCGTCGTGTTCCACAAGTTCATCACCTGTGCTTAGGACGCCGACTCGAGGCTTTCTAAAGACCTTGACTGTTCTGATACCGGTTGAGGCGAGTAGCCCTATCTCACCACCGGCGGGTGAGATGATATCTCCGCGAGTGAGAATTTTCTCGCCGAGGCGGACGTCGCTGCCGGGCTCGCGGACATTCTCGCCAGGCTCGATATCTCCGGTCAGTATCTCGACGGTGGCTTCTTCGGTTCCATCAGCGGTGGAGGAGACCAAGTCAGTGTCTTCGACCATGACTACGGCATTCGCGTTGGGAGGTAGAGGGGCCCCAGTGGTAATTCTAGCGATGGTGCCTGGCTGGAGGGGCTTTAGGGATCCGCCGACGTTTGCGTGAGTGATCGATGCTACAGGGAAAACGCCTTTCGTACTCGGGGCGTTGTTCGTAGAGTCTGGGGCAATGACGGCGTAGCCGTCGACGATACTGGCTTTGTATGCTGGGACTGACTCTGCTGCATAAACATCTTCAGCCACGACAGATCCCACAATGGCCGTGTTCACTGGGGCGTCGACGATAATAGGCTCGGGAGTGTGCTCGCTGATCTGCATGAGGGCTTCCTCTACAGAGAGCATCGGGTAAGGTGATGACCGGTACCTCCGGTTAGGACCAGCAGAAGGGTCATTTGACTGTTGGCGGTTCGACGAGGTATGAGCCTTGGGAGCTACGTGTCCCGGACCGTGATGGTGGCTGCAAATGCTTTGCTTTTTCTGCAAATGAGTACCGGAACTGAGAGTCGGCACTCACACCAGCCTCCGCCTCGAGGCTCTTAAGACCGGCAGCGTGCATATTGCGTGAATTGGCGCCGGCTGATTGTAAACAAGCGTGTGGTAGAAGCTTAACAACGGCTTCGAGGTTTTCTATGGCTCCTTTGGGAGATCCTGGTAAGGTGATGATCAATGATTTGTCTCGGACTCCAGCAACTGGTCTAGACATCATCGCAACTGGGGAAGAAAGGGGGGGGTTAGCGGGATGTTTATACTTGGGCTCCAACTAGTATAGGCTTCCAAATGTCTTGGGATTTCCCAAACGAATTGCCAAGGAGGGTAGGGTGATGTCATCTCACATGGGGTTACTTTCAGCGAAGCGGCAATCATGCCATGGCTGGGAAAATTAGTTTATGCTCTAGCGTCAACCTTCAAAACGCCCGGGGACGCCATGGGAACGCCATGAAGGACTTACACTAGGCCTGGGGCATGACGATGAATCAGGGGAGAGACCGCCTGTGATGTCATTAGCGCGCGGACAGGGACAGGGACAGGGAACAGGCAGATGCAAAAGCAAAAGCAAAACAAAAAAAGACTCATACTTCAGGAGTGTTATCCTTGATAGCAAAACCAGTTCCTCCGCTGAGCAGAATCAGGTTATACCAATTGGCACTATCGCTCCACTCGCAAACGGCCTGCTGGATCTGGAACACATTGTCCGGCACGATCTTGATTGCGGGGGGGTTCCCACTTACCCTCCGCGGCGAGGATGGGGGCGAGGGCATTGGCCGTCTTGTCCGAAGCGGGGTCCTGAGAGGCGGTGTCAGAGACGATCAGGATGGCAGCCTTCAGTTTGTCCATGATGGGCGGGAGGTGGATGGATGGTGAGTGGGTGGTTTGAGAACGGGAAGAGGGGAACGAAGTGGGGGGGTTGCTGCATGGTTTTAAGGAAAGCCGGGGAACTTGCAGTGTACGAGTACTCGTGAGTACGAGACTCGGAGTATCGCGAAACTTCGGGTGCAATGTGGTCCGTGCTAACTAGGTACTAGTACCCCAGTTACTTCTACGGAGTCAACCGAGTGGATTCACCCAGTTCCATGGTGTAGTCCAAGTTGCGGGGGTGGAGTTGGTTGACTTGGGTTCCATTTGCTGTTGTAACTGTACATACATATTGATCTCCCGATGATCAATGCTAATCCAGCGTCATCCCCTCCTTTCCTTTGCCTTCTACAAGATATCGAATTCCAGACGCCCCAATGCTGTGTATCAAAATAAGACATGACAAAAAGTTTTGGCAAACGAGAAGAGGGAAAAAGAGAAATATCAAATAATGTTCCGAGATCATATGCGGCTGGCCGAGCCGAGCCAAGTGTGTGAGGTGCCTCCCCCCCGATTGGGCAAGCATAGCCATCTGCCCCTTCTGGTTGGACGCTTCGTGTTGGTGTTGGTGGAGAGTTTCGCGGAGACTCACGGCCTGTCGCGGACTCTTAGGCCGCGCCAATGTCCAAGGCCTTCCCGCCCACTAATAGACCAGTAATAAGACCGAACAGTCCTAGGACGGAACTGAAAATCTCAATGACAAGGATCTTGACAAACCTAAGATACAGAGAAATGGTAAGTATGCCGAAGCTAACACAAGTGCACGCCCATAGGCCCGTTGAGGGGGGATTTGAGGGGGAATTTGAAGGGAAATTTGAGGGGGACTTAGACAAGAGTCCGGGGTAAGACAACTTACAGGGTTGGGTCGGCCGCGTCGGCGAGAGCAGCACCACTGCCGTTGATACCCACAGAAATACCGCAAATCAGGTTGCAGAATCCAACAGTGATACCGCCCCAGAAGAGTGCATAACCCGTGTAGTAGTTGCTCTGGGTGTAGATCTCGCTCTCGGGGACCGCGTTGAGCTTCGCAGAGTAAACGATCGCCATGATGACGCCGTAGATAGCCACGACCTCACAGAAAATGATAGAGATCAGGTTCTTAGTACGGATGCGAGGCGCCCGAACACCACCACCCACAATCGATGAGCCAGTCAGGAAGATACCCCTACAATAGAGGTGTCACCACATTAGCATCAAGCACGCCCAGAAGCCTAATATAGGCAGCTCGGCAAGCGACAGATTCGGGAAGCATACCATGCAGCTCCGACTACCGAACAACCAATACACATCGCAATACCAATGTTCGCAAAGGCGAAAGGAGATACCTCCTCAAGGAAACGGCCGACCTAGAAGGTGTCGTGTCATGTCAATAAGAAGCTCGCAGCGAGGTTTCGGTCGGATTCGGGTCTCGATATCATCGTACATTGAAAGCTTCGCCTTCGCCTTGGAAGAGCATATCTGCATGTGAGATGCCCCATGTTAGCTCTTGACATTCCAGCTCGGGGGGAGGAGCGCTCCAATGAGCCCGCTGGACGTACACAGTCCGACTACCACAAGGGCAGTCGTGGGAACACCCAGAAAATACCTGACAGCCATGGCGACCTCGGACAACCTGAAGACGAATGAATGAAAAGGCCAGTTGGAAACAGAGGGGAGTTTGATAGCTGTTCGATGGACGGTTGGAGGAACGGACTCGGTGGCCGGAGCGGATAAACTGGTCCGAGGCGGTGGACGAGACGAGCGTCTTGTTTCCCCAGATCCACGGATCGTTCCAACTGTCATTGATTCCAGCGGGGCCATTGTTTTTCGGCTGAATTCCTATCATCGCCGCTCCCGATTCTGTTCGTGCTTTCTCTGCTGCCTGCTGAACTCCCCGTTTGGCTCCGTGGCGCATTTCGAACCCCTGAGTCCCCTCCCCCTCTCGACATCACCAGCACAACACCATGGCCTCCGCCTCCGGGGTAGGGTCGTATTCGAACCCGCTAAAGAAGTTCAAGTGAGTCTGATGTGGCTGGAAGAAACCGCTGGAGCTGTTCGATACTAATGCGCGATATATAGGTTGGTATTCTTGGGTGAACAAAGTGGTATGGTTATCCTCGAACTGCGCGCCCAATACAGCCTCAATGAGGGGGCCAATGAATAGCTCGAATCGCGATATCTGACAATTGTCCCAGTTGGAAAAACCTCCCTTATCACCCGATTCATGTACGACTCCTTCGACAACACATACCAGGCCACCATCGGTATCGATTTCTTGTCCAAGGTATGCTGCCCCTCCAACCCTTCGAGATTACGCCCCCAGGCAGCTTCAGAACTAATCGCGACTTTGTTAGACTATGTACCTTGAAGACCGGACTGTGCGCCTTCAGCTTTGGGATACTGCCGGTCAAGAACGTTTCCGCTCCCTGATTCCTTCCTACATCCGAGACTCCAGTGTCGCCGTGGTCGTCTACGATATTTCGAATGCCAAATCCTTCCAAAACACTCGCAAATGGATCGATGATGTGCGCGGAGAGCGTGGAAATGACGTGATCATCGTTCTGGTGGGCAACAAGACCGATTTAAATGATAAGCGCGAAGTCACAACCGCACAAGGTGAGGAGGAGGCGAAGAAGAACGGCTTGATGTTCATCGAGACCAGTGCCAAGGTCGGACACAATGTGAAGCAACTATTCAGACGGATTGCCCAGGCGTTGCCAGGTATGGAGGGTGAAGCCAAGCAGGGCGAGAGCCAGAGTAAGTTCGATCGAAGTTGTTGTGATATTTCCACAAGTACTGACCGCACTTCTTCTCTGCAGTGATTGACGTCAACATCCACCCGAAGGAGACCACCAACAACGACGGCTGCGCCTGTTAAACCCCCCTTCTTCCACATTTTCCTTTTGCACACTTGTGACCGATGATGATGCTCGCGTCCTTCCATGATATTGCACCATTTCTTTCAAGATGTACATGTTCTCTCTCACTTTCTGGTTGCTCGTCGGATGAATAGCGTGTTCTTAGATCCTCCAGTGGCTGAATCTGGCTGCGTCCAAGGGCTTTGTAGGCTGTTTTCCGAAAGCCTGTTGCTACCATTTTTTTGCTACTGCCGCATTATATCTTCTTTTTCTTGTCTTACTGGAGCCTTCTCCCCCTTCGATCCCTTTCCTGATGTCGTTTGTCTCCCAAATAGCCTCCAGGGCTGGTATGTTGAATATGCTATAATTGATGAAGCTGTACCATATGGCGCCACACAGCACAGTAATGATCATTCGACTAGTGATAACTAGAAACCACTTTTATAGCCTTAGTTAAATCAAGCACGGCCTCTTGATAGTCCACAATTCCCATACATTCCACCCCTGCTTAAGTCGAGATGTCTTCTAACTCGGCCTTTTGAGCGAGTTGTGCATCTTCAGTTTGATATCGAAACTGTGAGGCAGGTATTGATAGCGGCCTCCCCCACCGAAGCAATAGACCGCTACATTGCTCCAGCCTCTAATACTAATAATGTTCACGGGAGAACGGGTACAGTGAATAAGCTACCTACTAGGTATCAGCTGAGTAAAGTTGGGACTGTCTTGTGGTCAATCCATGGGATGGCCACTGCGCTGGTCTCTGATGAACGGATCATGTTGACATTCTTCCCGGGCTGGCCGGATCTACCCAAGACATTTGTTTTCTCCAATTTGAATCCGTTTTATTTTATGTGTTGTATCCTGCCCCCATTCGACTTCATTTTTCATGCATACCTCACTTCTTTTCTCAAAATCTGTTGACAAAACCTCCTCCGCGGGGGTTTATGGTGCCCGGGACATCCATCGCCCCTGGGCAGTCAGTCACCATGAAGTTTTATTTTCCAGGCAATTCTGGCAAACGGTAGTAGTTGGTCAAGTCGTCTTAGGTGGCATAGATCTGACACTGGAAAGACAGGCCCCCTCAAGCCCAACCACCTCTCTTCACTCATTCGCATCTTGAGTGAACTACATCCATCAATTCCACAAGACCGGGGCAAGGCTCGAACTGTCTCGAACGTCCCATCAATTATTGACACCTTCTATTTCCCCTCTCACCTCACACCCTGCACACTAAGGAAGGACAATTACTATGCTAAGGAAGGACTTCTTCTCACTCTTTCGTCGCCGATGGGTTTACCTCGCCCTAGCGCTTTATGCCTCTGGTCTGCTCTATGTTACGTTGCACACTCAACTCATCTTCGAAGATGAAGGGTCAGAGTCTCGGTATTTGTTCCCTCCCATCTAACCCCTCAACTTCAATAATGAACATCTCTTTCAAAGGGAAAGAGTGCCGCGCCCATCCAAGAGACCGTTCCCTTCTATTGCTCACAGCCTCGATGTCTTTCGTCATCCCATCACTGCACCAATTCTCACACTCACTTCCGGCGATACATTTCTACTCCCATATCCCTCTTCACCAGATGGTCATCGTTTCAAAAAGTCTTTGGGGAAAAGAATACTGATCCTCGACGTCGATACACGCCCTCTGAATAATTCGGGGGGAGATTCTCAACTCGACATGGTCTCCTGACGAGACTAATTTGTGGGCAACGGCAGGGCGACTCAATCATTATTTGTTCGGTGGGTACCTTTTGGGAGATCTGAAGATCCAGAATTAGCTAACTATGATAGCCCAACTCCATGGCTACGACTATAAGTTTATGCAGATGCCCACTTTTTCTGGGATGCACGGGACATGGTCGAAAGTCTCCGCAGTGAGAGAGCATCTCTACCTTTATGATTTTGTGGTGTTCATGGACGCAGATACTATCTTTCCTCACCCCCATGTGCCCTTAGAATGGCTGTTCAACTACTGGGACATCGTCCCAGACAACCTTATCGCCATGGCCCTCGATCCGCAAGACCCAATCAATAACGATTTGCGAGGCCGGACTCTGTTGAATACAGGCTTTATCGTTGCACAACAAAGCCCTCGAGCTCACGAATTGTTCACGGCGTGGGAGTCCTGTCCTCAGGAAATGAAATACCCTGGTTGCTCTAATTTCAGCTACAGCTGGCCACATGAGCAAGGTGCATTCGGCAATTTCCTTCGGTATGACTTCAATCGACCCGACGATGTCAATTCACTCAAGTGTGCGGAATCAAATGGATGTCCTGAAGTGGCACACACCGGCTGTTTGGGAAAATTAGTACGCCATTACTGGGGATCAAAGGCGTCGGTTCCTTCTGCCGTGCAGGAATCAATTGTGCAATATTTCCTTTCGTCGCTACATGAAGAATTCCACCATGACTATGCGAACATCGTTTACACCACTTATGGAAATCCGAATTTCTCTCCCGCGGGAGATGGGAACTTTACGCCCGACATCTCGCAGGAAATTGGGAGTGAAATACCGGGGCTGACTCAAGAGGATTTTCGAGAAACGATTGAAACATCACCAATCTTGAATCCTTGATTATGGGAAACCATAATGAAAGCAAACCCCTTCCAGGCAGTACATTCTAATAGTTGTCAATAAGCAGACAGGTAACTAACAATAGCTCTTAATACCTCACAATAGCACTGCTGCGCTGCGTAGCTTTCAAGGTTTATTGGACAGGTGCCTGGAAAATACTCAAGCATTATGTCCATCAGCATCTACAGTGGCGTTGCAAAAGTTTGAACCCCCATATTGCCCGCCATGATGAACCGCCTTCTAATGGGAAATTAGTAGCTACCTGAGATGGAATAGATAGGCCAATCTATTCCATCTCAGGTAGCTACCAGCCCGCGATTAGAAGGCGGGGACAAGAACAGTCAACATGGGGTTTCAAGCTTGGAGCAATACCACTGTAGGCACCAAGATAAAAACTACATTCACTGAAATCTAGACTGTAGAAAGCTCGGTTGCCTGGAAACCTGGTTCGTCTTGAACATAAAGGGTTTTCGCTAACTTCAAGTTCAATCTATGTCGGTTTCTTAGAACTACTAGTAGCAGTATTCCCTCGTTTGTTCATACCCCATTATGGGAATCAATCTATGTATTCAATCAAAGTTATAGAGATACATACATTCGTGAATAGAAGAAGAAAAATGGGTGATATCAAAAAACCGGTGTGTTTTTGCACGAGCGGAATAATCGCTCGCCAAAATCAATGCATCTAGAGCAAGAAAAAAAGGACTTGCACAGGAATATTATCAACAGAAGATACGTAGAAAAAAAGAAGACAGATTTTGGTTTTCCGTGGCGGTCATGACACGTTGTATGGTTTTGAGGAATTCATTTCCTCTAGCATTTACTCCTCATCCTCCTCATCCTCTTCGGCGACCTAATGGGAAAATTAGAATTGAGACCATTGAGTAAGTATGGGGGGTTACATTTCACTTACATCAGCGTGGAAGTTCTGTCCATCGGTGGTAGCCTTGATGACGCCGGCGCGGATGCAGAAATCACCGAAGCGCTCGGGAGTCTCGCCGTCAGTGTTGCGCTCCTGGGCGTACCGCTTGAGCAAGTCCTTCATGATCTCCAGGATCTCATCCTCCTTGATGGAAGAGCGGAAGAGCTTGTTCAAACGTTGACCGTGGTAGCCACCTCCCAGGTACATGTTATAGGCACCGTAGGCCTTACCAACAAAGGCAACCTCAGCGAGCCATGGGCGGGCACAACCGTTGGGACAACCAGTCATACGCATGACAATCGAATCGCGGGCCAGACCGTTCTCCTCGAGGGTGGACTCAAGCTTAGAGATAAGGACGGGAAGGTAGCGCTCAGACTCGGCCATAGCGAGACCGCAAGTCGGGAAGGCGACACAGGCAGAGGAGGACAGGCGCAGACCAGAGAAGGCGGTGTTGTCCAGCTTGTACTTAGCCATGACCTCCTTGATGGTGGGAAGATCCTCATCGGTGATGTTGGAGATGATCAAGTGCTGGTTACCGGTGAGACGGAACTCTCCCTTGCCAAGCTCAGCCAGCTCACGAAGACCAGCGCGCATGGCGAACTCAGCAGTATCCTCGATACGGCCGTTCTCAATGAAGAAAGTGAAGTGGTTCAATCCCTTCTCGTCCTTCAACCAGCCGAAGGTGTCGACGTTTGAGGCAAACTTGAAGGGACGAGCCTCAGCGAAGCGCAGGCCATCCGGCATACGCTTCTCGACCTCAGCCTTGTAGACATCGACACCCATGTCGTCAATGGTGTACTTCATACGGGCGTGCTTACGGTTCTTGCGGTCACCATTGTCACGCTGCACGAGCATAATCTTCTCACAGAAAATGTGGACTTGGTCCTTCGGGACGAAACCAAACATGCGACCAGTTTGGGGGTAGGTCTTCTTGTTGTTGTGTGTGGAACCCATACCACCACCGGCAAGCAAGTTGAAACCTTCCAGGTGTCCGTCAGCACCCTTGATGGCGATCAGACCGATATCGTGAGCATAGACATCGGTGTCGTTGTGGGGAGGAATGGCAATTGTGATCTTGAACTTTCGGGGCAGGTAGGTGGCGCCGTAGAGAGGTTCGTGGTCAACAATGGCATCACCAGCAACCTGAACCTTCTTGTCGTTCTCATCCTTCAACCAGATCTCGTGATAGGCGGTGGTGGAGGGAAGAAGATGCTCGCTGATCTTCTTGGAGAAAGCCCAGGTCTCGCGGTGGAACTCGGACAGCTCAGGAAGAGAACTGCACATAACGTTACGGTTGACATCACCGCAGGCAGCGATCGTATCCATGAGAGACTGGTTGATAGCGCGCATGGCACCGCGGAGCTTCTTCTTAATGACACCGTGGAACTGGAAGGTTTGGCGGGTAGTGAGCTTCATGGTCTCGTTACCATGGGAGCTACTGATAGCATCCATCTGGAGCCACTGCTTGGGGGTAGCGACACCACCAGGGAGACGGCAACGAATCATGAAGCTGTAGGCGGGCTCCAGACCCTGGGCCTTGCGCTCATCGCGGATGTCACGGTCATCCTGCATGTATGTACCGTGGAACTTGGTCAGTTGAGCATCGCTGGCCGAGATAGCACCAGTGCTTTCGTCAACGAGACCCTCCTCAATAGTACCACGCAGGTAGTTGGACTGGATCTTGATGTCCTCGTTGGTCAAAGGAGCAGGCTCCTCGGGCAGGCCCTCGACCTTGTCGACACCCAAAGATTGCCAAAGACGGGGCTCCCAATCAGAGTAACCAGTCTGGTAAGCATCAGGGTCTTGGTCATCACCAAGGCCGATGTCGGCAAGCTTGCGACCACCCAAGAAAGCAACACGAGCGTCCAGATCCTTGGCGGGCTTGTTGTAGTAGATCTTGTCCTCCTTACGGGGCCAGTAGTGGCTGTCACCCAGACCAAAGACGGAGTAGTTGATGGTCGACAGGTCCAAGTCTCCAGAGTTCTTGACGTGCTCCCACAGACCGCGGCCGTTCACGGGGAATTCACCCTGGCCGGCAGTACTGGTGATGAAAACAACGTTCTCCTCGGTAGCCAGATCCTCAATGGGGAAATCGTCCATGGCCATGACAGTGGTCTTCAGGCCACGAGCACGACCGCGGTTACCCAGACGCTTGGCGATGTTCTCCGCGTTACCACCGTCAGAGGCAAAGAGAATGGTCAAGGGAGCTCCGAAGAGACCCTCCAGAAGCTTCTCATAGGCATCCTTGGCCTGACGCTTCTGCAGGGCACGAACCTCGGTACCGTAAGAGGCAGACAGAGCAGATGAGAACTTCGGGTGGCGGTTCATGAGTTGGGTGAGCTGGTTGTCCCGACGAAGGAACTCCTCAAGCTCACGCTTGATGCGTTCGGAGTCAAGAGCAAACTTAGGCTCACCCTTCTCCTCGTTCTCGGGGTTCCAGCGGTACAGAGGCCAGTAGCCGAGGTCAACAGCCTTCTTAGTCTCCTGGAGGACGCTGAGAGCAGAGTCGTTCTCCTGGTGGTAGGGCAGGTAAGCGACAACGACGGATGGACCCTTAAATTGCTCAGCCTCGGCCATAGCCTGCAGCACCTGGGTGTAGGAGCCGTAGACAGCAGTGGAGGCAACGTAAGCATTGCCGAAGTTCATAGCATAGAGACCAATGTCCTTCTTGCGACGAGTGGGGTCCGCCGCAGTACGCTCAGAGTAAGGCTGCGAGTCAATGATCAACATGTTGACGTTGGCGCCAGAAGCGAGAACGTGGTGAACACCAGAGTTTCCGATATCGTAAGCCCAAGCATCAGAGCCCACGAGCCACTGAGACTCCTCAAAGAAAAGCTTCTTGGACTGCAGCAGCTGGCGAGATAGCTGAGAGCCATCGTTAGAGAGGCGAGCGATGACATCGGGGGCAATCTTGTTGGCCTTAGCGGCCTCGTTCACGTTCAAAGCCCATCGTGACAACCAGGATTGGGGAACATCAGTAGCGAAGCTGGAGGACTTAGAAGCCTCCTCAACTTCACGAATGAAGCGCTTGCGGTGCTCCTTACGGGCGATCAAGGAACCAAAACCGTACTCGGGGCTGGCGGCGATAGTGGAAGAGATACCGGCGGTCTTGGCGCCAAGCTGGTTGGCGATATAGAGGCGCTCACCAAAAAGCTGGTGGAGAATCTTGAGGTAAGCATTCTCCACGTGGGGCTGCTCGAGAGCTTGCTCAGTGGAAGGAACATGGGGGCTACCAATGTCAAGGTTCTGGATGGGAGAAGACGATTCCAGGTTCTGGAGAATTCCTCGGAGAGCCTGGACAGCTGTTGAGGGCTCAACATATCCAAGACGATATCCAACAACCTTAAGGGTCTGAGCACGGACATTGGAGGGCGTCACACTGGAAAGAAGATCCATGAAAGCGGGACCCCACTTGGTGGTCTTGCGAACTTGTTCCAAAACAGCAATCTTCTCCACCGAGGTAGGGATGGAGCTAACAATCTGGCCACCAACCCATGGGCGGTAGACACGGGCAGTGATGAGACCAACGTTCTCAAGCTCAGCGGCACCGGGGTTGGAGAGGGCATCCACGAAGACTCCGGTAGAGCCAAAGACGAACACAGCAGATTTAGCATCTGCAGGGCCGGTATATTCAATAGCATTATAAGTGCGGCCAACCTCCTTAGACAGAGCGGTCCAGATCTGAGAAGTCCACTCGAAGATATCGGCAGCGTTGACAGAGCGAACACTGGAGTTATCCACAGTGGTGGCAGTCGAGCTAGGGGCCTCGCTTCCAGCGATACTATCACGGCGCGAGGAGCCAACGGAGGAGTTCTCGACACTAATGGAAGGAGTCTGGGCCTGAGAAGGGACAGCCAAGGTGGCAGGTGCCTCTCCCTGGCCGGCGGGGATGGCCTGCGATCCCTCGGCGGAAACGGTAGCCTGACGGCCAGACTCGGTGTACAGAGTCTCCGCACCAGTGGTGTGGGTAGCAGCATTGCCAGCCAGGTTTAGGATCTTCTTGACGACCTCGACATCCTCGGTGGCAACGGCAGAGTCTTTAGTGGAGTTGGCGGGGTCGAAGAAGTGAATAACACCCTTTCCAGACTTCAGAGCTAAAGCATGAGCAGTGAGGGCAATGTCTTGGGCCTCCTGAACGGTCTCCGAGTGCAGGAATGTGAAGCCGCATTGCCGGATGGAGCTAATCACGGAATAATCGGGGAATGGGGACGGCTCCAGGGCGACGTGGAGGACCACAGGGAAGTTGGCGAGGCGGTAGAGGTGAGGAACAGATGAAATCAGGATAGAAGAGCCGGTGACAACAGAGACGTTCTCGCCCTTTTGCAAAGGGTAGAAGGTAGACAGAAGGGGGGTCCTCGTTATACCGCACGGCTTGCACCTGATCAATCTGTTAGGGATATCCTTCTTCATATATATAGAGTATAGGGCTGGATTGGGATTTCAAATACCTCGGTGGTACCCCTTGACACTGCGCTGGGAGTCTTGTTTGACTTGAGAGTCTTCAGCGACTTTGAGAAGAGTGAGTCGCCCTGCAGGGAGGGTTGCACTGAGAGGACGAGGTCGCTAGCCAGATAGGCGATTCTGGCCACTAAGCACGGAGAGGAATACGGTTAGCAATTGGGCCTGTCATGATAGGAGATGTGAATGTTTATAGGCAACTTACCCGCGTCGCCCGCATTTTGAACTGATGCCATAGCTGGCTAGTAATGCTGTGAAAGTTACAGCAAAAGTAAGGTGGGATGAGGGGGAAATTCAGGCGCGATATTGGGTTATCGGCGCATGCAACGATCTCCCACGCTCGATGCAGATCCACCACAGAAAGGAAGGGAATAGGAGGAATATGACACAATTGAAGTCCCTTTGCACACTCTTAAGATCTATCTCTCAACAAGAAAAAAAAGTCGGCAAGATTCCTCCAACGAGTTCTCCGCCATCGGGGTTAGATCAGCAAGACTCTTATTGGTGCACGATCACGACATCAATGCAAACCCCGGCAGCAACAGATGCAAACATACCGCTTTAGGCCATAGTGCGGGGAATCTCGTGACCGGCCGAGCACGTCACCGCGCGGGCGGCTTTTGAGGCACTTTTAATGTACCCTAAATGTGCCCAGGTGTGCACCTAGGACTGCATACTCCGTATCTGATTGATATTGTCAATACACAGAGTTCTTAGAGTATATCTATTCAGGACCAGGAGATCAAAGCTGAAAATAATAGTAATATTCCCTAATCCCAGTTCTCCTCTTTCTCCTATTTCTTCAAAATACTCCCAATTGTGTTAATTACACTATCCTTTCTCATGTCCCCGTCTCGAGGTACCTACCGCACCTAGAGTACCAATAGCATCACGGCAATTACCGATTCTCGGTCGAGAGTCGGCAGCACGAAGTGATCACCCGGCCACTGCCAGTTTTCAGTCACCGCCAAATCCCTGAATGGCGTGATCACAGCAGAGCCCGATCAAATATATTATAATCAATTATAGAGCAGATACGGATAGCCAGATGCCCAAAAATGTAGAGTAATGTACTTTTCCAATGGATTATCAAGGATGCAATAGCAAAAAAAGCCCTCCCGATAGAAGCTTGGCTCCTCCTATATAGAGGCAAAAACTTAGTCATGATGTTCGACGCAGGGTTCGAACCTGCGATCTCCCGTGTGTAAGACGGGCGCCTTAACCACTGGGCCAGTCGAACTATCGGAGATGACTAACAATATTAAGGGTATATGAAGCTCGCAAATATCAACCAAGCAGCTATATCATTCATGCTTTCAGCGAAAGATTCCATGGATATCTTGAGATCTAGGGCGGACAACCCTATACCGTATCTAGACATATACAGTACTTCGGCGGCTACTAGTATTGATGTTCACAAAGCAAAGCAACGCACATCGCGTAGCAAAAGCCTAGATATCAGTCAAAAAACGAGGAGGTAAGCCGAACTATATATATCCCAGTACTACTAGTATTAGTAGTAGTACTTTTAAAGGCAACCCCAGGGCTTGAACTTTGAACCTACTAGTAGTAGTAGTAGTACCGGACTAGTATCGGACTCGAAGGTTTGTCTCATCTCGATAAGGACTACAGTACTAGTAGTACCAGCCCGGGAGTGCTATCACAAACATGACTGGCCCCAATCCGGTAGCGGAGCAACATCAAATGTACCCGTTGAAGGGAGTATTGGACCGACGAAGGCATTAATACGTATAATTGCAAGTGAAATACTCAAGGCTTAGCACTTGATCAATCAACAAAGGTGCTAGTCACGAATATGATCTATTAGCTTCCAGAAGATCATATCTCGGGAGCCCTCTTGTTGAACTACGATTAAACCATGCGGCTTGATTGAACCCCTCGTAGAGTACTAGTAGTAGAAGATACCTAGGTACACAGGGAGCAGGGCGAGCCATACAGAAAATATGCAAAGTTCCACAGTAATAGCACTAGCAAAAGCCTCAAATTAGCTTCTGCTATCACCCAAATCCCATTCGTCTGCTCTCAATGTGTCCTGATCCTCCACACTCCTGCATCCGTCGATTATTTTCGTCTTCTTGTCCAAATAATATATATTTTAGCCCCTGGATAATGGGATTCGATATATAAACCATCTCCGCCACTCGATTCAAGTTCGGCGTTGGACAATTGAGATTTTGAGGCTGCAATTTTCGGTCTCATAGTCGGGATCGAGGGGTCTTGGCCGGCACGCCGATCCGGCGATGGAGTGAAAGAATTGCGAGTTTGCTATGGCGATATCATCCGTTTGGCGTTAAAATTACCAAGAAGTGTCTTCGTCCAGGCCTTGTTCGGTATCCGGGTCTTGCTATAGAGTTTTTGTATCCGGGGGTTGATCTGTTTTGTTGGGTCAAAACGAAGAACCCGCCCATCAAAAGGACCGTTTCTTCAGTCGCCGCAACAAGTTCCTCCAAAGACCAACGAAGAAAGCTTCGATGACCATTCTCACAACCCAAGAGGTTTTCAAGCCGGTCATTCCACCATCCCAGTATAATTTGATAGCTTTGCCGAATCGAGACGTCTCCAGTTCTTCTGGACAGATGCGTAGATACTCTAAGCCGTGGCGAAGCTCGTATAGAACAGGTCCAGAGTTATCGATCCAGATTGCGGGCTGTGTGTCGATTGATGATCCTGGATGATGCCATAGTCGATGTCGAGTTCTGCCTATTGACACCTTCATGACTTTCCACGCCAGTCCGTACTCCAGGAGACCAATGATACCACCGGTGAAGGACATCATTTCCTCGAAGGAGACGTGGAATTGCTGAGTTCGAGTGCCGACCTTGTAAATACCGGCCGCATCGAATTGAATAGTGAACATCTGGGAACTAATTTAGACCACGAGCGGATCATCTAGAGCCGTGCGTCATACCTTGAGCATTGGGTACTAATATGAATCGATCTGCAGTCGATTTTTTTCAACCGAGATGCACTCAGCCCTGGGATCGTAAAAAGCCCTGTAGAATCCTAGAATCTTTAACGCTTGGCTATAAGAGAGATCATAAAAGGGTAACCACCCACCAGCAGTTCGAAAGGATTGATAGCACTCAGTCATTTTGGTATAGGGGGTTGGGTCACGGGGGGTAGGGGCGACGAGTTGGAGTATAAGTTTTGACAAAGAGATACTAAAAGTAACACGATCCATATTCTCGGGAACCTGACAGGCGCTCCGCCACCCGCCGAGCGTGCCGGACACACTAATTTAAACTTTCGACGAGGAAATTACCTTTCCGGGCTAAAGATGGCCCCAGTCGGGCGTTATTCGGGGAAACATTTTCTGATATTGGGTATCAATTGGGCATTTTTCTTAATTTGCGCTCCGTCATAGGTCAAATATCGCTCATAAAGGGGGTCGATCATACGCCCGGTCGTCATGCGGAGCTTATTTGAATCTTTTATGCACCCCTGCACATGCGCGTCACCATCGTAGATCGCAACACGCGCGGGCCTGGGGGTATCTTGGGTGGTTTCAGCCCTGAAAATTGGACGCGAAAGTGGATGTTCTACGGAGTACGCGGGGATATAAACCAAGTGAAAATTTCCAAGTTGATAATCATCATAGTATGCATGTGTGTGGTATATAAGCAGGACTGTGTACAAGGTTGGAATATTTTGAAACCGTTGTCATGTCCGTCCCAAGGCGCCATATTAGTAAGACCTCAACCCCATATAGAAAGCAATATACAAGACCTGACGCCGGAAGATAGCAAATGCACATGAAAGATGGCGGATTCGCCTTTTGAGCCATGTTCGTTGAGACGAACGCCACGGTGGTTCTGGACAGTGTGTATCGCTGAAGTTTGTTATCAATCGATACACATGACAGGGGTTGAGCCTGAAACGGTGCCTAAATGTCGGGCCCAAAGAGATGCCGGATTTAGAGCGTCATCTCGAAAAGGTAACAATTAGGGACGTAAAGCTCGCAGCGGATGGTTCATCGCGTTCCGATCAGCCGGTGAAACGATGGAACGGACACAAGAGCCATAACGGATTGTGTCCATGGGGTAGTAGAACGGGTAGGTGCCAGGCGTCAGTCTACAACTGGTGAAAAGCACCCCAGTGAGTTGCTAGCCGAGAGCGATTCCGCAACATGTTTTGCTGTGAAAAGAGTGACTCGAAAAAGCAGAGACAGCGCTTGGCCTGGGCCACCGCCACGAGAATCGCACAAGAAATGGTTTACCGAGTCTCGCCCCAGTCCTGCATCTTGACATTGGTTCCCGGATGTTCGTGAATTGGCTGCTGCATGAGACCAGATCGGACAACCGATTGGGATGGCTGCGGGGGGCCGGTGCCGGAGCGGCGTCTGCGCTCACGTTCCAGAGGTCCAGGTAGTTCAACGTTGCTGCTACGGCTGCGGAACTTTTGGTTGATTCCACTGAGCCAGTTTCCATCCTCTTCTTCGCCCAGCCAATAGCTGTGACCAATGCCGACCATGATGCGGCCAATCTTTCCTTTCCAACCCTGTCCATCGGGGCTGTAGGCAGAAAAGGGTTCACGGTCAATGTCGGCCACACTTGCGATCGAGACATTGCGGCTGTGGGTTGGGAGCGAAGTGTGCTTGGGAACGGCGACCCAGAGACGGAGAGTTTGGCGGGCGAAAGCGAGCATCACCAGGACAAAATAGACACGCATGGCCCAGAGAAGGGCGATGAAGATGATGCTCTGGAAGCTCTCTGGCTGAGCGACAGCGTTGCTGAAGTGATCAGCACTGCGAGGAGGGTGTGCAACGAACTTGTTACCCTCACTGGTGTGCTGGATTTCGACATAGGCCGCATCGTACTTGGGGCTGGTGAAACCGGCCGTTTGCGCGATGGTCTCGCTGCCTGGACCGGAGATCTTGCCACCGTCCATGCTTTGGGACACGACCAAGAACCAAGTGACACCAAAGGCGGCGGTGTAGGCGGCGTTGATGAGACTATCCAAGAGATAGAGCCAGGCGAGACCGAGACATTCGAGAGGCGATTGTTTGCGGATGTGTGGGAAGAGTAAAGCGGCGAGGGCGAGGGCGATGAGGGAGTACAGGTACATGGAGAGCTGCACAGGGGAGAGGTGATAGCCGGTCAGAAGGGCGAGCAGGCCATAGAGGCCACTAATCTTGTTCAGTAGTAGCGAGAGGGTGATGAGAGACGCGCCTGTCTCCAGGCTCATCACATAGAGAAAGGTCTGCGAAAGTCACGAGACATCGTCAGCGGGCGTTGGGTGTGGAAGAAGCAGGGGGAGCGGGCCTACCTCTGGCCGCGGAATGCGGAGGAAACGGGATGAGAACCCCATGGTGAAGGAAGAATGTATGCAATGAAAGGGTGTGCCACGATTCCAGGTCCAGGTTCAAGTTGTCAAAGAGTAGGAGAGAGAAATGGCTGGGACTTGGGGGAGATTATGGGATGCCAAGTGGTCCAGGGGCGCAGACGCTTTCCGGCAGATCCGCCTTGTCGATCGCTTCCGCATCGATCGACTAAGTGCAGCTGCATAATTGTGCTACACACAGGGAAACTTGAACTACCGAGTTAAATAAATGCTCCAGGGCTCTCACTATGTATTGAATAATTTGTTTAATTTAGAATCACCACAAGTAATTATCTAACTATCATATTGTACATTATGTGGCGATTCCAGGTATACATATAATGGTACTAGAACTGGCCACCTCCACCATGAACTTGTACATATAGTATACATAGCACAGTGGTGGCGACGATCTTGCAACTTGCAGTGAACTGCGCACTGGTGATTAGCAGTACATATTTTCTGTATCCAACTTGAAGATACTATTCCTTTTCCTTGAAGGGAAGATTGAAACAAGGTCCAGTACTTTCGCGGCTGGTCGGGACTCTTTCAGCTTGAGGTCGCGATATCTCCCGCCGTATCATCTCCATGAGTTCTTCATCTGGTTGAGTCGTCGCAGTGCCCCGCCTCTGTCTCGGAGCAGCCTCTCCACCCTCTTGGTCGGTTTCTGACGTCTCTATTTCCTCTTCTTGACCCGGCTCATCAATATGATATTGAGACTGTCGCTCAAGGACCATTGCTTCAATGCGATCTTGCATGGACTTTTCATCCACCTCCTTTTTGATCATAGCGTAATGTGACCTCCTATAGACGCCGAGCGTACTTAGTATCAGACCGACAACTTCATAGACGAAGAGAACGGGAAGTGCGTAGTAGAGCTGCGGATTGCACCCTCTGGACCAGATGTCAATCATAACATTGAAAATGCTGTGTGCCGGCAGAGCATAGCCCACACGGTAAAAGGCGGGTGAGAGTTCAAAAGGGAGGAGAATAGAGGTGACATTCATCGCAATCCAGGAGATCAGTGCCATAGGAACATATGGAGGTGGCAGCCAAATCGTGAAGACATCCAGGACAAGGAAATTCAAGTGCGCGAAAAGCCACAAGGCCATCCACGATATGACAAATTGGCTACCGCCAACATGCCAGCCGTGGCGGAATGCCCAGATCGCACCGGTTGTACATAAAGAGCCAATGAATGTGTAAGTACCCGAAATCATCTGGCGCACAATGGCAATTCGATGCGGGTAGAGCGAGGTATAAAGCTGGAATTGTTGGTACAGACCATTCACATAACCGAGGAAGAAGAATTCCTGGATCAGGATCAGAATGATAACCAGCGTGTTATAGATCAGTCGGGATCCTTGTGTTGTTGGTTGCAGGTTCACCGAGGATAGAACCCATGGATTTGAAAAGGCAGCCAAGGCAGCAGTGTCAGATGTGTTCAATGTCGGGATAATTTGTTTTCCATCCGCTTGTGTATACACGACTCGTGCGGCTTCCGCTAGCGCCTTTAGATTATCGGATACGGCGGAGTCAACAACTGTGGGATAGCGCGCCTCATTCCAAACCATCGTCATCACATCACTGTTGTTGTATGACGCAGCTGCTGATCCGCCAGCAACTGCAGCCGACAAAAGATTCGAAGCGTTTGGGGTGACGTAAAGAGCTGCCCAATAGTCGATATCACAGACGGCACCAACAACGCTGCTGGGATCTGGGTAAAAGAGAGCGGGTCGCTCAATCAGGGTCGGAAAGCCGGTGCTCGCCAGCTGCGTGTATGCGCTGCGCACAGCATTGCCAATCGCACCGCCATCGTAGTCGACGAACAAAATGTTGATGTTGTGAATGTGCCCGGTCTGCTGGAAAAGAGAGCCGAAAAGGTAACAGAAGAGTCCTAGAAAAAGGAATTGTAGCAGGAGCAGATTGATTATTGCGGCCTTCAGCAGCGCGAGACGACGCGGTCGAACAGCGGGATCATGGATGCTGGGTCGCTGTTGGCGGGCTCTGGGATAAAATTTCCCCAGCTTCATGATCACTTGGCAGCGGGGACTTGGGACAGTCAATCCCGTCGATATTTAATGACGACACAATGACAAGAGTAAAAAGGGGGAGAGAAGGGGATGTCAGTGAGTCAGTGAGAAAGCTTGAAAGCAGCAAAGGCCGAAGATTAGCAAGCTGTGAAGAGATCCCGGCCCGCCGAATCCCGGATAAGAGGCCAAATTGAGGTGAGCGGCGACATATCGTAATGCTGATGATGGCGAACTCTCAAGCCAATACGAGAAGTTTGGCTTGTTCGGCTGCCAGCGGGGGAAGAGGGCAAATAAGCGTCGGGTTCTTGGGATTCTCTGGGGTCTGGACCTGTCAGCCCGCATTAGGAAACCCTGGTTCACACTACCTGATTCGTCCAAGCCTGCAACAGATGGGGTATTATTTTCTCACTTGCATAGTAGATATTAAAGATAGATATAAATATAAACACAGAGCTCGATTAGACAAGGAGATAGATGCCATCAGATATCGCAATAGGATCTACCTTGACTGCTAAGCTTTGGTCTAGGAGGACTGACGAGATCAACCGTGGAATTATAAGCGATTGGCTCCGCTGAAAAAGCTTGACATGGCTTGTGCCTAACTTGAAAATGTAGCAAATAATATCCAGGTGAATTATGGCCGTTGTATAGGGCCGAATGACTGTGTATAACTACCTTTTGATGGCTGGCACTCTCCAACTTAAAGGTGCACTGGCCACCTTCAAGTTGGATCGTCATTTGCTGATCGTGATGTGTGGCCTCCATGTGCCCCAGGCTTCTCAAGCCATCGGGTATCTCGTATATGCTGCTCCAGGGCTCTTTGTATCGACGGAGAGAGATACATACTAGTGCTGATAGATCCGTCAAATACCCTCGAGGCTTCAATGTATTTTCCATTTCTCTTGTTTACTAGTAAGTATCATTGATAGTTATATTTACCCCAAAGAGAAAGGCACGGTTTTCTTGCTGTTTGAGAATACAAAACGGAAAAGAAATGCTTGAGAATGGAGTACTAGTAATCTGGATCCCACTTATGGCCATTTGATATCCCAAAGGTCTCCGGACCGAGATAGCCGGTGTTGGACCCAAGATTCCTCAAGATCCCGTCAATGCTTGTATCGATGTCTCCACTGTTCTTCTCCTGTCCTGAATGCACAGGTACCATTTGTATGCGGAGTTTCGGAAGTTTGTACGTATGGGATTTCCGAAATTTGTACTGCAGTGTTCCAGATTTTTCGGCGCTCGGGCGTTCCTGGGGTACGAGCACCGCATTTGGTATCGCCACTCAGCTCACGCTCAAGCTCACGCTCACATTCGCCCTCGGCGTAAAATTATTAATAGCCCCACCTGGGGCCATTGATTCATGACATCGAATGAATGACATCAATTCTGTTCTGCGCGCACATATTTTCCCACTAGTAAAATGGACCCACCGTCCCAGAAAATCATGGCTTTGGGAGGTTGCAGCCAGGAATGTTAATATGATCGCTTCACCCGTATAAGCATCCGACCGCCAGCGCGATACCCGCAAAACATAGTCATAGAGAAAGGTCAAATCACTTGAAGATCATCTTTATCAAGGGAATAAAATTTTCCCTTTTTTTTAGAAAAAATCCAAGCCCCTTTTCAGGCCTTACGAAGCTCGGCACTTAGGGTCGCAAGGTGAAGCCGTCGGGAGGTGGGTCTGCACGGTTAACTCGGCCTCTTTAGCTCCATTTCCATTTTCACTTTTATGGCCACCTCCAGGGCAGGTTCTGTTTATATTGGTAGATCGCCGCCACCTGAAGATTCTCACTTCCCCTCTTCATTCAGGTCCATCCGCTATCAGTGCTGTTGGACCAAACAAAGAAAATACGCCCGAATCACCACGGCCTCGGGGCCAGTAATCAAGCTCCAGGACAATTACCAGACTAGTCGGCCCACCATGAATAGAACCGACGGAGAGCTCCAACAGGCCGAGGCCGATGTTTCAAACTGGGGCGAAGAAAAGCACAGAAATTCGGCGGAGGCAGATCGACCCACGACATCAGGCACGACCGGCTCATCGTCTGGCTCAAGCAGTTCAGTCGAGTATGACCCAGATGTGCACAGGTTGCAATCGCGCAACACAGAAGTTGACCTGGAGCGCCGACGATCAACAACTTCACAAGCACTCAGCAGAATTGAAACCCAGCGACTTCAACATCAGCTTACGGTTGGTGAAAGCGTCAAATCGCGGGTTTCAAAAACACCTCTACCGGCTTTCGGCGCCGGCAAGCCCTATCCCCCCCCAGCTCCCGAATCGCGATGACTACGTGGTGGAATTCGATGGCCCTGATGATCCTTTGTATCCGCAGAATTGGCCGCTTTGGACAAAGTAAGTCATGCTACTCTGTCCGAAGGAAGACAAGATCTAACATTCCACCTAGGGTGTATATTGGTGCCATGCTCGCCTTTACAAGTATTTGCTCAACTTTCGATTCCGCCATCTTTAGCTCCTCATCTCAAAACGTCTCAAAGCATTTCGGCGTTGGCCTCGAAGTCTCCGTCCTGTCAAGCTCGCTGTACATTGTCGGATACGCGTCTGGGCCACTCATCTGGGCACCACTATCTGAGCTCAAAGGCCGCCGCCCAGGAATTGTGGTTGCCATGCTTGGGTTTGGAATTTTCAACACTGCTGTTGCAGTATCCAAAGATATACAGACTCTTATGATCTGTCGCTTCTTCTGTGGCATCTTTGGCAGTTCACCATTGGCCGTCGTTGCCGCCATTTTCTCTGACATTTTCAACAACCGCACTCGTGGTGTCGCAATTGCTTGTTTCTCCGGCACAGTCTTCCTGGGCCCTCTCATGCCCCCTTCATCGGTGGATTCATCAACATGTCTTACCTTGGTTGGCGCTGGACCGCCTACATTCCTGCCTTCATGGGCTACGCTGCATTCCTGATGAATCTTTTCTTTTTGAAGGAGTCCTACCCACCTGTCGTTCTTGTCGAAAAGGCCGCAGAGTTGCGTCGCCGCACGAAGAATTGGGGAATCCACGCTAAGCAAGAAGAAATCGAGGTTGATTTCAAAGAACTGGTCATCAACAACTTCTCTCGCCCGCTTAAACTGCTTTTCTACGAGCCCTTGATTCTGGCAGTGACGGTCTACCTCAGCTTCATTTACGGTCTTCTCTACTGCTTCTTGACAGCCTACACTCTTGTCTTCCAGCAGGTCTATGGTATGAATGCCGGTGTCGGTGGCCTGCCCTTATTCGGGATGGTTGTTGGTCTGTTCCTCGCTGCAGCATACATCATTTTGACTGCCCCATCTTACGTTAAGAAGCTGGAAAAGAATGGAAATGTTCCGGTCCCCGAATGGCGTCTTCCGCCGGTGATGGTAGCAGGTGGTATGTTCGCTGCGGGCCTTTTCTGGTTCGGCTGGACAGGATTCAACGGTACCATTCACTGGATTGTACCCACGCTGAGCGGTCTGTTCACCGGCTTTGGTCTGTTGATAATATTTATTCAACTGTTCAACTACCTGATTGATACCTATCTTATGTTGTGAGTTGACTCCAAATCTCCCCCCCTTCCCCGAATTCGGCCTCTAATCTAACCTTCAAACAGTGCTGCATCGGCCATCGCTGCTAATACATTCTGTCGTTCAATGGTTGCGGCAGCCTTCCCTCTTTTCTCCCGTCAAATGTTTGATGGTATGGGTATCCAATGGGCGTCCACCTTGCTTGGCTGCGTCGCCGCTGTTCTGGTCCCGATTCCAATTGGATTTTACTTCTTTGGCAAACGACTTAGAATGAAGAGCAAGTTCGCTCCTTTCTTTGAACCCGCCCAGGAAAACTGCGCTGTGGAACCCGAAGAAGAGATGGAAAGAAACTGAACTGCTCGACCTTCCTGAAAGGTGCTAAAAATGTACATAATAATACGCCCCCACTCCCATTGAGGAGATCAAAAGATTACTTGAATAATACAAACCAAAAATTTCACAAATGAGTATTGTCGAGGCACCGATATCACGAGACTACTATTGAGAACTCCAACCTCCGTGTAATCAAAGAAGAAAATTAAATGATGGGCTGCTTTGCGACTCGTTAGCGGAGTGACGCCCTAATCTCAATATAGCTAGCTTCTACAACTGGTCGTTGCCTGAACTGGAAGCCGCCTAGGCTAGTCCCAACCTTGGAATGGCCTCACAAGAATTTCAGCAGGTGGCCATATAAGCAGCAAACTCCCACCTCGATCAACTAATTATCCAGGGCTATTCCACTCTTCACATCGCCACAGCCTTGATCGAAAGCACCCGACTGGGTGTTGTAACCGACTCAAAAAAGAGTAACAAACATGGTGGGACTTCTAGACCTCCCCAGCGAGGTCATTCTGATCATCGTGGAGTATTTGCAATCACAATCTCATGATAAGGGTCTCCTGATACCCTTTTACTGGTTCGGTGATGCATATCGTGAGACTGTCTTCGAACATGACCAGCCGCCTAAAGTGAAGGACCTGCACTCCCTTCTCCTTACTTCCCTACAATTCAAATCTCTTCTTCAGCCAATATTTTACCGTGATATTTTTGTACGCAAATACGCACGATGGAACGAGAAACGACCATTTGATCAGCTTCAATGGAGCCTGGAGAATATCCCCAGTTTGCGGAACCTTATCGTTACAGCGATGATTCCTTGCATTGAGCCTAGCACCATGTATGATGTTAGTGATCTATTTTGGCTTCCTTACCTGAGAGACCTCACCATTTATGATTTCAAGGACTGGGAGAAACTTGAGTTTGAAAACAACGCACACGTTGGTACCTCTGTGGTGGAGCATCTGAGATTGATCAGCTGTGGTGCACACGAAGAGGCTCTGGCGGCCGTGCTCAGCTGGCCAAAGGCCTTAAAGACACTCTTTTATGACGCCGAACAGGGGGAGTGGGAAGGCCATTATGAAGGTCAACCTATCAAAGAGTGGACATGCGAGGCCTTTGTTCGGACGCTACAGTCACAAAAGGAATTCCTGGAAGAACTAGTCATGACAAGACCTCGACTGGAACATGAAGGGTTGTATGATGGGCCAGCCATTAAACTGAGGGACTTTGCAGCCTTGAAAGTTTTGCGCATTTATCATGTTTTTCTTTGTGGTTGGGACGGCTCAGATGGGATTTCGACACGTTTGCCTCCGAACCTCGAGATTTTGGAAGTATTCTATGATGACACAGATCTCGAGAAGTTCTTAGTAGAACACGATGAGCTACACTATGACCGTTTTCTTGAAATACTGGTCAGAGACAAGAAGATCCACTTTCCAAAATTGCACAAGGTGACCGTTTTTACCGATGAACACATATATGACCACGAGAACGATGAAAATCTGGAGGCTGGACTATGGGAGCTGCCAACATCGCTTGCGCATGATGCTGATGAAGCTGGCATAGATATGAAGGTGTGGCTTGGTTGTGAACATTATCATTTCCAGCCGTTGCCCGAGTTTGATGTGTTCCGTTCCTTGGAAATTAGTCAAAACAGTCGTGCTACCTCAACGGTCATGCTACGCCATAAATGAATAACCAGAGGGGTCAATTTCGATCAATCATTTATTAGAACATGCTCAAAAGAAGAAAAAACAAACAAACAAAGAGACGAATTGTAAAGTGTCGTAGAACGAGTTCAGACCTGGAAGATCTAAAGTCATATGCCACTGGTGACTTGCAGTGTTGTGGGCCAGACTACCTGATGATACCTATTCATATTATGCATGGTCAAGTATCCCATTGTCAGTACATCTCAACCACTAGTTACCACTGGGAGTCATGCTAGTGCAATTCCAAGGCTGTACGCACTTTAAGACACTAGTACTAACTTGGGAGAACGTGCCACTATCGTGTCGATGACGGGGAAATAGTAAACGCTTATAAGTTGATCTGGCTCATATTTTGGGTATTAAAAATGATTGATTGATTGATTGATTGATTGATTGATTGATTGATTGGTCGGATTCCAACTGAATGGTTCCTAGTTTAAAGTCCTGTTCTCATCCACCCATCCCCATTGATCGAGACCGGCCACGATCAAACCATCCTACTTCCACCTTCACGAACGTAATAAGGACCACAGTCGTATTGGCCTGCGATGTGTGGTTCCTGTATGGTGCACATGATTCTGTATCATTTGAGAGAGGCAAATGAGACAGGTCATGGCGGCTTGCTACTTGATAGTCCACGGCGGATTTGCCTTTGTGTGAACGTCAAGCTCGGAGGCCAGCAGCCAGTTGGCCTCAGTCCTCAATCGAAGGTCCCCATTCAAGACAGGGACATACATCGATACATCGGAGGAAAAGTTGTTTTGTATAGTACACATGGCGGATATTTGCCAGTTTGACCACAGGCAGTTTGCTCTGCCTGACTTCCGCGCGAGGCGGTCGATGGTGTCGACGTTCATTGCAATAATGAACAGGAAGGATGTGTATATCCATGTGTGCATAGCCTTTTGGGCGAAATCCCTATGGGATTGTTGAGATTCTGTTGCCCGACTCTTTTTAGACCATGTAAGATAGTCTGAGGCTGTCGGGAATCTTCCTCAAAATGTTGCTTCGTTGGGGTTGACTTATTCAGAATATGCGAGAAGTAGCAAATCCCAGGCGGCCTAGACCTAAGTTGGTGACTTCGGGACTGTGTGCATGGCAGTGATAGAGAAAAGTTCTCTTGCACAAGGACGACGATACTCTCAGCACGACGAGCTCCTTTGCTGTTTTAAGGCGAGGATTTGCATCCGTCCATGCGCACCAGATCTCATCTGGTCATGTTGAGTCCCATGGGGCAGCGGGTATAGCGCCGCAGCGCTGTGGGTGCCAATATCGACTTTGGGCGTGGTCCTTTATTCGACAGCTTTCGTTGGGTGGATGTTCGAGGGACGGCCTCAATGCAATAGAGATAGGAGTTGAACAGGGGGTGCGTCTCTCACGCTAGGAAGGCATTGAAATAGACTCAATGTTAAGAGCATGCAAGGATGGGAGGGAGGACCGGTTGCTCCCCACGGCATGACTCTCGGGTCCCCGGAAAGAGAAAAAAAAAAAAGCCAAGGTAAGCGATTGTGAGAGGTTTGTTTTTAACCAGGGACAAGAGGCGGTGTGAGTCCAGTGGTGGAATGTTGTAATTCTGCCGGTTATCGATAACCCGCGACAGAAAAAAAGAGAAAGAGGGGAGTGCGGAGTGCGGAACCACTGCCATTCTTCCTTGAGCTCTGGAAATTTCTTGTTTTTGTTCCTGTTACTGACCAGCTTCACGACTCCACGAAACCTGCGGTAGAATAACCCATCCGCTATGGCTTCCACCGAAGATGACCCTGTCATCGCCTCGTACGATGTCTTCCTGACCGACTCCGATGTCTCTCGCTACGTCTTCCAATACATTGACCGGCCCGGCAAACACCCTTACAATGAACGAATGGGCCAAAAGCCGACTGCGCTGCGCATGAAACCGAACACCGGCCTGGTGGAAGTTGATGTCCCAATCTTTACCCGCACGACATACGACGTGAGCAAAGGACTCAAATACGGCGATGCGATGAAAAAGAGTCGGGTCGCCCGGGATGGCGGCGCATTTGGAATGGCCGGCGGCTTCAGTACTGGTGGAGTGGCCAGTGCAGGTGGTCGAGTCAAGTCCGAAGCAAACGCAGATGTCGAGGTGCTAGATAACAGAAAGATGATCGACCCATCGGCACTTGTTCGAACACAGGCACTTGGTGGTCGTATCAAGCCTCAGGAAGAGGGTGATCCGGTTCACATGCTGGCTGCATTCAAAGGAAGTGAGTGGCATATCTGCAAAGGAGCTCTTGCAGCTATTGTGGGTTTGTAATAAGCAGATCACTGACATTACGATACAGAAAATTTGCATCTATCTCCGGTTTCTGCGGTTGTTCAATTGCACCCTCAACTACACCATTTAGATGCGATGGACGAGATGCCTAAGGGGCGGGGTGGCAAGGGCAAGAAGGATGACGAAGATCGCCCGACCGAGGCCGAAGCACGAGCAGTTGATGTGAAAATCAAAGGTGCAGAGGACGGAGGTGCCGTGCTTGTTGGCAATCTGGACCTCTTGAAGAGGATGCAAGACGAGAAATGGAAGAAGTTTGACTGGGTTGACGCTGAGGTAAGTCTGCTGCTCCGTTTTTACGACCGCGCGCCCGGCTTTAGTCTCTCTAACCCTCGCTTGGAACAGACTGAGGAATCTTGGTATACCTATGAGAATTACATGATGCACCAGAACCCAGAAGAGTTGCCGCAGCTTCAATCCTTTATCGACAGCGAGAAGTATTTGGATGGGATGAGTGCTCCGCGTATTGACCCCGCCCGACCTGAAATGACCGGATGGGCCATGAAGCAAAATCGGCAGAAGCAAAGAGGGGGACCCTCCGATAGCGAGGATGAAGTATGACTGTTATCATGAAGAGAAAGAACTTGAAGCTAGTAAAAACCCGTGAAGCTTCCTTTTGCTAAGTATTTTAGTATTGTATAGAATAATACTCGTTGTAATACCAGGATGCTGTGGTTTGAATACCTGTCTAAGGCTGCTCAGCAATAAGCCACCGTAAAAAATGCTGTTTTATTGTACATTGAATACATAGATCAGTCATATCGGCGATCTTCGAGTGGCAAAGAGATGAAGAGATGTAGAAGATTCCGACCAATCACGGCGCGATATCTCCCGATCTCCGCTCTTAGGGTCACGTGTGATTTCGCGTCGCTCGCCCCGGCCATCTCGGTTTTTTTTTCCGCGCCATCCCTTTTCATCAGAGACCCTTCCTTTCCTTATCGATCTTTTCTCTTTTTGCTCGGGTTGAGGGCTGCAGGTCGGTTGAAGGAATCTGGGTTTTCACCGTTCGCCTTATCTACCACCCTTTATTTCGTCCTTCCCCGGCTGCTGCTGCTGCATTGCGATTTCTGCATTTTCATTTCGATTTCTATACCCTATCACTTTTCTAATACTCTTTACCACTCTCACCTCTTTATCGCCCTATTCCGAAAGCCTTGATAATTGCATACCTGTTCGTCATGTTATCGCGAGTTGCTCGCCAGAAAAATGCGCTCTTCCATCTTAGGAGGGCCAACGCCCACCGAACATTGGCCGCGTCGTCAACGCTGCGTCTCCATTCAAGCTCGACTCGACCAAGTCCGGTCGCCATACCACAGAGCTCCCAGGCACCCGAGCGACGCCGGAGATCATCATTCCAGTCACAGCGCAATCTCGCCACAGCTACCGACTCGACTACCTTTGAACACAACTCCTATATGCCTATGAGCAAGGCCACCCTAAACCGCCTTTCCGCAGTTGATACTTCCTCCTTGGTTATCATCGACCAGATACCGCAAACTGAACCAAAGATTTTTCGGAAGATCCGGGTATGGGAGGTGATGAGGATGAAATGCTTGCGAACTTTGATATGTCACTCAAGGTCGGCCGGTTTGATCGGGCATCTGCTTTAATCACTCGACTCACTTCTTATCACCCCATGGGATCTCCTGAGAACATCGCACTTCATAATCGCTACATGAAGGAAATGGTTTCGTACATGATTACAACTCGACAGCATGATATGATCATGCCCTTGCAAAGATGGTTCGAAAGTGACATGCCTGCGGCAGGCGTGAAGCCGGATGCGACCACATATGCGATCATGATTCGCATGGCTTTGCGAATGTTCGATGGACCGAAACGGGATCGGTCGGTTCGTCGGTATTGGAATTTTGCCAAACAGGTAGACCTCCACGAGGATCTTCTCGCCGTTGAAATTCTCACAGATTTGGATCTTGGTGAACTGTCTAGGGTATGTTCATATTATTGGTTCATAATCTCATTTACTTGTCCTATACTAACTCGGCTATTGCTGTAGATTTGCTTTTCCGATTTGTCCGAACCTACGCTCGACCTTCCTGTTGCCGCAGAAAACGCCACCGAGAAGATTGATGATATTGCAGAAGTACTCGCCGCAGAACAAAAGGGCCAGGGATTAAGTTCTTTAAAGGAGTCCATGTCACTGTTTACGGATGGTACCCGTTTCACCGTCCCCGAAGATTTCAAAGGAACCGAGGAAGAGAAAATCGATTTGCAAAACAAAATGCGCCAACAACAACTCGAGGCCGATACCATCAAATCATCTTTGAATCGCTGGCGTGCAGAATTTGAAGCCAGAGTCCAAGCCGGCGTGGATGTGGCTTCTGCAAAGAAAAACATCAATTATGTGATCAGCCAATGGCATGGTGATCTTGTCTCGAAAATCCAGGAAGAATTGAGACTTGCCGCCGAAGAGGAAGGGAAACCAATTCGTACTGAGGAGCAAAAAAGGCGCATCGAATACTGCGTTTTCTTGCAATCAATGACCAGTGACCGGCTAGCCGCCTTGACTATCATTTCTGTCATGTCTACGTTCACCCGTGGAGGTATGGAGAAGGGTATCAAACTTTCTTCAATTGCTTCAACTATCGGCAAGGAAGCGCAGCATGAGTTGATTGCTCAAGCCGTTCTGAAGGAGCAAGCAAATGGGACCCCCCACCGCATGAAGTTGCTGAAGGAGATGCTTGCAGGCCGCAAGGGCAAGGATGGTCGATTGCGGTGGATGGCTGTCAGTGAAAAAATGCTGACAGAAAATGAGACTCTTTCTTGGACTCCTAGAGTTCAGGTTCGAATCGGCGCAGTTTTGATGGGTCTTCTTCTCGACATTGCTAAAGTTCCTGTTCGGACCACCGACCCGAACACCGACAAAGCGAAGAGGACAATGCAACCGGCATTCAACCACTCTTATCAAATTTCATACGGGAAACGCTCCGGTCTTATTCACCTGCATCCTTCCCTTGTCAAAATGGCAGTACAAGAGCCACCGGCCGATCTTCTAGGCCGTCATCTTCCCATGGTATGCAAGCCGAAACCATGGACCGGATCGAAAGAAGGAGCCTATATGGTTTACAAGAGCAACTTGATTCGTTCGACGCCGGGTGAAAATTTGCAACCAAAATATATCGAGGCAGCCTTGAAGGGGGCCGGTCTAAAAGATATCCGGAAAGGCCTCGATGTTCTCGGCAGCACAGGTTGGGTCATCAACCGTGATGTATTCAACGTCATGCTAGAAGCATGGAACTCCGGCAAGTCAGTGGCTACGCTGGCACCTCTCGAGCCCGATCTACCCGCTCCACCAAAACCTGATCCCGGGGCTGGCCCTGCTGCTGAGAAGGAATGGCAGCTGCGGATGCGCGAGATTGAGAATTTGCGGTCAGGATTTCACTCGGTGCGATGTTTCCAAAACTTTCAACTCGAGGTAGCTCGTTCTTTCCGCGACGAGACTTTCTTTCTCCCCCATAACATGGATTTCCGAGGCCGAGCATACCCATTACCTCCTTACCTCAATCAAATGGGAGCCGACAACTCGCGAGGTCTACTCATGTTCAGTGAAGCTAAGCCCCTAGGGGTTAGTGGTCTGCGCTGGTTGAAAATTCAAATCGCAAACTTGTCCGGCTTCGATAAAGCCAGCATGTCAGAACGTGAACAGTTTGCAATGGACAATATCGACCTTATCACTGACTCGGCCGACAACGGTCTGCATGGCAAACGTTGGTGGCTCAAAGCAGATGACCCGTGGCAGTGTCTCGCCGCTTGCATTGAACTCCGAAATGCCTTGCGCTGTCCGGACCCAACCGAGTATCTGTGTCGTCTGCCGGTCCACCAAGATGGATCATGTAACGGTCTTCAGCACTATGCGGCTCTTGGTGGTGATATTATTGGTGCAAAGCAGGTCAACCTCGAGCCCTCTGATCGGCCCTCTGATGTTTACACTGGTGTTTCCGAGTTCGTGAAGGAGGCAGTAGCCGCAGACGCTGCTCGGGGTGTCGAGATCGCTAAGGTTCTCGATGGAAGAATTTCCCGCAAGATTGTGAAGCAGACCGTCATGACCAATGTTTATGGTGTCACCTTTATGGGTGCTATGAGACAGGTTCGCAAGCAGCTTGTGGATCACTATCCGGAGCTTCCAAGTGAAACCAAGAAGACTGCTGCCCTGTACATTGCGCGGAAGATCTTCGAGGCCCTGGGTACGATGTTCAATGGAGCTCATGATATCCAGTACTGGCTGGGTGACTGCGCCAGTCGAATCACCCAATCGCTCACACCCGACGAAATAGAATCCTTGGCAAACCAGGCTTTGGTACCTAGTGATTCCGGGAAAACTGATTCCAAGAATCTTGACCCAAGCAAATCATTCCGCTCAACCGTCATCTGGACCACTCCATTGGGCCTCCCAGTGGTTCAACCCTACCGCACCCGAAAGGCGAGACGTGTATCGACTACCCTGCAGGATCTCAGCATTGTGGATCCAAGCTCAAACGATGTGGTATCAAAACGCAAGCAGCTTCAGGCATTCCCCCCCAACTTCATTCACTCTCTCGATGCCACACACATGATGCTCTCTGCCAATGCATGCCATGAAAATGGTCTCACTTTTGCCGCTGTCCACGATTCCTTCTGGACCCATGCCTGTGACATCGACAAAATGAACAGCATTCTACGTGATGCGTTCGTGAAGATGCATTCGGATGACATTATTGGGAGACTCGCGGCAGAGTTTCGTGTTCGTTTTGGCAAGAACTTGTTCTTAGGCAAGGTCAAGGTCACTGGCAAGATCGGAAAGAAGATCCGTGAACGCCGTCAAGGCCTAGCCAAAAACTCAAAAATCGTCGAGTTGCTCGATGAGCACCGACGACAGACTCTTCTGCGCTCCAGTGATCCAGCACAGCAAGCCGAAGGCCAAGAAATGGTCACATCGGCTAGTATTTTCGAGCAAATGGGCGGAACCCAAGAGGACCTTGTCATGTCTGGGTCTTTGGGAGAAACTAAAGTTGGCCATGTGCCAGAGAACCTGTCTGTCGCTGAACGGCGACCGGGTGCTAAGGCTGTCGACAACAGCGACCCAGCTATCCAGAGCTTGTTCGAAGACATCGAACTCATGGACTCGGAATCTGGATCCATGGCCGAGGCCGAAGATGGAGGTGCCCCGACCAAGAAGATTAGCAAGAAATATTCGGAAATTTGGTTGTGGTTGCCCATGTCATTCCGTGATGTCCCTACTAAGGGTTCCTGGGATGTTTCGCGGATCCGCCAAAGCGAGTATTTCTTCTCCTAAGTGGTATTCTTTGGAGTCTCATTTCAACGCATTTGGCTGGTGCCTTTCATTCAGATTGGTTTTTATTGGCGTTTCTCGGACTGTATCTATACATTTTGTTTTTCTTGATGGCTGCCAGGGTGCAGACTCATTGCATATATGTACATTACGCGCATTACGAGGGGATCTAACTGAACAGAGCGAACAAAAAGCAAATAAATATGCATATAATATTCTATTCACCTGTCTGGATGTTTTTTTTGATGGATTGTCAATAAGCAAACTCGGACCGAGTCCACCGAGTCCACAAGTTGGTTTTATCAGAGGTGAATTGCCCAGGTGACTGACCATACTTCCGTATCTTATTCTGGCTTTCAAGGTTATACTACCAGAAACTAGGAGTGTAAAAGAACTAATTGCTCATAGTCGAAGTTCTCTTGCCATTCATAGTGTCCTCCGCACTATTCTAAGCCTCCGGAAAATTCGCACTGGTTGCCGTCTAAGGACTAGCTTTCGGGCCTCCCGGGACAGGTGGGGTGGCTACGCATGATTCCCCAACCTCAAAAGCTTGGATTATCATTTGAATTCATTTCTCTGTTCATATAGTCCAGCACTCACCATGTCTTCGACACCAACTCTTCTTTTCGTCCATGGGGCCTGGCACAGCCCGGCCTGTTGGAGCAAGGTCACCTCGCAACTGCAGCACCAGGGGTATCGATGCCTCGCCCCGCAGCTTGAGTTCTGCGGCACGGAAGAGCCGGTGGAATCTCTGGCTGGAAGCATTAGTCAGGTCCAGGAGCTAATTGCGTCTGAGACTGCGCAGGGGAACAATGTTGTTCTTGTCAATCACTCGTTCGGAGGCTGCGTGGGCAGCAGCTCTGTGAAGGGATTCACCCGAAAGGACCCCTCCAAGTTGAGTCCTGGTTCCGGGAAAGTTGCGGGAATCATCCAGCTTTGCGCTTTCACGCCTCCTTCCAAGACTGCGCTATATGATATCATCAATCTCGATACGTCCTTTCATCATTCCGGCCCTGATGGATGGGAGTTGATCGACAATGGCGAACCAACCGACCTCTTCTACAATGACCTCTCCGCTGAAGATGCGCAGCTGTGGAAGGGTCAATTACTCAAGCATTCAACTGCTTCCCTGAAAGACCGGGAAAGTGTCTATGCTGGCTGGGCTGATGTCCCAGTATGGTACCTTTTGTGTACTTGGGATCAAGCTATCCCAATTCAAATACAAGAGATGATGGTCGCAGCAGCACGAGATGCAGGGGCGGACTTCACTACTAGGTCCTTCGATACTTCGCACAGCCCATACCTAAGCAAACCCAATGATACCACTGAGTTTATTCTCGAAGCTCTGGGAGATTTCAAGGCGAAATCATCTAGGTCTTGATCCAGCAATTTTTATTTTATCATTGTATTTTTTTAAATAAGAATATTACTAGTACTTCTTTCTTGAAACAAAGCGATATAAATTCCTATAATTACTAGAATAAAATCTGAACTGTTGAGTACTAGTAGTAACACATTTACCACTCCAGGATTCAATCAAGGACATATGGTGGACTTGATAGACTTGAAAGCTGCAAGTTACATCTGTCCTTATGAAAACACTATTGATATTATGTGCTGCGATGATTCTGGCCACAAAGTTTCGTTTCGATCAAAACTTGAGCCGGATCGTGTCAAGGTTGTTGGAGCATATATCCTTTTTTTGGAGCACATACTCCACAGCTGGTTACCTTCACAATTAACATCATAGTTCAAGTTGCCACTGGAATATCGATTATTTTCAACATCATTATTCTCTGGGTCTATAAATGGATTGGTTTATAATAGTTAGGAATACAGGACGAGGTCTTGACCTAGGCATGAATGAGTCGACCCACAGGCAGCAAAATAAGTGCTTTTAGTGTATGTTATAAAGCCGATCCTAGGCCCCATCTGCCTACCGCGTTAAGAGCCGAGGCATTATATCTCAATTACTATAGAAGCCTAACGTCCGAGTATCTTGTAATAGAAACAATAGCATTGCAAACGACAACAAACATCATTCATAGATGGGTTGGGGAACCTAGCGGGCGATCCCGTAAAAACCTCACCTCAAGTCTCTTCCCTTCTTTCACCCGAAAAGCCTCTGAGCTCTACACACACTTTGATCCAAAAAAACTTCCGAGATATCTGACACTTCAGCCCGACTAATATTCTGGGTTGTCTACCCTTTTATTTCTTCCTCCGTGCTTCTTTACGATCTCTCTGGATCTCGGAGATTGCAAACTATTGCACGCAATCAAGAAGAACAAAACCTGTTTGGCTCGACGGTAAGTACTATACTCACGTCCCTACCTGATATTTTAGAGCTATGAGCTAACTACTATATGGAGACTTCAAGCCTTTACGATGAAGCATCAACCTGATTGTGATTGTGGCCCGTGTGGGGGTCGTCCCTTGGTGAAGATTCCGTCTGATAATCGAATTGGTCTTCGAACAAGATCTCGACCGACCACGGCCGAGCAATACAAAGAACACGAGGAGAGACTGTGGAATGAAATCAAGGAATTTCACTCTCTACCAAGCTTAGAGGGTGAAGATACTAAAGCGAATACTGAGCCAACGACCCGTGGTCAGGTACGGGACCTCCTTGTGGGAACCATGCGCCACTATGAGAAGAGAGGGCAGTGGTTCTCTCAGAATGAAGTCAGAATTGCATTCCGGGCATGGGAAATTGTCAAAGAGCAGGGGAAATTTCTTCCGACTTCTCTGTCCGAATTTCTGTACGCTGCCCTTTCCCCCCATATATCCGGTAGTCAGAGCCGTTTTTCCAAAAAGAATCTAGCGAGGACTTTCAATTCGAAGAAAGAGAAATCCTCGGCGCTTCTTCAAGATATCGTCGAGAGACAGGGGTATGTGAATTGGTGCGCACTGGCCATGCAAAATCCCAACACCATGGTTTTTCTGCGAACCTCGATCGAGGCCCCTCTCAAGGACCCGGAAGAACCTACAAGACACCTGATAAGTGATGGGAGCACGGGCTCGGAATGGGATATTCCATACAAGGCTATCGAAAAGGAGGTCCCAAAGAGTGGAGAAATGAAATCCAGCAGTGCAGGACAGAATGATCCCCCATCTATTCTATCTTCTACTAAGCACCTTTCAGACCCTGAAAAGAGACAGCTGATGCTTACTCTCCAGAAAAATGAAAGATGGAAAGTTAGAGACATGTTTTACTCAGGCGGACATGTTGCTGGCCAAGTACTACCAACTCATTGGCCAGTCGCTTTAGCGACGAATGATGAGGGATATCGCTATCTCTCAGATCGCCGTTTGAACGAGCTTATTCCCGACTGGAAACAGTTGATAACTGGTAAAAAACGTTTCAAAAACGGTGGACGAGAGTGGCAAGAAGGTTGGAAAAGTTGGAGACAGAGTCAGGAGAAGAAAGTTCAAATGCTACACAATTCATGGCCTGGTCCATACGATCTGAAAAAAGTCCAGAAGGAGGGCATGGGCAGAGAAAGGAAGCATTCCGACGTTCTTGCACATCCAAATACCAGAGCTACCGATGAGAACATCTTAGCTTCAGCGAATGCTAAGAAGCAAGATCAAAATTTTTCGGCCGAAAGTGATCAGCGAACTGTTGCTACCTCGGTGTCAGCCCCAGCAATGTTAAATGAGCTTGTTGTGAGCTTGCGGGTATTAATGGAGAAACAGGAGAAACAGGCGAAACAGGTCACTGAAATCAGGATGAAACTGGATGAGCTGCTGAGCGAAGTGAGGATGATGAAGTCTTGACTTATGGGATTCTTTCACAATAAACGCGAGGTCTAATACATTCCAGTCGTTGAGTGTTCATGAGGCCGTGGGATGATAATACAGGCAGGTGTTTAGTTATGCATGAGGAAATTAAGATTAATCAAAGTCAATAGTTTTCAACCATAGGTAGAGTTCAAATTTGAAATCTGTCAAGCTAAAATCCCGGGTCCCTAGAGTGATTATAAAAAGTTGTCTATATCCTACTAACTATAGACACCTAATTACAACCAATGGAATTTCCACGTCGATAGTGCCCGTGTTACAACGCGTGGTCTATCTGGTATTGCCATTGGCTATGATTTACTTAAAACTTACCTTAATTGTTGAACTGCCTAAAATAAAAAGCTTTGGAAACCATGGCATCGTCTTCGCAAGCCAGCGGGCCCGCCCCGCCTTGCTTCCCCGCATTCAGGTTGCACTGCGCTGCGGCCTCCCTTTCTTAATCACCCTGGCAGAGACTGGTTGGTAATCAACCTTGTTTATTGGTCTCTATTTACGGCATCTCTCCCTAATTTCATGAGATAGACAAGGGCGTTATATCAATTTCAGACTTCTTTTCTGCTTCTACTGTACCTCAAAGAGAAGAAGATGCCCATACAAAACTCCGTGGAAAAGGTGCTCGACACCATTTCTCGCCGTTATCGCGGCCCAGGAGGGGCTATTGCTGTTATCAAAGATGGAAGTCTCCTCGGTCAGCGAGTTTGGGGATATGCTGATCTTGACCAGCGGGTTCCCCTGACGCCAGAGATTCAGATGCCTATTTGCTCAATCACAAAACAATTTGTCTGTGCCCTGCTTCTTGATCTCGAGCGCAATCCTCCGCCAGAAGTGGCCGCCAAGGGTGATATGCAAAGTCAATTCACGGACAAGCTTCATGAGTTGCTCCGCCCTGAATTAACCCAAGGCACCGGCCTGACGCTTCAACATCTTTGCGACATGCAATCTGGTATACGCGACTACTGGGCCATGACTACACTCTGGGGTGCACACCCCGAAGGCAAATTCTCGGTTGAAAACGATGGCCCTGCTGCGATTGAGCGGACACAATCCTTTCATTTCCAACCTGGCAATGAATTCTCATACTGCAATGTCAACTTCTATATCACGGCCCGCGTGATTGAACAGGTTACGGGACAACCTCTTGGAAAGCTGCTCGCTGAACGAGTGTTGTCTCCTGCTGGAATGGCGACCGCGTTGCTCTGCCCCGATACCGCCCAGCACCCAGGGCCGTGTGTTGGATACGAAGGAACCGAAAAAACCGGATATCAAGCAGCAGTAAATAAGATGGAATGGTCCGGAGATGCAGGCTTGGTAGCTTCTCTCACGGACATGGTCGCGTATGAGAAATATCTGGATCGCATTCACTCGGACCCACGAAGTTGGTATCGAATTGCAACCGAGCCGCAGACATTCAGCGATGGCGCTTCGGCTAAATACCACTACGGACTTGGTCATGTTAATGTCGAAGGTATAGATACCGTGGGCCATGGGGGTGCTTTGCGCGGATATCGACTTCACCGACGTCATGTGCCAAGTGAGCACTTGTCTGTTGTGGTCCTGTTCAACCATGAGGCAGATGCATCTGAGGCTGTCAATGATGTTATCAGGGGGATGCTGGATCTTGAAAAGCCCAGTAGAATGGATATTACTGCCAATCCTAACTGGATCGGCATATTCCTTGATCGTGATTCAGAAATGGCAATCGCTGTGAGCAAAGGGTCACAAGCGGGGGAGATTTGCATCAGTTACGCATTTTCCCCTAGCACTGAGGTTGTGAGATTGTTAAATTCCAATGAAGCTCAGTCCAACTCAATGACTGCACGCATCGAAGGGGACACTCTGTATGTCAATCGCATAGGGGATAACCGCAAGCTCGAAGCTCGACGGATCGTGCCTCGCGAAAGTGCATTTGAGGATACATCTCTTCAAGGAGACTACCACTGCGCTGAAGCCGACTCGACCTTTCATTGCGTCGGCGGGGCAGGGCTTTTGTATGGCTCTTTTGATGGGTACTTGGGTTGTGGGCCAGCAAGTCTGATGAAATATCTCGGTGATGATGTCTGGGCGTTAACCTGCCAACGTGGCCTGGATGCACCTGCACCCGGTGATTGGACTTTGGCTTTTCATCGTAATGAAAGTGGCGCTGTAGTAAATTTCAAAATTGGATGTTGGCTAGCTAGAGGTCTCGTATTTGTCAGGACTTAGTTAGCAGCAAGCTGTGGCAAATTATACCACCTCTCCAAGTCAACGCAGGGCCTGAACTCTGGTTTTGTTTCAAATAGACGCACGTGTATAACTAAGGTAATAGCAACTAAGATACTTTCGATCTTGCAGATAGCAAATCTTTTAATTTTCACAATGACGGTATCTTTTCGGGCCGAATTGCTTACTCGCGTCAACTGGAATAGCTGAGGTTTGAGGTAGCCTTGCTGCTAGTTTTCTAGGTCGCCCGTGAGACGTGGAATATAATGATCTACATAGTCTCGTGAACCCACCAAAAATTTTATATGCCTAGAGTTGCTAGCCACCTCGTCAGCGGATTCGATGGTGGTCGCAGACTTGGGTATATTCCGGGGTACACCCGGAACCCCACAAACACCATAGCCGGATTTAGGCAAAATAGCATAAAAGCCCGGGAGAGGGTTAGACTGATATCGGGAGAACCCCCCTTAGAACAACCTTGGAAGCGATTCGATTTTTTTTGTTGATCATAAAAGCAGGATCACCTCTTAGACAGGGCTCGCGTGGCGAAGGTTCAATTCGATCAGTATCTGCTTTGGTTGAGAGCAGACACATCCACATTCAAGTTGGAAGTTTCTAAGATGACTACCGTAGTGTCTGACCACTGGCATCTAACTACTAGTATCCCATGCTAGTAACCTTGGACCCCGGTAGGTTCAAGATTTGAAGTGCCGGCGACTCACCTGCATGGCAGTGGATATAACCTTGGAAATAAGTGACAGAAATCCCTGCAGATGAATGCTACTAGTACCAGTACCAACTAGTTAATAATCATAGTGAACGTACTTGACTTTGCCTACTAGTGTTTTCTAATGAGTCGGGATTTTAAGCCAACTTGTTATCATTTGAATACTCGCTGTATAGGATCTCTCTAGAAAGCGAGAGTGAGAGGTGTAGCAAGGGTAGTATACAAGGAGTATGTGGCCAATGTAGATCAAGATGTCACTCTACCGAGTCCGGTAAAATACCCGGGGGCTGTAAGCGAATGTGCAAAGGGATGCACTCCGCAATGAAACCCCAGCGCAGGTACCGCTCTTCATAGCGATGATCGAACCCATAATCAATTATTTCGTTATTCTAATCCTAGTAAATTCTAAATCCCTAGACCCTCAGCTTATACTAGTACTACTAGTATTACTAGTAACTATTGCCTTGCCTTGCCTCGCCTCGCCTCGCCTCGCCCATAGCTAGAACCATACCATACATACCATACGATACCACGTGCCCCCCAGGGCTGCCAATGGTTCCCCCGCTTCTCCAGATTTTCCCCCTCGCCATCTTGCAGACCCTGAAACTCTGCGCTTCTTTACTTCATCTTGTTTTATAAACTGCCCTCGGGGAGGCACCCTCTAGGAATTATCTGCAAACAATTCCGACTTCTCTCGGCGCTCGGGTCGGAGACCAAAGATCGGATCGTCCCGTCACCTTCCACCGCCGTCCGGGGTACATTCTGTCACTCAACGCTCTCCATGTCCTGACGCTGTCCTTCAACTCTCGTGACGAAAAAAACAGGAAGCAAATACCGCGCTGATATATTCGGCCCCATGCTGCCCGAAGCCTAACTCTTCGGAGAAGCATGTCGGCGGCCCCCCTCCGATCTGTCGCCAGTTCCTACTCCCCTTTCTCGGCCCGGTCGCAAACCATTCGAATGGCCCAGTCGCAAACCCCCGGTCTCGATACTCTCGCAGAAGGGTCGCAGTATGCCTTTGAGCAACTGCAGCTGGCACGCCAAGCAGGCACCGCGTCGAACACCTCGACCGAACCCGATGTGCTGCCATCTTACAGTGAACAAAATGACTCCCATGTACCCGGAAGAGAGTCATCACAGTCCCGGGACACTCTAGCGGAAGCCCGATCAACCATTCGCAAGTCCTCGTCTGCGACTGCAGTTCGTCGAAGAATAAGTCGAGCCTGCGACCAATGCAATCAGCTGCGCACCAAATGCGATGGGCAACAACCCTGCGCGCACTGCCTCGGTAGTCTTTTCCCACGATGAAAAACAATTGTGGCCGCGCTAACAAATTTCAGAGTTTGGACTCAGTTGCGAGTACGCCCGAGAACGTAAAAAACGGGGGAAAGCCTCGAAGAAGGATCTTGCGACATCAGGCATAAGTTATAACGACAAAAAGATCAAAGATAATGTTTCTGTGCAAGCGGATTCACCAAATGGCCAATCCCAGGAAGCCAATGGACCGTACGACACGGCCTTCGATGCCGCCCGGGCTATGCCAGACGCTACGCCGGCCCATTTGCGAAACACAAGCGCCCCTGAGATGTTGAGAATGCAGCAGAATACACATTCACAGCAATCGACAGCATCAAACATCGACGGCATGTCTTTACACTATGGCAATACGTCCGAGCCAAACCGGCCACCCATTGTCCCTGATCTCCGCTCTCTGCAAATGATGCACCAAAATGGCAACTCCCGATCACCATCTACATTACTCAATCCACAAGGATTTGGATCGAGCTACAACGATGGGGCATATAATTTGATGAATTCTCAAGATGCAGGCCATCCCTCGATGAATCAATTCCGGATGAGCGGAACAGACAATCAATCTGCGCCTTTCTTGGGATTTTCTCCGCCAGCTCAATCGCCTAGCTGGCTTCCCCTACCGTCACCGTCACCTGCTAATTTTCCGTCTTTCAGCATGGCTCCATTTTCCAGTTCATTGAGATACCCCGTCTTGCAACCTGTACTTCCTCATATCGCTTCAATAATCCCCCAGTCACTCGCATGTGATCTCCTGGATGTCTATTTTGCCAGCTCATTCTCCTCTCATCTCTCACCACTATCGCCTTACGTCGTTGGGTTCGTTTTTCGCAAGCAGTCCTTCCTCCATCCGACAAAACCCAGAATGTGCAGTCCTGGTCTCCTTGCTAGTATGCTCTGGGTAGGCGCCCAGACGAGCGAGGCCGCATTCTTGACATCACCTCCGTCTGCGCGAGGGCGGGTCTGTCAAAAATTGCTGGAATTGACCGTTGGTCTACTCCGACCTCTTATCCATGGACCCGCTACCGGGGAGGCGTCCCCCAACTATGCAGCAAACATGGTCATCAATGGAGTGGCTCTGGGAGGATTTGGTGTCTCTATGGATCAATTGGGTGCACAGAGCAGTGCGACAGGCGCAGTGGATGACGTTGCGACTTATGTCCATCTGGCTACCGTTGTATCGGCCAGTGAGTACAAAGCAGCCAGTATGCGCTGGTGGACAGCTGCATGGTCTCTAGCACGAGAACTCAAGTTAGGCCGGGAGTTGCCAACAAATGCCACGTCTAAGCAAGATGGTGAGCTAGAGCGTGAATCAGACCTCGACATGAATGGAATCAAAAAGCAGCCGTCATCGCTTTTAAATCCCATGGGCAACGGAACTGGTAGCTCGGCGGTTAACCTGACTGAAGAGGAACGTGAAGAACGCCGTCGAATTTGGTGGTTACTATACGTCATGGACAGACATCTTGCACTTTGCTATAACCGCCCTCTTACATTGTTGGATAAGGAATGTGAAGGGTTGCTTCAACCAATGAACGATGACATTTGGCAGGCAGGTGACTTTTCAACCGCCAGTTACCGGCGTGCTGGCCCGGCATTTGAGTGTACCAGCCATAGTACGTTCGGCTACTTTCTACCTCTTATGTCTATCCTCGGAGAAATCGTGGACCTGCAACATGCTCGAAATCACCCGCGGTTCGGCCTTCATTTCCGCAACAGCGGCGAGTCAGAAATCCAGGCGATGGAGATCACTCGACAGCTAGATGTATATGCGCAGAGCTTGAAGGAGTTTGAGGCTCGATACACTAGCTCACTGGCTCTCGGGAATGCTGATAACGATGCGATCATGGAAGGCTCCCACCTCAACCATGTCAGTCCTTCTGGGCGATCAAGTAGCACGGTCGGTTCGCATGCTAGCCAGTCCATCGTCCATACCAAGATGGTTGTCGCGTATGGTACGCATATTATGCACGTCTGTCATATTCTCTTGGCTGGTAAATGGGATCCCATCAATTTACTTGATGATAACGACCTCTGGATTTCATCCGATTCGTTCATCTCCGCCATGGGTCATGCGGTTAGTGCAGCAGAAGCCGCTTCTGAAATTTTGGATTTTGATCCAGACTTGAGTTTCATGCCTTTCTTCTTTGGCATTTATCTACTACAAGGCAGTTTCTTGCTACTTTTGACGGCCGACAAATTACAAGGTGACGCTAGCCCGAGCGTTGTCAGGGCCTGTGAGACTATCGTACGAGCGCACGAAGCTTGTGTTGTTACTCTGAATACGGAATATCAGGTAAGCCCCCTTTTCCTTGGTCTACAACTTCCCGTAAACCCAAGCTAATATTTCTGTTTCTAGCGGACTTTCCGAAAGGTGATGCGCTCAGCTCTCGCTCAAGTCCGTGGTCGTGTTCCCGAAGACTTTGGTGAGCAACAACAACGCAGGCGGGAAGTACTCGCGCTCTATCGCTGGAGCGGAGATGGCAGTGGTCTTGCTTTGTGAGGACTGGTGATGTGCCTACCGGAATTAATTTTCTCGTACCACTTGCCAATTTGTCTGCCGTTTAAATTAATGCGGACGGATAACTCCTTCATCTTTTATTTTTGTATATTATTGTTGCTTTTCCTTGGATGCTGGACATACATACATACCCAGGCGCAGGAGGATAGGGTTTATTTCTTGCATATTCTTGATTCTACGTATATGGAATACCCTTGACAAAATTCTATGTCGATATCTATTCATCATTCGGACCTTCTGAAGCTATCCAGCAGTAAAGAAAATAGCTGATTCCTCTGTTGACCTTCTCCAATTTCCCCATTGGGCTCGCATGATCCTATGACGTTACTGATGAGATAAGCCGATCATTTCTCTGCATACTACCACCCTAGGGCTGAACATATTCTCGATCCCATTCAGGCTTATCTGAAGCTCTTGTTTTGATAGCGATGAAAAGAAATGGACCGATGAATTACACCATGACGCTCATCGCCAGATCTTGCCGACGTAGGCTTCTCCCGACCCCGCAGTTCTCCTTCCATGGTCCTTCACCAGTTACTCGACGATTTCTGGGGATACCCTCTGCCTTCCTTCTCGATGACTACCTTCCCCGATACCAGCTTTTGACGTCCGTCGAAGCGGCTAAGAAGCGATCCCATGCATATGCGCATCTGCGAGAATGTAATCTATGCCCCCGAAAATGTGGAGTCAATCGATATGAAACTACTGGAATGTGTTTGATCGGCGCGGAGACAGCGAAGGTCAACGTAATAGCGCCGCACCGTGGAGAAGAGCCATGTATTCAGGGCTTTCACGGCAGCGGATCGGTTTTCTTTTCGGGGTGTAACCTCCGCTGCGTGTTCTGTCAGAATCATGTATGACGGTGCCGCAATTTCAGCCCTTATATCGAACAAGTACTAATTAAAATGTCCAGGATATTTCCCACCAACGCAACGGGTTTGACTTAACGCCCGAAGAGCTGGCGGAATGGTACATAAAGCTCCAGCAGATTGGTAACGTCCACAACATAAATCTAGTCACACCAGAGCATGTTGTTCCACAAGTTGCCTTATCTATTCTGACGGCACGAGACATGGGCTTGCGAACCCCGATTATCTACAATTCGTCATCGTTTGACTCACTGGACTCATTGAAGCTTCTAGATGGACTGGTCGACATATACCTACCGGACTTCAAGGTATGGAAGAGCAGTACATCGAAACGACTCCTGAAGGCAGAGAACTACACACCAACCGCAATGGAGAGTATTAAAGAAATGCATCGACAAGTCGGTGACTTATCATTCACGTCGGACGGTATTGCTAAGAAAGGCGTCCTGCTACGCCACTTAGTTATGCCCGGAAAAGAGGATGAAGGAAGAGAAATCATGCGCTGGCTCGCAGAAAACGTGTCTACAGATCTCTATGTGCATATCATGGAGCAGTACCATCCCGATGCACATGTAGGGAAAGAAGAGACGAGTGACTAGACGCGTACGCATGGGGGAAACTGGGGAGAATGCAATGGAAGAAACCCGGTATGCGGAAATAAATCGTGCTGTGCGGGATGATGAACTGGTCTCGGTGCGAGACGCTGCTGTTAAGGCTGGACTGTGGCGATTTTGTGAACCAATTGAGAATAATAGTGCGTTTCACTTGTGATAGCACATTTGAGGATCTAGGGACCCAACTGCAACCCACAACCTTGGAACCTGGAGATCCCATAAGTGCGGATACCTATCGGATATTTCAGAAGAAATTGTGTTCCATATTGTACATAATATTCACACCATTTATTAATAGCTCAGGGCTCTGTAAATCCGGTGCAAAAAGAGTTTGAATCAGCCAGTACCACGGTCAACTATACCCACCCGAGGGCTCTTCTCGCAAAACTCAAGATATATTCACCAAGAATTGAATGTAGAGAGTTCGGGGGTGGTTGGAAATTTCCTATCATCCTGGATATTGATAGAAAGCCCTGTTGTTCTGCTATATCGGCAGCAGTATTCCCATCGTGATCAATCGAGGAGGGATTAGAACCAGCTTTCAAGAATAACATTACGATATCCATGTTCCCTTCTGCTGCCGCCCAGTGTAAAGGCGTACAACCAAAAACATCTTCTTTCGTTAAATCTGCCCCTTCATTGAGAAGTGTCTTGGTGATAGACGAGCCTTGAATCGAAGCCGACCAGTGAAGGATAGAATAATCACCTGCAGTGCACACGGATATATCGGCCTGATGTTCGAGCAAAAGGCGAACTAGCTGCATAGCCTGCTCATGAACAGCCAGATTAATTGCCCTAACCCCGCCCTGGGCGGAAATATCTGGACCAAGACCAGAATCTAGCAATAGCCGTGCGATGTTATATTGGCCACCTTGGCACGCACAGTGCAGAGCGGTATATCCTCGATAATTCTGTATGGTGAGATCGAAATCCTTGGAGAGTAGGGACTCAATGATATCGATACATCCATCAGTAGCAGCTTTATGGAACATCGTATCGCCTGCTTCATCCTTGATCGGAACCCAATATTTCGGTTTGTATAGGCGCTCCATGCCCGGGATGGCGCGTGCAAGGTGGATCAAGTCCCACGGGCCTAATAGTCGGGCTATAAGGAGGAGAATTTCTGGCGGGAGGATTGGTATACCGCTTTGCATAGTGTGAGAATTTCCTGTAAATGAAGAAGAGAGTGTGTGGCGAGAAGTATACAGAATGTTGGTGTAATGGTAGTAGTAGGGTGTAGGTGTACCCCAAATTGGAGAATCACCTGCCTTGCCCCACTCAAGCTCTCCTCGCACGAGCCTAGCAGAATGTTTCACACGTCACTTCAACCAAACCCAACTCAACTCCCCCACATCCGCCCTCCATGAAGCCTTTAATCGGTATCTTAGCCGTCGCTGCTTTGGTGTACCGCGCCTGGGCTCGCAAGTCGCTCACCTCTCTCGGTCTGGTCGTCGCTGGCGTGTCAGCGACTGCACACGCGCTACACCCGTGGTCGACACCTTTCTGGTTGCTCGCGGTCTTTTATTATGGGGGCACAAAAGCTACAAAGGTACTCAATATCACCACGATTTAGTCAAATTTGGATTCCCGGAACCCCTTCTTTGCACCCGAATGATGCTGACATCTTGTGCCCTTAGGTCAAACACGACATCAAAGCACGCCTGACCCTCTCCGCGACCGGTGCAGAGGGGGGAGAAGGCCCACGCACGCACGTCCAGGTCCTGGCAAACTCAGTAGTTGCAACTGTTCTCAGTATTGCACACACCATTGTACTAGCGAGGAACCCCGTTGAATCATGTTTCTCTCTCGGTCACAGCGCGGCGGATATCTTGATGGTCGGAATCGTTGCGTATGTTGTTGACCCTCACCGGTCTTGCCTTGAGGCATACTTCCTGGCTTGATCACTGACTTTTTACGCGGATCCTCAATAGGAACTATGCAGCAGTCGCAGCTGATACCTTCTCTTCCGAGCTGGGCATTCTCTCCAAGTCCAAACCACGTCTCATCACTTCACTTACACTTCGCGAAGTGCCTCCCGGTACCAATGGGGGCGTGACTGCCACTGGGCTTGGGGCCGGATTGCTTGGCTCATTCACTATCGCCCTGACATCTGCCATCTTGTTGCCATTCTGCTCACAGTTTGGAATACGAGATCGGGCTGTGTGGACGGTAGCTCTGAGCTTCTGGGGGTTGCTAGGAAGTGTGTTGGACAGCTTATTGGGAGGTCTATTGCAAGCCAGTGTGGTCGACAAGCGAAGTGGCAAGGTCGTAGAAGGCAGTGGTGGGCGCAAGGTAAGTTTCCCTTCCAGTTCCCTGTGTCGCGTGTCCCACGTGCCAGCCATCTAATGTTCACGCAGGTCCTGATTCACCCGGGATCCACCAAACCTGCCGGTGCTGTTCTTAGTCCATCGGGGGAATCGACTAGCAGTACCCACCTGGGCACGACCGAATCAGTGGCTAAAGCGGCAACGCTTCGGGGAAGCCGAGTAACGGGCACCTCCGTGAGCAGCAGTCAGACGGATCGGGCGCATCAGGAAGGTCATGAGAGCCGCCGGATCGAAAGCGGGCACGACTGGTTGGACAACAATGGAGTGAACGTGCTCATGGCCGTGTTGATGAGTGTGGGGGCGATGGGCATTGCCCAGTGGGTTTGGGGGGTCGAGCTGCAGGAGTTGTGGTAAAGGCGTTTCACGTCGATGGAACCGATGGAGCGTGGGTAGATGTGATCTACCCAATACAGTTGCACTTACCATTATACATAGTTACGAGACTACGAGTACTCTCTGCGCCTCGGGAGCCAGTAATTGAATTGGACGGGGTACTCTCGACTGGGAGACCACATGCATACTACTATGAACAGCCTCGATATAAGCGAACCACTAATTTAACCCATTGCGTCCTGTTGTGGTACTCTATCCTCTGTACGGAGTACTAAACTCAGAGATACGAACACATTCCCTGCTGTAACCCGCCCCCGGGGCAAAGCCTCTTCTAGAACACGAGAACCGGGGCATGTTTCATTGCAGTGATTACTTTCTGTGCAATATTTCCATACTATTCACCAGTGAGAAGAGTCCCCACCCCACGTGTGTTCATCTCTCCATCTTATAGGAAGTGGTCCCTGCGGCCCCAGTATTGCCAAGCCTTGTCTTAGCCAATCATATCAATGATGTTCCAACATCAGATCCACCTCCTGCCAGATCCAACTTTACTTCTACAATATCTCCGTTTGGTACTATAAAGACGACGCCAACGCCCAGCTTCGCCAAGTTCCGCCAAGGTCGCCAAATTTGCTTCGAACTGACTTGTTTCCAGGAGAAATTGCCCTCACAGTGTCTTGGCTACATTCCCATTGCGTGATTTCGCCCCGATACCCTCCCTCATTTGCGCGCCACCGAACCTCTGACTTCGACACTAGAAACCTGCCAAGATGTCTTCGAAAGATGCTTGTGAGGCCAATATCGCGAGTCGCAGACGCACGTGTGGTCTGTCAACCTGCTTATGGCAGGTGTGGTCGTGAATCTGTGGCAATGTACGGCGCGCCATGCGGCGTTTCTCGCCGAGAGGCAGAAGCGAACACCCTGGGATACTTTTGTACATAAACCCTTCCATCTGCGCTTCTCTGCCGGAAATCGTACTTCTCACTGTTGATCAATCAAATCCTTGGCCACTGCCAATCCCACAGTCAAGATGGTGTATCTCCACGAGTACGACTATGTCTTCGCCATCGGCACTCTGTTTGCCTTCCTTGATGCCTACAACAACGGTGCCAGTAAGCGAAAACCAGATCATCCATACAATCATTAAATTGATTATTAGTTCCCCATGATACTAATTCACTACTACCATAGACGATGTGGCAAACTCCTGGGCAACCAGTGTTTCCTCTCGTTCCGTCTCCTACAGACAGGCCATGGTTCTTGGCACGATCTTCGAGTTCCTGGGTGCAGTCACAGTCGGTGCTCGTACTGCCGAGACGATCAAGAACGGTATCATTCCCAGCACAGCTTTCCAGGGCAATGCTCCTGTTCAGATGATGGCCTTCACCATTGCCCTGGCTGCCGCCTCCTCCTGGGTCATGTGGTGCACCAAGCACTCGGCTCACGTCTCCTCGACCTACTCTCTCATCTCGGCCGTTGCTGGTGTTGGTGTTGCGACTGTTGGTGCTTCTCAGGTTCAGTGGGGTTGGAACAACGGAAAGGGTCTGGGTGCTATCTTCGCTGGTCTGGGAATGGCCCCCGTCATCTCGGGTTGCTTTGGAGCCATCATCTTCACCCTCATCAAGGTCGTCGTCCACATGCGCAAGAACCCCGTCCCCTGGGCTGTCTACAGCTCTCCCTTCTGGTTCCTGATCGCCGCCACCATCTGTACTCTCTCCATTGTCTACAAGGGCTCTCCCAACCTGGGCTTGAGCAAGAAGCCCGCTTGGTATATTATTGCTGTGACTCTGGGTACCGGATTCGGTGTCTGCCTTCTTTCCATCATCTTTTTCGTCCCCTTCGTCAAGGCTCGCATCCTCAACAGGGATCACTCCGTCAAGTGGTGGATGTTTATTCTGGGTCCCCTGTTGCTCAACCGTCCCGTCCCTACCACTGGCGAGGCTGCCAAGGTTCCCAACTATGCCGTCGTCCAGGATGATGAGGACTACGAAACCTCTACCCACGCCGGTTCCATTGATGAGGACGACAAGAACCCCCGCACCAGCGACAAGGAGAAGCAGCTCGTCAACGCCGAGTCTGCCCAACTGAGCTACAAGGAAATCATGGCTCAGTCCGAGGAGCGTCACCGTCAAAAGCTTCTGCAGAGCCGCGGACCCCTGGGCTGGGCGATGCGCTTCCTTCGCGACAACCCCATGGGAGCCGGTGAGATCTACGAGATCCGCAACATGGCCACCTTCTTCAAGCGCATTCCTCCCATGATCGTCTGCGGTCTCCTGTACGGTGTTCACTACGATATTCACACTGCCCAGTCTGGTATTGCCGGTACCCCCGAGGGTGAGCGTATGAAGCGTGTCTATGCCGCTGCCGAGAAGTACCCCAACGAGGTTGAGCACACCTACTCTTTCGTCCAGGTTCTCACTGCCTGCACTGCTTCCTTCGCTCACGGTGCCAACGATATCGGTAACTCCGTCGGCCCCTGGGCTGCTATCTATGCTGCCTGGTCGACTGGTGAGACCACTGCTGCCAAGGCCCCTGTTCCCGTCTGGCAACTGGCTGTTCTTGCTATCTGTATTTCTCTCGGTCTCTGCACCTACGGTTACAACATCATGAAGGGTAAGTTCCATTTCCATCCCCAGTTTGAAGTCACAATTGCTAACAACTATAAACAGTCATGGGTAACAAGATCACCTATCACTCCCCCAGCCGTGGTTCCTCCATGGAAATGGGTGCTGCCATCACTGTCCTTGTATTCTCTCAATACTCCCTCCCTGTCTCTACCTCGATGTGTATCACTGGTGCCACCGTTGGCGTCGGTCTCTGCAACGGATCCCTCAAGGCTGTTAACTTCCAGCGTGTTGGTCTTTTGTTGCTTGCGTGGATCATGACTATCCCTATCGCTGGCACTCTCGGTGGATGTCTGATGGGTCTGTTCCTCAATGCTCCCCACTTTTAAGCATTGATGGGTGACGAGTAGCCGCTTGGCTGTTGTTGTTGTCATAATAATTTCATAGAGTTGATATCCTTTGCATTTAATTTCATATTGCCAGACAAAAACTGAATTCTGGTCTACCTTTACATTCAATTTCCAATTTTTACATCGTAATTCTCTGGTTGAATTCGCTTGCAAGTTCTGAACCCTAAAATACTTAACATAGTACATGATGAATAGCTTGTAACTACTGACCAGTTTGACTTCGGCCAATGATTTGGAACTATAGTAGTGCTAGTAGTGACTATCATTCTCCCTTTGTCACTTTAGTAGTAGTACAAGTTGTTTCTTTCGTCGGCTATAAAATCCCTAGTACGCACCATATGAATATAACTTGAAGATACACTCCAGAGCTGATTTAATCAATCATTGTTGAAGCTCTGCAAGACCCGATGAAACTTCTTTGCCAGCCCCCATACTCTAAGATGATCCATAGCTCTAAGAGCATCTTCTCTCAGAGTGCCAAGACTATGTGCATCACAAATATTATCCACTGAACCAAGTGAGGCAGGTCCACCGTGCTCTATCCATTTCTCTACTTTCCCAGGGTCATCTCTTGTCTGAATTTGCTCCAGGGGTGACTCATCCAATCTTATTGTTGAGGTTCCATGTGCAGCCACTGGGCCCTCATCAAAAGGGAAAAACTTGACAAAAGCTAGAAGGAAAGCGAATGAGAAAAATACACGCATGGTTTCGCATGGTGTGAAGCTGGTGCAGTCGCGGGATATGGCTACTACTAAGGCTGCATGATGAACGGATCGGCGTGTTGCAACTGGATTGCGAGCAAATCGAAGACGAAGATGGGACCTGGCTCTAGAGAGCTCTTTATTAAGTTGTGCAGCTGACGAACCGTGTTTCCACGCATAATTATGGCGGAATATGAAAGTGACCAGGTCCATTGTTTCGCCACCACTGCTAAGGTAGGCGTAATGCGCCGTCGAGCAAGCGACGCTATCAGAACAGAGTTAGAAGCCATCACCAGATGAGAATATCAGGGACTCACTTAATATTCACCATTTCATTTACACAGGTTGGTCGAGACAAAGAATTGCTCATTCCTGAGAGACTCACCAGAAGATTTTCTCTGGTTTTCTTGTGGACATCGACCAGGGACGAGAGGCCCAAAACTTTCGAGGATGAAATATCCTCGATCTCGCGCAGGTCACCAAGAAGACGACTGATTACCAATGAGCATATTCGTTTAGCCCAAGTAGGTGTCGTATTTGGAATTTCTCTCTGAGCGATGATGTTCTGGAGTAATGGATAAAATGGAATGTCACTTTGAAGACTTGTGGAGAAGGAGGCTACCGAAGCCCATGCATTTGCTGAAGGAGCCTCCCATAAGTTCTCTGAGCATGGTGCTTTCATTGGGAGTTCCGAGACGCCGAAAACTCCTCTTTTGCTAGTGAGCGTAGACATAGTGCAATCAAACTCAAAGACCGACCATGCAACACGCCTTTCAAACTCAGTATCGCGCCAACAATTCCAGGCGCGTTCGAGTGTCGATGGATCCATCCTTTTAAGATGTTGGAAGTCACATGAAATATTGTCACTTTGAGCTGCATCCGAAGATAACACGCCTAGCTCTCTCAACCCTGTGGCAAGAAGTCCCCTTGACGCGTCAGCAAGCTCGTATAAGCGGCGGTTCCCAGACCCCAACGCGTATATCTGATGGAGGCATGACGCAGCGATGTATACTGGATTTCGATATGATCTGCTGTCAGATTGACCCTTTTTAAAGAGTTAGATAATGGGATATTCGAAGTCGCAAGGTATACATACCATCCAAAAAAGACTACGTTGAGTGATTTCCGCCAGTATTGGAGCTACCCTTTGGGTTCCCTCGGCAGTTGAATACGACGCTCCTATGCATGCCATGGCGGCCACCAATGCAGCTGGGCATTTTTCAATACGCCAAGTTGGCAGATGAACAATTGAAAAGGCTGGGTGAAACTCTGCAAAGTAGGTTTTGACTAACTCCCCAAGAAATGTAATCGTCGGAAGCACCTCCAGTCCCGCACTATCGTTTAAAGATGGGATAAATGGATTCGAAAGTACCTTGACGAGATCCTTGGCTGTACCAGACTTAGTAGTTGGTATATTTCCCATTGTCTGTTCAAGTACTTCTCGGAGTGGAGGAAGCTGTATTTTTCGGAAGCCCTTATTTGATGTATAATCAAAAGGCCAAGACTCGTTGCCCCCACGATCCAGAATACCGGGCCAGGATTCATGCTCGTTCTTGTCTGAGTTGTCAGGATTGAGTTGCGGTTGTTCAGCTCCCAATATTGGGGTAAAAGGTTGATCGATTGATATAGGTTGAGGGACTAAACCATCTCTATTGAAAGGCTCATCGTTGCAAAATATCTGCATATCACCAGAAACAGGTGGCGAAACATCTGTTTCGCCCCCCAGCCAATCCATCTTAGATGCTCTAAAGAAACTGCTATCGAATGCTTCGAGATCGAGTGAGAGATGATCCAGCCATTCGTAGTTTTCTACATCTGCTGTTGATCCTAATAGCTCCTGGTTGATCTGCAAGGCAGAATAAGGGGAGTCCCTTGGCAGAAACGGAGCCGGGGTATAGTCCTGGGGGTCCATAGCCGCTGGTTGCTGGGGCAAATTGGCATGCAGAAAGTCCGGTCTCGGCTGCTTCAAACTGTTTGCTGAATAGTTTCGTAGAGTGGGCGTATTGACAGTGTCTCGAATCCTGGCCAGCGAGCCAGAAGACTCTGGAAATTCACCTTCCAGATAAGAGCCGGTAGATTCGTAACCTGGCGAAGGCTGGTCGTGTCGTATTGAATCTCTTTCGTCATTGTCAGCATCCCAAGGCAGTTGAGGCAGAGCGAGCGACTGTGGCTGTGGCTGAATGGCCAATCCAGACGAAGTGGTTTCATATGTGCAAGAAACATGTTTTCGTAGACACGAGGCACATGGTAGATCACGGTTGCATTTCAGCTTGTATCTAATACACCGTTCGCATGATTTCTTTGATCTTTTCTTCTGTCCTGCCTGTCTTGGATCATGAACAACCCGAACATGACGCTGATAGACATCCTTCCGGTTGAACGTCTTGTTGCATGTATGGCATTGAAATATTTCCTTCGAGCTGTCATAAGTTAATACCAAAGAAGACATCTGGCGTTCGATTTGACCAAACTCCACATACCTAGAATGCTGGAGCTGATGACGATGGAGATGAGAGATCCGTGACAACTTGGTGCCGCAAATATCGCACGCGTAATTTCGCTTATTTTGCTTGCGGATTTTCTAGGTTATACAGTTAGAGGATCCCTCCCGATATCGCTGGCTGATCCTTGACATACTGATACTGAACCCGCTGCGATTTCCGGGCTGCAGGGGTCTGGCATGACTATCTGCAATACTTAATTTCCCGGCGATGAAAGTGGGGAAATGCGACGGATATTCATATCTCTAATGGATGGTGGGGATTGTCATCTCATGACGCGCTGCTTTCCTTCGGACTTCTCTCCTTTGAACGCCCCACCCCCGCATCGGAATTCGGGGCGGGGTTTACACTCCAAACCTCCTCAGTACATGCCTTTTATTAGATATTTTGAAAAGGAAAATTGGAAGTGATTGTATAATCGAGAGAAACTAAGAAGAGGTGTAGTTGCTCGCGTTTATCTTATTATCGGCGAGAAGGAGAATTAGGTAAGGACTTCTGGAACAGTTTTTGTTACCAATTAACTGTGAAATACCGATGTTATCACTACCCCAAAATTTAAGGCTCTTCTATAATTTCACTGGTCTAATAGCTGCTGTAATGCTTCCCGAACTAAACTTCCCATATCCTTGGTAGAGGTCGTTCCTCTCATATCTTTCGTTCGAAAACCTGCATCCAGTGTCGAATTGACAGCCTTTTCGACTGCAGCAGCCTCTTCTTCCATTCCAAAGCTGTACCGGAGCATCAATGCTACACTCAAAATTGCGCCAATGGGGTTTGCGATCCCTTTCCCTGCGATATCCGGTGCTGAACCGTGCACTGGTTCGTAGAATCCCTTTACTGGGTCATCTCCCCATTTTTGTGCAGGAATGTCAGCCAGACAAGCAGAAGGAAGAACACCCAATGTTCCCGGAATTACACCTGCGAGATCGGAAAGAATATCTCCAAACGTATTGTCCGCAAGAATAACTCCATTGAAAAGGGTTGGTCGCATCATCATCAGAGTAGTGGCACTATCGGCAAGCTGGTGTACAATCTCAACTTCTGGAAATTCCTTCTCAATCGTTTCTTGGACAACCTTTCTCCAGAGCCTGGAGCTAGCCAAGACATTGGCCTTGTCGCAGCTGGTGACAGTTTTCTTTGGACTAGCACTCGACAGAGCTAGATGAGCAGCCATGCGAGCAATGCGCTCAATTTCTGAGCGCTTATATGACCACAAATCAGAGGCGTAGTCGGGTGTCTCCTCCTTTGGTCCGTAAAAAGGACCACCACAGTTCTCACGTAGCACGATGAACTTTGCTCCACGGACGAGTTCGTCACGGAGGGGACTATTTCCTGCGGCAAAGTATTCACATGGTCGTAGGTTTGCATAAACTTGCGTAACATCACGTAGACGCAATGTGGCGCCTTCGGGGCCTTCAAATCCTCGTCTCATGCCATCCCATTTTGGGCCTCCAACTGCCCCCATGAGGATTGCATCTGCTTTGCGGCCTGTTTCCAGCACCTCATCTGTCACCGGCGTACCATGCGCGTCAATCGAGCAGCCGCCAAAGAGACGGGGTAAAAGTTTGAACGCTGCGCGGCTTTTCGGATGTGTAGAAATCACGTCGAGAACAGCTGTAGCTTCAGCGGTGACTTCAGGGCCAATCCCGTCTCCCCCGATAACGAGAATACTGAACTCGGGCTTCGATTTGGTCATGTTTGAAAGTCTATTCGAATTGGTTCAGAAGAGATAGTAATTTCAAATTTATGTCAGGATACACTGCCTATTTGTGCAAACTGCTCCCCAGGCCGTTTTATCCCTCACTGGCCGCTGCCATTTCGGACCCGGAGTATGCGGTGGGGAGGGGAGGGGAGGGGAAATGGCCAGTATGAACTCCTCAAGCCCCGCTCCCCACGAAGATTCCGAGATATGATATTTGGAGATACTGATTGCGTTGTTTGTATGGGGTTTGAAGAGGAAATTCGGAAGTTTTTGCGTACTTCTCTGTTTCACCTTGCATTTCACCGAAGATAGTATCCAAACTTCAGAAAGCAGAATCATTACATTATTTACGATGGGGAAAATTTGAAATTCGTTAGATTCAATCATGCTTGTATTGATTGCCTTATATATTGTCTATATGTAGCTATAGATTACTGTCTAAATTGTTCTACCCCATCAACATCCAAATTCACGCCAGTAAGGAACTTTCCTTCATCACTAGCCAAAAACAATGCTGCATTTGCAACATCTTCCACTTCCGTTAAACGACCGAGAGGAACATTGCCTAGGAATTTCTGGCGATTCTCAGGCGTATCGGGAACACCAGTGAAGGATTCAAATCTGAACCTGATGTTAATGGTTATACAGAAATTGTTGTAGATTGATACTCACAGTCCAGTTCCACAAAGAAGGGGGCAGATTGAGTTGACTCGAATTTGGTGGGGACCAAATTCCAGAGCTAGCCCTTTTGTTGCCTGGGGATAATATTAGATATTGACTGGCGGACTAAGATTTTCAGAAGGAACTCGAATATAGTCAGTGATACTCACATTAGAAACGGCTCCCTTGCTAGCATTATACCAAACGAGCCCCTGGCGTGGCCTGCTAGCCCCGCAACTCGACATGTTGATACAAATTCCAGCCTTCTGCTTAACGAACACCGGGAAAACTGCAGAGACGGAGTGAAAGATTCCAAGGCAGTTGACATCAAAGCATCGAGCGTATTCCGCTTCTGTGACGTCTAGTGTTGGCTTGTTCTTATAGCTAGTTCCAGCATTGTTGATCAGAATATCGATTTGACCAAATTCTTTCAGAGTACGCTGCAAAGCAGCATCCCAGTCTGCCCTCTGGGTGACATTCATCTGCTGAACCAAAACAGAACCGGAAGGGCATGCATTAATGACAGCTTCAGCAGAGTCGATGTTTAGGTCGCCAATTAAAACTTTTGCTCCTTCGTTGGCAAATACTTTTGCGATCGCTGCACCAAATCCGGAACATCCACCTGCATTTAAAATGTGATCAGCCTGCTGCAAGTGGCTCTGATAAGTTCTTTTGGCTTTCATACCAGTTACAAGTGCGACCTTTCCATTGAGACGTCCTTCCTTGGTGGCCATTTTGAGAATTCTTACAATATGTATGTCGATGAGACAACGAAAGCAATAGAGTAATAGTAGGTTTAACTGAAATATCGGTCATGAACATGATACAGATGTTCTTTATATGATTGAGCCTTTAGCTTTGAACAGACCTCTGTGCTTGACCATCTGTCGGCATTTGTGAGGGGCACAACCGGAGAGGCTAGTGGGGAAAGTGTTTTGAGCCGATTCCGTCAGTCGGTTCTTGGAACCAGACAGTTTTCGAGATGTCGAAATAATTGGCACTTACAATTCTGAAACAAAAGTCCTTATAGCCTTACCTAGAGACAGAACTCCGAGTTGCGAAACCCTCGGCTAAACGGAAAAAGGCGATCCTGGGGAAATTATCCGCGGTGGGTCTTCCGCTCCGCACAACAACCCGACTCCCCTTCCAGGACTTCTGTCCACGAACACAAATAAAGGAGATCTTGACTTGATTTGAAGTCGGGGATTACTCAATGAATCTCAGCACTGCTTCTTTCTTGTCTGCACTGGGGCTAGGAGCCACATTCTCCCCCTTTGAATATCTGGGGCTGAATCAACAACCCGTTGCCGCAGTGTATGAGGCAGCTACTCTAGCCAGTGAAAATCCATTTCTGAATGCTCTTCCCGCGGAATTTGAGAAATTATCTATCTCGTTCGTGAGGAACAATCTTGCAGTGATACCTGGATATTGGGAAGCGGGAGACATCAGTCAGAACACACGAGTCACCCTTTAATTGAGTCGAAGCTAATTTATTTCCAGAAACATCCTTTTATGATATCAAGTCGGATCAGCCGACTCTCCAAAATGCACTGAGAACCCTGAAGTCTTCAGATTTCATTGCATGGCACTCATCATTTTTGGACTTTATTGGACCGAATGCGAAGCTCGAGCGGATCCAGTCTTTTGAGGGCGAACCTCCTACCGTCCACGAAGCTCCCGCATATGTCCCAGAGACCAATGAACTATTTTTCTCCGATACACAAGTTACAGGGTGGCTCTGGGCTATCGAGGTGGACACATTTCAGGTAATTTCCTCGATCAAGGATGTAGAGTGATTTGAGATGATGCTAATTTATCTATCATCGAAGACCCGGAAAGTTGAGACAAACCCGCCCCTCCCAAATATCAACGGAGCTCGTTATCACCAAGGGAGGGTCTACCTCACTACTAATGGTGGCTCGGCTCGTGGTATATGGTCTCTCGACCCCAACGATGGTACCGCGACCCCGGTCGTTAACAACTTCCGCGGTCGGCATCTCAACAGCCCTAACGACCTCGCATTTGATGCTCAATTCAACATGTGGTTTACTGATCCCCCTTACGGCTGGTACCAAGGATTTCCCAATGTACAATCTCCACAGGTACCCACGGGGATCTACTTCTTCAATATGAAAACAAAAGCCTTGAATGTCGTCTCCAACAATGTTGTTATCATGCCGAATGGTCTTGCTTTCTCTCCCGATGGCGCGACACTGTACGTCGCAGACTCCAATTCGACATCGGGTAGGCCTATGGAACATCATCCGGCCAGCCTAAGAAACGTCTGGGCGTTCGATGTAAAGGGCTCACTGCTGGGAAATCCCCGTCTCATTCATCAAACCGAAACTGGCTGGCCCGATGGTCTCCAAGCCACACGCAATGGATATGTTCTCGTGGCAGTTTTTGGAGGGGTGGATGTCATTGATCCTGAGACTGGTCATTTGCTTGGCAAGATCAATACACAAGATGATATTGTTTTCAACTTGGAGAAAGGCCCTCGCCGCGGAAATGAGCGAATGTGGTTGTTGACAGGGCAGAAATACATTTATAGAGCGATTATTAAAGAGCCTTAGAATAGGATAAAAT